AACATCCTGTAGCATCTACACCCCAAAACCAACAAGACCCCCTTTCACTTTTCAACAGTAGGATTATGGAGACCCTACATGTTACGCATTCAAACCAAATTACATGACCAACACGAATGTCTAAAATCCTCTGCAACTCAGACTTTAATGTTTGGTCTTCATCATAGCTAACCTTTCATCAATAATTAAAGAGTATTTGCTTTGGGTAGGAGAATGATTGTTCTATTCCATGAATTTCTCTAAGAGTAACTTTAGGTAGGAGAAGTGGGAAGGACACAATTGAGAAAAGAGGTTGTGACTTCTTTTCTTTTATTTTTAATTGTTTTTTGTTTTATTTTTTGTTAACTTTTCTTAATTTTAGTTAACCTTAATTCAAGATAGGGGTAGAATAGGAAAAAGAAACAACAAAGTTGATTAAAATGTATTAAGAAATAAAAGGGAGTGTAAGTGGAGAAAATGGGAGTGGGAAAATCAGCTCCCTTTTAACTTATACATATGATTTGTGAATGAATGTAAGTATATGAAATTTACTTGAAGATTTTATAAATTAAAAGTTGCGCTTATCTAAAGCTTACTTCTAAATCTTTCATTCGATATTAAAAATGGTGAAAATTTATCCGAAATAAAATTAAAATAAAAGTATTACGTGCATGACTGATTCTAACACAACTTCACGCTAATTGACTTATTCTAGCACAACTTTTATTTTAGGGTAAATTTCACTTTACTACCTGTATATTTCCCAAAATTCTGACTTTGATACCCAAAGTTTTTTTCCTCTCACTCTCATTCCCAATGTTTACTTTTACTATCAATTTCTTATCTCTATCCATGTTGCCATTAAGATCTCCATTAAACATTGACGTGTCCTTGCTATGGCCCACCACTCATCACCAAAGTGTCTCAAATAGGTCCCACACTTTATAAACTCCCACAAAAAAACTGACAAGGTAAATTGTCCATCCAAAAGTAATTAATAAAAAAAAGGGCTTTTTTTTTGTAGAAATATCACATAAACTTATACCTTAATTTCAATTTGTCACAATAATGAAAAATTTAAGAGAAATGTCACCTTAATTTTTCAAAATCCATGATTTGTTATCTGACTTTAACACCATCCAATTTTTCATCCATTTTAAGGGTATTTTAGTCTTTCCATTTTCAAGGAAAAAGAGAGAAAAAAAAAGAGACCTCTCTCTCCCTTTCTCCCCGACCCGCCCCCAAAACACATCGCATAGCACCACCCTCCCCCAACTTCTCTCTGTCTCTGGGAGGGCTGAGGGAATTTGTGTGTGGAGGCTAGGTGTTCCATGATAGAGAGAGAATGAGGAAGGGGCTATGAAGAGGGAAGAGGAATGGATTTCAAGGTGGACAGGGTTAGTTGGAGCCGCCGGTGCCACATATGGGATAGGGGAAGGTTATATTTTTTTAAAATGCAATTTTTTATATAATGACTTTTTCATTTTTAAAATTCTCTAGAAAATGGAAAATTTTAAATACCCTTTAAAATGGATGAAAAATTGGATGATGTTAAAGTCAAATAACAAATCATTGAGGGATTTTTGTAGAAATGTCACCTGAATTATACCTCAGTTTTATTTTGTCACCTTAAAGAAAAATTTAAGAGAAATGTCACCTTAATTTTTCAAAATTCATGATTTGTCATCTAACTTTAACATAATCTAATTTTCCATCCATTTAAAAGGGTATTTCAGTCTTTCCATTTTCAAGGGTATTTTAAAAATGAAAAAAAATCATTATATAAAAAATTGCATTAAACAAAAATTTCACCTTCCTCCATCCCAAGTGCGCCGCCGACGGGTCTAACCAACACCACGCACCTTGAAATCCATTCTCCATTCCCTCTTCACATCCCCTTCCTCCATTCCCCCTTCACTCTTCCCCTTCCTCCTTCTCTCTCTACCACTTACCCTCCACACACAAATTCCCTCAACCCACCCAAACCGAGTCACCTTTTTCTTCTTATTTTTTCTTTTTGGTATAGAGAGAAAGGGTCATGTGCGATGTGTTTTGGGGGTGGGGGAGAGAGGGAAAGAGAGGTCTCTTTTTTCTCTCTTTTTTTTCCCTTAAAAATGAAAAGACTAAATACCCTCAAAATGGATGGAAAATGGGATGGTGTTAAAGTCAGATGACAAATCATGAATTTTGAAAAATTAAGGTGACATTTCTCTTAAAATTTTCTTTAAGGTGACAAATTGAAACTGAAGTATAAGTTCAGGTGACATTTCTACAAAAATCTCAATCATGGATTTTGAAAAATTAAGGTGGCATTTCTCTTAAATTTTTCTTTAAGATGACAAATTGAAACTGATGTATAAATTCAGGTGACATTTCTACAAAAATCTCATAAAAAATATATATCTATTTTCTCTCTCCTTGAATTACCCAAACAAAAAAGTTACCTTTTTTTTTCCTCAAGCTCATTTTCTTTCTTCACTTTCTCTCTTTCCATCCATTGATTTTTGTTCCTCATGCATTTGATTTGATTTTTATTTTTATGGATAATTCTAAGAGAGAGATTGGCAAAGAGAGAGAAAGATGGATAGAGTTTTTATTTATTATTATTTACTTTTAATTGTTTTTAAGATTTATAATTTTTACAAATAATTAATGTGTCAGATATACCACAATAACAAGGACACATTGATGATGAGTGGTGAGGCACAACAAGGACACGTCAACGTTTAACGGGGATTCTGACAATAACATAGACGAAGGTATGAAATTGATAATAAAAGCAAATGTTGAGAATCAAAGTGAAAAGAAAAAAATTTGGATATTAAAGTCAAAATTTTGAGAAACTTGCTAATAGTAAAGAGAAATTTACCCTTTATATATTTTTCAAAAAGTATCACGTCGTGGAGCAAAACAAGACAAGTATGGGTTGATCATTGATGAGCCCTTGACAGAGTAAAGAAATTGCTATAAATAAAAGAAAACTGTTTCTTACCATATATAGCATTAAATAACCACGGACATGCCAGATTATCAGTCAGTGGCGTTCAGATTATAAATTCAAGTGGACCATCACCCCCAAAACAAGAGAGAAGGTAATATCCACATGGTTCTCCCTTTTGTTTTTCTCCCACAGCCACAGTAGCCTGCACCCAATTAGCATCAGGTTAATTAATGATTCATTATTTCTTAATATTGAAATAGGTATCAAGTTCGAATTTTCAATCGCATTAAAAGTGTTGTACTACGTACAAGAACTTCGTATTTAGTAAGAACGAGTTTGATTTATAATAATCTCAACGAGTCATTTGGATTAATTTATCCTATAGCTAGCCACTAGCCTTCTAGTCCTTAATTTTTACTTTGATGGGACATTTTACATGTCCTTGTAATTAAACTCCATGTAAGTTGAAGTATAGTGATCACGGGGGCCTCACTTCGAGTGACAAGCGATCTTGCACTTGTGTTATTTTGGGATTTGGTTTCAGAAACTTTTGATTTAATGAGAAAGTAAGCTATGGTCAAATTTCAAACATTTATAATTTCATGCGATTTACGCGATTAAAGCAGTTGTCTTATATTCTCACAAGAAAGTAGAAAATGTCACACATTTTATAAATATCTGATGTGGGATAAGTTGGGTAACCTACGTTTATTTGTTTAATTAGTACTTCTGTCTAAACTCCGTGTTTGTTACCGTTAATATGAGATTAAGAAAAGAATTAAATTTTGTATTTGATGTGTGTCGTGTTTGTGTGTTTGATTCATCATCATATATATATTTTTTCTTGTATTGAAAAAAATGAAAAAAATAAATTGCATTCATGAATTTTAGCTACAAAGGACCACTCACAATGGCCAAAACAATAAGTAGACAATAAGGTGTTCTTCCAACCACACCCCACAGAGTGCGAACTGCGAAGACACATTTGCCACATAAAACCAACCGGAACATCAAACAACATAACTCTGCAAAGGAAGATAACAAAATTTGTACAACAAATGAAAAAGAAAAAATATATATATATTTTTCTTTTGGACACCAATGAAAAAAAACTTCAGATCTTCATGTTAATTTATTGCAAATTCTTTTTTCCTCGAACTCCACATTTGTTTTTCATTGATATAGGAATGCGACAAGTTGACGTTGACAATCCAACTATACAAAATCAAATAAAGGATGCATGCCCTTAACATTTTGTTTTTCTGAAATGTCATATGAAATAGAAGAAAAACTTATATAATTTGAAAGAGAGGTAATTTTAAAAACAACTTCCCGAAAAAAGCAGATGAGACATAAATGGACACTAAAAAAATCCTAATAGAGAGAGAAAGCGCTTTATATCCGGGGTTCTCCGGATTCTCGATATTCTTTGACTTTTGGTTGATCTATGTCGATATGATCTTCCTTTGACATATCTATTGTCTTTATCATGGATTTGAATTAATTTTAAATGTGTATTATCTTGCTAGCTACATTTTGAGATATTGTTGCTTGGTCACAGTAGATCTACTATTGATTGGTCCTTTATGGCCATGATGAAGTGACTAGGTTATATATATAAATAAATAATCCTTTTTCATGGGAAAGAAAAAAAAACAAAGAAGGTAACTTCTGTTGAGGATAGAAAAGAAGGAAAGAGCGGTAAGAAGACATTTTGATGCGGAAAGTCTTCACTGCAGAAAAAGGGGAAGAGAGGTGGACCCCACAACTTGGCGTTGGAATTTCGACGCCTTCACTCATGAGTCTCGAGTGCTCCTTTTCCCAGTTCCTTCGTTGAATAAATAAATTTATTTATTTATTAAATAATCATATTCTGTATCCACATGCTTAAATTCCCTCCCTCCCTCCCTCAGTCGCCGAGGCCCTCTTTATCCCCACGTGCACAAATACCTCCCTCCTCTGGCACTCCCATAAGTTCAACTCCCCTCATTTCTCTTTCTCTCTCTCTCTCTCTCTCTCTCTCTCTCACACACATTTTCCATAATCCCATCCCCAAACCCTTATCTCTCCTTCTCTCAAAATGAAACTTAATCAATTCTTAACAAAATTAATTCCCACAAATTCAATATTAATAATCTCCCTGTTCCTCCTCGGTTCTTTAATTTCACAAGCTGAAACGACGCCGTGTGATCATGCCCACCCGTTCTTCGACGTGGAAGACTGTTGTCTCAGCTGCAAGCCAACCACCGAAGCCAACAAGAACCGGAGCCTCCACGCCCTGACCTCCCCGACGGCCTCATCTCACCGCAGCTGCGAGGTTTGGACGGAGGCCTGCTCGGAAGAGGTGCTGAGCTTCGCGAAGCGGCCGGAGAACGTGGAGTGGCTGAAGATGATCCGGCGGAGGATCCACGAGCATCCGGAGCTGGCGTTCGAGGAGTTCGAGACGAGCCGGTTGGTTCGGGAGGAGCTGGACCGGTTGGACATCGGATACCGGTTTCCTTTGGCCAAGACCGGAATTCGGGCTTGGATCGGAACCGGAGGTCCGCCTTTCGTCGCCGTCAGAGCTGACATGGATGCTCTTCCTATTCAGGTATTTTTTGCTTAGACTTTAAGTTGAGTACAGGTGTCTGCAGTGTACATGACGCATGAACTGTTCTTTCTCTCTCTCTCTCTCTCTCTCTCTCTCTCTTCTTTTTTCTTTTAGAAAAAATTTTTATATTGAAAAAACCTTTCTATTTTTCAGTTTTTGGAAAGGAATTTGAGACGGTATTCTCTTAGATTGGTTATGAAGGCAATAGATTTGCATTAGAATTTCTAGAATCTGGGAAAGATGCATTCATTTGATTCATTTGAGATGTTAATGGTGAAATTAACCTAAAGTGTTTTGACAAAGAACAAACCTAGAATGTTTAACTTTTTTTTTGCCCTTTTTTAATACTGACACAGAAAATAAAATTTACGAGGTCTAATGAATGTATCGTGTACATTTTTTTGGTTGGTATGCATTCTAGAAACAAGATATATGTACTTGACTTGTACTTGACAGATCGTTAGATTCTCGATTCTTTGAAATGCGTAAATGTCAGAGAGTACGTGGTTTAGAGATAGAGAGAGAACATATGGAGTTAAAAAGAGATGAATCACGTTTCCACGAGTAATGAATGTCAATTTTTGTGTGTTTCATTAAAATAAAACTGTCTCAACCTAAGACATTGAGAAGAAAATTGGCAAAATTTGTTCTAATATGGGGAGTATTAATAAAAAAATTGTAGGAAGCTGTGGAATGGGAGCACAAGAGCAAAGTAGCCGGCAAAATGCATGCTTGTGGGCACGATGCGCATGTGACAATGCTCATTGGTGCTGCCAAGATCTTGAAGAGCCGTGAGCATCTTTTGAAGGTAAATTAGTTTCAAACCAATAATTTCTTTCACTAATTAGTCTAATTTCATGCTTAATTAAAGTTGAAATTATTTTAATTTTATGCATGTGTGTGCAACATACCGAGGAACAAAATGGCAGCCACGTTAAAGATAGATACCTTCGTCCAAAAAAAAACACTAGATACCTTTTATTTATTTATTTAAATTAAAAACTTGTATTTATTTAAAAGCCTCTTTACTTGGCGAAACTTTTGGCCAAATGTGGCAGATTTTTGTCTTTTACCTTTACTTTGAGTTATGGCTAGGCTTGCAAAGGGGTAGGGTTGCATTAAAAATTGTGATCATGAACACGATTCCCGATGCCTCCTTTGAGCTCCATGGTTTTGTCATTTCCTTCATCATTCTTCACATGTGCTGATCTTTGAATTGAAACTCCTTATGTCTTTTCCTCCATTTATTTTTTCTTACATAACGGGAGAAGAAAAAATAAATTACAAGCATATTTCTCTTCCACTGATTATTATATTTCCTCTCTCATTAAGGGTATTTTCTGTTCTCTTAATTTTTTGTCGTTAAACTTTCACTTAATGACATTATTTTATAGGTTTATAACTCAAACGATTAAGAGCAGTTCTCTTTGCACCCGAGGTCCTGTGTTTGTTTGTTATCAGTTGTCCTTTGGGAAGTTGAAAGGTGCTCTAATTGCAGTCCATGATGAAATCATTATAATCCTCTTTCTTCTTTCTTTTTCCTTTTTACTCATGTCGGATTCTCAAGGGTCAAAAACTTTTTTTGAGAGAGTACATATCACATGTCCGTATTGTATGGACAGCATTGATTTGCAAAGGAGCAGGCAGATGGTTTTAAGATTCCTTCTTGAGTTGGTGCGTCCTTAAAGTAGTTTTTACTTCGATATTTTGGGTAGAACATTGTCACACATATCATCCTTGTCATGTGATGTTTGAACTTTGACATTATGGACGGAGATTTTCTTCTATGCATATTATGGCTTAACATGTGCACACAACCACCAAGTCCAGGTGAATTCTAGAAGTAGAAAAAGTACGGAAACACTAGGCTAATTAATTATTGAACGGCAAGTTGTTAATTTCTCATTAAGCGACCCTTAATTATGACGCATAATTAATCAAAAATGGTTGTATGATGGTCTGGGAGGAGAGGTGGGGAAGTAAAGAGGAGCAGTAGAGGGACGGAGGCCACGGATCGAATATTAAACCTTTTGTTTTTGTCTTGGAGTGTGGCTGAAGCACGTGGATCAATTAGGGTGTGCCGGTCTGAGTGAGGAATCTTAAATTAACGTTATGAAATGGAATAAGTACATAATAATCCTTGTTCCTGTCTGTTCTCTGTTGTTGCTGGTCGTGGATCTGGTTAATGATAATGCTTAAAGGGTCAAATTGTTGGACTAAACTTGTATCCAAACAAATTGCTTCATGGAGAAAAGTATTGTTAATTAGGTATAGGATAATAGGACCACAAATGTACTTGCACACTCCTTGACAAAATTGCTCGTTTGCAATCACAGGGAACAGTAGTATTGATATTTCAGCCAGCAGAGGAAGCTGGTAATGGTGCAAAGCGAATGATTGGAGATGGAGCTTTGGAGGACGTGGAGGCCATATTTGCAGCTCATGTATCCCATGAGCACCCTACAGGCATCATTGGGTCACGGTCAGGTGCTTTGCTAGCTGGCTGTGGCTTCTTCAGAGCTGTTATCAGTGGAAAGACCGGCCGCGCTGGAAACCCACACTCCTCCGTTGACCCTGTTTTAGCAGCCGCCGCGGCCGTCATCAGCTTGCAGGGCATTGTGTCCCGCGAATCCAACCCTTTGGACTCGCAGGTACATTATGCCATTTGATCTCTCTCTCTCTCTCTCTCTCTCTCTCCATACATGTTGCCCATTTGTACTCATCTTTTGACCACTCAGGTTGTGTCTGTTACTGCATTCAATGGAGGTGATGATCTTGGCATGATACCCAACACTGTGGTACTTGGTGGCACTCTCAGGGCTTTCTCCAACACAAGCTTCTACCGACTTCTTCAAAGAATTGAAGAGGTTTGTCATCAAACACATTCTCTCAGCTATCTGTTCTAAGTCCCGACTCGCGCATAAGCCACAAATAAACTGACAAATCTTAACTAACAAATCTTGGACCATTAAACTGACAATTAATCTGGATGATCACAAACAGGTGATTGTGGAGCAGGCAAGCGTTTACAGATGCTCAGCAACAGTGGACTTCTTTAAAAACCAGAGCACCATATATCCCCCGACCGTGAACGATGACAAGATGTATGAGCACGTGAGGAAGGTGGCCATGGGTTTGCTGGGTCCAACCAACTTCAGGGTGGTTCCACCCATGATGGGTGCTGAGGACTTCTCCTTCTACTCAGAGGTCATCCCCGCTGGCTTCTTCTATATAGGGATAAGGAATGAGACATTGGGGTCCACACACACAGGCCACTCACCCTATTTTTTCATTGATGAAGACGTTTTGCCAATTGGGGCAGCCACTCATGCCACCATAGCTGAAAGGTACCTCAATGAGCATGGGTGAGATGAGATCACTGATGGGTGGTTTTAGTAAAACCCACGAGCTGCTGTTAATGCAAATATACGATTGTGGTTGTTTTCAATGAGCACAAAGCATGAAATCCATAAAATGCTTTTAGGGTGTGCTCTTTAAATTTTGGTCTTAGGGTTTAGGAGGGCTAGTACAGGGTAAGATTTGTCCCTTTTTCATCATGTAAAAAGGATCCAGTAGAGCATTTTCTGGTCGTTAGTGGTTAATGTTGTAAGTTGCAAACAATAATTTAATTTTAGATTTCTAAATCTAGGGTCATCATCATCATGATAATGAAATGATTGTGACACCATTTGTCATATTCTGTGTCGCATGCATCATGCTAAATCACACCAACTCCACTAACATTTCACAAGCACAAAGTTTCTCCAATGTATAATAATTCAAGTCTCAACACCAATAATTTTCGTAAGAATGATATGAAAAACATTATCCAGTAAGAAAACCTTTTTCTTTTCTTTAAGAGATTGAACATATAGTTTTACTTGAAACATCTCTTATTCAATCACATTCGTTTACAACTCAACTTCGTTGTACTAAAACGTACAATCAAGCTCTAGAAGAAAGCTTCCATGGTTTTCCTGAATAAACAATAATCTAGTTTACAAGCCTCACCTCTTCTCACCGCACAAACTTCTGGCAGCTTGCAGGGCAAAATATGTAAGGATTACGTCGGCTCCAGCCCTTCGTAGACACATAAGGGATTCCATCATAACCTTTTCTTCGTCAATCATTTTGAGAACCCCGCCAGCCTTGATCATTGAATACTCACCTGAAACCTGCATTATGATTTTGCAGACAAGGGCCCAGGAAGTTAAGGTGGCAGGAATGGAGATTCTAGTTAAACAACCAATTACACACTAAAGGAAACAATAACATTTGTAACACCTGCTAAAACCTTTACCATACTCTTGTCGAACGTATAGCTTCAAGTAAAATGTGGTTTCAAAGCTTAAAATGGGATAAGGAGAGAATAAATTTTCTGTTCTCGAATGAAACAATGAAGTGAGGAGGTCGTTCATGACAAGATTCACCTGATATGCAGCTATTGGTAAAGGAGAGCTATCCCGGAGTAATCTTATGATATCCAAATATGGTAGACCAGGCTTCACCTGTGAACCATTGCATAATTTTAGAACTAGAGTCTCTGCCATTAAGTAAATATGGACAAATATCCAAAGAAAGCGATACTAACCAAGAGGATATCAGCTCCTTCAGACTCGTCTTCACGTGCCTCAATCAGAGCCTCTCTGTAATTTGCTGGGTTCATCTGATAACTTTTGTTTTTCAAGCCAGATTTATATGCCAAGTCAGCACCAGCCGCATTACATAAATAAAATTAGCATAAGGTTTAACTTCGATGAACTACATACGTTTTTTTGTCACCAAAACGTGGATTCGAGTCCAATGCTTCTCGGAATGGACCATAAAATGAACTTGCATACCTGTTTGCAACATAGTAGAGATCAGCATGTTAAAACAGCAAAAAAGACCGAATTATACCAATCCACCACCGCTATCCAACTCACTGAAATTTTTTGTGACACGTAATGACAGAAAGAACATTAAATGCAAGCATAAATCTCAGCAAATGCAGCTTGATAAAGTTTACGTAAGAAATGACCAAAAGTGTGTATCTGGGTAAGGGATCTTAAAAAATAATGAAACAGCAAAAGAAGGGGAAAAAAATTGTAGAGACAAGATCAAATTACTTTGCCGTATAGGACATGATAGATACATGCTGAAAACCTTCAGCATCAAGAGCAGTTCGAAGAGCTCCCACACGACCATCCATCATGTCACTGGGACTGACAACATCTGCTCCAGCTCGGGCCTGATGATGGAAGTAAACACACCAAACAGTAGGTTACTGATATATTTACATTTCATATGATTACAATTTTGAAATTACTTAGGACTTAATCTGCCATGATTACCTGGGCAACAGCTTGCTTACATAATTGATGTACTGTCTCATCATTCAGTATAACTCCTACCGCATCAGGAATAAGTATTGCAATTAATAACACAATGTATGTATGAATGGAAAATAACCTCTTCTGGAAAGAGCATTTCTCATGGCATATTTGCCTTACCATCTTCTCTAACAATACCATCATGCCCATCAGAGGAGTATGGATCTAAAGCAACATCGGTGTAGATAACCTGATGACCACAACAATATTAACAAAATGAATTTCTTCCATGCACCTATAATGCATAAAGCCAATTTGACTTGAAAGGCTAAACAAAGTACATAGACTTACAAGATCAGGGTATTTGTCCTTGAGCAACCTTATTGCTCGAGGCACTAAACCATTATCGTTGTAGGCTTCATCACCTGTTGAATTCTAACAGGCAAAACCAATCCAATTATATTACATCACTCTACAAAATAGTTACTCTACAGAATAGTCAAGCAAAAGCACAAGAGTAAAACCTTCAAAGCATCTGGAACTTTGGGGAAGAGCACAATGCTATTGACACCAACATCTCGAGCCTTTGAAACCTGCTCCACACAAGGCTTACTTAGAAACGGTGATTCCAAAAACCAATGAAAATATCATCTTTAGAAAAAGCATGATACTAACATTCACATTAAGCCATCCACTTAGCAAGAAGCTTAAACAGAACAACAAGATAAGTGCTACCGAGATAGAGCTAAGCTACTTCACCTCTTCCACAAGCCCATGTCTCCATCCAAGCCTATAACATCCAGGCATAGCTCCAATAGGCGTGTCTTCTTGACCTGCAAAAATTGCGCGCCATGTAAAATTTACAGAGGTCGAAGCATTAACACATAGTAAAATCACCAGCAAGCACCAACCTTCATGAATAAAAAGTGGATACACAAAATTCGCAGGTGACAAGCTTGTTTCCTGAAACGCCGACCTCAGAGCAGGCGACCTTCGGTTACGACGAGGTCTGCGATTGATCGGCTGATATTCAAAACCCACAACCGAAAAATTTTTTTTTTTTTTTTTTTTTTTTTTTTTTTTTTTTTTTTTTAAAATATAGAAAAAGGTCTTAAGCTACAAAACGAAACCCATAAAAAACCCAAACCCAAACCCAAATTCCGAATTTTGAACACGAAAATAGAGAAAAGGTTTTAACTTTTATTAAGCTACTCACCAGCAAAGGCACCACTGGAGTTCCCGCTGGGGCGGCTGGTTTAGGCGGCGCCGGAGGCGCATGCGGCACGTTTCCGGCGACGACGGCGGCCTCGCATTCGGCGTCACTCAGTCGGGTCTTCCCGATGGGCACATCGCCTTCGCTGGCTCTTACGGTGAAGAGGCGCTGCGGTCGGGTCTTGATCTGGATCCGACCCGAATTCAGCTTCAGAGGTTTTGCGGGTCTGAGACCGACGTAATCCAGACCCTGGATGGGTCCCGCGTTAACAATTGTTGACGCCATATGAGCTGGAGAGTGTCTTTGTCTGCTTGGTTTGGTTGCTAAGAAAAAAGCACCAGTCTTAAAATGCTGTACAAATTTTTGTTGATAATTCAGACATGAAATTTGAAAATTGAAAATCTTACCTTGGAAGGGAAGAAGTTGGTGAAGCCAATCAGAAGAGGGCTGCAGGAGAGAGATGGCTAATGACGCTGACAGAGGATCCCCTCATCAATCCATTACCTTCAATCCTATAATTTGAAAGGTAGTTGGACCAGTTCGGTTTTTTTAATTTTAGTGCCAGAGGGGGCTTACGTTTGAATTTGGGTCCAAGTGTATGGAGTACCTGGGTGCAGTGATGAAATCTTTGGGTGCATTTAGAGAGTTTTGAGGTCCATATATGTTGGGCCTATTGGAACTAATGGACCCAGCTTCAATTGGTTCAAGGGTGTTCATCACTATGGAACTTTAGGTGTACCGTGTAAAGAGTAGCCGGGTGCAGTGACTGACTCCGCCTATTGGAATTACATGGAGATTATAAGGAGGGATTGTAGTGAGGGGTCCTTAATAGATGTCTGATCAAGCGCTGAGTTATTATTAAATTGTTGGATTGAACCCCTTTATTATAACCTCTCAACATAGCCCCGATGCGTACCCCGAATGAATGGGTGGCACATAATAGACCCAACTTCAAATGGTTAGGTTGTTCATCACGTATCTCTCACGGTGTAAAGAGAGAGATAGAGACAAATGTCTTATACAACATGTCGCCCGGGAGTTCCTTCCAGACAAAGACTACAAGTGCAACGTCACCCAACTAATTAATCAAATGAAATTTGCATGTGCCACCTTAATGTTACGTCGATGTGACTTTGACAGTGGCAAATGAAAGATTGAATTAGAAAAATGAGAAGGACCTATACAAATAACTCGAGAAATAAAGAATGCCCTATCCGAATACCAACTAGCTATTTATTTAGTGATATTACTCTCTACTTGAGATTCTTATCTTCTTTAGTTTAGAGTGAACAAAACAAGGTGGTTTGTAAATTATATTTTAGACAGAAACATTATTTGTTGTGGTCCAAAACAAGAAAAACAACATGCAAATGTGTGTTTGAAGTGTATTCTTCTTCTCAGCCAGCTTTTGCTATAGCTACCGACGGCGATGTCGCGTATGGTAAGTAAAGAGGAATATTGTACATGAGATTTTCGTTGAGCTGGAGGAGGTGGGGACCACGTACGATGGGAAGAAATAACGTAGAAATGAGCATTGAAGAAGTTTTGTCAAACTTTTGCCAAGCGTGAAATCTTTTGTAGGATCATGCGTAACTTGGTAAAGCATATACTTTGTCTACACACAAAAAGAAATCTGATTTGAAATAAAGCCAGTCGCCCACATTCTGCAATAGCTGGATTTTATTTTTTCTCCCCTCTAGAAGCACATTTGATGAATGGTTCAGGACTCGAGCGTGCGGAGATTGACAGTTTAACAACTTAACACGTTAATTAATTAACGAATACAAGGAATTTTTATTTCATATTATTTTCTGGGTTTGACTGAGAACCAAGACAAGAGTGGACCCAAGTTAAAGTTGTAAGATTATAATTTGCTATATCCATAGAAAAGTAAAAAATTTGGTGGACCCTGAAGCAAGATGTAGTGAAATCTCTTACATGATTTGAGGATGACCTGATTAAGAAAAGCTTGGAAAGATGGTCAAGAAAGATATTCCAGATTTCTAATGAGAACAGATCCCCACATTGTTGCCTCTTAGTCAAAGCAGCTGGAAACACAGTAGAGTGCTTTATAAACAGTAAGTCCACAATCAATCTGGATGACTAATTTTCCAAGGTGTAACAGAAAAAAGATGGCCAACAAACACGCTTTTCTTTTCTTTATATTTATATATTTATTTATTTATTTATTTATTGCATTAAAAGATTGTGAGATTTGGGATGGTTAATTTCCAAGATATGTAGGGCTGGATGGAATATTGCTGTTTTTATGGTTTTGTGGAAATTTCAAATGCACAAGTTATTGGGTATTTGATCATGGATTCAAATTTTCAAAAGCAAAAACAAAAGGACCTCTGCAATTAGATTTCCTAGATTTTGGATAGATCGTGGATGTACATTTGTCAAGAATCAAGATGTCCACTTGCCAGGAAGAAATGGGAGGGGGGCCTAACATTGACTAGTAGTAATTTCCATGCACTTAGGTTTCTTCTACCATGTCCATGGGTGTGCAAAGATTATTGCATTCAATCTAAAACCAATTCGTAATGAATATGCAGATTCAAGAAATTATATATTGTAACATAATTTCGGTTTAGAATTTCGATGTGAGATTGTGTTTTGAATAGACAAAAGAAAGAGATAGTACTAGAGGAGGAGATTTTCATCGAAAAATTCTCCTGTCATTCTGTCATCAGATCGCATAGATTGTCTGACAAAGTAAAAATCTCTGTATTTTGGTGTCATATGACCCCATACTAATCCTAACCCTACGAGTGGGATGTCGTACATATATGACAGCCACTCCCAAAACTCCTCCTTTTCACGCCCAACATAACATGTGATCTAGCTACATACATGAATGAGAGAGTACGCTTTGTGTGGGTAAAGACCAGGTGAAGTGGCTGTCTTAATTTGTTCACAAGGGCTAGCTGACTAGCTAGTAACTAAGATATAAGATAAGATTTTGTGGTATGGTAGAGAATTTCTTGATTTTTATTTATTTATTTTTTATTTTTGAGTGAATTAGCTCAATTGATTCAGTGCTTTTCACTGTGGGAAACGTATGATAAGGGTAACAGTTGGAGAGACCAACACTAGGCCTTGGCAGACAAGAATGAGGGACCTACAGTCAAGTGTGAAAAAGTTTGAACAATCTGAGAGCATTTGACAGAGAAAAAATAAAAAAAAGGAAAAAAAACTTTCTGCTTTGGACACCCTCGATGGAAACAGATTCGAAATTTGGAAGACAAGGGAAATTTGGACCCCACAAAAGATTATATTTGCAGGCCCACATAAGATCTTCAAAATTTTCTCTGTGGACCCCTACCATAAAACTTTCTTTAATTTCATGTCTTGGCCCTCGCTCTCTCTCTCTCTCTCTCTGCCCTCTGGTTTATTGCTCAAGAAGATTCATAATTCCACTCGATGCCTCTATTTGAGCCTCAAGGAGCTAAGCAAAGCTTGCGTTTACATGTCACACCTACCAATTCAAATTGCTAAGTCCATATTTGGCAATTTTTTAAAATTTGAGTTATAAAAAAACTTGTATATTGAATATTAATTTTACACATCTTTTTAATTACCCTAATTTCTAATTTCACCGTTTTTTTTAATGAATAATCTTTGAAAATAAACCTAAAAACGGAATGATTGTGATTATTAAATTACATTCGAGAAATAGAATATCTTTATTTTACTTGAGAAAACATCACCTGGCCATGCTACTATTTGACAAGATAACATTTGTTATTTTATATAGATTAGGCATTATGTATGCCGGCTTGTGACACATACATACATGCCATGAATCACACATCCTACATTCCTAACCAAAGTCTTAGGCATGCAAGTAGCATGGATGATAGTCTATTGTTCGTTTGAAGAAAAAAATAATAGAACAACACTTCCCACGCACATTTAATTAAGAAACAGAAAAAGAAAAACCTTCAACCCAAATTTAGCAACAAAGCTAACCACTTCTGTCTTAGTCCGTTTTACACCCAAAATCAACTCCTTTTCATCATCATCATGACCAAATGGGTAAAAAGATCTCCGGATTTTCCTTTGCAATCAAACAAAATCCAAAGAAAGAAAAAAAAGGAGAGAGAGAGAGAGAGAAAGAAAGAGAGATATGAGTGGTTGTACCAACGCGGTGGAGAGAATCTAGTGAGAGATCACAACAAGAGTGATCAGAAAACAACACATGACACTAAAAACATCTCTCTCTCTCTCTCTCTCTCTCTCTCTTGCAAACCAATTTTGCTTTTCTCTTCTCTTCTCATATATACACCCACCTAATTACTCAGTACACCTTACACCTAAAGAATAATCACAGGCCACCTCTCATTCATTTCCCCTCAGGCACGCCTCTCTCCCTCTCTCTCTCTCTCTCTCTCTCTCTCTCAAGAGAATATAAAAGGTGTGCATTTGCATACAAAGAATTAATATACAGGAGCAGCCAAAGAATATTGTGTGTTAACATCAGCCATTGAAATTCAAAAGGGTCAATTTTCATGTCATCAGTGAGCCTGAAAATGGAGTTGATGAAGTCAGATGTTGCAAACTCCGAACCCCAACAACAACAACAACATTTCCATGTCTTGGCTGTGGATGACAGTCTTTTGGACAGGAAGCTCTTGGAGAGGCTCCTTAGAGGTTCTTCATATCAAGGTATATATCCCCTCCCATATAATATATATCATATGAAGATCCATAAAGATAATCTAATTTTAATTTTATATAATTTTAAATTTTAAAAAACATGGATTTGTTATCCAACATTGCATGTGATTGTGAACAAATGCCCTTTGTGTATTTTGTTAATTAGTATATATTTCTTCCTTCTTCTTTTTCTTTTTTCTAAATAAAAAACTGGCTTTCTGTTTAAGTTTTATACTTATAATTATCTGTTTGTATTTTTATTTTTGTGGTAGCAGTGACTTGTGTGGAGTCTGGGGATGAAGCTCTTAAATATCTGGGTTTGGTTGATGACCTAAACCAAAATTCTACAGCTTCCTCTTCATCTACTTCCCCCCACTCATCACAAGTACTAGAGGTGAGAGATTATAATGATTATATAACAAGAGTTTTTATATAAAAATTAATTAAAATATATATGTGCATGCAGCAGGCTAGCATTGTCCACAATATTTTCTTTATATATTAAATTAATTAATCAAATACCTCCCTTGATAATGAATTATTTTCGAAATTGCATTGATTTTTATGGATAATATTCATCTTACAACAGGTTCTTACATTTGATTTGCTTAGATTTGATGAAACAACAAATGGCATGTGAATTACTTCATGGTTTCTCTGTCATTCTCTCTCTCTCTCTCTCTCTCTCTCTCTCTCTCTCTCTCTCTCTCTCTCTCTCTCTCTCCTTTAAACCTGGATAACATACTAAATTCTCCATATTCAATCAAATGCAGGGATCAAAAGTCATCAATTTGATCATGACAGACTACTGTATGCCCGGGATGAGCGGCTATGATTTGCTGAAACGGGTCAAGGTTAGCCACATATAACCCCACTTGATAATTAATTACCACACATTCTTTTACTGTTTTGAATTTTTAGTGAGTCTAGGACTAGAACCCGAATCTAGCATCATACCATTTGACCAAATATCAACGTGATCCTTACGTAGAACCGTCACTTACTCAGGACATTACTCTAATTTAATTGAAATAGTTCATTCCAAATCCACCTACGTGCAATGGCCACATATCATAGTCACGAGACACTTTTCTTACAGGGAGACTCCTGCTTTATATTCTTGCAGGGATCTTCTTGGAAAAACGTACCAGTCGTGGTCATGTCATCAGAGAATGTTCCTTCCAGAATCAGCATGTAAGTAGGGAATTATTTCTTCAACTAATTAATTTACGTACTTGTTTCTTTTGCAAAACCCGCAGCTTCAACTTCAAAAATGTGAGTGCAGGTGCTTGGAAGGAGGGGCTGAGGAGTTTCTTTTGAAGCCACTTCAGCTATCCGATTTGAAGAAGCTTCAACCTTACCTGCTCAAATCCCTTGAACATCATTCTCGTGACGACGACGACAACAATGTCGTTCTAAATGAGGTCGGTGGCGTTGACCCCGTTGACCAAATCAAAAGCACCACTTCTGAGAATATTGTTAAGGGCAACAACAGCAACAACAACAACGTTATTATTAGCAAGAGGAAGGCAGTAGTGGCTGCTCAAACAATATCAGAGAGAAGGCCCAAGATGGAGGGGTTAGCTCTGGTAGTATAAGATTAGTATACAAATATTTTACTGGGGTGATTAATTATTAAATATTACCATTATCACATCCTTAATTATATTCATATATGCATGTATGTACCTGTTTGGTGCTATTGGTTTGGTGGTGTCTTTTAGTTGAATAGTATTATCCATTGATCCAATTTTAAGCCAAGGATTAACACTCCCTATTTTAGATACGTGGTTTAATTTTAGAAATAAAGAAAGAAAAAAAAAAAAAGAATTACTCTCCCAAAAGAAACATGGAGTAAAGGTTTTGTATTCGTGAAGCGAAACGTGCTTGTAGTGATTATCATCCCTTTGAAAGGTCGAGTCTCAATTTTTGATCCCCCAACTCGATTTTAAATCATGTAGTCCTTCAACTCCACAGTTTATGTCCAAAAAGGGATGTAAGAAGCTACTATGACGAGAAACTGATTTTTGGTGTTCAAATTGAATAAGGTTTCGAATTTGAAACTCTCTCACTGACTGTCTAGTATTGAGGGCAATTTACTGATTTCAGTTCAATTTGTGATTGAGAGTGAACTTTTAGGGTTAGATTAGTGTTTGCCAGCTTCACGCGGTTAGTACATTTTTTTTTCTTCCTGAATTATTTTTGCATCTTATTTTATTACAATTCTATTTTGCATGAAGGATGATCTAGTTTTTGTATACATAAAGAGTTTTTCTTTCCGTATACAAAAAAGATCCAATTGATGTATGCCTTACAATAATCTTCCACGAATAAAGAAGAAAAACAAAAACAAAGAAAAGAATTAATGAATTTATCAATTATGCCTACATGATCAATAACCTTGCTAATAATACAAGGGATAATATTGAACATCGTCCTTGTCCGAAGGGTTATCACAAAAGATATTTACGAGAATGAGCACACAAGTGCAAGCAGCCACAAGAGCTACCAAAAGAATCCAATTCTCTATCACCTCTCTCTGCCCAGAAAATCCACGCGACTGAACCTTTGTCACAACGGTGTCGTACTGCGGATACAGTAGGGTTTGGAAAGCAGGATCGAAGAAGTCATCAACCCCATGAACAATGAGCCGTCCGTTGTTGTAGACATCCCATTCAGTGATTTTGACTCGGTTAATAGACGCGTATGATCTACCAGTGCGAGTTGGTAAAGAAGTGACAACAAGAGGATGACCGGGCAGAAGAGTTCGAACGTTGGAACCATGACCAACAAATGCCTCTATTGTATCTCTGTCGAACTTGAATGGCACAACGTGGTACTTAAGGAGTGTCAATGGAGGCTGTGGATACTTGGAGTTGAAGAAAGCTTGGTCCCGAGGGCAAAAGAGGGTAAAAGTGGTGTTGGTGTGGTTTACGGACTGTATTGCGGGCATCATCACGGACTCAAGAATCATGTCTAGGGTTAGTGACATGGCATGATAGCCCTTGTCAGAGAGTACGGCTGATGGTTTGGGTTGGTGTGTTTGCTCGACAGCTTGACTGGTACTAATAACAAAGAGACTTGAAGAGAGGAGAAGAAGAAGAAAACAGATTGAAAACTTGATGGAAGCCATAGGAGAAGAGAGAGCAAATGCAAAGCTATGTGTAATTGCAAGGGATTTTGGTGTGAATCGAAAGGCCGAGGCTGAGCACATATATATACTGATAGCCAGTTTCCGAATCCTACCATGTTTCCAATTGGTCTCCAAACCCTACCGTGTTTCTAATTGGTTTCCAAATCCCTTTAGGATTCCTTATTCTTTTCCGATAAATATTTACCAAAATGTTAGAAATTATTGTAAACCGATTGGGCCAAATGGGCTTTTTCCCCTTGTTTTGGGCCGAATTGCTAGCTGTCTTGGGTAACGAGCAATTAAAATTCATCGCTACACCCAAACCGCATAAAACATAATTAAGGGCATCTGACTCTCTTAAAATGCAGAAGAATAGAGATAATTAAACTTAAATCATAATTGCAAAGAGATAATTAACTTCAGGACTTGTAAATTAAACTGCTTCTTCAAGGGTCTCTACATTACCAAAACTGCACACTGTAACCCTAAGCTAATCCCTGAAACTAGTGTAGCTGACGAAAACACCTCCCACTTTATTCAAATTTAAAAAGAAAAAAAACCATAACTAATGATAGATAGGGATGAGGAGGGATATATATGGGGGGAGGTACCGTCGGACATTGCTTTTATGCTCTCCTCTACCATTTCTCAAAGTAGTTTTATCTCAGCCGCCATAACATCCAACTAGCTGCCTCGATGTCTGTGTTCTCCATTGTAGGGCCTACCCCTCCTGCTCAAAGAAAGAACAATCGCTATATTTAAACTCTTAAACAAAACCATCATATGAAATAAAACTATGCTTCAGAAAATTTGTTGAACTGTTTACCTTTTTAGAGCTCATCTTTGCCGGAATCTTGTTTCTCCGACCCTTGTTTCTCAGTTTTGTCCCGGTTCTTTTCGATGAAGGCAGTGAAGCTTTCCTTGGTCCTCTCATCCTCATCAAATGGCAAGATCTTTCCACTTGCTGTCTTGAAGAACAAAGTCGGGTAGTATTTGACATCGAAATCACTTGGCACATCATTTGCAGTGGCATCCTGGAAAAAGAAAGCAAGAAATGAATTAACCATCAAGAAATATCTTCTTTCAAATGTTTATGTAGATGTAAGGTCGACGAAAAGAAACAATAACAGGAGATAATTAGGAAAACATTTTCGATAGAATCTCATTCGGGCAATTTGAGGGAAGAACAGTACTCATAATCATATATGAAAGATTTTGGTAGAACCCATCTTTTGTACTCTGTTCATAATTATGATTATAAGAAATGCCGCTTTGCAGGGTAAAGAATCTTACAAATTTTGCAATAATAACATCAGAATCTTTTTCGTATGAGACAGCAAGTTCATCCAAAATTGGAGCAAGCTTCTTGCAATGTCCACACCAAGGAGCATAAAACTCGAGCAACACTGCAGAGTAAACAAGGTCATTTTATACATATTTCTAGCATTCCCATACAGCAACCATATGAAGACAACAGTGGCAGATATTAAATAGACACTAATTAAAATATGTATCAAGTTTCAGTTTCTTCTGGAATAAGTCAAAGACATTAACAAACCACTACCTTATTCTATTTTATCGGATAGGAAAATCTATGAAAAACAAAAAATAAATAAACAATAAAAGAGGGAGATAACATGCTCAACCATTTATGCAGCCAGGAAGAATGCAAGGTGTAATAAACTCCCAAGAAACTTTTGGCTATTTTATTAGACCATAAATGACCACAAAATAAAACTTTCAAGCCACTGAGCATAATTAAATGTTGTTAATATCAGAAAACTCCATCATTTTTTATGTGAATCCCCAAAATTTAGTTCATAGAATCAAGGTAAGGTATTTAGAGCTAGTGTTGTTCTCCTCAAGGTAATTGTCTCTCAGAGGTAGTAATGTAGTCAATCAAGAAAATCATATAATAAACAGATAACCCAGAGAAATACTAACAAGAAACAAGACCCAAAAAACAAAAAACAAAAACAAAAACAAAAAGGGGCACACTATGCAACATTCAGCACCACAGTGTGGGTTTACGCACCATTTTTCCCAGACTTGAGAACAACATCCTGGATGCTGTCAGCGACTATCACTTTTACAGGCTCATTGTTAGGCTCAGGAATAGGTTCAGACTTCTTGTATGGTGATACTTTCCCTTCCTGCAGTTATGCGATTCAGTCAATAGGTATCAACAGATATAAGCTTTAATGAACCTTTACTCGAATCAGGATATAAAAAATTAGTGATTATCATAATATCACTTGCAGGCCAAGTGCATTACAAGAAAAAAGCAGAATCCTCACCTTGTATTCCTGCACCCAAGCTATGATATGATCTGGCTCCACATTAGGTTTCAGAAACTTCTTTCCATCATTTGTCTGAATGATGATGAGAGGCACTTGGTCTTCTTTAAGTCCAAAATACTGTTTATAAAAACCAATAGATTAGCATGCCATTTAATCTATATCACAAAAATACTCTGAAAACATGAATAGAATTGCAAAGTGTACATAATCTCAATACAATATCACAAACAAAAGGCTCACTAAGGGAGATAATCCTAACCTGGAATGCACCTTGACTAGCCTCAAGATCGCCAATTAGAAAGCTTATGCCTTCTTTATTATATTTCTCAGCAACTTCACGATATTTTGATTTGAAAGCATCAACACCCTCACTACTGAAGTTCAGAAACAACATGGCCTGCCAAGTTCAAAATTGGTGTTACAAGACTGTCCATCCAACCAATATATTAGAAATGGGAGGAAGAGAAAAAACACTACAAAACTGTCCAAAAAAATCAAAAAAAAACAAAAAAAAAAAAAAAAAAAAAAAAAAACACCAGTCAAGTGGGATCCTTATAGTGCACAACTAAGAGAATTCATAACATAAAACAACTTCAAATTACGAGCAGATTCAAATATGAAACTGTAAAATGAAACCAGACTAAATAATTTCACAAGACGACGTCAAATTTAGGCTTCAAGATTTTGTTTTTCCCTAACAGAAATCATTTAATAGGAAACACAAACATCAAAGACAATGTTAAGACTCTGTAAAAATAAGAATTAAACTCGGGGGACCTTGAAAGGAACATCTTAATAAGTTACAGAAAAACATAAATAAATCTGCATCATCTTAAGAAAAATAAATAAATAAATCTGCATCATCATATTAAGAAAATAAATCCAGCTCAGGATATACCTTCTCATTTGGATGATTAAAAAACTTGATAACAAAAGGGTGATTGCTTGGGTCATTGTTGAATTCAGTAATAACGGGCAAACTAGATTCTTCAACAAACTTCTCTAGAGCGTCCACATGAAAATCCTGCAAGCATGATTACCCAATTATTACATATGCTGCCCATAATACCTCAAAAGCTGCAAAACAAACTGAAATCTAATAATCACAGAGAGCCAATAATACCTCAAAATCAACAAAAAGCTCATCAAATGGCTTGAAGAGTCTAACTACAGGCCCAGACACTGATGATTCACCACGTGGAAGGAGCTTGGCATCCAGAGTGTGACCAAATTCATAATCAGACCGCAATTTCTCAGCTAGAGCTGTGAAGTTATTAAACTCCTCTCCAGAGAACTTCTTGAACACCCCAACCTGCAAAGATATGAAATATGGGTAACTATATCTGCCCGAAAACACTCAAAAAATTAAATAAAATCAGGAAAGAAAAAAAACAAACAGATATTTAATACTTACAACAACAATCTTCTTGTCCCCAACAAGATTAGTTGCATCTTCAACAGTCTTTAATTCAGCAGAAGCTGGACCACTTTGTTTCTTCAAATAATCAACAATACCATCGGCTTCACGAGGGCCCTTGTATTCTTGGATAATCTTCCCACCATTTCTCAGAATCTTGATTGTGGGGAAACCCTTAACCTCATATTCAGAGGCAAGTCCTTTGTTTGCTTCTTCATTGGCATCAACTTTTGCTAGAATGACTGGTGGGTCATTGCTACTCAAAATAGATGCAGCTTTTTCATACTACACCAACATAATTGTTTTTTAAACGTCAGATTAATCAGAATATACGTAGTTTCTCAATTAAAATGCAAAATTGGTGAGAAATTAATATTTAATAGCTAAATTTCGTACCTCCGGAGCAAGCTTCTTGCAGTGGCCACACCTATAAGAAAACATAGTCAAAATTAGGACAACCTATCCACAAAGTATAGAAACAAAGAAACCCAATAGCAAATCACGATCTCCTATCTTCAGCACAGATGAGAACTTTCCACATGCATGTCACTCTGATCATATTAGTTCAGTAAAAAATTTACGAAAAATAAGAAACAAAACGCAAAATCGTGCATTTAGCAATCATTTTATAACCGACAAGTGATATTAGGGCATTTTCAATCACTGCATGCAGATGCAGCAAGCTCTGAAAATTATCAGCTGGAACTTGCATTCAGAAACATGACTGTAAATTCCAACCTCAGTATTAAATAAAAAATTCTACCTCAAAAATAAATTTTGAAAAAAAAAAAGACAAGAAAATGAATTAAGCCAATTTCAGATCCACTCACAAAAGGCCAAACACAACTAAGCAAAACCAGAGCAACTTAGATCGGCAAAAGTAAACAGAATTAACGGCGACAAGAGAGCGAGAGATGCGAATTACATACCAGGGGGCGTAGAACTCGACGACGACGAAGTCGTGCTTGCTCACAGTGTCGGAGAAGTTGGAGCTGTCCAAAGTGAGCACGAACTCCTTCGATTCAGCCTCTTCGGCGCGGATCGTGGTGAAGCACAGAGCGAGGAACAAGCAGAAGCAGAGCGAAACCCCAGACGACGCCATTTCCGTTTGCTCTGTGAAGGCTGTTTTGGTCTATGGAGGTCTCTGAGAGTCACTCTATGGCTGGGGGGAAAGGGGAGTTTTATGGGCTAGGAGGAGGAGAGATAGCGTGAGATCGGGTTAGAGAGAGAACGAGACAAACATGGTAGTCACACGTGACACTCTCTCGGGCTAATTTCAATTTCCGTCCACCCGCGAGTGTGTATTTTGAGCGTACTCGCTCTATATGTTGTCACTGTACACGTGGGTGTGGTTTATTGGTTGGGCATTGTCACAGGGCTGCTAATTTGGAATGTGGCGCGCAAATTTGGCAAGTAAACTCCGCCTTTAATCTTAGTTTGGTATGGTCATAAATGGGTTTGTACCGGCTAAGATTGTCCAATCAGAATACGACACGTCATAGAGTGAGAGATTAGTTTCACGTCTTGACTATTCATTCTGTGGGCTATTTCGCATAGGATTCGAAATAGTTTATTTATTTATTTTAAATATACATTATTTCCTCTTAAAATCCCAGGAAAAAAAAAGAAAAAGAAAAAAAAGGCTTCAAATTTGTAATCGGTATTAAAATAGAAAATAAAAGAAAACGGGTAATCTTCATGTGGCATTAAATTGAGAAATTCAAGAGTAACTTACGAAGAAAAAAAATCTGAAAAGTTATGAAAACAAAAATCTCACTTTAAGTTAAATTTTATTTTTTGGAATATTAGAAGAAAACATATTGGATGTTGCACTTTTCATTTTCAATAGGTTGGCCCGATGGCCCGTGACGAGTACTACAAAGCATTCCTTCCTGCACGCTGCTGGACTTTTCTATTTTTTTTCACTCGGAAAAGTCTCTTCGATTTGGCTTTGGCATTTAACAGAGAAGAAAATTGGATGGCGGCGACTGGTTTGCAGCATTCATTCAATTCAATTACAAATTACAAGTTACAAGTAAGTAATGGTCCGAGATTTTAGGTCGACAGAAAGTCCAAGCCCACATCACAATCCACAGTTCCAAGTTAACAACTACAAACGGCATTACCGACAGTTGATGCATTGCAGCAGGAGTACGCAGAGCGTAGCATTCTTCTAAGACATCAACCAACCAAGAATGAAATAGCTCATTCATTCAAAAAATTTAGTTTGTTTACTACAAAAAAAAACTACACCAAGCTGACATCCGACACATTCCAATAACAGACAAATACAGCCACCTGAAAACCAATAAACTAATAAATGAATTCCTGTACAAATTTGCCAATCTGTTAGAGGGGTTGTGCAGACCTAGATATCAAGTCAAGATGAGATATATTCATCAACTTCCAGGCAACCAAGGGATCAGCTCTACAAAGCAATTCTAATATCCCATGTTTCCTTTTTTCTGTCATGCCTAAAAATTCACTTATATATAGTTCCCTTTTCTTCTTCTGCTAATCTACCATTTCTAAATGTATGCAAATCTCAAACGACGACTGTACATATACAGAACAGCTAGCTACTTCACAGATTACATATCCGACTTGTATGCATAAGATTATACATTTACTATGAGCCTCCGGCATCTTGAAGTCTGACTTGCTCATGAACTTTCAAAGCCTCTGAAGTGAAATTATTCAAGGTTTCAAAAATTGGGACCAATCCTGCTTGCAAACTGTTGGAAGCTGCGTGATTAACCAATTTGATTGCCTCCTTATGCCTTGCTTTTTCCTCGGATAATCTCTTCCTCATCGAATCCAAATCCACCTTCAGATCATCCAGTGGTGAAACTCCACTCTCAGAAGGAGCCTTTGACAGAGCAGTTTTGTCTGTTGATGCATCATGGTCGTGCTCTCTCTTTGCCCTCTCCATACGCAATTTTCTAAGTTGGCTCTCCAAATTCTTGGAGACATACTCGGCTTTGATCCTTTGACGTTGCTCCTCATCCTGCCTTTCCCATAACTGGTGCAAGGTTGAAGCAAAATCATGCATCGCATCTGCCACTCCCTTTTCGGAAATTCTTTCCATTGCTTGGCACCAATCATTGCAGACTACAAAAATGGGTGGAGCTCCCATCCTGCTTGGGGAGAAAGGGGCAACTCCGTCAGGAGTTACTTCAGGTTCCTGATTAATGCACTTTAAAAGCCACCCATTTAAGGACTCCACGTATGATTTTTGGGTGTTAACCCAATTGTTAAAGGAGGTGCACCATTTCAGAAGCTCCATTTCAAGTTCAAGAGTAGCTTTCAAACCGGAATCTCTTCGAAGGCCGGTATTTACTTTAAGAGATCGAATTTTGCTCTCCATAATAGATTGGAACTGTTTCTGGTGGCATTTAAGCATGGATTTCCACATTCTTATCAATCTGCACATAAAAAGACATTCCTAATATCAAGAAAAGAACCCTGGGAAATTAAGAAATCCTTTTAGAACTTTCAACATATAAATTCAATGGGTCTTTCTTCAACTCCCCCTGACAAACCCACTTTTTAGAAAAATTTATCACACAAAAGCGATGGAGAACAAGACCAGTGTAAAGTCCCGGCAAATTTTAGGTATACCATCACCAGTAAGTAATTAACCTATGTTTGGTTGGAGGGAAAAGATAATGTAAAGTCCCTTTAGCATGCCATAATTGATCCCTCAAAATATGGATGGAGTGGTGGAGTACAAACGAGTTCAGAAATCATAAACTCGAGTCACATATATTCTCCCTAACAAGAATAGTGTAAATGTTCCCACCAAAAGCCTTAACGGGTCATGCCTGAGAAAGTGACCCAATCAGTGCACCAGATCCACTTGGGTAACATTAAAGCAGGAATTAATAAGGAAGCATTTACCTAAATTCTAATAGAAAACAGAAGATAACCATAACCATTGAAAACAGAAGACAACCATAACCATTGAGCAGGTGAAGGCCCACTACGAACCACAACCAAATATTCAGTTAACCATTAGGAAACTAATCTCTAACACTACTACCTCATTACCTCATATATACAAGTTCTATACATTAGAAAAACAATAAGATGAAAGAAACAGAGGAAGGACAAATTTCAGACAGGTCATCCAATACTAATTATGAACCACTGCAAATATTACTGGGAACCAAAGTAATGAGCATTTAGTAAAAGAAGTTGAAGCATTTTGTTACCCATGAATCAATTCCGTGACTTGGGGAAGCAATTCTTCATCCCTCAATTTATGTATCCTGCTCGATATGGTATCAACAGCTCTGATACAAACATTAATTTTTGTTAGCAACTTTCGTACAGAAGCCTGGGTGGCATCAATCTTAGCAGACTCAGCTCCATGATAATCTAGACTTTTCAATCTCTTGCACTTCTTTTCATAGTCAACCCGTAGCTTTTCTTCGTCCTGAAATTAGTACAACACCAATACATAAACAAAGGTCAATAGAAGCAAGCACCAAGGCACTTGAAGAATTAACAATTTGAATGGATGCCAATAGAAAAAAAATTGAGAGTCAGAATGCCCAAATTATATAAAGGAATTCAAAGATAGACTCGGTAAGAATTCAAATAAAGTGCAAATATAAAGGAATTCAAAGATTTCTAATAACACTGTAAAATTCGAAGTTCAGGTTCTCAATGGGTGAAAATGCATTCTAGTTGTTAAATCTGAGAATATCAAAGATTTCTAATAACACTGTAAAATTCGAAGTTCAGGTTCTCAATGGGTGAAAATGCATTCTAGTTGTTAAATCTGAGAATATCAACTACTCCGTTGCCACCTGCTACAATGAAACTACTTGATGATTATCTGTGACTATCAAGGATTTAAGTATCATCATAGTAGAAAAAATAAGTTGCACGTCATCCATGATTTTTTTACACTTTTTACCTTAACTTCCTTGTATAACTTTTTCTCCCATGCATAAAGTTTCTCCAAAGTTGATGAGAGGTTTCCAGACTTCTTGTTGAAATCTTTGCCAGGTTCTCCCTGGTATGCTTTTGCCATTTTCATTGTCTTAGAAGTTAGTCTTACTGGTTGCCCGGATGGAGGTTGTGACGACAACATGGAAGGTGCTACAAGGTACAGGATCCTGGAAAAGATCACTGCATAGAGATGCACAAGTTTTAATGAAACAGTAAGAACAATGCTTCTTTCAAGATCACAATAAAGAATCACTAGACAATAATAGGATTTGATTATCGATCCCACAAGTATTGTCCAGCTGAAACAATGAGATTAATATTTTATATTTCAAACTAATATTCAGATTAAATTGGACTTGGTTTAACTTTTTGGTTTAGGATTTAGGGTTCAATGAGAAGTTGAAACTGCAAAAAAATAGAGAAATCTAATCACCTGAGGGATGATATTTTACAGACTTTCTTGTTTTCGTCCCTCTCTATCTATAATCAACATATTTAATAATAAAATAAATAAATAACAACCATCACACTATAAGCTCCGAGGACGCATAAAGACATCTGAAGCAGAGTAGTTACAAATTCAAGCATGGGAGAAATTATGCCCTCGTTACAATGAATCTGGCGCAGTGCAATGCAGGGACAGTACATAACTTACACTCTCAACAACAGAAACAAAAATGTCATGGCGTAAATGATGTTGGAAGCAATCACTAAACAAGAAGATGCATGACAAAACACCAGGAAACTAAAGCTTAGACTCCTACCTTTGAGTGCCGCGCCTCTAGGCTGATAAGGTAACTTGCCCACCTCAAGCAACATGGCAACCTCTTTCCCATAACTAGAGGCAGTCTCGAACTCATCCCTGATCTCCTTTACAACCTCTTGAAGATCCCTTGTACCGTGGACTGACAATGTGGTTAAGCTACTCCCTTTAGAAGATCCAACACCCAATATCGATGGCGCTTCAAACTCAAAACTCACTCTTTTTTTCTTGGCACCCTCCTCTTCAGAGTTTTTCGATCCAATTGTATCTGGACTGCTCTTTATCTCCTTCCCTTGGACAGATTGTGAACTCTCACTGCTATGCAATGGCACTGTCCCTGAACTCCTCTCACTGCTATGCAATGGCACCGTCCCTGAACTCCCCTCACTGCTATGCAATGGCACTGTCCCTGAACTCCCCTCACTGCTTGGCTGCTGCAATCGCACACCCCTTGAAGTCCCTTCACCCGAATTCCGATTCCTACTCAAATAACCATCCTCATTTGCCTTCCTCTTCTCCTTGTGAACCTCTTTCATTACTTCTTGCTCTGTCTCATCTTCCAACTCCGGAATTCCCTCTCTCTCCCTCACCTCCTTCGAGTCCGGACTACTTGTGGTGGACCCATACCCGTATCTAGCCCTCGGATTGTAACCCAGATAACCACTATTATCAAAAGAATCAAACACATTCAGGAAATCCCAAGTGGAGGTCTTCGGAGGTGAAGGCGGTGCCGGAGGAGGATCCGACGGCGGCGGGCTCGGAGGCCGCCGATTGTACGGATACTCACTTGTGATGGGTGACCCCACTGGGTACCCAAAAAACCCACCACCTCCATACGGCTGATAACCCGAATAACCCGGATAAGGATCCGGGTACGGACCATTTTGGGCCGGATATCTCCCCGGCTCTTCATAAGACACCGTCTGCATCGGTGTCTCAGACCTTCTCATGTAATACATATGCGAAGTCGGAGGGTAACCATACGAAGAAGAAGAAGGTACCTCTTGTTCTGGGCTCTCCTCTATGTGAATGTGACCCGAAGGCGAGTCCAAGTCAGAATCCGAGCCGGACCCAGATGACAAATGCAAGTGCGAGTCTTCAATGTCCTCCTCCTTCGGCGAATCGACCGAAACAGAGTGCGAAATCGAGGTAGACGACGACGAGTGTTTGTCGTTTTTGTGAGGGTGCCTTCTGGGCTTGCCTTCGTCGGAGGGCAACGTGAGAACGGGAGATCCCGGCGGCGAAGAAGACCCGCCGGCGCCGGAGATTATGAGGTCTTCGTCAACGAACTTGCAGAGGGCGTCGCCGATGTGCTTAAGGGAGTGGAAATAGGAGAGGTGGGCTGCGGCGAGAGCGTAGCGGGTATCCGACGCCGTTTTGATGAAGTCCTTGCGCTCTCTGCAGAAAGTGACTAGCGGCAAGTTGTCGACCTTGGAGCCACCGCAGCCCATATCATCCGGCCAATAACCCCTGAAGACAACCCAAAATTACAAGCCAATGCCACTCACCACCACCACCACCATCTCTGCGTTTCACGGCGGTTCTTCTCCTCATGGTGTCCTCCACGCCTGTCCGTACAAACGAAGCATTGTGAACAACCGCAGATCCAAAGATGATCTAACCGGAACACAAAGAGAAAGCAAAAACGAATTCAGACCCAAATCAGAATTTGAGATTTAACGGAAAACCCTACAGCAGAAAGTGAACACTACGACTAAGCACGCAGAGAAAAAATACAGACATGCATATGCGACATATACATACATACATACATAGATATACAGGGCAGGGGCCTATAGATGCACAGAGACGGGTCACATGAGAAATAAATTAAATGGGTAATGTAGGAAATTAAATAGAGAGTGAGATTTGGTGCATGAAAATGAGTGATGTAGAGGATGAATCAAATCTGACCGTTGAGATCGATGGGGATGAGTAAAGACTGTCCATGCGAGGAGGGACAGAGGCCTCAGAGAGTCTCTGAGAGGAGGAAGAGAAAGGTGTGTGCAGAGATGCAAAGAGATTTTTCAATTTAATTTTATGCGATATTGTAATAAATTATATGAAAACAAAAAATTGGGGCATGGAAATGCGTGAAGATGGGAGCTGGGTTTTGCTTCTTCTCGTTTGTTTGAAACTTGGGAGTTTTGTTTATTCAGAAAATTTCAGACTTTGAGAGAGAGAGAGAGGAAGCGATGAGAGAGAGAGAGTGAGAAGAAGGGACGTGGAACCCGCCACTGGAAACAGGCCTCGTCATTATTACCATTTTCAGCCGCATTTCTGACTCCTGTACCTGTTCTGCTTTTACCGCGGAGAAAGTGGGTAAATTCTTCCTCCCTTTGTTCTCTGTCAAAATTACCACTCTCTTTCTTTATGTGGATTTTTATTAGCGCCTCTTTTTAGTTGATAAATATATTTTATAACTCGTGGTGAGCTTAGTATATTATCGTCATTCTTAATAGAAAATGTGTGGAAAAAAAAAATCACAGCTCACCATTAACTCATACTGAGCGGAGTTAAAGAAGATAGTAAATGATAAGAGTTTGTAAATTGTATTTCTGAGTAGTTAATTGCACGTACTCACAAATAAAATAAAATAATATAAATATAGTAAATGATTCTTTTCCTTTTTGTTAGCATGGAGGGAATGAAACCATTAATCTTATGTTATGGCATGTTTACTTATAGGGAATAGGGAAGGTTGGGGATCAGTATTGTAATCCTTCATATTCTAACTTCTCATACGTTATAAATACGCAGGTATTATAGGAATTACTATGATTCCTAATTTACACATACAGAATCAAAACATATATAAATTTCATGTCACGATTCATAATCCAATGCTTGAACAATTAAGAATTAGATTGATTATGAGGAACATCTAATCCAATTCCAATTCAATATGTTCTTTATTTTTAACTTTCTCGATTTAAATTTGGAATTTTCAGGAAGACAAGTCAATGGTAGAATTAATCGAAATCCAAGACCAGCTTCTGATGAAACAAGTCTAGTTTTCACACAAATCTTTTGTTTTTCCATTGGAATGTGAATTCAAATCCATATGGTTTTCTTCTCTTCATTTTTTTCCTCTATTTTGAATGGACATAGACTCTGACCTTCTTGAAGGCGCATTGCATTTATTTAAAGTTTTCGGGTGAGAACTGGTTTGGTTATAACGTAATGGAATTTGTCACCGTTTGGTTTGGTGAGCAGAATCATTGTAATCATTTGGGGGGGCCTTACCCCTTTTCCACCTGAACATGTTCAAAAGTAGCTACAATCTAAAAAAGTAAGACACACGCTAATTCGCCATTAATTTTGTTTTTAGCTATAACCTAAACTCGAACTAACCCTACAAATACGGATAATCAAGCGTTCAGCAAAAACAGTGTGTAGTCGTTGCACAAACAATAGTGCATGTATTGTGTCCAGAGTATGTCTTTCATAAAATTAGTCACACAATTAGCGTGGCCGAAGTTAAATATGAAAAAGAAGTTTAAAAAATATTTGACTTTTTATTTAGACTGAAACATTTCGTCTGACAGATAAATCACATTTTGATGCGTATACATCCAAATAGCATTCTCAAACTTTTTGGCAAAATCAGAAAAGTGGAGTTCTAGAAATGAAGATTGTTGGTTGGTATGAAAAGGGACATGGGATTAAAAGCCTAAAAGGGAGCTGTTGTTAAGTATAAGTAGGGGCCATGGATAGAAATTTTTAAATAAAAAATATATATATATAGATGAACTATTGTCGTCTCCGGTTTTACTATTTTTGTTCCATCCAAACACAAAATTGTTTTTATTTTAATTAAAGAGTTGGGCTGTTTCTGACCAGCTACTTTGGGCTACCCCTTCGAGGAAAAAGACGTCAGCTCATGGGCCCACTAAACATAGGTCCATTGTAATACGAAACACCCACCACACGATTGGTTGACTGCCAAACACCCACCGCACGATTTGTTGACTTTTGTCCTCTGTAGGCCCGCTACGAGGAAGGTGGACTTGGATAGATGAACCCCACTTCGTTTTATTGCCATGGTCCACGCGTCCGTGACCAGATTCCCGCCTGAAATGTAGGACATTTTGGTCATTCTCTACATGGTTATCCTCTTCCCGCCGTCCCTTCTAATCGAATTCAAGGCAATAGAAATTCCTGAGGTTAAACAAGTTTTTGGTTGTGATTTGAAGCCAATTAAAGTAAATTTACAAAATTGTCCTTGTATTGAAATCAACGTAAAATAACGTGACAATAAAAAGTCATTTTAGAAAGAAAAAATATATATTATTAAATTTAAAGAATTAATTAACAACAACGAAACTGACTTACGAACAAGCATCTAAAGCGGTAATAAAATCCAATAAATCAAACGTCTCTTTTTGACAATACGTATTGCCCAACCATATACAACCATAACATTTGACTTCAAATCCAAAAAAATATATCCTATGGCTTTTATGTATTACCATCACTATCATAGTTTGTTTAACACTAATAATAACACAATGACTATATTATAAACCAGATTTCATTGTTTACTTTATTAGGAATTGAATACAAAACCTGAACAAGGGACTCGAGTACTTGAAAGTACATACGCTTCGATAAAGACAAAACAACCGACCGTCTTCATCATTAACCTTTTTTTTTAAAAAAAAAATCTTCATTATTAATCTTATGTCGGCAAATAAAAGAAAGGAAACTATTTATCTCTCCTCTATTATATTATATATAACAATAATTTTTATCTCTCCTCTATTATATTATATGTAACATATACAATTTGCAATAAACAACTTATAATTTAAGTTATAGTTTCCTCTAAAACAAATTAGACACGACTAAATTATAAATATTTAGCTATAAATATGTAATTATTGAATACTTAAGTATTTTATATACTTATATTTTCTACTTCGGTCATCTTAACTTTATAATTTTAGCTCCGATTCACTAATGTTATAATATTATATTCTAAATTTAAGAAGTTTTTTAATATTAACGATGATCGCGTTATATTATAACAAATAAATTAATAACAACATTTGACGGTAAGACCAGACCACAGTCTTCTCCTAAACGACGTGAACTCACTTAAAATGTGGGACCTATACCTTGACTTTGCTGTGGCCGTGGGGTCGCCGGGGAGACCTTGGTCCACCGCCGTCTGATCGGGAAACGACATGCACATAGCAAACACTAAATACGATGGATCCCACCCGACCTAAGCATGTGCGCCACGTGGGATCATGTCAGGCTGACACCAACATACCGGGTGATAGAAGACCGATATTTTCCAATTGGGAACTTCTGAATTCACATGGCTTGAAGATCTCTAGGTCATACTTGCTTGCTTGCTCCCCCTATAAAACATTTCATTTCAAAAGATGCATTTTGCCTTCATAATTTAATTTCTATTTTTATATGATTTTATTTTACTTTTTGGTCTTAAATTATTATCATCCTTATTATTTTAATTGTGGGTTTTGCTTTTTCTTATGATGAAAGTGAAAATTGCTTGCGCATGCAAAATGCATTCGTTGTTGCATCATCACACGTACAAACTGAATTTTTGAAACAATAATACTAGACACTAACTTTTAGATACTAATTAATTTGACGATTTCTTATTTACCGTGAATAATAAAAATAAATGAAACACTGCTACATAAATTAGTAAAGCACTCGGGGTTTGCATGACTTGTCAAATTAATATTAGAATAAATTCATTGCGCATGGATTGTCACATCATTGTACGTTGTGGTTGAGTTATTTGTCAACACCAAACCGCGTTGGATTACGTAGCTTTCCGCAAAACTCAGCTACAAATTATTGATTAGTCCCATGATTGAATTGAAAATTAATTGTTGTCTTACTTAATACATATTTCACACTTCATTAGGACAAAACAAACCTACTAACCTTGAAGTTGGTTTATCAATATAATTAGTCTATTTTGAAAGTTGGGAATGGATGAGAAGCATCCTTTAGAGTAGTACATATATACCTAATCTAGGCCATCTTCTACCATGCACTAAAATCATGAAGCTTCAATCAAAAGTTTTGCATGTTGACAGGAAGTGATAACGAAACTTCAATCAAAAGCTTTGCATGGATATTATTATCACGTGTTATTATCATTTTACTCATACGTGTATTTATTCATCAATATAAATTCATGATATATTAATCATGTCGTAAACACTACGGTGCGACCATTACACTAAAAAAAATATCTCATATATATGTACGAAATTATAGGTGGCACAACAAATCATCACACAATAGCTATCCCAAATGAATTTTTGATTGCCTTTCTTTTCCCCGTGATAGAAGGATAGAATTGATTCAAACACTGTTTCAATTACTTTGTGAATTTTCGATACGAACATCTGGAAAGAATTAGAATTTATAAAAGCACAAGAAACTGGTTAAAAGAAAACCATCTTTTGAAATTGTCAAACTTACCAAAAAGTTGTCTTTTCATTCATTTGAAAGTTATTCTTTTCTATGCCATGAAAAGCTACTTTTAAATTAACGAACAGCCCATCTTCGAGTTTAAATTGCAAATTTGAGAAAGATGAGAGCTCTCTCTCTCTCTCTCTCTCATGACTAGCCAACAGAGTAAAATTATCCAACTATATAGAGTTTGCTTGCTTTTAGGGTTTGATTTTGAAGTAGCTGGTAGCTAGGGTAGGGTTTCACTTTTTTTGGGTCCATATGAAAAAGGCAGAATTAGATCGCACGAGCCCCATAAAGGAAAAACAAACAAAGGCTTTATCAGAAAAGGCTGATACTCAACCAGGACCAGAATAACTTTACTCAATGGCTCCATTGAGAACAATCATTATGGCAAGACCCTATCTGCCACCCAATTGGCAGCAAATTGCAGAGCTGTATGAGTGGTTTCTTTAACATCTTTACCACTTTTTGGCCAGGGAAAGTTCACTCTCTTTACCCTAAACGCAAAACCCATTGTTTACATGTTAGGCCATGTTGCAAACAACTCCGTAGTGATTTGGGGTAATTGTTCTCTAAAACAACACATGTTAGGTCATGTTTGGTTTACGAAAATTAATTGATAGGAAATCAATAGTCATATATAGTTTCCTATGTGAAGGGAAATCAAAGATCCATTTTCTATGTTTGGTAACGTTAGGAAAATAACTAGGAAATATCATTTTATTTCATTTCCCCAGATTTAGTTAGGGATTGGAAATGCATTTTGTTTAGTTTCCCAATTATATCCCTAAATCATAAATCTGCATTAAAAATTGTAATTAATGTTTGCATTGGCATTTTAATTGTTAATAGTAGCAAATTGAGCATAAAAAGTTGTAATTAATGGTTGCCTCGGTTTTCCGTGAGGAGAGAAAATTGAAACCTAAGGTGGGTGGAGGATTTCATTTTCCCCCGTATTTTCTCATGAGACGGGAAATCATTTTCCATGTTTGGACCACATATGGGAAAGTAAATATTTTTTGGAAATCATTTTCCATGTTTGGACCAAATATAGGAAAGTAAATAGTTTCTGGAAATCATTTTTCATGTCTGGACTTACTAAACATGGGAAAGTAAATAGTTTCTCATTTTCAAATCCTTTTTTCCATGAATCAAAAGCAACCTAAATTCTAATTTTTTTATATATTTTTTTTTGGGTCTGAATCAACCTAAATTCTATGAATAGAAGAAACCCTTTATAAAAATAAAATAAAAATTCAATTTAGGGTTTGAGGAGGTGGTGTTTGTCTTGGCATTGTTTGTTTGAAGCATATTAGTTGTAACTTGTAACATAAATTTTGTAAGAAATTTATGTGGTGAGCACTACATAGAAAATTGGGATCATATGGTTCACACAAAAATAATAATAAGTCACACTTGGGAAAACACAAACTTCGAGTTGGTCAATACCAAATGTTAGTAAAATTTGTTAATAATAACATGCCATGATCCTATGCAACAATGCCAAATTTGTTAATAAAACATTAATTTAAAATTAGTATGCATAGAATACATGAACCCACTATTTAGATCTTAGCAACATGCCATTTTCTACACAATATGGCTATGGATTCTGTTGTTGTCAGACTTTTAATATGAAAATTTTAATTACATGTTTATATAAAAATCAACCTAATCAAGTTCAAATTGTCATTCTGATTTACATGTCTAGTATGAGAACATTTTCACTTTATCTCCTACAATATATTTATGCATTTTCTTGCAAGCACTTGCAATACATTAATGTCATCATCATCATTTAAACCCTGGAAGTCTAACTCCAACCTCACTTGAATAGAATCTTTTCTTGTAGGTTTCAACAAAAAATATTTGGTTGGTTGGTTGGTTGGTTGAAGGTTTGGGTGAGACGAAAAATACAATCTTTTCTCATCTCACTGCCCCTTTGAAAACCCTTAAAGCTAAAACCTCCAAACTTCTCTATTAAATCTACATGGTGAAGCTTGAATAATAGACAGGGAAAAAAAGAGAGGTGAGAATCAAGGTAAAAACTAGAGAAAGACAAGTGAGATTATTCAAGCTACGCTAGAATAGATAGAAACATGCCCAGTTTTAACTGGACCGCGGCCCAGATCCATTAACTAATAGATCTGTTGATCCCCAAAAAAGAAAGAGAGAGAAGAAAAAGCAGGGAGTATTCCCTCTGCTTTACATGTTAGATTTAGGGATTTCCATAGAAGAAGGTAGAGAGGAAGCAAGAAGGAAAATAGCTGTATATTCTGTATTTCAGATCTTGATTAATAGGAATTATAAAAGCTTAGCTTTAGTACAGTACTTATCTCCTAACATCACGTTAACAGACTTAACAAATACAGCTAACTCTCACTAACAGACTTAACAGAGAGCACGTGAGCTGCACATGATGACTTAACAATTTCTTAACTGAAACACATGGTTAACATTTTCCCTACCCAGCTGAACTCCTCAGTCTAAGATGAAGACAGTGTTGTAAGAAAATGGGACTGTGTAACCCCTTTGTAAAAACATCTGCTATTTGTTCTTCAGTAGGTATATACTGGACAATAAGATCCTTTCTTTGTACCTTCTCTCTCACAAAGTGAAAGTCTATATCCAAATGCTTAATTCGAGAATGGTAAACTGGGTTTGAGCTTAAAGCCAGTGCTGATAAGTTGTCACAATACATAAGAGGAGCATTTGGCAGAAACATCTTCAGATCCAAGAGAACCTGTCGAATCCATGACAAGTCAGCAGCTGTGTTTGCTAAGGCCCTGTATTCTGCCTCTGTTGAACTCCTAGACACAGAACCTTGCTTCTTGGACTGCCAGGAGATAGGATTACTACCCAAGAATACCACAGATCCGGTTGTAGATCTTCTAGTATTGATATCCCCTGCCCAATCTGCATCACTGTATGCATTAAGCTGCCAAGGACCCTTTGTAAAAATGATTCCATATTCTAATGTACCCTGTACATATCTGAGAATACGCTTCACCAAAAAATAGTGAACCTCAGTAGGATTATTCATATATTGACACACATGATTCACAGCATAGGCCAGATCAGGTCTTGTAAATGTTAGATACTGTAAAGCACCTACTAGACTGCGAAACATAGTGGGATCTGCCAAGGGCTCACCATCAGTCTGTAACACTTGAGTGTGTGGCTTACAAGGTGTTGCACAAGCTCTACATGAACTCATGCCAGCTTTATGTAGTAGATCCTTGGCATACTTAGTTTGACTCACAAATATGTCACCAGAGGAATTATAGGAAATCTGCAGACCTAAGAAAAAGGTGAGCTGCCCCATATCTTTCATTTCAAACACCTCACTTAAGTCTGTAACCACTCTTTGAATCAACTGATCACTAGAACCTGTTATAATGATATCATCAACATATAGGAGTAGAATGATAATATCATTCCCAGTATGCTGCACAAATAGACTTGGATCTGAATGTGAAGATTTAAAGCCAAGAGTAGGTAAGTAACCTGTGAATTTGGCATTCCATGCCCTTGGAGCCTGTTTAAGACCATACAAAGATTTTTTCAGTTTACATACAAACTGTGGATGAGTAGAATCTTCAAAACCAAGAGGCTGTTTCATAAAAACTTCTTCTTCAAGATCGCCATGTAGGAAAGCGTTCTTGACATCAAGTTGTCGTAGTTTCCACTGGTTCATAGCAGCTATGCTTAATACTAACCTCACTGTTGTGTGTCTAACAACAGGACTGAAGGTTTCCCCAAAGTCAAAACCAGGCTCTTGACTGAACCCCTGAGCAACAAGTCTAGCCTTATATCTACCCACTGTACCATCTGGATTTCTCTTTATTTTATAAACCCACTTACTGCCAATAATATTTTTATCACCTGGATTAGGAACTAAAAACCATGTGCCTTGCATATGAAGAGCATCAATCTCCTCTTTCATAGCCTGCCTCCACTCAGAAGAAAACGAGGCCACCTTAAAACTAGAAGGCTCATCTAATTCAGGAATAGCATGAAGACATGTAAAATAACCTTTAATCTGGAAACTGTTTGTTTTGAACTATACCATTTTTGGCCCGAGTAATCATGGAATGATTATTGATAGGAAATAAAGAAACCGATGAGTCTTGAGTACTAACAGAAGAAGAGGAAGCATTAGAAATTGATTTGTCCTGAGTGCTAACAGAAGAAGAGGAAGCATCAGAGACCTCAAACGGAAACATAACCTGTAATTGTTGTTCATTCAACACAGGTATAGAACCTGTAGAAGCCACCAGAATATCATCCAACGATGCTTGATGTTGGATGGGAGATAAAGACTCATGAGTAGATGAGATGGACTGAGACTGAGAAGTAGATACTTGTGTATCAGAGGCTAGAGACGATGGATCTTGAGCATTAAGAGAAGCTTGATAAGGCCTTGAAGGCAGAGAAATAATGACAGGAGCCACTGATGCAGTAGAAGAAAACTGAGAAGACTGCCCACATATACCAGGATTAATTTGCTTAAAAGGAAATATAGCTTCATCATGAAGAACATGCCTTGAGATTACACATTTTGCAGTAATTCGATTGTAGCAAATAACTCCCTTGTAACCAGGTGAATATCCCAAGAACACGCACTGAGTGGTTCGCAGTTGTAACTTATGCACATTATAATGTCTCAGATACGGATATACCGCAGTACCAAATATTCTCAAAGAAGCAAGATCAGGATGATGGCCAAATAAACGAAAATAAGGAGACTGATTATGTAAAACATAGCTGGGCATTCGATTTATAAGATACACAGCATGAGCAGTGGAATGAAACCAAAATTGACCTGGCAAGGCTGCTGCAGTTAACAGGGTAATGGTTGATTCAATAATATGCCTATTCTTCCGCTCTGCCAGTCCATTCTGCTGCGGAGTATAAGGGCAGGACAAACGACGCACAATTCCCTTAGAAGCCAAAAAATCTGTAAAAACCTTGCTAAGAAACTCACCACCACCATCACTCTGAAAACACTTAATAGCAGCACTGAATTGATTTTGTATCAAAGCATGAAACTGCAGGAATTTGGAGAAAACTTCTGATTTATTGAAAAGGGGATAAACCCACAAATATCCGGTACATTCATCAAGGAAGGAAACAAAATATCTGTAACCCTCAACAGATTTGTAATGAGAAGGTCCCCATACGTCGCTATGAACTGTATGAAAAGGAATTTCAGACCTACTATGTCTAATAGGAAATGGAAGCCGATGCATCTTCCCTTGAAGACAAGCTGAACACAAGGGATTCGAATTCGAATTTGAAGAGTCATTTGCACACTGCAAACCAGAGGCTTTAAGCATTGATTGCACCACTTCATTCGTTGGATGGCCAAGTTTGTGATGCCAAATGGAAGACTTAACATGTTGACCAAGCAAAGCTACTTTCTTGGACAAGCAATGAGAGGATACAGCAGAGGGAATTGGATACAATCCATTGTTACTCCGACCTTTTAGGAGGATTGTCTTGGTGACTCGATCCTGTATCACAAAACCAGAAGCATCAAAGCTGATAACACAATTATTATCTTTGCACAGCTGATGCACAGACAAAAGATTAGCAGATAACTGTGGAACATGAAATACTGATGGCAGTTTAAGAGAAGTAGAAGCACAGGCAATGGCAGTAGTACCAATGTGTTTAATTTTCAAACCTTCTCCATTACCAACAATCACTTGCTCTGTAGATTCACAAGGAGCAACATGATTTAATGAGGAAATATCAGACACCATGTGATGAGACGCCCCACTATCTGCAATCCAGACTTGATCAGGCACATAGGAAGTTTGGGCAGTCATAGCAGAAAGGTTGGAAGGAGGAGCTTGACCCTGATAGACATAGTTGGATCTATGGAAACAATCCAAGGCTCCATGACCCTTCTTACCACAGATTTGACATTCAATAACCTGATTCCCATGCCTAGAAGAGCTTGCCTCATGGCGAAAATAACAATTAGCAGCCGTGTGACCCCGTTTGCTACATATCTGACATTCAGGAACAACTGCAGATTTCTGAGAAGAATTGGAACCAAATCGATTTCCTGAGAAAGATGAAGGAGAGGCTCTGCTTTGAAATCTACCTCTTCCAGAACCAGAATGATTAGGAAAACCAGAAAAACCTCCGTGCTGGCTATTGCCAATACCGTGATGTTGATGATCGTTAAAACGACTAAAACCACCATTGTTACCAAGAACAGGTCTTGAACCAAAATTGCGATCTAATGAAGGCAGAACAGACCGATCATAGGACCCCATATAGGCAACTGGTAAAGAAGATGGAGTAGGTAATAAACCCATACCAGAATTAGAAAGGCCCATAGCATTCACAGAAGCATATGACGAAGACGACGGAGTAACAAACATCGCAGAGTGAGGAACCAATCGAGCTTCTGCAGTTTGCTCTGCAGCTAGCAATTGAGCGCGAAAATCCTTCAAGGAAATTGGAGTATCCCTTGCAATCAAAACCGTCTTGATCATGTCATATTCCTGAGGGAGACCATTAAGAGTAGCAATCATAAAGTCATCGTCAGACACCTTAACCCCAGCTTGAACTAATTGGTCACGGACCGTTTTCAAACGCAAGAGAAAGCGCTCGATCGAGTCTCCACCCTTCTGGGCCGTCTGTAATTCAGTCTTCAAATGATTGATTCGTGCCCTAGAAATCGACACATAACGATCAGAAAGACTTAGCCAGGCGTCACGAGCAGTCTTGGTGCCAATAACATACTCTATGGCCTCATCAGAGAGAGTGGCAATGAGCAAACTGAGTAAAGCCTTATCTGTGCGAATCCAATCCTTGTAAGCAGCAGTAACTTCAGATGTAACACCCACCTCATCAACAATAGCAAAGCGAGGAGGAGCAATATCAGTTCCGTCAAAATGCCCAAAAAGATCATAACCCTGAAGAACGAATTCCAATTGAAAACTCCACTTGAGAAAATTATCGTCCTTGTGACGAAGAGTAATCATCCCAAGCAAACCGTCAATTTTGACTGAAGGGGAAGAGGAAGAAGTCGCCATTGATGAACAGAAATTAGAGAAAAAACAGAAAAGAGGAAAGAACAATAGAGACAGAGCAAGAGAAGAGCACAACGAAGAGATAGTTCAGAAAAATCGGAAGCGGATCGAAAGTGTCAAGCCACGATGGGCTCTGATACCATCTTAACAAGAAGAAGAGGATGAGATTTAGGGATTTCCATAGAAGAAGGTAGAGAGGAAGCAAGAAGGAAAATAGCTGTATATTCTGTATTTCAGATCTTGATTAATGGAATTATAAAAGCTCAGCTTTAGTACAGTACTTATCTCCTAACATCACGCTAACAGACTTAACAAATACAGCTAACTCTCACTAACAGACTTAACAGAGAGCACGTGAGCTGCACATGATGACTTAACAATTTCTTAACTGAAACACATGGTTAACAAGTGTTACAAAAATGTCAGGTAAAATAACTTAGCCACAAATGGATTAAGAAATGCAAATACGTTTTTCTTGGTGCTGAATAGAGAATAATGACAGGTTTGTAGCAGAGCAGGTGAAAACCAATGGGACAAAAGAATCAGCTCCTGAGCTGATCATCGGAATTCAATTTATCAGTCAGAAATCCAACATTTTTCAATTGTATTACCATGGAAGTTCAGCCGCCCGGTCACACTTGTTTCATTTGGGTTCTTCAGTAATGCAGGAATTTCAATAACCATTTTTCAGTCAAAAGGGGAGACACATAATCTTTTGATACTCTCAAAAGCTGAACTATCTCTGATGTGACCAAAATTGAAGTATACACATGAAGAACCTTACATATATATTGTTTGATATTGTAAGATAAACCCCACATATAGGCAACCAATGCAACTCTCATTGATAAAAAAGAAAAAGCAACAACAGCAGAAACCCAAAATTCAGTTTCCAACCAACGATGTCAAAAGTGCCAAAACCCCAATCACGATTATAATGTTCAGGAAATAATTAGACTGCAGAGGCTTATCTGGGCTTCCACCAACAGCTTGATACTCTGCCCGAATCTTCTGCTTCATATTCTCTGACAGCTCTCTCTGCAATTCACATAGGTAATACTATTGAATTTATTCCTTTCTCCTTCATTTAAGACTTCCAACTATTATATGTGAGTATTGAAAATAGCTTCATCTTGTATTATTAAAAGAGACGGCACTAGAAAACATGATACTTGCTTTTTAATCCTGCAGAAAACCATAAAAAGTAAAGAGCATGAAAATTTTGTATGAAGACATTTCCCCCCAGAGTTGTCCTCTATCCTCACAGATGCAAGGGATTTGTTAAAATTATTGACAAAAAGAATATTGATTACTGAAGTATGAGTTTTCCATGTTTACAACCTTGCCAGACGAGTATTTGGCTGCCACAAACTTTTCTGGTACTGGCTGTGAAGGACCATCATCGATCACAATACCCTGAGCATCAAATTTAATGAACAGTCTAAGGTTAATAAGCAAAATAATAGTAAAGGAACAAGTGTTCTGTGTCTGTCGGTAAACGTATTTCTTGGTGAATGGCAAGAGCCAGATAGGCCAACTCCAGAGTGCCAGATTCTAGTTCCTTAAATCAGTTGCAAATAACCATGCCAGATTTTTTCTCTTTTACACAAACTGAATTGGGCATAAATTTTTCATAGAGTAAGCATTAACATGCATTCATGTGGCATTGTTAAATCCATAGCAAAAATAACATAGGCAAGCATTGAAGGCTGGCAAACCTCTGGAGGATCAAATTTGGCTCCCAGGTTGCTGAGTTTAGCATGAGCTTCAGCATAATCCTTGAAGAACGCTTCTTGGTCTTCAGCATATTTCTCAGCATATACCTGCAAATAATTATGAAAATTTCCAGGTAACAAAGAATCCATTTAAAACAACTTGACAATCCTTTTTGTTTTGTTTTACCTTGAATGCTGGATCTTCGAAAAGAACACCATCAGTTGGCAACACCAGAAGATCTTCATCCTTCTTTTCCTTGATATCCTGTAGAGGACATCCACAATAAGCAAAAGGAAAACCTTGTACCAAATCCCTCCAGCCTCCTATTGGAGTATGAGCATTCACACACAAATCAGGATAGTATTCAAATACCGTGAAGTAGGAATTATCAAACTTCAACCATTGTGCTGTCCAAGACTGTCCTCCTGGTGCCCCTGGCCCATCTTTCTGCCATGAAAATGATGCTAGTTAACTTTCTAGCTATTGTATTAAAATTACTCTTCCTATCAGTGCTGTAGTTATCATAGCTGCCCTGACTAAGTAACTGCAATGCTAACAGATAAAATAATTCACATTATAAAAAAACCTTAATCAACTCCATATGCTCATAATCGGGTAGTAAATCTCAAAACCTCAAATAGGAAATGGAAAGGAAAATATCTTACTAAAGCCACTTAAACAGAGAAGCATTTTTTTCTTTTGGAGTGGCTTCAGTGAGTATGAGATGCTGATTTAATACCGTGTACTTTGTCTCTGGCTTGCCCCAACCACTGCGATCAGGTCTGGACCTCCCCAGAGTGTGTGCCCCTGATAATGCAACTATTTCCTACAGATCAAACAGCTTCATAAGTAAACATCACATGCAGATCATGGCGTCGAGAAACCTAGTATACAGCACTCAAATTCACCTTGTCATTTAACCCCATTCTGTAGAAAACCTCACGCAGATGATCAGCAGGTGAAGGAGGGCCAGCAGCTAAACAAACCCAGATAAATGTTTCAATATGAATTGAGAAAATTGAAGCAAAAGGGTATACATAACAGAGTTCACCAAAATAATTCCAAATTCCATGTTTATCTATTATACACATATCAAAATATACACGCTTTACTTACAAGGAAGCCTCCCTTCTTCTGGACACTGCTCAGGTGCCGAAACATCAACTCTCCCATACTTCATAGGAATCTTTGGTCCCCCAGCCTCCTGAAAATCCAAAGGGGTTTGGTCAGTGAAATGAACTTATATAAATTCACAAACTTCGACTTATATGAATGTTAAAGAAGAGATTATATTAACCTCAACAGCAGTAGCACTGGCCAATTGGAACAAGTCTGCGTATGTTACATCAGAGTACTTGTCTTTTAAAGGCTGAATGAGCTTCAATGCATTGACAAGACCTAAAATAGTGAAATGGAAGCTCATTGAACTGAGAGCAAACAAAGATTATAAGCTTAATTGAACAATTATTAGCAATTGGGTTTGGTTAGTACCTGCATTGGCTGCGTGTTTAAGCTCAATCTCAAACCTCAAGCTCCCATTCGCTCCACCTCTTCTTGGCCACTCCTCAATATTCTTGTTGTACGTACCAGCATCGTGCCATCCCAACCGAACCTGTCGAAAAAAAAAAGCTCGTCACTTTAACTCCAAATTTTCTCGACGAGATCGGAGGCAGACGAAATTGTACAAAATGGGTTAGGGAGATACCAGAATTGGGTGGCTGAAAGTGGTCTTGAGAAGCTCCCTGATGTCTTCTCTGGCGAGCTTCAGCTGCTCCGGGTCGGAAGCTAGGCACTTGGGAGCGGCGGCGGCTGAGCTGAACGCTCGGCTAGGCAGCGGAGCCGCCGAGCAGCGTTTGGGGTTGAGGAAGAGGCGGGAAACGATCGGAGTGGAGCCGAGGAGTTTGAGAGAGGAGGAGGATGAGGGAGAGAGAGATAGTTTAGCCGAGGCGGGAAGACGCCGAGACGTGGTGGCGGCAGTGGCTGCAGCGGCGGCGGCGCTGAAAGCGACGGAGGCCATGGCGGTAGTTGAAGAGTGAGAATGCGAAGAGAGAGTGTTGATGGTGTTGTCTGGAGAGAGAGAGAGAGAGAGAGAGAGAGAGAGAGGGTGTGGGGTTTTGGATCACCCGTTATTGGTTGCCTCTCCTTTGGTTTTGGACATGAGTTTGGATAGATGGCTAGGTGGCCCAATGACCAATGGACCCATGGCCCAATGGCACAAGCTTTGCTTGGCTCTTTCTTTTTTGTGTCCGTATCTTGAGTTGGTTGATCTTGATAGTGAACTTTCTTTATTTTATTTTTGTTTTTATTACAAAGGAAGACTAGGATTTAGGAAAGGATAAGGCAAGAGTCGAATTCTCTAGTCTTGATAATAGTACTGTTAAGATTTTTCTACAATATCTGGTATTGATTAGTCTTCTATGTCGTACTCATAATTAATTTGATAAGCGCGCTGAAAAAGTATTATAAATTCATTACTCTTTTATTCACATATATTTGTTTGATCACTAAAAGGACTGGCACGCCAAAATGACCTTATCAAATATGATGTTTTTAGGGTCAATATGATTATGAGTAGGATGCTCTAGTTTGGAGAATTTATCAACAACAATGACCTAAAGTGATCTCTGACATTGGAGATCATGACTATGATAATCAATTTTCTTTTCCAAGTAATCATCAACACATGCTAAACATTAATCAAACTTTGATTGTATGTATTGTCAAATTGGACTTTTCCACAACATCTCCCCTATCAACCTTTTAGTCCCATTCACATTTAATTCTTCTCATACACCTAAAAAATGTTATGAATTCACCACTCTTTAACTCATACATTCACATTTAATTCTTCTCATACACCCAAAAAGTGCTATGAATTCGCCACTCTTTAACTCATACTAAAAACAGTTCTAGTAGTGTGAATAACCCTGGCAAAAGGCCCCATGGGCTTGAAAAACAAACACCACCAATGGGGAAAAAAATTGTTAGGACAGATACTATTCACATTAATCTTTTTAAGGCCAATATGTTTATGAGTACGGACCCATTTGACGTAGACAACTCCAATTTTGATTTGCTAACTCAGAAAATAACGTCTACCAAATTAAATTGATTGTATGGCCGAAATCATCGTTAAGTGGAAAACTTTTTTAGTTTGCCCCAAGCACAAGAATGCATATTAGCAGAGAATATGTTGCGTAGGAGCCCTTTCCTTTTGGTAGGTAAGGGACAGACACATGAGGACTTGGATTCTGTCAATGCATGTATAGTTCTTTTATTGATTTAAAATTCCTCTTGAAATGAAGTCTAAACTCAAATTTGGGTACGAGATCAACTACTTTTGACTAATCAATCTCATTTCTGATTTTTCAGGTATAAGTTTACGAATTGTAGTGTGAAACCACATAGTCAGGGATCATATAATTTCAATTTCAATATCCATGTGTTAGTAAACGCAAATGAAAATCACGAATCAGAGTAATTCTATACCAATTCCATGTAAACAAATATGTCATGACTTCCATGTAGTTTTGGTTTTACATGCATGGGATGTTGTAGGCCAGCAAGTACTGGGCCTAGCCAGTTTTAGCATTTTTAATGGGTTGGGCTAGGAGGGAGTCAAAGAACCAAAGCCTCTAATGACATTTTGATTTTGCTTCTTTCATCCAAGATGTCCCATCCCATCATATCTACCTCAAATCCAATCCTGCATTACATATCATTATCACCATTATTACAAAATACATCATTCATACATTATTTGGATATTTTGTGAACAATCATATTCATCAAACATCAATCATGAATTGGACACAAAATTGACTCATTTATAATTATTACATGCATATATATATATATATAGACCTAATTAAGACCAGCATTTTGTAAGCCTCTATCTGCATTCACTGCTAACATGTCTTTATAAAATTATAATTTTGTTTTGTTTTAAGCTTTTGGTTTAGAGGCCCTAAATATATGAGTATAATCATGTTTCCATAAATACAAAGCAAAAAGTTAATTATAGTTAGTCTCGTGGACACTTGTCAAGTGTTCAAAAGGGTAGTGAGGATACAACTTGGGTTAAAGTGGTGTGCAAAAATATTTTCATAAATATATAGTGTGGGTTACACAACATAAAATACAATTGTCCCATTAATATGGATGGTACTGGAGTACGGTCACGTAGTATGACTTGTACACGTGTTATAATATGGGTGGACGATATGATTGATATTCCCCTTTTTAGAGAATAATATCAATAAATATTCACTTATATTATAACAGGTGAACAAGTTATATTACGTGACCGTACTACCGTACAACACTATAATTACTCCTAAAGTGAATGCATCTTTATTTTTTTGCCAACATTGGAATCATAAAGTCACAAATTTAGGCAAACATTATAGATATAAATGTAAAACATTGGGATCTAACTAATAAAGTCCTTTCAAAATTGAACTTCAGTCAAAGCGAACCAATTAGGTTTTTAAATCTTTCGAATTAGGCCTAAGAGTTATCATATCATCCGTGGCCCATGCGCAAACGAGAAACTAATGATAGCACTCTGCAGATAATCTATGTATTAATTTTCGTGTGATACATTATCACTTTTTCCTTTCTAGAAAAGGCTTTGTCTTAGAAATAGAAGGTTGCGTATATAATTGTGTAACTTGTGACAAACTAAAAAGAAACCTAGACTTTGTTGTACCGGCTTGACAATCTCAACAGACAATGAACTCAGTTTGTAGAAGATAACTAGATGGCCAAACGTGATCAAATCGTGCAGCTTTGACCCATAGCCTAACAGAAAACACCACAAATAGCATAATATTGTGATTCAAGTAGGAGGTAGAGATTGCTACGTGGAGTGATGTATTAAGAGATTCATTCACATCAACAGTGTGCGTGCATTCATGAGCTTGTGAACGACTAAAAGAAACACGATTGAATAAAATATAGACTTTTGCAACCATACGATTATTATATATTATATGAGTACGGATACTTATCTTGATTATGATTCTTGAATTCATGGGGTAGTGCTAGATAAGATATATATGATTAAATAAAGGATAACAGTAGTCCATGCATGTGGACGATTATAGGCCATTGATCGGACTGTATAAAGTATGGATGGATTATTTTATCTTGGCTGATTGCTTGCTTGCCCATGACCCAGATATGAGTACTTTTGAAAGTTTTATATTCATATTTCTTGATTGTTAATTCAAATTTGAATTCTGAGTGATAGAAACATGAATGAATGAACCAAGTCGTTAACCTAATACAAAATACATTTCACCAATCTGGATCTTAATCAAGGGGCAGACGTTACAGGAGTTGGGTCAACCAACTAATAATTATTTTCAATTTCAATGGTTTGGAAAGAAAGCACACGCTTAAATAGTACTAAATACTACTAAATTTTTGTGTTTAAAACTTCGGAATTTTTTTTATAACACCTCAATTTTATAAATCTTTATTTTGAATTAGTTTTCGATCCGCATTTTACATATGACCTTGTAGCCTAGTGGAATATATTCCTCCTCTTGTTTCGATATATCGGTTTTCGGATTTACTCAATTAAGATGTTTTTTTATATACGAGTAATGATACTCTTACCACATCAATTAAAAAGTGTCAATAAATCATAAAAGAAAAGAAAATGTTAAATTAATTTTAATTTATGTGGTTGTCCACCTCATCTGCCATATAAGGTGGTATGAGAATGTGATAAGAGTAGCATTATTCCTTATATACAATGTCAAGAGAAGAAATTAGAGCTTGTAACTTCAATGGTTGAGCATTTATCAAACCTGTTACGACTTACAAGAGTTCCGACTCTTGTTTTCTCTCTTCCTTCCTCCTGTTAATCTCACTCTTCGAGTATGGAGACATCTTGTGATATTTACTAAAGAATTTTTTTTTGTAATTTCACAGGGAAAACCAGAAGAAAAACACAATATTAATTAGCTGAGAAGCCCCATTTTTGCTCCAACGTGTGCAATACTCCCACTTGAGAGAGTTGAGACAAACGTCACCTACCATAATACTATATTCGACAAGCATTTTTGGGCCAAACGCAGGAGATGCACACAAAGACATAACCTCTATTGTAACGTCTATTCCGACTTTAGCACATAAAATCCAAGCGATAATTACAAATTAAGACCCCCATTATCTGCTCTCTCTCTCTCTCTCTCTCTCTCTCTCTCTCTCTCTCATATGCAATATCTTTGGCACCAAGGCTAGCTAGCTCTTATTTGTAATACGACAGAAAGCATTTGATTGATATTCATGGCGTCGACGGTGGAGGAGCAGAAGGTGCACTTTGACTCAAAAGATGCGTTGACCATGGTAGAGGAGCTGAGAGGCAGCTATGGTTCTGGGAAGACCAGAAGCTACGAGTGGAGAGAGTCGCAGCTGAAGAACCTTTTGAAAGTGGCAGAAAACCACGAACAAGAAATTGTTGATGCCCTTCGCTCTGACCTCTCCAAACCTGAATTTGAAGCCTACGTTCAAGAGGTTCTAATTCTCTCTCAATCTCTCTGTTTTTTTAATTATTAATTTTAAATTTATCTTTATCTTTTTGGTTTTTGGTTTTTTGGTTGTGTGAATTTGAAGATTAGGCTGGGCTGGACCGGGGTTGGTTCGGTTACCATCCCAACCCAATACAGTAAATAATGTTATTTTATTTTAAAATATGAAGAAGAAAAAAAATTTAACTATTTTAGTATTGTGTGCTTAGCTTGACATGGTACGGATTTTGTGCCCTGACTAGGAGTGAGTCTTGTGTAGCTCCCCCGACTAGGAGTGTCTTGTATAGCATAAAAATTTATGTGAAACGAGAATAGTACGTTTTTATTATTCCTAACCAATTAAAGACTGCTACACGGAAAAATTGTCACTCGAGAATAGCAAGTTTTGGCTGAAATAACAAAACAGTGTTATCCCTATTTTACATAAATGTTTATCTTTGTACGGGATCATCATATCTCGCATGAAGTGAGACTTATGAGTCTCACTTGTTGTGAGGGATACTTGAACCCGTACCAAACCATATCACGGTACGGAGCCGTTTCATGTCGCGTGTATGTGTTTTGTATAGATTTTCGTGATTGTTTATGTGGGTTTAATTTGATTATATTAAAGTCCCGTCTGATATGAAGGTGATTAATTAAGAAATAGGTTATGATTAATTCCTTTTGTATAATCACTACCAAAGATCAATAAATTAATGGCGTGTGAGGGATTCTTGATGCCTAGTTGACCTAATTGATGGCTATGATGACTGGCGCATTAAAGTTTCTCCAAATCCGTGGCTTTCAATTTTGGTGTTTTTTTTTGGGTTCAAATTCAATTTTGGTTAATTAAATCATGAAAATGGAACTTTAGCTAACGTCCTTGTCTCACTTCTTCTGGTGATCCTTGATAAATTGTTTGTATGGCTAGCTAGCATGATATTGACATGCTTCAAAACTTAGGATTACTTAGGAGGGAAGTATTTCTATTCACAAGCAGTCGGTTTCATTAAAAGTATAAATAATTTTTTATATTAAATATTCAAGATATACTTAGAAGTGCTTCATGAATAAGTACTTGATAGGTGATTTTATAAAGCACTTTTACAATCCAAAATGGCCTTTTAAGTTTCTATGTCAAACTTTGTTAGAAACGTTTTTTTTATTATCCGAAAGCTATATCCCTCTTGTTCACTCCTAACACCTTTCTCAAGCTCTCAATTCTAATTACGATACTCTAGGAGCTTTGATCTCGTTTAAAATTATTTCGTTCATGTGATTTGAACACATAACCTCTTCTTACAAAATGAATGTAAACTCTGCGTTTGACGTGTTTTAATGAAGTTTCAACTACACATTAGTGAGAATAAAGTGAACAAAACTATAAAGTCAAAATTAATATATTTTGCAAAACCATATTTATTGATTGTCTGCTTTTAAGATTTTGGTATGTCAGCAAAGTAAAGGTATGTTGCGTGTTATATATATAACTGTTGTGAGTTGGTTGCTTTGTGCTTCTTGCGTATGTGCTTCAGTTTAGTTCAGACCTTAACGGAAATATTTATGAACTGCTTCTTCGCCTGATCTCACATCTCATAATTTCGCAGCGCAATATTATATATATATATATATTAATTAATTGACCAAGTCATAAGGAAAAAATTCCAAAAAAGAAAAATCAAAGGACCAAAGCGGCCTTTTAAAATTTTTAAATCCCAAAAATGCTATTAGGTTTCAATATAATAATAATATAAATATCCAACAAAAATAAATATAAAAACAGTAATAATAATATTAAAAATATTGGAGATAAGTGAGGTGAGCAACATCCTTAATGAGGAGGAATAATAGCTTGTTGAGTCTTTAAAATGATGTGTGCCATTGGGACTGGGAGAGAATTGTCCCTTTTTGTGGGACATAATGCATTTATCTCTTTGAATTAAGTTTGTGACAAATATAGTTTTGGGGTATGTATTCCGATGTTGATTTTTTGTTTGGCAATATTACTTTAATTTTTCCTCGTAAATTGGTTGAATATGCATACCTCAACTCAAATAGACCGCATACACAGGTGGCCTGCCCGTGAATTGAAATAGATAATACTAAAATGAGTTTATTAGTGAAATTCTCTTATTTTCTTGCTCTTTTGGTTCTAAAATAAGACTTTAAATGTGAATACATTTTTGGCACGATTTTGTTCTCTTATTTTGGAATATGGTGCAAATGTGAGTTATGTCAGTTAATCAAAATAATATACCCGCATTCGCACCCGAATTCAAATTTCCCTTTCCCCTAGTCAAGAGGGTTTATGCATTCACTTTTAAGTTTGCTTTTCATATCTACGCCTCCCATTCTTTTATTTCTGTTGTGGCAAAGCCCTTCCAATTGTATAGGCATGACTTGATTATTCACTATTATAGTCGTGAACTTTGTACTCTAGTGATGTTAATACTATCACGAGAGCCTTATAAAAAATAAATAAATCACGAGAGAGAGATTTAGTAGAGTAGTAGTACAAAAAGTTTCACCAAACTTTCATGTACTAGTATGGTGATTATTTATAAATTTGTATTATTTATTCTAGTAATGGAAAAAACTTAGGCGAGGCAGTTTATACACGGTACATAATCACATATATGCATTTAATTTGTACTTTTGTATATGTATTTATTTAGTGGTATTCCTCTTTTTGATGTTAGAAGAGTCGAATTCACTTATTCTATAGATAAAAATAACAATAGTTTATATCACCATATAATATACCATTTTATTCTTAGATTGCCTTTTAAGAGGAACTTCAGGAAAATCACATGAATGTAATTAAAAGAGCACTAATTTTCTATTTCATAAAAATTTAGCAAGGATACTCCTATTTTACCAACTAGCTCGTGATCTAGGCTTTTTTAATTGATTCGACAGACCTTCTCACTTTGACCATAAAATTTAATAGAATTTTGTTTTGAAACGCAAGCCAATCCATTATGTCACACGAAGATATATAGATCAATAGAAAATGATATTGACTTGACTTGTAGACTAATGGTTTCAGGTTCAAATCCCATAACATCTTGATAGTGTGTGTGAGAAACCTCTTTCTTTGGTAATTTTGACTATCGCTTGTATTTATAAAAAAAAAACGTACCAAGACTGCTTGGTGTTGAAAATTGAACATATGCCTTAATTATTTATTATTATTTTTGTTAAAGTTCCTTTTGGTTGGTAGATTTGTTATTTTTTTAAAATAAGAAAAATAGTATGTGACTCTCCTTTTCAAGGTTCAGTATTGCATTAAAGTTTTTACACTCACCTTTTTTTTTGCCAAATTTAACCCTGTTAGCATTTGGTTTCCAGTGAATTTTTTTGGGACAAGATCCGTTTTGCATTCAATTTCTTGCACTGTCGGTGTAAAGTTTATAACTATATATATAACTATATATATATATATTTAATATTACTTATTAATTTCTTCCAACCAAATAATCACACGTGTAAATTAAAACAAATTAGCACACATAATATTTTGGGAAATATATAAATTCCCCAAGTAGCTGGAGAGAGAATGACATCGCCCATCATCAAATTTTTGTTCTCTTTCTCCATAAGTCAGATAAAGATCTTCACACTTCACGCTTTCTCTCATCACCCACACGCAAACACCTCCGACTCCGAGTCCAACGATCCAACTCAGTACGAGTTCGCGTGGCCACCTTTGGCCCTTCCCTGCTTTCGCATATATTTGTAGTCCCATACCTTCTTCTTCTATTGCATCAATCGTTCTGGGTTTTTGCTCTTATTGTGTTCTCGGGGACTTGAAGACTTTCAATGGCGGTTGAGGTGGAGAAGCAGACGGCGAAGCCTGCTTTCGACGAAGAAGCAGCGTCGGCGCTTGAGAAGGAGCTGAGAGCCACCTTCGCCTCTGCCAAGACTCGGAGCTATCAATGGAGAGAGTCGCAGCTCAAGAGCCTCCTCAAGCTCATCACCAGCAACGAGCTGGCGATCGTCGACGCTCTTCGCTCTGACCTCTCCAAGCCCGAGCTCGAGTCCCAAGTCTACGAGGTCCTCCAATTTCTTGCTCAATTCCTCTTCAATGCTCTTGCTCTTTTATCATACACATGGTGTTCTGTTTTGGCACATATGAAAAATCTATGTCTATATGCTGAATCATGAATTGGGTTGCGATTAGAATTTGCAGAAGAATCATGAGTTCTTAATTTCTTCTTCTTCTTCTTCTATTTTTATATTTTAAAGTTTTTGTTTTTTTGTTGGTTGCTGAATTGTTTTGATGAACACATTCTAGTATTTAGTTCATCACGATACTTTATTAAGCTTTGATTTCTCACTCAAATTAGGGAATTATATAATGGTGGTGGCCATTTTGCACTTTCCCTTACATGGACTCTGAAAAATCAGTCATTATTTCCAAAAACTGTAGTAATTGTCACCTGTCTTGGTGGGGAGTCATTATCACCTGTGTTGGTGAGAACGTGTTTCTGTCGCCCTGTTTTGTTTTTTCTTTTAATGTATGTACTGTGTGGGGTCTGCGGTAGAGAAGCATTACCAACATACTTGGTTTGAAAACTTTACTCATATTTGCTTTTGTTTTGTTGGTTTCGCTTCTAATTTTCTTTCTCCTATGGCGCGTAAGGTTTATGCGCCATAGGAGTAATTAATGACCTGGAGTCATTAGGTTAACTGTGCTGTTTTTAGATGGTTAGTCTAAGATCTTAATCTACAAGCATGCTCCCATTTTTTAGTTAAAATTTAGCTAAAAACCCACAAAAGCTATTTTAGGAGCTCTCTATAAAATTTAAACTCTAATCTCATACTCCCTAGTTTAGGGAGTCATAAATACTATAATTAATTTTTTAATTCAATATAAATGATCCATCTCTATAAAAATAAAAAATAAAAAATAAAAAGCATTAATTAAAGGGTTAAAATATTCATAAAACAAATCATCATTAAATTATAGGGAGCCACCAAGAGTCCTTTCTTTCTCCTTAGATTTAGGAGCTCCTAGAGGTCTCCCTATTTTAGGAGGTGGATAGGGAGCATGGTTGGAGGTTCGGCCTCAATGGGAAAATAAAATGGAGCACCTAACAACGTATCTTCACAGACCAAGAACTAAATTTCTTCCTAAAATTTGTCTAAAGGAGGTGGTTTAGAGAGCTCGTTGCGGATGCTCAAAGTACATAGGGAGTATCCACCGTTGGATGGGTGGATACCCCAATCAATCAATGCTTTTGAAGCCCATCCAACAATGGATAATGTCTATGTACTGAGTACATAGGTATACCCAAGAAAATTCGCAAAAAGATGCTACTTAACTTGGATGTGGTTGTGAGTTGTGACAGATGCGAAGAGCTCAGAACTTCAAATTTATTGCATAGAGAAAATGATGTCTCCATTTTCCATAAGATGCATCATGCATTCCCACCGATTGAAGGCAAGGGGTGAGGGGTTTATTATTGTGTTCGGTAATAACTCTTGTGAATTGAGGGGTACTTTTCAAGTCTGTTTTGGTGTCATAAATATGGTATGTCATGAAATGTAGGATCCATTTAGGTTCTGAGATAAGCAAAATCATTTATTTTTCCTTTAATGGGAAAATGCTACATGTTATCAAAAAGTAAAGAATGAAACTGCCATGAACAACTTGGGATATCTGCTGAAGTTTGGGTTTTAAGTTAAATTTGGGAGTCAACTTTGATTTTTTTATTCATGAGAAAATGTTAGTCACTATTGAGAAATTTATAGGTAAATAAATATGATAGAAACAATTATGGCGTGGTGTTTTGAGTATATAGTAGACTGCATACTTTTAAATCTGCAAATCCTTTGGACGGTTTGGATTGAAAAATCGTCACTCCCCATTTGCTAAACAAATGGAGAGCATCCTTTTCCAGCAACTATTTGTGGTTGTGGACGCAATGTTTTGGCTTGACTACATTTATGAAATGTAAAATTGTTGAAGATACTGCTTATCTATCCAATACAGTCATCCAAACTTGTATAGGGCCTTGTCTAATAAGTTCTTCTGTATGAAAACTCTACATGGATGTTTTATTTGTTATTGACCCCCACTATTGATTTATATGGTTTTCCATTTAGATATCTATGTTAAAGGGCTCATGTAAGTTGGCACTCAAAGCGCTGAGAAATTGGATGAAGCCAGAAAAGGTATGTTTTTGTCAGAAACTCTATTTAATGCAAACTTTTGACTAGCATATTGTTTGTCTCTGCAGGCAATTTTTTTAAAGTTTGATTCAACATTTGCATTCCTTTTTCATTTTTTGTTATTATTAATTTTAATGAATAATATTTCCCTTTAACTGCAGGCTAAAACTTCACTAACCACTTTCCCTTCGTCAGCCGAAATAGTGTCTGAACCTCTTGGTGTTATACTAATAATTTCAGCATGGAATTATCCTTTCTGTACGTTAATATTAGACATGTGTTTTTATATTTAAGCACTGAGCTCACAAATCTTACTCTTCAGTCCTAATTCTGTCTTCATACAAAAATAATTGTGTAATATCTGTTTTCCAGTGCTGTCCCTTGATCCAGTTGTCGGTGCCATAGCAGCTGGTAATGCTGTGGTCCTTAAACCATCAGAACTTGCTCCAGCTACATCGTCATTGCTTGCAAAACTAGTAGGTGAATATATGGATAGCTCTTCTATAAGAGTTGTTGAGGGGGCAGTTGCTGAAACATCTGCACTGTTAGATCAAAAGTGGGACAAAATATGTTACACAGGTTTGTATTCATTTTCATCTCTTTCCAGTCTGATATTTTGTTTTCCTCAATTTATAGTCTGATATTGCACGCGTGAAGATTTTGATGAGCTGAACTTTGTATAAATGACTATCACTGTTTTAGCTCTCCTTGCATATGATATAGATATAGATATATTAATATTTTGTAAAGATGAAAGAAAAATTCTCTTTGGATGTGAAGCAAGAGAGAGTGAATTTTTTGCTCAAGTTCAGAGGTATCTGTATTGCAGCTATAGCAAATGGCTTTAACAGGGGACCATAAGGTCCTTGCATAATCCATTAAGAGGGGGCTGCTTTGGCACTCTGCTCTTCATCTGAAGTTGAGCTTTTACCTTTTTCAGTTCAAAGAGTTTCCATAACAAAACATTAGATAATTTATAATTAAAAGTGGTCCTTTTTTGTGGTTTGCCAAAGTACAATATGGTGTCAAATAGATTGCATTTGTACTCTTTTTATTTTATTTTATTTATTATTATTATATTTAATAACAGATATCGGAATTTTGTTTGGCTATGAGCTTATGCCTAAACCTTCATAGATAAAATATTATTTGCTCTTCAATTGCTAGAATGACATCTCCACTTGCTAGAATGACATCTCCACTGTGTTTCTCTAGAGAAGAAAATGTGAGGAATGATTGCAGTCTTCAATCTGAAGTTGACTTTTAGCGCCTTAGGCACTGAAATTGCACAGTATCATTGTTTGTACTTCAAATAAAATATTTATTGAAAAACAAATATATTTGATTGTAGGCAATGGAAGAGTGGGACGTATAGTGATGGCTAGTGCTGCAAAGCACCTTACACCTGTTCTTCTGGAGCTCGGAGGAAAATCTCCTGTTGTTGTTGATTCTGGTATCAACTTACAAGTATGGAATTTCTCTTTCTTGCACACTATCAGTAGTTTATTTATTTATTTTACTTGCTGCTACAAATGGTGCTGTAATTTCAGCTTCTGTCTTAAGTAGAGACTTCTGTATTTTGTTTTTCCTAGGTTGCAACTAGGCGAATAATTGTAGGAAAGTGGGGGTGTAATAATGGACAGGCTTGCATCTCCCCCGATTACATTGTAACAACAAAAGATTTTGCTCCTAAGCTGGTAAGGTTACCCTCATATGCCATTGAAGATCTGAATTTGTTTGTCTGCTCTTGTCATCTTCATTAATTTCTCTTGTTCTCAGGTGGATTCTTTGAAACGTGAATTAGAGAATTTTTATGGAAAGAATCCATTAGAATCAAAAGATTTGTCTCGTATAGTGAATTCAAATCACTTTGCTCGCTTGACAAAGCTCTTGGATGAGGATAAGGTTTCTGGTAAGATCGTCCTGGGAGGTGAAAGGGACAAAACCAACTTGTAGGTTTTTCTTTCTCTGATTTTTCTCTTCTTAGATCTTTATCTGAAATATTAGGCACGATAATGTATCTTGCATGTGATTAATGCTCCTTTTTTTTTTTGTGTTTATCGCAGGAGGATAGCTCCCACCATCTTGCTCGATGTCTCACGGGACTCTTTGATCATGAATGAGGAAATATTTGGTCCTTTGCTTCCCATTCTCACGGTAGGAACCAAAAATTCTGTTACTGTGATTTTTTTTCCCAACAAAAAGATTTTGCAATAAAATGTGAGATAGCCTTTCTTAATTGATTTAAATATGTATTGGGCAACTTCTCTACACACTGAACAAAAATGATAGAATCAGCTTCCTTGAATTGTAAACTAGTAACAGAAAACCAAGCATGGTGCTCTTTGGGGATGATTTCAAAGGGAAATGAAGTATAGGTACCTTTATCGTGTGCCACAAAAGCAGCTGCCTTAGAAGGCGTCAATCTGTTTTAGGAATCTTTTTGCTGGACTAATGGCACTGAGAAAGATGTTGTTACAGTATTTTATTAGTGGGAACTTTTTGATTGGATTTCTCTGTCTTTATATTTATTGAAAACTACAGATCGAAGTCAAAATATCTTCTCTGTTGTTCATAACAGGTCGACAGAGTGGAAGAAAGTTTTGACTTGATAAACTCAGGAACAAAGCCCCTTGCTGCATATTTGTTTACTAACAATAAGAAGCTGAAGGAGCACTTTGTAAGGACTGTCTCCGCCGGGGGTTTGGTTGTCAATGACACTACCATACATGTAATAATTCTCCCTCCAACTTATTGAGACAAGCTACATGTTCATCCATGCATGCATGCCAAATAGGGCCATATAGATTTTATTGTGGTTATATGAATACTGAAACATGAGATTTTAGTAGTTATGCATTCCTAGTCTTGCCTCGTTCTTTTTCTTTTCTTTGTTTACTGATATCGTAGTTATTTATACAGGCATTACTGCATGTATCATGGCATCTCCATTTCTCACGTATAAATTTATTATATACACACTAGCTAATTTATTTCTTTATTGTGAATTAAGTTGAGAATCTAATTGGTATAATATGAATTCTCAATCGGTGTACAGCTTGCTGTTCCGTCCTTGCCATTTGGAGGAGTTGGGGAAAGTGGAATGGGTGCATACCATGGAAAATTCTCCTTTGATGCGTTTAGCCATAAGAAGGCAGTTGTTTATCGAGGTTTCGCTGGTGATGCTTCTGTGAGGTACCCACCATACACAAAGGGGAAGCTAAGACTTCTTAAGGCTCTGATCGGCGGTGGCATATTAAGCATAATCCGCGCTGTGTTTGGATGGTCCAAGGCTTAACAGACACTACGATCTGGCTGTGCTGCTTGCGATTCTTCTTTCTTCATATTTATAAAAGACATTACGATCCGGCTGTGGCAATATGATTACAATTTGAACAAGGTTTGATTATTTATGAAAAGGGAAAGGGGAAATGGAAAGTGTAAAAGTTGTAGGTAAATATCTATAGGTTTATAAATTGTATGTGTTTGTATTTTGTTTTTGCTTAGAGGCTTAAACGTGGGTTCCATTTTGGCATCCAATGAATTCAATTCTGAAGCTAAACCTCTTAAATTCATAGACACAAGGTTTGGTTAGCCATGGAAAAAATACAAGAGCCAGTCGATCTATCTGTTAAGCTTTCTACCTATCTTGAAGTATTGAGTTTCTATCCGTGCCATGAGAATAAAATCAATCTTTACAGAAAACATGCAGGAAAAAAAGAACCAAAATCACTGATGACCAGTCAATAATAAGAATCCTCTAAAATATTGAGAATATCTGATCTTTGCTCATATGTTAGAAAAGTAGGAAAGTCAACCAGAAAAGTGAGCTTCAAATTTGCCCTCTTTCCTTCATCTTTGGAGATTGCCATGCCTTGCTCTGATATGACCTTCTCATAGCCAGGATATATGATGTCATCAATGGTCAATTTCATTTGGTCTCCACCCAGCAAAGGGATTGAGATGATGCAGCCAGTGAGAGCCTTTACCAATGGGATCTCTAGAGCCAACTCCAAATCATCCCCTTCTCTTCTAAACAAAGGGTGTCTTTTCTCAGCAATCACAAAAACTATGTCTGCTGGGTAGACACCTGGTATCTCATTTCCCAATCCTTCAAATGTAATCTTTGTTCCTTTTTTCCATCCTGGCTTCACATTTATTGTTACCACTTCCTCTTCTTCAACCATTTGCCTGCCATAAAGAATACATTACAACAATTTATGAAAAGATATAAGGGTACCTCCTACATTTACTAATCATATATTACATTTTTGTAAAAATAATAGGTCTCACACTCTACGAGAGATGCGAAGTCTTGTACATGCATGAGAGAGATGTAGTCAACAATGCAGGTAAGCCCTAGTTTTATTCTATGTCAAGTGCAAGGTAACCAACCCGGTGTCTTTGACGATAGCCCTTGTGACCTTCATCTTCTTCTGGCATCCAAAACACAACTCCTCTAAGGTGCACTCAAGCTGCTTCTCAACGGCTGGGGGTTTCAACATCCCAGACGAGTTGGAAAACATGATGGGGGTCTTCCGGCTTTCACATTTCGAGAGGGAGGGATGGGCGGGCGTGGAGTCGGCGCTTTTAGTACATGTGGCGGCCTTGGGGGTTGACGGGGAGGGTATGGAATCCGGCCAGCTTTTCCGGCTCTTAGTTTTCTTGAGAGAGGGTGAGGGGGTGTGACTCCTTCGGCTAGAGCTTTTTGAGAAATGATGACAATGCATGTTAAAGAAATTATCCAAGCTTGATTGCTTGAAGTGACCTTTAGCTTTAGGGCTTGGAGTATCATGCTCGCGTCGCATTCTTTGCAGGCTAATGCATCTAAAGCTATGAAATCCATGCATGGTTTTCTTTTCTGCTTTTGGTGTATCATCACCGACTTCCTGTATATATACATATATTTATATATAAGGACACACTATTATGAATTGAGGACACACATTAATCAATCTCCATGCATGCATGCAACTAGGTAAATTGGCACATGGATGGAAACTTATTGCTTATTTATAAATAATGAGACATAGATGAATACGCATATAAATTATCAAGGTTTCTAAGGAATTCAAATGCATGGTTAGAATTTTTATATAACAGAAATGTTGTTTCTCATGTTACGTTGTTAGTCTGTTAATCCATACAATATATTCATCAGAAATGTGTTCTTATTTGAATATACGGACAATTAATTGACAATATTAGAATGATGACACAAATGTTTACCTCAAAGATTACATCGTTGGTTATAGAGGTTCCAATTTGGTCTACTTTGGCTTCCCGATCTGGAGATGATTTCTTCTTGTCGTGGCGCAATTTTTTGACAATGGATCTATATGCTGCTCTATAGAGGTTGCGAAGAGGGCGCATGGGTAAAATCCACGCACCATCCACAGATTGCAAGAAGAAGAAGAAGAAGAAGAAGGAAGAAAGAAAGAGAGAAGTTAAAAGAATGGTTCTATCCACAAGAATGCGTGTTTTACCAAATATGATGAAACTAGCAGCGTTTTGTAAGGCCCTTCTTTGATAATGAGCACAATCAGCTAATCGACAGGACAAAATAATTCTCTACAACTGTTACATATGTAAAACCGGTCTCTTACGTTTCTCACGTGTCACATGTAACTCGTACTTCTCACATGCTAATCACCTAACTACTTATTGAAGATAAAGATTACGTCTCACTTCTCACGTGCTAGTCACGTAAATACTTATTGTGAGATACCGGTTGCACAAATCAGTTGCGGAGAAGAATTTTTCTAAAAGGACAGATAAATGCAAGAAATCTGTTCTTATTTTCGATGTTGTATATGGTCTTCAAGGGTGGAGATGGTTGTAATGTGTTGTGAATGTGCGTCTTCAAAACAATATTCTAGTCAACCTTTATCAATGAATGAGTGAACATAAGATAGGTAAGTTTGACAACTGCTTTAGGGACAAACAGAATTTTGTTTTTTAATTGAAAGGGACAAACTTATATTTAAGAAACACTTGTAACTGTATCGCAATACATGATACATCTCTACAGATGTTTTTTGTTGTTGTCAAACTTCTGCAGATGTTTAAAACCAAGGTTAGTTACCGCTGAAAATGCTTATAAAATAATAAGTTAATAGGACGTTAGTTATTTGTTTAGGGCTGATTTTTGGATGGATCAGATCGGAATTAGGGAATTTCAATTTCAATTCAAAAAATTTCGAAATTTCAATATTCATTCCAATTCCGAAAACTCGGATTTTTTTGGAAAATTTCAGAAACTAGTTCAAAATTTTAAACATGCCCAACCATTTAAATAGTTAAAATTGACTCAATATTTAAAATTCATATCGAACGCTTGAAATCTATTATATTTTAGTGCTTGGATGTTGTTATCCTTTATCGAATAACTTGTCTATTCGGTCATTAAATTATATTTAGTCCAACATGAAATTAATAATTGTATGTAGTCTAAGCTTGAAATTCCAATATATTTTGAAATTTGGAATTTTTCGGAATCCTGAGATACATTTCAATTCCAATTCAACTCTTTTTTGGAATTTTCGAATTTTAGAACTTTTAGATGTCATAATTGATTTGGACTTGCCAAAACTGGAAATTTTCATATCAAGATCAACCAAAATTGGATTTTCCAATCCATCTTGCACCCGTATTCACTTCATTGTCACATCCCGGGATCGACTCTGCCGTAGCACGATATTGTCCTCTTTGGGCCCCTTCTCTGCCCTCACGGTTTTTTTTTTGGGAATTCACGAGCAACTTCCCAGTGGGTCACCCATCCTGAGATTGCTTTAGCCCCAACTAGCATAACTTCGGAGTTCCTATGACTCCAAAGCCAGTGAGCTACCAAAAGGCATCGTGCTAGATGGAGATGGGCATGTACATATAAGGCACATCACCCCCTCTCCGTTGGTCTATGTGGGATGTTACAATCCACTCCATTTAGGGGCCCGATGTCCTCGTCGGCACACTCGCACCACATGGCAGAGGGACTATGATACCAAATTGTCACATTCCGGGATTGACTCTGCCGTAGCATGATATTGTTCGCTTTGGGCGCACCACATAGCAGAGTGACTCTGATACCAAATTGTCACATTCCGGGATCGGCTCCGCCATAGCACGATATTATCTGCTTTGGGTCCCCTATCTGCTCTCGGGGTTTTGTTTATGGGAACTCACTAGCAACTTCCCAATGGGTCACCCATCCTAGGATTTCTCTAGCCCTAACTCGCTTAACTTCGGAGTTCCCATGACTCCGAAGCCAGTGAGCTCTCAAAAGGCCTTGTGCTAGATAGTGGTGGACATGTACATATAAGGCACATCACCCCATCTCTGTTGGTCGATGTGGGATGTTACATTCATAGTATATTTTATGATTCGAATCACTATTTATCTTTTAGTTTCTCACTAAAAAGATCAATATTGCAAAATTTTACTCAAACAAAAAATTGTTCAATGATTTAAGTATGACTAAATAAATAGATGAACATAGTGTGAAATAAACCTAAACGAATAGTTATATTAACTTACTAATGGGTTGTGTTTGAAAGCTATTAGAAATCATAGGATACAATTGAAAGCTGGATCCGAGTCTTTGTATTTTGACTCCACACATCCTCAAAACCAATTGGCAATGGGGGTAGTAGCCAAACTCTTTATAAACCCAGGTTAGATTCCTTAACTTTTCAATGTGGAATAAATACTCTCAACACGCCCCGCACGTGTGGCCAAATTTTAAACTTAACATGTGAACAACACATATTGGGTGACGTGAGAGCACATGTGGCTGTTGGGCCCAACACGTGAAGCCTTGCTCTAATACCATGAAGGAAGTTGAGGTTCCACCTCAAAACCAATTGGCAATGGAGGGAATATCCCAACTCCTTATAAGCCCTTGCAAGGTTTTCTAACTCTCTAATGTGTGACTTTTTACCTTTACATTCCCACATTGAGGAGAGGCAGGTGAGGGGAAGGGGGAGAGAGACAGAGATAACGACAAGGATATTGTTAGTTTAGAAAAATAAAGGATAATAAAAATTAAACTGTCTACTAATTTACATGTTATGTTTAAGCCATTAGATTATTTTAACGGTTGAGATGAGGCAAAATGAGGCAAAATGCAGATAAATGCGTGAAGTCTAAAGAAAGAGACTCAAAAGGCTATTCTAATAATATATTTTCATATACAAAATAAATAATAGGCAAAAAAATTCACTTTTGGTATGAGTTATCACTTTTAGCATTAAGAGCACTTCCATCCCTAGGGGTAAGGGTAATGCAATGGCTGTCACTATTCACATGAATAGTGGTAGCCCTCGCAATTTTGTTTCCATCCTTAGGCAAGGGCAATGACAATTATTATTCACTTTAATTTATTTTCTATTTTTTATACTTCAATTTTAAAAATTAATTTTATTATTTAAACTTTATTTAAAAAAATCAGAAATTTTGTTTTCCTAGAATTTTTGGGTAATTTTTTTCGATTTTTTTCTTCAATTTTTATTACATAAAAAATGGCAGTCGTTGAATTGCAGTGGAAAATTTGATCGGACGCCCCAGGTGTTGCCACATGTCTTGTAGCAGTGGAAAATAAATTTGAAAAGCGCGCTGATGCCAGGTTGGCGTCAACACGACGGTAACAAACTCGAGCAATAGAACGGGCTGGATTTGCCTTTGGGCTTGCCCAAATTGGTGGCTCCCACGTCTTGCCGGGCTGCTTTGTGCGTACTGAAGTCGTATTGCGAGCCTAGGGCCCCTCCCTGCCTGGGCCAAACTGCCACAGTGGACTTGCTCTAAGGAATTTGTGGTTTCAACGTGGTCATTTTGGACCTTATAATTTTGATTTGAAGCAATTTAAGGTTAATTTTCCATTTTTGTTAATTTTCTTAACTTCCGTTGTTTATAGAAGGGCAATTCGGTCTACTAATTATTAAAAAATTCATTCCTTCTAAAAGTAAACAATACAAATATAAATACACAACTTTTTAAAAAATAAAGCCTCTGTCTCCCCTTCTCCTCCCAACCCCGGCCAGCCATCACCTCCCTGTAAGTTGTAACCCAACCACCGCCGCAGCCACCCAAGCCCAAACAACCAAATCGCCTCCTGGGGCAACTTTGACTTATCGTGTGCTAATGGCTTGGCACAAGGGTTTTAGGAGAGAATGAGAATACTAAGTTGGCCCCATTCATCCTACTCGTATTCTCGTCGGAATTGCAAGCATCTCAACTTAATTCTTCAGTTCCAATTTTGTGCACTCTTCTCCGTCACTTTGTCTCTCACGAAACCAGCTGAGGAGGTAAAGCTACTCTCTTTCTCATTCTCCATTGCTGATTGAGCTGTTTCTCTTCTTCTCAATTTTTATTTTGTTTGATTTTATGATGAAAGATGTGGGTAGCTTTGGTTTTGTCTGACTTGGGTCTTCTATTAAGGATGTGGGTTACCCATAAATTTTTCATGATTTCGAATTTGGTTTGATTTTGGCATCTCGTTGTTTTTCCAGTTTTGGGTTGGATCAGTTTTAGATTCGCATATTAAACGATTGCTTCAACATTGTTATTAGCAAATTTTAGTTCTAAATTCAGAGGGCATGTCTATGTATCGTTTGCGGTTGTTGTTACCAAACTCTCCCTAAGTGTCCATTTGAACCTTTTGTTAGGGGTTAATTTCAATTTAGGCTTTTAAACATAGCATTTATAGGGTTGTAATTGATTTTTGAATTGGACTCGTTGTTTTATTTCAGATTTCAGCCTTTTGGTTTTCCTCTTGTTGTTAGCTTAAATAATACAAGTGATTAACAGGTTGTGTAACTGTGGGAGTGTTTGTATCTTTGCTTATTAGCTTCAATTATCATGAATATATTTGTTCGATTGTTTGCTGAGAAAAAAGTATGGACATTGGACAAAATTGTGTGCTTTTATTACCCATTTTAATGCAATTTTCTTCTGCTTCGTAGTGACAGAGAAATTAAGTCCCAATGGATCTCACTCCGTTTAAGCGTGACATTGATGAGCTTATAGATGCATTTGCTGAGGTAGAATTGGGTTTGTTTTTATTTTCCTGTTTACCATCTTCTTTGTGGGTTATCTGCAAATGGTTACATGGAGGTTATTTTTGGGTTTTGGTCTTTGATGTTTCTTGGCGCATGTGGATTTTGGGTATTGACAGGGTGAATCAACGAGTTTGGCTGACATGAAGAGAATATGGCTTTCCAAAAAGCTCTCTTACATTTACGAGGCACGTCCTTCTACCAACTTGGCCTTCTTTATGCAGTCATTATATGCCCATTCAATTGGTAGGCTCTTGCACGTTTGACTTGGGTTACTACTTGATTAAACTAGGCAAGTACTATAGTTTTGCTGCTGGGATGCTGCCAATGCAAGATTTTCACTTCGGTTAATAGTTGTTCTGGTGACTAGAGCTGTGCTGTTAATCATGGCGTGTGTAAACTGTAAATAAATCTGGAGATAGAACCTCAAAATTGAAGAAATACTTAAGCTTGGAGTTGGCAACCTAGGGTGACCAAATGAGGCATTTAACTTGTGAAAGAAAACTTTTAAGTAGTTGGTTTTTCATTTTTGTTTTCCAATGTAAAAGTTCTTATCTTAAGTAATGGTGATGTTTTCAGTGCACTACATTGGGTCACTTGCCTATCTCTTCCACTTGGTTTTTGGAAAAGTCTTAACAACTACCTGATTCGTCGTATGTCATGCTTAATATCATCAAACATTCAAGATGGGGGTTTCCATTACTTTTTTTTAATTGCTCAGTGCTTGAGACTAACTTTCATATGCTTATGTGCAGGATACATAATCGGTACAGCTACTTTATCACACAGACTGGGTGGGCTCTATTGCCTCTTCTGTCTCTATGAGACTCAACCATTCAAACCTCCTTTTAAGATTTATCTATCTCTTGGTATGTATGTAGATTTTACTTTGAACAATTGAGCTTGATTTAAAATTAACTTTATCTTGAGTCTGGTTTATTTCAATGAAATGGCACTAGACAGCATTAAGTCAATATGTGGAAACAGAGATAAGATATGCATTATTTGTGCGAGCATGTGTCCTTATGCCTTGTACTGACTATAGATGATGTACACTCTGGGTGTTTTTGTGTATTACTCCTTAACTAATATTAGTCTGAGTGTCTTTGTGTATTACATGGATATCTGTGTGTATTTTCTGAGGGAAACCTAAAATTGAACTTCTTATCAATTTCTGAACACAAGCTTTATCAAATCAAATATCAAGTATTGAGCCCAAGCAAGATGCTGATATGGAGTTCCTATTTGGCACTTGATATTTGTAATTTTCTCAAATAAGGCTTTTATGATGGCTGCTCTCCTGGTACCATATTTCTTTGTTTTTCGTGCTTAGTGCATTTCTATTCTCCAATTGACAGAAGAACTGAAGAAACTTCGAAAGCTGGTTATTAATGCAAAGGAATACGATTTAAGAGTGGTATCTGCTTTGGTGAAAAGGATGCTAGAAAAGAATGTTTTCCTGTTTGGGTCTGTAGACACAAATGAAGGCTCTTTTACAGAGACGGTAGACCAACTGACACAGTTACAGAATGCTCGAGTTCAAGTTGCATACAAGGAGTATGTACAAACTATGTTTTTTCTCTAACTGTTGCTTTAACATAGAGGTTTTGTGATATTTGTAAATCCCTCTAAACTTTCTTACTGATTCTTCGATTTCCTTTTGACTAATTAGGTTATTTGCTAATACTAAGATTGAGGACTTTCTCCACATGGATTTGGTAAGTTAAAGTAGTCCTCGAACTTTTGTCCTGTTGTTTGCTTGTTGATAGAATGATTATATCTTTTCAAGTTAGCTTTTGTTGTCTAATATAGTAATATCCATTCTTGTTCTCACGTTTACCAGGGAATGGAAGTTGACCTGAATATGCTCAAGAAAATGTCAACAGATTATGCAGAGGCCAAGAAAATAGCAATTAATGGTACATTTTCCCCTAATTCACAGTTATTAAATAATTTTCTCAAGCCTCCCCACTCCATTTGTTTCACTATTGCTGCCTGTAATATGATTTCAGCAGCCTTTTTTCTCAAATAATTATCGAATGCTAGTTTCCCACTTGTTTTTTTTTTGGCATTATTGTAGTTGTTAGTTTTCAACTATCTAATCATTTCTTTATTTTCCCTCTTTCAAATTGAATTCTTGTTAAAGAGGCCAGCAAGGTCGTGGATGTTCAAGATATAAAGCACATATCAGAAGATAAGGAACTGGTTGGAGATGCAGTAGAGAAGATGGTAGGGCAGTGGGATGCTCAAAGAGAAGTGTTTTATCAACAAACAGGAGCAAATCAGAAGCTCCCTGAAGGAGAGCAGCAACTAGAACCACAGCAGCTGCAGCTGCAGCTGCTGAGTGATGAGGAGAACTTTGATCAGGAATTGGAACAACTGCTATCTGAAACATGATCATACAAGCAGTTGAAAAACAAGGCTTCATTGTCCTCTACGGATGATATACTAGGGATCCGGCGGCCGGCAAGGTTGATGGCTGGATTTTTTCTGAAGTTGTTATGACTTTTAGTTTGATACTAAGGCCTCAACTTGCTAAAGAAGGTGATGGAATCCAGCGGCTGTTTTTTTTTAGGTGTTTCATGAGTCAGTGCTATCTATGTTGAATTTTGTACATATTAGTGTTTGGTTGCAAAGTTATGAACAATGGCTCTAGTGATCTCATTTGATACATTTTCCCTTCAGTTGGATTGCCCAAGGGAAAATGTAAAGAAAATGAGAATTCAATGCACATATTAGCTTTGACCAAGAATCTGACTTTCCATGATGACGTGTTGGCTTTGCGCCACCTCTCCTTATTCCAATATAGATAAAAGCAAGAGTTTGTAGTTAAAGTGTTTAAAAGCATTTACCCTTGCAATCGAGGTCCTAAGTTCAATTTTCCTCTCCCCGATACCCCTTGTATAAAAAGTAATATATATAGATCAATTTTCCATGATCTCCCCGATACCCCTTCAATTTTTTTATTATTTAAATTATTAAAGAAAATTAAGGATATGAACTTTTTTTTTTGGCCAATTTCCCCCTTGACGTCTAAATCTGTAACATTTCATCCAATTTGCTGTTAAATATGATGGCAAAATGGTCATTTTGTATGTTAAAAATAAATAAAAACCAAAAAATTCAAATAATACTCTATATATATATATATATATATCTCTCTCTCTCTGTGCAGGTGCAAGCCGGGTTCTGTGGGTGGGGGGCAGAGCAGGGATTTGTTGTTGCCATCGGGGAGGAGGGGAGGGTTTAGGGTTGGGTGGTCATAGGGGAATGGGAGGAGGAAGGGAGGAGATGGAAAGGGAAGGAGGGCTGGGTTCTTCGGGTTGGGGGAAGGAAGGGGTTGGCACTAGGTTTACTCTTTTTCTTCAATCTTTTCCAAAAAAAATAGTTTTTTAAAATGATTTAACTGAAAATTGGAGAAAATGTTGAGGATTTAGACGGTATGGGGAAATTGGCAAAAAGAAGAAGTTCATATCCTTAATTTTCTAAATAAAAAACAGGACAGATGGTGAATTGAAAGCTAGGTACAAATTTAGGGGGCAAATCACCACTTAACCTTAGATAAAATGGTCTCTTCTTTTTGCAAATGGGTGCTACCAAAAATTTGACTTTCCATTAAACGCTCTTTTTGAATTGGTCTTTACCTAGAATACAAATTGCCTACTGACATATATATGCCATGTACGATAAGGGTTCAAGTAGCAGCCTATTTTGGAAAGCCAAAATGGATAGGAGCCTTTCTACTTATCTTTGGCATGGCATATGCACATAGCTTTTTATAGCATCAATTCAACCCACAACATCTAATTGGAAATTTGGTGCATAGACAAAGAAAACCAAAGTTTGTCCCTTTCATTGCTTACTTTATATTATCATTTGAGATTTGATACATAACACGTTCAGGCTAACCCAAAACAAGTCATCTTTAAGAACTATAAAGCAAAAGAATGCATTGAAGGAAAGGAAAATCTAGACACCTTACAATAAAGCAGTCAAACCAACCCAAAAGGACTCTTTCAAGTCTCAACTTTTGTTATGTGAAAACCCAAATCCAAGTGGGACCCATTTATCTCCTTCCAAATTTCCAATAACTAATTTGCCCTTCCGAATACCAGAATTCAAGTCAACATCTGATGGTAATCTGGACATTTCTCAACATCTTACCTCGACTAGCATTCCGCGGTTTCGACGCGGGTCTTTTGCCCTTTCTCTCTCTCTCTCTCTCCCGCTGTGAAACTTCCAATATCCAATTTCCAACGCTGACCCGCCAGTAGGACCTGTACTGAGTTGAATCCCCAGAGTTTACTACTCTTTTTTTTTCTTTTTCTCTTTTTTAAATTTTTTTAAATTTTCGATTTTCAGCAGACTACAAAGCTTTGAACCCTTCTTGGGATTTTGATCCAACCGAGTCGTCTAAAGGAGAAAGAGGTTCTCTGCCACTCACAGATTCAGATGGGTGGTGGTAAAAGGAACAGAGTATTTGCATTGACGGCCTTGCTCCTTCTGGGTTTGTCTGTAACCTTCCCATGTTGTTTCTCGGCAGCCAATCAGCCCCAGACCAAGAAAAAATCGGCCCAAGCGAATAAATTTGGTTCTTCAGCTGTTTTTCCTCTTCATGGAAATGTGTATCCTCTTGGGTATGATTTTTCGCACCTCTTTCGTTTTGGGGTTTGAAGTTTTGTTCCTTTCAATTTTTTTTATTGCATTATCAAGTATTCTTGTTGTATTGTTTTGTTTTTCTTTCTTGAATTTCTCTGATTGGTTGTTGAGGGTGTGATTATGGGTTCCTGGACTTGGTTTCGGGTTAAAGCTTTAATCTTTCATATTTCACTAAACATGTTATTAGAGTTGGAAATCTATTGAAGTTTCTTGACCCACCTTTTCATTTTTAACAACTGCTCTGTTTTGTTGACTCTGCCTTGTATGTTTTTTTAATCCTCTGCTTCTACTTTGAATACCCTTTTCCAGTTTCTGATTTTTCTTTTTTTATTGCCTGAACTTTTTCTTACACCTCTTACTCTCTTCTGGAAGCTTTTTATCTAATAGCATACTCAAAAATTTAATCTTTCACTGTATAAAAAGGGAAAAGCTGTCGGTCCGATCCCTTTTTTCATTTTCTTTTTTTTAGGTAACTCATTTCCCTTCATAGTTTAGTTATATTCCTGCACTACATATGAGCTACGCATATGCCTGCCAGAATTACAATTTTAATATGTTTATTGTTTTCCACTTGTTGCATGATTTTTTTTTAATGAATTAGAAGCTTCTATTTTCTTGTCCATTAAATTTAATGCTTTTAAAATACTTTTTTTTTGTGATGTTATGAATTGGTGTTCTGTTCTGGCTTTTCTTATTGCCTCCATTTTTATATTTTTCTTCTTTCTTTTTTTCAGTATGTGGTGAATGACCTCAAGATTTGATTGTATTTTCACTCCGCAGGTACTACTCTGTGTCCATCAACGTAGGCTACCCAGCCAAGCACTTCGACCTCGATATTGACACTGGCAGTGACCTCACTTGGATCCAATGTGATGCTCCTTGTACCGGTTGTACCAGGGTAAAACTTTTATGGATATTGAGACTGTGAGACTAACATTCTAATGACCATGTTCTCAACTTTGTTTTTCTGTCTCTGTTTGTGCATTTGCAGCCCCGCGAATATCTTTATAAACCCAAAAACAACCATTTGCAATGTGGAGACCCTCTTTGTGTTGCCTTCCACTCACCAGCAAGCGACCCATGCAAGACCCCAGATGATCAATGCGACTATGAGGTTGAATATGCTGACCAAGGATCATCTCTTGGTGTGATGGTCAACGATTACTTCCCCCTGAAGTTCACCAACGGCTCTCAACTTGGTCCTCGTTTGGCCTTTGGGTGGGTATTCAGTGTTTTCTTTTTGTACATCAGTTGGCAGCATTTCAGAATTTTTATACTGATCATGTTATTTTTTTATATTTGAAATCTTGAGGTTTTGTTAGTTTTGTAAGCTTTCCCATTTTTAAACTTCAGGTCGTTTCGCTTAGGAATGTACAAATAAATCAAACTTAAGTTAATGCCTTGCAACTAAAGTGCCAGCACTTTCTATTTCTGAGTTAAGTTCTTATAATGTTTTCTCTTCCTGTTCTCTGCAGGTGTGGATATGATCAAAAATATCCTGGTCCAAACACACCTCCCACCACAGGAGTCATGGGCCTTGGCAATGGCAAAGCCAGCATTGTGTCACAACTAAGTCGCATGGGTTTAACGCGTAATGTGGTGGGTCACTGTCTAAGTGGGCAAGGAGGAGGATTTCTATTTTTGGGAGATGATCTTGTCCCTTCTGGAGTCATGTGGACACCAATGTCACGCAATTCCATGGAGTGAGTAGTCATAATTTATCCTATTTACCTTCTCATATAGCATTAAGTGTTCTTAAATGATCACATACCATTATTTCTAATTCGTGTGTAATGCATCTTTGCCAATTTCATAGAAATCACTACTCCTCTGGACCAGCAGAACTTGTATTCAATGGAAAGTCTACCGGTGTTAAGGGGCTTTCTCTGGTTTTTGACAGTGGGAGCTCCTACACTTATTTCAATTCCCAAGCTTACAAGGCGGTAGTTAATCTGGTGAGAAAGAAACAAAAGAGACCATTCTTCCTTTTGTTAATTGTTAATAACTTAAATGGAAAACTAACCATCATTTCATGTGATCAGGTAAGAAATGATTTAGATGGAAAGCCAATAAAGGAAACAAGTGAGGACAAATCCCTTCCAATCTGCTGGAAAGGCCGCAAGCCTTTCAAATCTGTTGGTGACGCGAAGAACTTTTTCAAGCCCTTAGCACTGAGCTTCATTAATGCCAAGAATGTTCAGCTGCAATTATCACCCGAAGATTATCTTATAGTTTCTGTGAGCACCCCAACTGTCTTTCCATTTATTTTAACTTTATCCCAGCTACCATTAGTTAAGAGAAGAAAACACTGGAAAAACCCATATCTAATTTCTTCTTTGTTGCCAGAAACATGGCAATGTGTGCTTCGGGATTTTGAATGGCTCTGAAGTAGGACTGGGGAATTTGAATATCATCGGAGGTAGCGAATACTAACAGAACCAATACCTTCTGGCCCTTTTTTTGGTCCTGTGAGCAAAATCTGATCTATTACTTTCTCTCTGCAGACATTATGTTGCTAGATAAAATGCTGATATATGACAATGAAAACCAGCGAATTGGATGGGCACCTGCAAATTGCAATAGACTTCCCAAGTCCTGATCCGTTCTCTCATAATTTCCTTTTCTCTTTGATGTAAATGGTGAGGGTTTTCTTATCAGAGAACTCTTTTTTCAGTGTGGATCATGAATGCTCGGAAGGTAATTCTCAGCCTATTGTAGCCAATTTGGGTATCTTGGAACAGCATTGTCCTGCTTATGCATTGTATGATCAATAAGGCGGTATACAGAGAAGGCTTCAAGACCAAAGACCAAAATATATAAATATATATATGTAGCAGATACATACAACATTTTGGTCACAGGAGTTTTACAATAGTTCTTTTGTCTACTACTCTAGCAGAGAGAAGAAAAAAGAAGTTAGTTCTAGTTGTCTTTTGTGAACTTACAAAGTGGGAAATGTAAGCGGGTATATTACGTGATAATACATGCGTTTAGATAAATTCATGTATAGCAATATCTCTGATCTGAACCATCTCTGCTGCTAACTAGTCGCATGAATTTTTAAGTTGCAAGAAAATTGCATCTCCTCAACGATCGTTTCCTAAGCTCTTCCTTGATTTGTGCCTGGAAGCCAATAATTGGAGACATAAATCAATCCGGTTACTGTTCCCATTCTGTACAAAATTGATTACACCTGCAAACTACCTGCAAGAAGTGCAGAGTATGATTCATCAGTACCGTTACAAGTTCAAGAAGTGCACACTAACCAATAAAGAACATCACACTAATTATCCATTTACATGCTATCAATGAGCACAAACTCAGCTTGGTATCCACGGCGGATGAAATATTTTCACCTCTTAAAATAATAAGATGCACTGCACCATTTACAGTTACAAGTGCCGTCTCAAATATAATTCATAATAGAAATATGGGCAATACGAGCAATATAGCAATTCCCATTTGCTAATGAAAACGAACCATATAAAAAACTGACCTGAAATATCTAAATCCATGCGTCAATAGATTCTGTATGATGTTTGAGCTCAGCGTGCTAAAAGACACGATTCGCGCACTGCTTATTATAAGATATATTATCAGTAAAAATTAAGGATTAGAAGGAATCCCAAAACATTGTCAGCCAAAACAGAAAAGAAAACCAGGTCAACATCAAACTAATTTGCAAAGAAACAGATGTAATAACTGAACAAGATAGCAAACATGAGTTGAAAAAACTATGTGTGAGTGAAAATAAAAAAGCAGCAAAATTGTTGATCAACTTAACGCAACAAGCACATCAGTAGAAAGCAAACAGAGAATCACCTTTGCATGGCAAATCTTCGTTATAGCCTCAACATGAAGGTTCTGCAATTCTTCAAGAGCTGTAACATCCAGGCCAGCAACATCTTCACCCTGAAAATTAATAATATTTTTAAACACTTTTTGATCCATATTTCAATTATAGCGCTCAATTGAGGACTTTATGATGTAAATGAGATTATGTCTAGCATAGAGCTGTTATTCATTCAAAAGATCAGCTTCAAATATTAACAGCTCCTGATGTATAATAACATGTGTCATAGTATTATTCCATTCATGTTCAGGGAGGAAGGGAAGGGAAGGGTGGAGATAAATGGATGACCAATTGCCATTGACAGTCAATAAGATTTTTGAAACCACAGGGGGACACGTCACAGATAACCAACCGGATCATTCATGGAACTGGGGTAAACTGCAGATGGCTATCTGTAATTTCCCCAAAGATAAATCACTAAAGTACACACCTTCAGTCTAGAAATATAGCATTCTAGCTCTTTGCATTTTCTCCTTTCTTTCTGATAGCTGGCTCTTAAATCTTCTAATGTGCCCACCTCGTTCAGGTTTTCATGGATTTCATTGTCTTTGAACATAACATCTGAATGAACATTACATGGCGGAAACCCATTTCTAACTCTTATACGTGAACTTTCAGGTACATGAACCCCTTGAAGTGACACATCCTCGGTATTAATGCCAGACTTTCTCAACTTTGCAACCAGCACCCACATATTTGCCAGCTCATTTTCTAAATCAACTTCACGTTGTTTTACTTTGTCTAATGTTCTTCGTAAATTATCTTCTATCTGATCTCTTTCAGATAGTTCTTTTTCCAGAGCAGCTTCTCTTTGACATCTTGCACTAAGTTCCCCTTGTAGCTCCTCAACCAAAACTACATCCTCTGGCTTTTTATGGCCTCCGGCTCGAGCTCCATTTACGTTATTTCGCTTAAAATCATATGAAGTGGGCCTCTGACAACAGTTTGATTGGCACTGAACCTCTTTTGCAGCAGCCAGGTCACCAATCAGCTTTGCATTTTCATAAGAAAGCTTGGTTACTTCTTCAGCCAAGTTTCTAAGCTCAACTGCTGCAGCTGCAGCCAACTCTTTAGCATATGATGCTTCTTCTGAAAGTTTCATATTCTGAACTTCAAGCCCCTCCTTTTCCTCAGAAAGTTTCACCTTGTCTTGCTTTAAATCCTCTATTTCAGAAGCCTAAGAAAATAAATTAAAAGGGCACAGGTGACAACATAGCAATATAAAACATATCATCATTCCATCAAGTAAAATGAATAAGATCAAAAGGACAAAGGGTGAATATTGGGCGTCTTCGTTCTAAAGATGCCAGGAAGAACAAGAATAACCTGTACATGGATTTGGGAATTCAAAAATGCATCTTTGTTGCACTCTTTGGAGTCCTCAAGGGAAAGGATTCTGTTTAAGCTCATCACACTGGTTGGTGTATTTTCATCAGCACAAGTTTCTTGACACAGACCAAACCTTTCTCCTTCTTCATTGTTCTTTTGCACTAGTTCTTTGGAACATGTCTCTAGTCTGGTAGCGTCGCTATCAGAAATTTGTTGTGAATTGAGCTGTTGTCTTAGCAGAAGAATCGTCTCTTGCATTTCTGCATTCTCTGAAATCTGGGAAAGTAACAATATGATTAAAAAAATTAAAGACACAAATACAAGTATATAAAAAGGGATTACAAATCTTTATATTTTACCTTCATTTGTAGTTGCTCCTGAAGTATCCTATTGTCTGCTGTCTTAATCTTGAATGATCATCCCAAGACAGAGTGATCAACTTAGTAGAATATTTTTAGCATTCATAATTGAAATATGTTATGAAAGATTAAAAATAACAAACCTCAAGTTCAAAAGTTGTCTCATTTAGCTGTGTAGTAAGCTTGGACAGAGCCTACATGGGAATGTAGCAAACTGATCAGAAACCATATACAATGCATTAATAATTAAATAAAAATTGGAAAACCAGCAATGCAAGCATATTGGTAAGGAACCAAATAAATGACAGTCAACACAACCAATATAGACCTCTACTATAAAGGCCAGAAACTGATTGGTTATTATATAAAAATAGAAGGATCATATGAGATGCAGTTTTAACCAATAAATTAGGACATTAAAATAATAGTCAATTAAGCTCAGGTAGATTTTTCTGGGTGAAAGTAGATTTTTTCTTTCTTTTCTAGATTAGGTCCCTTGCATATTGATCTTGTTATATTTAATCCTCCAATCAAGGATTTGTTTCTTATGTTGTTAAATTAAGATAATTCAATCATGTCAAACGAAAATGACCGAAGGGCCTTATGATAAGAGCAGGCATGTAGCCATAGGACATTCTCTGCTGAAATGGTATTAGAAAGTTCAACTATATTAACAATCACTAAGAGTAGAATGTAAAACAAGGAAGAACAACGCCCTTTTCATATTTTCAATTTTGTAGAGCCCTGAAATATTGTTATCAGATTATCATCTGGCAATCCAAAATCTTTCATGTAGTAAAATCAGTTCATCCAGCTTTTCTTGAAACCCATCTCCATAAAGATGCACAGTTACCTGAGACATTTCGCTGTTATTTGACATTTGTGGAGTCATCTCAAGGGATCCAATCATACGTTGCTCTAGAACACGTATCTGAAGCTTCTTTTCACTAATTTCGCCCTTCAACTTTCGCATTTGTTCCTATTTTAACCAAAATAACCATAAAAAACTCAGACAGGAATACCAATCAGATTTAGACAATTGTCCTTTTAGATTTAAAGAGATGTCTCACCCTCAGCTGTGAATCTTCAGGGTTTCTAGCCGCTTGCTCCGACAGTCTTTTTAGAGAACTTGTACACAATGCCACCTCCCCAGCTAACATTTTCACTTGCTCGCGAAGAAGATCCATTTGATCTGTAATAGTGGACCCCGTCTGCAGAAGAGTAGTTATAGTAATCCCTTAACATTATATCTTCATGCAACACTTTGAATACTTCATACAAATACACTTCAAGCAGCTGCATGCATACACACACGCACACACACAAGTCCTTTTCTCTATTATATATAGACCCATATTCACTTGAATCAGATGTTTATCTACTTATAGCAAGGATCACTCACCCGAGGCAAACGGTGACCTCCAAAAGCCGCACCAAACAAATCACCTGCTTGTGTTCTTTCCGGAAATGGGTCAATAATGGTATAATCATCTCCCCTTCTACTGACAGACTTTCTTCCTCCATCCTTCAAATCACTGAATTTGACTCTATTTTGAGAAGATTTTGAAGAAGGTGCTGGTGACCCACTTGTAGAGCTCTCACTATCAGCACTAGGTGATAATCCAATAACATTCTCAGGTTTCTGTAGAGAAAGCATTTGAGCTTTGTCTAGGTGAGTTCAATCAGTAGAATATCAATGAAAGCTAAGAATGAAATATTAATCTGCTCTTGCATAAATTACATGAAAATACACGTTTTAGTAGTGTATGTTATTAAAGATAGATAGTTATATACAGATGTGATGGCCCAACAGAGCAGACAAAATAAATTGTAGCTTAAAAAGGAGAGGAATGTCATCTCATCAACTAAATCCTATGTTTTGTCCTTCCCAAACAAACAACATAAATATATGGTGTCCACATTCAACTCATATGTCAAAGGAAAAAACTGGAACTTACTTTCAGTTTAAACCATCCAAGCATTCCGCGTCTCTTGTTTCTTTTGTAATCTTTGACCAACTCATCTAGATTAGTGATCTCATCCCTTCCTTCCACTGAAAGCTCAGAAGCATAACTTCCAGCATCATCATCAACCAGGTATTCCCGCTTCTTATCAGGCAGATATGCAAGCTGCAGAAAAAAATGGGTCAATGGTATCTAACAAACAAGGAACATATTGCCAATAGATGTCACTCAAAATACAATTCAGCAAATCTGCAATCCATCTTAACCGCTGAAAATCCCACACCTCATCTTCCCCAAAAGAATGTCTCCGTCTATGAGTAGGTCGTTCAGATATGCTTGGTGGGATAGTATTTTTCGTGGACACTAAGATTAGTTTAGTCAGTCGTTGTATTCTTCCCATTAAAGCTGCCTTGGCTTCTTCTTCCTCTTCCAATCTTGATTGCAATTTCACCTGACCAGCTTCCAGCTTTTACATGACAAAACAATACTTATTAGATGCAAACAACAAACAACTGAATCCAGAGTGAAAATTAGCTGTTCTAAATAGATGGCATTAGGGACTTCAAACATTCTGTAGCTTGCACCTCAAGGAATTGTAACATTGCACTCCAATCTAGATTATCATATTGTTCGTCAGGCAAAATATATATATATATATATATATCATATGGTTCTAGCCTCTTGTTATATAGATAGTTCTTCCCTCCTAAGGTCCTTCAATTTTCGGCAGACTGACTAAATATGGGAGAATGAAATGAAGAAAGCCTAAGATGAACCACAATGCATCCCAGCCGTCCATCTCTAATCTAACAATTAGAAGACAGAACATGACTTCGTTCGAAGATCTAACTTAAGGACCTTAGGATAGGATTTTTATTGATTTCTACCCAAAGCCTTCAGTAACAAATACAGACGAAAGTATGCTAATATTTGTTAGCTCTCCCAATGTAGTAGCACCAACCTGAAGCTTCAAATTAACCAGGTCTTCCTGAGTAGATATAACTGTATTTGGATGCTCCATCATGCCACGTTTTAATTGCTGAAGTTCTTGCTTTAAACTGGAAATCTCCCTCTGATATTTCTTGATAATAGACTTTTCATCCATAATCTAAAAGGAAACAAAAATGTGATTGGAAACAGTTACATGTATTCATAATTTCTATTAGCTCCACTTCGCCAAAAAAAAAGAATTTAGAAAACAAATGTGCAATTCACCTTATTTTGGGAAGCCTTGATTTCCACGCGCTTACTCCGATGTGCAAACTTCAGTGTGTTGTGTGTTTCCTCACTATTGCTAGATGCAGGGGTCACAGTGCAAATGAGCTAAAACCACCATAACAAGAACATCCTCCAGAATCATTAACCACATTACTATTAACAAAAAAGATACCTTACATGACAACTAATTGGATAGTTCCAAAGAGAAATCTGATAACATGAACACTGGATGATCCAGAAGTGTTGCATTGAACTTACAGATATACGCCCATGACCACTGAGGGATGACTGCAACAAACGAGTGAGTTTTGAATCTCGATATGGAATATGAGTTGCCTTTCCATCTGTCAATTTAGAAATCACCTGAAACAAGAGCCAATTATTATATTAAAAAGGTTACTGAGAAATGCACTGAAAACATCTATTGCCCAGTGCAACATATAGGCAAATGAAAAATCTCGAGCCCTACACCTCATGTTAATTTATCTGGAGTCGACCAATTCTCCAACATCATGCCATGATAAGTAATCGAAGAACCATGACAAAGTTAACTATCCATATTTAGAGAGTATATACACAATTATGCACCGATAGATGATAAAAACGAGAACTGTGCGAAACAAAACATACTATATTATTATGATAAATTAAAATATTAGGAACTTTTTAGTAAATTTCATTGCAACATAAACGAATTTTGGAAAAAAATTCATGCATGAAATAACAAAGGGCAAAATTATGCTAATAGGTGGAATTATGGGACTTGTTTTTATTTCAGGTAGTACAACGCAAATCAGCAAAGACTAAAATAAGCATTATCATACAGTGCCAAGCGTGAGTAAGCTTTTATTGATGTATGAACCCTCCTTTCTTCGCAATCCAGTTGTTTCAGTTTTAGAACTTTCTGATCCTGCAAGATCAATTAAGTGCTGCCAAGGAAATTTGAATTATATAGGGTTCAGCATCAAATTGTAATGAAAATAATATCTGACCAGATTGCAGGGCCAGATCAACTAAACTATGGTGGGCATTTTCAAAGATGAGAAAGGCATTACCAACTGGGACAAGGTGACATCTTCTTCATCATGATTCTCACCTCGTGGACTGCTTTCAATAGTCTGATGAATTGTTACAGGTTAGAAAAGTTGAACCAAAAGTAATGCGATTAATACAAGATTCAGTAGCTACTTCATGAAAGCCTTATGACACTGCCATCGCTTTACAAAGAAAGTGCTAAGCATATGAACAAATTACTACAACTTTTATAAATTAGTCTACAATTGGTTATTTAACTTGTTTTTAAATGGTTGATTACATTTAAATTAAAATTCCTTTCAACAATCAGTAGTTTTGAGTAAATTAAAAATTCAGAAAAGACTCATGGGAAAGAGTGATTAGATGAAAAAAGGCAACAACCTAACAGAATCGGGCTTTGTGTAACAGAATAGACACCTTTATCACATTGAAATTAAATAAAAAAAGTTACCAATGTGAATATAGTGTGGCTGCGACTGCTAAGTAGATTGAAATTATTAGAACCAACGTGCCTATGTTCTGCAATATCAAGGAAAAAATGAATGTTAAAGGTGCTCAGCAGCACAAACAGTGGCTGGCAAAGATACAGAGAATACGCAAATGGGATGGAAAAGCAACAACAATGTGTAGAAAAATGACAAAGGGAATGCAGTGCTCATCAATGCCTATGAAATTGTAATATTAGATTCAGATACGAACATTAAGCAGAGACAATAAAGTTTCCACCCATATCGTGTAGACAAAAGTAATCATGTTAATACCTTCTCCTGTTGCTATCAAAGAAAGAGCATGAGCAGGAGATAAAACAACTTCCTCTTTGATTGCTTCAACATAGGTTCCCTGCCCAATAAAATAAAACTTTCAAATGATAAGGTTAAACAATTTTGGCAAATCAGTCTAACTATTTCCAACAATATGTGAACTGAAGGGCATTTAGTCAATGTTAATTACGAATCCTGAAACGCACAAGTTCAAGATACAAATTACTTGAAATTAAATCAGAACCAGATCTGGTTCCAGTTCAGGAGATAAGGTTTAGGGTTTAAGGTTTAGTTTTGAGTAAATGTCAAAGGAATCAATTATTTAAAGACAAACCTTGAAACTAACATAATACTACGTATCAATCAAAGAAGAGAAAGTCGCTCTTCTTTTGAGAATTAAGGGTGCTAAATTGCCAGGTGAAAGTTTGTCACCAGAATACATAGGCCAAAAAACTACCAGTTTGAGCCAAAAAATTCTATCATGCATATGAGAGAAGGGGAAGAGGAGATGCTAAACATACTATAACTGCAACATGAGGCAAAGATGAATCAGGGCTATACATAAAGGGCAGCATAGTGCACAAGACTCCCGCCAATGCATGGTCTAGGGGCAAGACATACACAACATGTTTCCAGAGAGAGAGTTTCCGAGACACAACCCCGTTTTCTAGGTGGCTTGGGGCAAGCCATTCCATTGACTATGAACTAGATGATTTCTAAGAACTGGAACTGTCTCTTTTCCATTAAACATATTTTAAAACTTATCTATATCCAAAGGCCATATTCTACATTATTTCTAGAGTATGATTATGTAGGCTGAAATCCTCTAGGTGGCCAAAGACCATACTCATGCCAACTCCATGTGCAGAAACTTATTTTTCCTGTACTATACTCATATTTCCTTGTCCTCTTAGAGTCATGCACATTATTACATTTATAGCATACAAAATTTCCAGTATGTCAGTTTAGAACTTTAGATAAAGAAAAAAAACATGCAAGAAACCTAACCAAAGTGGAAAAGATCTTTCAAGAGCTATCGTTGAGCAAAAAAAAAAACAGAAAGAGCCAAGCACACAAAAAGAGTGTCAATTCCTTTATGAACATAAGCACCTGAGCATCCTCTCTTATTCGTAAATTCTGTCCTGTTGGATCAAGTAAGTCATTTATGACCTGGAAAAACAAAAGGAACAAAATAATAAGATGGTAATATATCACTACCCTTCCTAATGAAATTACACTTCAAAAGACTAATACAACAATGACCACATTCCAACTGAAAGCTTTAGACAAAGGAACTAGATAAAACTGACCTCATTGTAAATTTCCAGATATGAAACACGAAGAAGAAACTCCCGCCCAGGTGTCTGACACATGATAAAAAGGTTATGTAAACTCAAAATAAATAAATACAATACATATATAAAAATAAGATTACTAATAATTGAGAAATCCATTACCTCTTGTATAATTCCAAAAACATCCTTCACTGCCAGTGGAATAATTCCAGGTGACTTTTGCTCCCCCTGAAATACAAAATAAAAACTAAAAACACTGAAAAATTGAAAGACGTGTGATATCTGTCACAGTAAGATATCTATCACAGTAAGGTCCACAATGAGCAAGAAAACTGCAGGAAGAATAAGAAGGAATCCCTTCACTGGGGTGAAATGTAAAGAAAACACAACTAACAATGCTGCTTATGACATGGACTCTTTTTCAAATGGCATCAATGCATCAGTCTGAGACAGCTATAGATTGCAGATGCAAAATTTATGAACAGCTGGTAGCCATAAAGTCCAAAATGAGCTAGTGAAAATATTGGCCTAGAAAGGACAACTCCTGACTTTAGACAAATACTCTAGACTCCATCAACTTACATGCATTGTATGCGTCTTCCCACTACTAGTAACACCATATGCAAACACAGTACCTGCATACAAACAGAGCAGTTTTTAGCCATCAACAAGATATCCATCACCATCTACATACTAACCTTCCTATATAATATCTGCATCAGAAAACAACAAAATAATTAAAACCACATTAGGGTAAACTGTTTACCATTAATCCCTTGCATAACACCACTGACAACATGCTGTGCAGCAACATCATAGACATGGCGTGTTGTTGTTGCCGGACCAAAAACCTTATCTGCACCCCTCACCCCCCAAAATAGTAGATGGGCAGTTAAAAAACCAAAGTTTCTAACTACTCGCCGATAAACAAATAAAACAATATATGCCAAAGTCCATAACTTCCAAATGCAGCCTATGAGTCAAATATACTTGTGTCTATAACTACAGAAATTGAAGCAACAACAAAAAGAGCATAATTGAATGCAAAATTAGTGAGGAAAAAAAACACTCACCAAAGCCATAAGCAATGGAAGAATTGAACTCGTTTCTCACGGTATAATCCCCATCTGCATACCACGCTATCTCGTCCCCTTTGTTAATCTCACGAGCACTGCCCAAACCAAAAGTCAAAACCCACATTTCAACCAAAACATCAATTTCGCTTCTTAAAAAAACTAAAATAAGCACGCCGGCGGTGACGGAGAAGTAGGTAACAGCCCAATCGTAGAAGAAGCAGTACCTGAGGGGGCGAAACCTGACGGTGACGGTGACATTTTCCTTGGACTTGGAGACATTGGGCGGGGACGGCGGGTTGGGGCTGGCAGAGGAAGAGGGCGGAGACAGAGAGGGCTTGGACGGGGTGGGCCGAGACGACGTCGTGGAAGAAGAAGGGGTGGCCGGCCGAGAAGACGCCGTAGGGGGCTTTGTGGACCCCGCAGGCTTCCGGGAGCGGAAAGGCGAGATGGAGGATCTTTGTGACCTTGAGCTTGAGGTGCCGCCGGAGAACATTGCTAGGTGTAGAGAGAGAGAGAGAGAGAGAGAGAGAGAGAGAGAGAGAGAGAGAGAGAGAGTTAGTGGGAGGAGAGTGGAGGTTTACATGAGAGAGAGCCTTCTCTGGCGCCCGCTGGGTGCAGCTGGTTTTTGGTGTTTGAGAGGCTGAGCGCTCCTCTCCTCCCTCCAAAAACAATACTTTGGTTTTAGTATTTGGTGCTTTGAATTTCTTCTCCTTTTGTCTGCGCCCTGTGGTTTTCATTTTCAATGCCTAGTAAAATGTCCAAAATGCCCTTCCAACGATTCTTCCGCTTTTCCTTTTTCCTTGTTTTTTAGTGGGAATAATATATTAAATTCAGTCAAGTTTTTGTCTTTGGCCGTGTCCCGTGTGTGATAGCCAATGTGACCTTTTCAACTTTTTCCCTTTTTATAAAATGGTCTCTATAAATAAGTAGACACTAAAATAATTATCAAACAGGGCAGTAATTTTGTAAACATTTTTTCCTCAATTTTTTTTAGATTAAAACAAACAAAAACACGGCCGACCTGATTATAGTAACTTTGGTCATTAACATTTGGTACTAGTTTGGTATTGTTGTAGTCAAGACCTCCAAAACACTTGATATGTTTGGGACTGCTTTTTAAATTGTTAGAGGTGACAACTAAAAAGGTCACTGAGAGAGATTGACAAAAAAACTTAAAATATTTGCGGGTCATGAAATTGCTGAAAGTGTATTAATTTCAATCAACTTTTGAGTATAAGCGATAATCTAAATTAAAAATGAGGGAGATTTCTCATACACACAACTAAAATGTCATAGAAGTTCAAACCTGAAACTGCAAGTCAATGTCTTTTTCAGCTGGACTAGACACAATTACTAAATTTAATCAACTTATATGTGCTTATTCATGAATCACTTGAGAAAACATTTGGATTTTAAATAAAAATTTAAAGTCGCACCTAATAAACCGCTTAAGAAAGATGATTATGAGCAGAAGTAGCTCATAATAACATTAGTATTATTATGGTTTTTACCAGAGAAGCAAAGCCCAATATGTAGATTTTATTTTTATTTTCGGCCAAACAGCCCAAAAGGGTATCCCGAACTCAAAAATCAAGTTGGCGCCATTGCGGGCTGGGCTCACTGAAAAACCTCCGATTCTCAGTGAGAAGAGCTAAGAAGTCGACTCTACCATGGCGGAGGTGATCACTGTCATGGACATCGACGACGATAACAACCCATCTCCAAAACCCAACAACAACAAGGGCAAAAACGTCGTTGTCGCCGCCGCCCCTTCCCAGGGCAAAGCGACGCCGTGGGTCGAGAAGTACCGTCCTCAGTCACTCGCAGATGTCGCCGCTCACCGCGACATTGTCGACACCAGTAAGCAATTTCTTCTTCCCACGATTTGCCATATCAAGTGTTGCACTTTTTAGGGTTTTTGTTGATTTTGCTTGTTTAGTTTCTCTCCGTTGTAATTATTTGCTGTAATGTTTGGTTGCCTAAAAAATGTGGGAACGAGAAGATGTTCGTTTGTGTGTTTACATTCGTATGCATGTATATATTTGAGAAAGGGAGTACATAGAGAAAAGAAGCACACTTTTCCCTTCCTTACCATCAATAAGGAGAGCCTAGGGTTTTTGCTTCATTTCCCCAATGTTTCAATTTTCTGCATGAGTTGCAGCAATTATAAAGAGCATAAATGAGGATAATTTCAATGCTTATAAGTTGTTATCCTCCCTTTAGTTGTTTTGTTATCGATTCATTCATCTTGTTTTTTTGTGGTGGGGTTAAATAGTTGATAGGCTCACTAGTGAGAACAGATTGCCACACCTCTTGTTGTACGGCCCTCCTGGCACTGGCAAAACTTCAACCATTCTTGCTGTGGCACGCAAGCTCTATGGAGCACAATACCACAATATGATTCTGGAGTTGAATGCATCGGATGATAGGGGTATTGATGTTGTGCGACAACAGATCCAAGATTTTGCTAGCACACAGAGTTTCTCATTTGGGTAAGACTTCAATTTGTGCTAATCATCTATTAGTTTATATTTTGGTGATATCCAGGTTTGGTCTGCTGGTTGTTTTTCTTCCTTCTTAAGATTGTAAGATTTCAGACCACCACAGATGGCTATGCGTTGTGATATTATTTGACCTATTTGGTGCATGTTATTTACAAGTGCAATGTTGTCATGTTCAACAATTAGCCATGTAAATTAATCTTACGGTCTGATTATGTCTGTTGTAATTTCCAAGATAATTTGCTTTTTAGCTTAATAATCACTGGACATGTGTCACCTTATTATATAACTGATTAGCAAGGGTTCAGGGGTGACAGTGCAAAGTCATCTGTAAAATTGGTCTTGCTGGATGAGGCAGACGCTATGACAAAGGATGCTCAATTTGCTTTACGAAGAGGTATGAATTTTTTTAATGCACTAGAGTTTATCAGTTCCAAGTTATTTCACTGATTCTTTTTCCTACTATACTTTTGTTTTTGGTGTAGTGATTGAGAAATACACAAGGAACACTAGGTTTTCACTAATCTGTAATCATGTCAACAAGATTATTCCAGCATTGCAATCAAGATGTACTCGTTTTCGATTTGCTCCACTGGAGGAGTTTCATGTCTCAGAGAGACTCAAACATGTTATAGAAACTGAAAGGTAAGTACTGTTTTATTCACATTTTTTTGGGTGTTCTGATTTTGCCTAAGTGTAGATGTTGGCTTTTGCATCTTCCTCCAGAAGATGAAAGTTAAGTTTTGCTCTGATTTTACCATTGGTATTCATGCAAGGTTCCCCTCTGTAGCAGTTTACTATTTATATCCATTTCATCAGAGTCAGGTTTAAGTGGGAAGAGGTGTACTGCTGGAGTTTTTTTTTGGCTTACGCATTGTTCAACAAGTTCATGCTAGAGGGGATTTTTTAATTTTATGTTTGCCTTAAATGCATCAAGAGTTATCTCTAAAAATGTGATTCACTAGTTAAGGGGATTGAATCATAAAATGTGTTTCACTAGTAAACGGGATGGTTGTTGCTTTTTCTATCTGGCTTCAGTCAGAAATATAATGATATGTTGACATTTATGGATTGGACTAGGCTTGATGTGTCTGAGAGTGGCTTGGCGGCAGTTGTGCGGCTTAGCAATGGTGACATGAGAAAGGCTCTGAACATTTTGCAGGTTATAAGATCTCTACTCTGATGTTTCTTTTCTGTGGATTTGTCTATTCCTCTCTCTTTTTCTGTGCAAAATCTGTGTGTGGCTATGAAGCGATTCATAAAATGACAGGTTAGAGAAATGAATTTTTCTGTTATGTTAGAATCTTATGAAATCAAATGATATTGTCATTGTATTTAGTCTCTAATATTGTCAATGTGATTGAGTATGACTGTATAAGTAAAATCTGTTGTAGCAGAAACTCAAATTACTTGTGGTTGGGTTGACTTGCTGATTTTTTTCTTGCAGTGTGTTTAATGTTTCAAAAGTTTGCTACTTGTGCATTCCTCTAATCATTTTGCTTCGGCGGCAATATTTCTTATTTAAGAACAAATTGCATTATTCTTACTTCCTTGAAGTATTTTGTATTTAAGTATGATTTAGAAATAATCTTGAACGGACAGTTTTAATTATGAAATTGATGATTTTTTTTTCTTCACGAATAGATCTTAAATGACACTGTGATTCCTATTTCAATGTACACAGTCAACTCATATGGCTTCACAGCAGCAGATAACAGAAGAAGCAGTATATCTTTGCACAGGAAATCCATTGCCCAAAGACATTGAGCAAATATCCTACTGGCTTCTGAATGAATCATTTGCTGAGAGTTTCAAACGTATTCAACTATTTTATTTATTTATTTGTTGTTAATTCTATTCTCATAGGCAAGAGCAGTATGCCACTGGAAAAAGTTATTTGGTGTTTACATTTTACACTTCATTTATTGCAGGAATATCCGATATGAAAACAACTAAAGGGTTGGCTTTGATAGATATTGTAAGAGAAGTGACCATGTAAGTCTTACACATTTTTCTACATTTGTTCTTGACTATTTTTGCTTGCTTCATCTCATCTATGCTACTTTCTTTGAACAGGTTCGTTTTTAAGATTAAGATGCCACCAGATGTTCGAGTTCAGTTGATTAATGATTTAGCTGACATAGAGTATGTGCCCATGTCTTACTCTCCTTTTCATTTGCTTATTGTTTTCTTCATTCTGAACTATACAAGCTTATTGCAATGTTGTAATGGATACACATGTTCACAATATAATGAACGATAGAGTGCATCAATTTGCTTCAAAAAGGCTTTGTGTAGATTAAATTAATGTCAATATTTTCGCGAATATAATATTGTCTGCATTAGATGTAAAGTCATTTCATTGGACAAGCAGCTATAATCATTATGAAACTGGTATAATGCATTAGCAGAAATTATTGCTGCCTTAAGGGCTTGCAAATATATGATACTCTAGATTGTATAACAAAATTACGACAAGCTTTCTAATTAATCTTTCATGTTGTGAAAATTAAAAGATACAATATAATTTTGATTTAGTTTTTGGATTTTGGAGTTTGTTCAATACCAATTGACTATGCGGTTAAAAGTCGGAACTGGCTGAGCTTCAGTTAACATTAACCAGTACAAGTTATTTTGAATCGCAGGTACAGGTTGACCTTTGGGTGCAATGATCGGTTGCAACTTGGATCATTGGTAGCTTCTTTTACGACAGCTCGATCTGCACTTGTTTCTGCTGTGAAGTAGTTATGCTCGTGTAATTTGTGGGTTTCGATTTCTGTTACCAATGTACTTATGAGACAAATGTTTTGGTTCATTACTCTGTTAATGCACAAGTAGAGAGAATGCCAAGATGTTATAATGCCGGATGTTAGTTTTGAAACCTCAAGGCAATTTTGGGGAAGTTCTGAGCTCTAAGGCTTGTGTCATCTGCAAATGTGCTTATGGAGAATCTTGTCCATGAGTATAATTAATGGCTCTAATTAGAGGAAACAATTAAGGATTTTATTGTTAATCTTATAACGGAAACACAACACCTGTACAACAAAAAGCTATTCCAACTTTGCAAGAATTTCAAACGCCAATCTTTTCAGCATCTTTGGATTGCCATGGCACCTACAGACTGACTGACCGACCTGTACAAACTTCCATTGAGCTTTTAAATTCCCTTATAAAGTGGGAACGCATTTTCACTCTATTGTATCCGCAAGCTAATAAATGTAATTTACACTTTCCTCAAGCAGCTTAATCTTTCATACTACAAAACTGGACCTTCAATACATAAAATTAATTACAAGCAGACCAACCTCACCCCCATTTTGATACTTAATCTGGCATTCTCAGCTTCATGGGGAGATTGCTGCACCTGACCTTAGGATGCATTCAAGTTTCTTCGTCGGACATTCTGTTAGACCAGATAATCTCGATTTCAAGTGTACGGGAAGATCCATCTTTGTTGCTGTCATGATTTAGGCTGAATAATCCACTGTATACTCCTTCACTCACAACTTTGTCAATTTGGATAGTCACTCTTCCCAGAGTTGTCTGAAAAAAGAATAACAATCACAAAATGAAAAGAAAAACTCGTGGGACTAAACATAATTAGTGTGGCAATGCCAATTATCAAGGCAAGAAGGGTACTCATCATATATGTTTAAGGCCTACACTTATGAAAAAATTGAAAAATTAGCTCATCCTGCTCGTAAATGACTTGCTGATCGAAACAGAAAACTAATTACCTTTCCAAAGGTATTTTTGCTTTTGCAAATGATGTGGAGTTTTTGTCCCTTTGGGGGAACGTCAAATTCCCACGTAAAGCCTTCTTTCCATTCTGGAGAGGTACTGTGGCTCACTACCTAATGACAAACAACATTTTAGTATAACATAAAAGCTGTAAGCATAGACAAGTAATAAACATCACTACTAATATGTACGGTATGAAACTTCTTTATTAAAGAAGCGTATGAAACAAAGTCACTTTGCAGCTTCAACACGTGTTGACAAATCCAGAGACAAAGTAAACAGTAAATTTATAGTCAAATCCACTAAGCTCATCTATATACATACACATATACATATAATCTAGATTCAAAGAAAGAAACAAATAAACTCGTAAATCTTTGCAAGACCAATGTAAGATTAGGGAACTTGCAGGCAGCTATGTCAAAATTATAGTGCAGACCTAGATGCTGACAAGTCACTGCAGTAGCGACAATATTTTGAATCATTTCTTTCCAAATACCATCATGCCAATCCCTTGAGAGCCACCCCCAAGGGGTCCCTGGTAATTATCCAATATCCAGTATGTATGGGATTGGGGTACATGTGGCCCAGGATTGATCAGGTGCTCTAAAGAGGCCAGAATCTGATACCTCATATGAAGTGAGGAATAGGAGAAAGAAAAGAAAAAGAAACTTTTTCCAGGAGTAAACAATCAATTTATCATCCCCCTAACTTAAGAGAAGGGGCTATGAAATAGACAGTTTCTTTTTGTACATAACTAGTCTATGGAACCATTACCTTGGTTTGTCGAGGAGGACCATTGCCTATTGTCAATCGACAAAAAGCATTTGTGCCTCCCATGGCCTGTTTAAGGTTGTTCCCACGCTTAATTGTGACCGTCAAACAACCTGGTAAGCAATGCAACAGGCTGTCTGCTCTCTCATGGAAACTTGGTGGGCAGGTTTTCATGAGCATTTGTAGGATGGGAATGGCTTCAGCAGCAATCCCAGCCTGAGACTTCGCAATATCTATTGGCATGGTTGACCAAGAATGTCTCAACAAGCAAAGGGTGTCCAAGACGACATCCTGAGCTGCTTCACTTCCAGATTTCAGAGCTCCAATCAGATTGGGAATGCAGAGAGTGGTTGCTTCAGAAATATGGAGCTTTGGGAAGTTGATGAATATCATATGTAAGGCTCTCAAGACCTCTTCATTAATAGTTGCCGCAGACCACAACTCTCTCTCTAATGCAGCTGCAAGACACACCAATCATTGGATCCAATAAATCAACAGAACACAATGAAAGAAAGGATAAGAGTATTTGAAACACACACATACACATGAACCGAACCACTCTTCACTACCTTGATGGAAGATTTAAATGACAGCATGAACATGGTTATCAAGACATATGCTACCAACTCATAAATATGTACAAAGAATGTACATGAGAATGAGCTTAGCTTTAGTCTTTTAGACTATAGGGGAACAAATCAGCATTGGAACCAGAGGACTGCAAATGTGAATTACCTGTCAAAGATCTGATGAGCTCATTTGATACATACTCTTGGAGTGTGTGATTAGAAAACAAAAATTTGATAAGTAATGCTGTCTGCCCAGCGATTTCTGTATTGGGAGACAGTAGCAGTTCTTGAATAATCAGTATGCCCCCTGCTTCTGCAACAGCTCGCCTATTTGTTCTGCTATTCATGACAAAGTTCTGCAATGCACAAATTGCCACCATTTTCATCTCTTCTGTTGGCTGATCTTCAAGCAAACTTACCAATGCACGACATGCAGAAACAGAATCACTGGCTCTTGCAAGCCCTTCATGTTGGGAAAGGTCTCCAAGAGCTAGAGCAGCAAGAAGTTTTCCAGACTGTGATCTGGTTTGTGGATCCAACAGATACTGCGATAGGGGTGCTATTGCATACTTGGAAACCTTCATTTGTCGTATCCTGACATTGTTAAATAAAGCTTCAAGTAATCTTCCAGATGCTTCTTCACACTGATGAGATCTTAAAAGGTCCAACAAGGCGTCTATAGCACCACCTTCAGTCATCTGTTCAGCACTTAAATTGTCGCTCCTTTCATGAACAAGTAACGCATTGAGAGCCACCATGATGGTGGTATCCACTGTTGAATGCAGCATTTTAACAAGAACCACCACAGGAACCTTAAAATAGTACTCAGCATTGAAGTGCAGAACATTTGAGAGAACTAAAGCAGCTGATTCCCACAGTGCATGAGGTGGCTGAGGGTCATCTTGAATAATAACCTTCCCAAGCTCAAATATACCTCCAGCATCAGCGACTGCCTTCGGCCAGCTTGTGGAGATATTTTCCAATGCCTTTATTGCTGTCTGCTGCAAGTTTAATATTCCAATTCCTGCAAGCTGAACAAGAGGAACAACTGCATTTTTTGTCGTAATATCTTGCTGAAAATGTTCTTGTGCAAGCAGATGAGATAGCAATTCTGTGCCAAGCTGCTGGATGGCTTGAGATGGGGATTCCAGAAATGAAATAAGAGGCTCGATGACTTGGCTAGGTGTAAGTTTTAAAGTTGCAAGGCTTTGTGGCTTCTCCAAAATATTTACTAGTGCTTGCAATGCACTGTGCTGTCCCCACAAACTGAAATCCGGACGGAGTAAAACTAGGAAAAGAGGTTCTACTATTTTTGCAGCATCCAAACTTCTTGCAATTGCATTACTATTTGTTAAAATGCGGAACAATTCAGCAATTGAAGAGCATAATGAACTGGGCGCTACAGGTAGTAGCTCAAGACATTTGTCAATAATGCCAACATTGACCATATCCAATTTGCATGGGGTCCGGTCTTTCCCCAACTTTATGAGAGAACAGACGCTAGCCTCAATGAGCTGATTGCTTGTACCAGAAACTAATCCAACAAGGAGATCCACAACATCATAGGCCATTGCAAGCTCCACCTGGTGTTCATCATCCAGCAATTTTTCAAAAGCACAAACCCCAGCTTCGACAACTGTACTTGTATCAGAATGCATCAGTGATACAAGGGGCTCTATGCATTCAGAGGCAATTGGATTTCCTCTGACTTCAGAATTATCAAACAGAACACAACAGAGTTGTGCAGCGATTCTCTTCAATTCCATGGATGAAGCACAAGACAGGATTTTGTACAAACTCTCCAGTGGACTTCCCTCCACATCAGTCAATAAAGATGCTTTAGAAGAATTTCCTGAAGTCAACTTAAGTAACGCAACAAGGGCAGCCTCTTGCTCGCTCTCTGATACAGAGTTAAGCATGTCAACCAATGGATGAACAGATTGCCTGGCTAAATCAGAATCTCTGATGTTCTCAGCGTCAAATAGTTCATGAAGAGCTCTTGCAGCACTATATCTAGCATTTCTTGACCCTAGACGCAGAACGGCTATGAGTTGATTCAATGAACTAGCTGATGCTTCATATCGAATGAGATCGGGATTGCTAAATAATATTCTGAATAATTCAGTTATTGTGGCTTCGGTGGAGTCTTGAGGGCTCAAAGACAGGTATTTTGTCAGAGCATCCAGAGCTCCAGCTTCAGCCATAATTAATTTATTTGTATCACTTCCATCGGCAATACGGGTCAAGAGTTTAACAGAAATTGGAGGGGCACCAGGACGTTCTGCCATTGGTCTCAAGAGATCCACCAGGAGAGGTATAGATTTACGTGCTGTGGATCCAACTCTTACATCTTCAAAATCAAAAAGGTACTCCAAAACAACTTGATCGGGATTTCGCACCAGAGAAAATTCTTCTGATAAAGTAACAAGGTTAGGCATGTCGGACTCTATGTAACCAATTAGGGTTATCAATCCAGCAACAGCACCTGAATTTGCAATGGCAAGAATTATTCCCTTACTACCATTAGAAACAAGACTGGCCATTGACTGCGCAGCAAAGAACCTATCAATCACCTCATCCGATCTCAAAAGAAGAGAAAGTAAAGGAATGATGCGCATTGTTGCAGGAGACAGAACAACATTTGCATCTTGGAACAGAACAGCCAGGAGCAGGGCACTAATCCATATACCTTCTGTATCCTCATATTCTGCCTGTTCATAAAGATGACCAATTTAGTAAGATATCAAAATTTATATTTTATGTGTGCCAAAAAAGCAACTAAAACATGAAACAACAACTACCATGATACAGTCAAAACTATAAATGAGAAACTACAAAGCTCTTCAATAGCTATACTCTGGGAACCCGTGTTACATCTCTTGTCACTAATGTAGCTCCATAAACACTAGCCTTTTGTGCAAGTCCAATAATGTGACAAGCAGGAATGTTCAAAAGTTACTATCAAGTGATACTAGTAGGGTTCCCTACCAAAATAGTAGTTTGTGTGGAAAGCAGCTATGAGTCATTTGAAGGTTATTGAGAGCCTGGTAGAACGAGATAAGATAGTTTGTAGTTGCTGTCCTATAAATAAAATTGAAAGGAAACCAAGAGGACGCGATATACAGAATATATGCCAAAGAGAAGTGCCTTATCACAACTAATCAGATTTCAATCCAAATTCATTAGTGCAAGAAAAATATGTCCAAAATATAGTGTTTGTTATAAGGTATTTTAGGCAACCAAACCACCAGAGGAAAAATGCCAGTACTAAATGATAAAGGGGTGAAGGAAGAGGTCAGGGGGTATGAAAGCATTTCAGGGATCAGACTTTCAGTTATATTTAATATTCTTAATGAATGTAAGTAGCACACATAAACATCTTAGCATCTCTCAATAAGGGTATGATTCTTTATGATGAACAGATGGCATCACTCGCATATTAAAATCCACCACGATCAACAATGATTTATTTCTTCAAAATTATGTAGTATCCATATACCTTGATCAAACATATAATTCAGCAAAACGAAAGATATAGGTATACAAGTGCTCATCAGAACAACCTATCTAACGGTAAGCGTGTGTGTGTGTGTGAGTGCTCATCAGAACAACCTGTCTAATGGTAAGCGTGTGTGTGTGTGTGTGAGTGCTCATCAGAACAACCTATCTAATGGTAAGCGTGTGTGTGTGTGTAAACTAATTCTTTTATACCTGTGGATTGGAAGTGTAACCTGCAAGCTTGTCAGAGAGAGCCTCAAGACCACCAGCTTCCATAATGGTGAGTTTGCTCTTTGCATGAAAGGCACCGATTATGCATAGCAACCACAAGGCAACAGTACCCCCCAAGACAATGGCTGGATCAGGGACATCAAACTCATCCCCTTCATGGAATGCAGTTCTTTCAATAAAACCTCTAGGAGTTCTGACTTCAATTTCCAAAGAGGAGCAGCTAGAATTTCGCTTTATCATGTCCACTAAAGCATATGTTAACGGTTTTAAATATCCTGCAACATCAAGTACTTCCATTGACTTCTGTTTGTGCTCTTTTGCTGAACAAATGAGTAATGCAGCTCCTCCAACTCTGACTTCTAGGCTCGAAGAGTGCATTATCCTGTTAGCTAGTGAACCAAGGGATCTTGATCTTGCAATCAATAGATCACCAAGCACTACTGGTTGCTCCCCACAAAGCCTAGACAAAATTTCTATTGACTTATCCTGAAGTGGAGGAGGCCCTTCAGCCAGGCATCGGACAAGAGGTTCTAAGCTTGATGGAACTTCAGCAAGGGCAGACCATGGGGGGTAAGTGAAGTTCACACCTTGTTTAGTTCTAGCCAAAAGTGCGACTACTTCCAAAGCATCCGCAGCATCAGTCCCATCCATATCCAATACATTCAAGGAATCAACAAGAGCAAGAATAGCAAAACGACACTGAGCATTTCCTGTGAGCACATCACCTACTGGAAAATGCTTCAGCAATTGATGAAGGGCACGGGATGCATTCTTCTTACCTTCTGAAGTTCCATCTCCCAGTACTCTTATCAAAGCTAAAACAACATCTTCTGCCAGGGCTTCTGCAGCAATATGCGGATCAGAGAGAAGATTGGCAAGTGCCGCAACTGCAGTTTCAGCAGCATCAATGGAAGAAGTTTTAGCCAGTTTGATGAGGGGCTTGACATCACCTTCTGCAATATAAGACATCTTGCTTCTTGTTTTGGTCTTCAAAGGACGGGAAAGAGCACCCAATGCTCGAGCTGACTGTGTTGCAACAACTTGTGTGGTGCTGGTCAAAAGCTTCATGCAAGGATGCACAATCTCATCAGTTGCAAGAATATCACAAATATCTTGTCTTGTGCTGAATAGATCAGCTAGGACCGAAGCAGCATACTCTTGAGTTTCTTCATTTGATGAGTTGAGAACCTGTACAAGAGATCTCAGCCCTTTATTAGCTGCTGAACCTTTATGCACAAGATCCTCATGTGATGCCATTATGAGTACATGACCCAACACCCTGATAGTATAGGCCTTTGAGCTTGGAGAGTCACCGAGGAGCAAAGCTAACAACTGATTAATGGTGGCAGAATCAGCTGTTCGGACAAGCTTTGTTAGTGCCATAGCTGATGCTTCTTGTCCCCTTGACCCACCACTTTTTAAAAGCCATAAAAATGCTGGGATGGCTCCTGCACTTTCCACACATGCACGAATATCTTCACTGTGACAACACAAATTCCACAACACATGAGCGGCATCCTCCTTCGCCTTTTGAGATCCCATCTCTAACAGCTGCACCAGAGGAGGAATCCCGCCGGCAGCAGTAATAGCCCACTTGCTATCATCGACTTGGTCCGTTAAGATTGCCAGAAACTGAACAGCATATTCTTGATGCTGCTCACTGGATAATCCCATCAGTGAAATAAGTAATTGAATTCCTTCTCTCTTGCCAATGGAGTCCCAGATTCCAACACCATCGCAACATAAGCTTGTCAAAGAGAGTATTAAATACTCTTGCACATCAGCAGCAGCCATTGTTATGAGTCCAATGAGCACCTTCTTCGCTTGTGCATGATTGAGCCAACTGGAAAGATGGTTGTTGCCATATAGACTAGCCATGGCCTCAAGGACACGCTCTTGAACAAGCTTATTGTCACGAGGCTTTAGCAACATTACAAGAATATCCTCTATCTTTGTTACATTAACAGATTCCTCATTGGCACCAGATTTATGCCCAAAGACCATCAGCGTGTATGCAAGAGCTCCGATAATGTCAGCAACCGGGGAAGTTAGCCGAGGTGACTGTGAAAGTTCTCCAAGATATAATATTAAAGAAGACATCCCACCACAAATATTTGCTAAAGCCCGTGTTGCATGGTCCTGCAGAGCCTGCCCACACTCACCTTGCATGCACTCTTTAGATGGAGCAACTATTGCCCCAATGAGAACTGGAACACCGTCAGCATTCACAATAGCTTTCTTAGCCCCAGTTGACTTTGAAGAAAGCACTTCCAAAGCATCAGCAGCACTAGCACGGACGGAAACATCATTTTCCTGACCCACAAGCCGAAGCAAAGCTTTGACAGCTCCAGCATCTATTACTTTCGGGATGCTATCACTGAAAGCCAACATGAGACGGGCCAAAAGGGAGGCAGCATTTGACTGGGCAGCAGCATTGTCGGAAGACAGAAGACCCACAATGATATCTACTCCACCAGCCTCAAGCGTTGCTCTCCAGTAGCCATCCTTGTCACCACAAAGATTTCTCAAAGCCCCTGTCACAAATCCCTCTACCACTTTGTCTTGCTTGCTCTTTGGATTGAGTTGATTCCATAAGTTTGGCACTACGCCTTCTGTAATAAATATTTTCATGCCAACATGATCATCTGAAAGCCCACCAGAGGAAACTTCATATATAGCTTCCGCTGCAGCCTTCCTAGCCTCAGTTGATTCAGACTTCAAAAGTGAGAGTAACGGGGGGATGCACCCGCCTAGTAGTACTTTAAGACGCAAGTCTTCATCTTTACACAGGGCACTCAGAGTTGCAGCCACATTAACTTTTGCCACAGGGGTGCCACTCCTGAGAATGTTTATGAACAATGGCATTGCCTGGGAATGTGAACCAATAATTGTTCTTGCATCCTTTCTTGCTTTGGCAATACCAAGCAAACGTGCTGTAATAAGTTCTTTTTCATGTGGTGAAGAAATGCTGGCATGTAGTTGCTCGACAAATTGAGCAACTCTTGCCATTGTACCTTCCTCATCATCCATTGCTGTTCCATCCCTGTGTGTAACATGAACTCATTTGAATATCTTGAAAAGTAAAAGTCAACAGTTTAGGAGATAATAATTTTAAATTTTTTAAAATAAAAAATTTAATAAGCCCACTGAAATGGCTTCTCATTGGGCTTTTCCAGCTCAATATTATTGGTGTACAAAGCTTTACGAAGCACTTAAGTGGCTAATTTATCAGTGAAGCATTCATTTTCTGAACTAAGAATACGAGTTTGTCACCACAGTTAAAGAGACCGAGCAAATAGAGCATAGCTAACCTAGAGCGAGAAGTAGAAGGAGATATGGGTTCTCGCGGTTCAGGGGAGGGAGACTTTGACATTTGCACCATACACCACTTTTAGAATTCTCCTTGGCCACCTGAAAATCGGGATAGGCATACAATTTTATCAAATGTGCAACCCCACCACAAATAAACCACCTTTCAACTATTCATTTTTAATTGTTCATTGACTGAATCGACCTTAAAACTGAGCGACCTGATTCCTGAAGCTGCATATACTTGACAAGATTTCATCGAAATAAGGAAAATACAAGGAATGGTTTTGAACACAATAAACTGAAAACTATATACAAGGTTTGTAGTTTTGTTCTATATACTATTTGCTCTCTACCTCACCTTTCTTCTCTTCATTCTATCCTCCCTCTCTTTTTATTTGTTCCACTAAAATAAAATAAAATAAAAAAGAGAAAATCATGGCCCTAAGGATTGCTCCCGCATTCTGAAATAAAGGCACTCTTTTTCGTGAAGAAAATAAAGGCACTTTACACGAAAATAACATAGGCAAAAATAGATAATAATGAAACCAATACTGGAGAGATCAACTAAAAATACCTCACCACCAATGCAAATGTCGAAGAACTCCCTTCCTTCCAATTACTGCAAAACCCAGCAGTTCTGCCTGAGTAGCATCACAACCTCAGCTCCTCAGCATCCAATCCCCAGTTGTCCATCAACAGACACACACACACCCACTCTCTCTTCACAAACAAGTAAACACTGTTCACAAAAGTACAAATGCTACAGTGCCAGCTCAAACAATACAAACTCCCTTCCCAGTCCAAATCAAACCCCAACACTCTGCACATCAAACACCGATCAATATTGAACCAAAAAGTCAGATCTTTACGCCTATACATCACAATTAGCAATAATTACCAATTTAATCAAGTAAAATTCAGTACAAACAATGTGACTATTCACAAATTTACACAAACACAAGCAAATAACAACAACTACGCAGATCAGATCACAGCAGCATCACATAATCTAGGGTAAGAAAAAACGTCCATTTCCAACTGTCATCAAACTACACAATCATTCAAAAAGAAGAAGAAATTGCATAAACATAAATGCCTCGAAATCAATACAATTCAGCGCCCGCCCAAGAACGACCTTAACGAGAGAGAGCCACGGCGAAGAAGGAAGAACCAGACAGAGAGAAAGTGAGAGTGAAGAAATGGAGGGCTGACAGAGTGACACACAGAGAGACTCCGAGTCTTTCCGTTTCCTTTCCATGTGTGTGTGCATTTTGTTTTGTTTTGTTTTGTTTTTCTTTCTCACTGTCTTTTCCCCAATTACTTTTTCTTTTATTTTGAAAATTCGTTATTTTAATTTATTAATTTCTCTTCTCTTTTTTTTATGGGGATATTTTTGTTTTTTCAACTGCCATATTGTTGTCATGTAGTGAAATTTAGTTTTGGCTAAATATTTCGATTCAAGCTAAGGGTAAAACGGTAAATGTGTTATTTTTTAAAACATGGAAGAAGTTATGGGTTTTATGAGTTATAGTTTTCTTGTACCCGCATTCTAAATAACAATAATTGTGTTGGTTCTTCGTTTCATTATGCATGTTATTTCGAAAATCATTGAAAGATGGACCCTAGATTCAATAATGAGTTCAGATAACCCCATTTTTAATATTATCACACGTTTAAATTTTACCTATTGAATTATAAATGAGTGAATTGTAGTGTAATATGTTATATACGACTGATAGTAGTAGTTTTCTCGTGTATGTTTATATTACTCTTTAGCCTCGTTAAACATGTCAATATGATCACATGTACAAATAATTAAGATTTCATTTTATAATGATCGACACAACAATTAACCTGTTTGATAAGAGGACATTATTCGTGTAAACCAAAGTAGTTGTATAACATATATGTCATACATTTTAGGGGATAAAAACTTTTGTTTAAAGCTGCCACATAATTAACATCTCAACTGCAGCATTCAATTAAGCTTGATGATTCTTTAATTTAGCAACAACTACACTCAAATCATTACGAATTTTGTGCATGAAGTTCATGACGTGTTCATACATGCATTTAAACTGAAATTAAAATGTCAAGTTGGCAACCTAAAGTAAAAGGTTTAATTGTTGATTAATAAAGTTTTCCTTTTCCTTTTTCCCACTTTACAACGATTTTATTGCATTTAATAGTGTTGTCCCAGTGCCTTAAACCTTCCTTAAGCACGCCAAGATGCAGTGTGGGACAAGCTTATGGTATCCCAATTTATTTAATCATCCTGGAGATCAGTGAAAAATAAAAATAAAAATAATACACTAATCTGCATGTCTGCCTGCCTCATTTGTTTAAGTTAAATATTTCTGCTTATATTTAATTATTTATTTACATAAATTGAAAGGGTGACACTGACAAAATCCTGATTTTATGAAATGAATCTTGGTGAAAACAATGTCTATGGTTTAGATATATATATTATTTGTGTGACTTTATATAAATAATTTAATATTATATAATGTGGATGTTAATAAGCCATTTGGTCAAGCATTTGGTGGACCCAAGAAGAATGCAATCTTGAACAACCAATCCATGAGCTATCAATCAATATTTATTGATCAATAAGACTAGTATTTTTTTTCCAATAAATAAAATAAAATATAGAGCACATATGCAAATATAAATGTATCTCTTCAATGTTCTAGATCGACACATTCTAACAAAATTATTTTCTCATAATTCAAAGTGTTATTACAATTTACATTTGAGTAACTCTTCCTTGTGATTGTAATACAAAGATGTAGTGTAATCGATCCATTCAAATTATAACACGCATAATTTTTCATTTCAAAAATACTTACATACTTTTTTTAGATGTAGGAGCTAGTACTTTTTTGTCAATTACAGTTTGATATGTGTGCGAATAAATATGTATCAAATTATGATTTGCAAAAATGAGGAATGCATGTCTCATTCCATTAAGGAAAGAAGACAATATTCTTCTCGTGGTATCGTTACGGTCATACACGAAAATTTATCCTTCATTGCATTGCTTGTATCGAGCTTTACATTTGGATTTATGAGTGGACCGGTAGATCAATCCGGAACATAAGACATAACAGACATGCTTTGCAAGAGAATGGTTTTAATTTATAGGGGAAGGTTAATCTGATAGAACAGATATTACATATGATGATGTGGTTTGTTGGAAGGCAGGTGACCACAGATGTTCGAATTAATATCCTATTGTTATTAATTTGCAGGGTTTATAAATAAAAGGGAAGCAGTGTTTTTTTGTTTTTTTGGGTAGTAATTTATTCAGTGAAGATGTATTTGCCACCGAAACAATTTGTTTTATTCTTACCCAAATCTTGCATCTCTCGAAACATCATCATCAAACAGTAGTTGTAGATAATACCAGGCTAGATTCTCCCCCCACATCCTATTATATTTTAACACATGGGGCATGTCTGATCTTGAACCTTCACATCAAGAATTGATTTTTGGATCTAAATTTGATCCGTAGAGTTTAAACCTCCACTTACAACATTTACAAGTATCTTTGGTTAGGCCAAGAATAAGAGATAAGGTGTGAAGAAGAAAAAGATTATGCGTTTTGGATGTGATGGTAAGTGATCCACCACTAGAGATAAATTTGTTTTTATGTGTATTTTGTAAACGAGTTCATATGCTATTAGGAGTAAAGCGAGAATTTAGGTCAAGCTTTAGAGACAAAAAGTGAAATTTCTACCAACAAGATTTGATTGAGTTTTTATTGCAAATGGTTTTTGGTATTAGCAAAAGTCATCATTCTGCTCATTCATGTATTATTCCATGTTTTGCTTTCACATTCACGTAGTCTTTACTGTCACATTACGTGAAATTTTTCACTAAAAACAATAACGCGTAAGTATGTGCCAAACTTTATAGGAGAAATTTCGTCTAACTATCCCCATCGAGAAATGAGCACACGCCACGCATACAAAACTTGAAAAGTACTAACAAGAATTTCGTGGACAACAAATGTGATTTTAGAAACAAAAAGGAAAATTTATATGAGGGATAGAGAGATGTTTAGTGGGGGTACGGTACCAATTAGCTAATCAATCTACACTGCTTAATTCAAAACCAATTGATTGACAAATAAAGTGGGAATTACAAATAGGTTGAGTTGAATTAATGATGCTAATGGAGGCCATTAAAACCACTAAAAACCCAGCGTGAAATCTCAAAAGCTATCATCATTCATTTCATCACTTGGGTGGCTCTTGGTGAAAGTGGTGAATTTAAATGATAGCCTCATTTTTTTAAAGTCCGGTAAGCAATTTAGTCAATTAGGTGTTCAGTAAAGTAAACTAGAGTTTAGGTAGAAAGCTTTGCGGGATTATGATTTTTCTTTATCCCCTACTTTAATGATTTATCCTTGACTTAATTACATCAAGCACTGAAGTTTTGTCGCAAGTTCAGTTGAAGAACCTTCAACAAAAAGTCATGTTTTTCTAAAGGTTTCTTTGTGACAAAACGAAAAACGACTTTTAATCTAATAAGAAAGATAAGCATATGGTTTAGGGTTATGATAATTTTGTGCTACGCTACTTAAAAGTTGATCCCGAATGGCAAGTAAAAGCTATGGCTCCATAGTTGAGAAGATTTATCCATAAATAAGTTATGCTAGTTGGTCAAAGCAGTGTGTCCATCCTCTTACAGCCGATTCTCATACCCGTAATTAGTTTAGTATAGGTTATGATTTGTATCAAAATCATAAATAAATAAATAAGAAGTTTATTCTGAATTGAAATTTCAACCCAACTTAAATTAAGTTTGGGCCAGAGTTTTAAATTGGCAGAATCGGGTTCAATGTCATCCCAGACCAACAATGGATACGGGCCAAGATTTGTTTGACCATGTTAGCCCAAGCCCAAGGCTAAGTAGCCCTCAAAGTTAAAAATGTGGCCTGTAACCCCCAGAGCACATTCTTGATGCAACAACTACCTCCAGGCAAGATCATAAGAACCTGCAAACTTATGACCAGCCAGTTTCAACCCAATTTTTTTTATTTCTTTTTTTTATTAGTAGACTTTGCGATTCTCAATACCATATAAAATCTAATAAGTGATAGTTTAAATTATGAGGGGAGGAGGATTTCTCTAAGTGTCACAAAAGTTCGAATATGAGACCATTAGTCTGCAAGTCAAGTCCATTTTTTCACTGGACTAGACATGTTGACAAAACCTAAATCATTTTATTTTCAAGTTCAAAAAATAAGCACAAGTCTTTTTCTTTTTTTTATTTACTTTCTTTTATTAACTCTTAAAAATAAAAAAAATGGAGCATGTGAAGTGTGTGAAGATGAAGTGACATGTTAACATTTGCCTAGCGTTTTTGGAATTGGAAAAACTTGTCACGTTTAATGCTTATCCATTCACAATGTATAAGGTCAAGTCTTGTTGCGAAGTTGGTGAGTCAAAATGTTGAATTCAGTGCCTTGGACCAAACCACCGTTTTGTAAAGATATATGAAAAGGTAGGAAGGAACACATGACATGAATTAAGAAAAGAACACATTTAATTCACTACCATAAAACTAAAAATACAAAGAACAAATATTATAATTTAGACGGCCAACGGCCCTTCAAAATCATCATGTGAACAACATTACCTATTTATATCTATATATACATGCTGTACACATTAAAAACCAAACTTCTTCATATTTCTATCTTCCAAAACCAGCCCCATCATCTTTTTTCCATCTATATATATCATCTTTATATCAACGGTCCCAAATCACCCAGCCTTGGGCCCAAATGGTGGACCCCGCGACGCAAATCCCCCTTCCCTTTTGCTTTTCACAGCATCGAAAACGCACACTCATCGACCTGGGTCTCCTGTTGCCGTCCGATGCGTCGACTCATAGTAATGCAATTGTAGGCCCCGCTTCTCATCAAAATCAATACGGCTTCTGTAGGTACATGAAGATATCCTGCAGCGGCGACATCTGATTAGCGTTCTGGAACTGCGCCCCGAACCCGTTCTCTACACTGGTGTCCATGTAATTGTAGTTAAAATCGAGGGCCTTCTCCCACTCCTTCCACTTGGGCTCGCTCTGCACCTCGCAAGTGAACTCCGGCGACACCACGTGCTCCGAGCAGCTCGAGTCCGTGTGCAGCCTCGGCACAGAGTCCGACGTGTCGAAGTACACGTAGTCGTTCGGGCGAGTGGGGGCTACCGCAGCCGGCGGCGGAGGACACGCCAGATTCTCCGGCTTCCTGTCCTCGAATTCCGAGCCGCTGCTCAAACGACTCGTCGATGGCTGTTGTTGCTGTTGCTGCTGCTGCTGCTGCTGCTGTTTCTCGACGGTGCCCTTTTTGTTGTATATGCGACACAGAACCCAATCGTCCAGCTGCAAAATCAAGACCGTCCATCAATCAAATGTTTAATTAAATCTAGACCACTCATAAAAGCCCTCTATAATATCAGTCTTATCTTGCTAAACTAATAGGCTTGTGTTACCCTCGCAAAAAGCTAAATTCAATCTTCCCAAATTAGAGTTAATTACGCTGTTGATTTAAAATCAGCCTAAATCTGTACCGTCAGTTTATATGGCCGCCAATTCAAGACAAGGACGGGTGGGCCCCGATCCCGATTGGCATTCGGCATTTAGGAACATTATTCAAGTCAAAAGTACGATTTGAACGACGTCGTGTCAACCGAACCGTCATCGTCATATCAACCAGATTTTCCAATTTACGATTTTACCCCTAATCTGACAAGCGTAGCGATAGAGAATAACGTGTGTACCCTTAGGCTGCTGCTCTTCTTTCGAGGCGAGCGGTCGACGTCGGCAAGGCGATACTCGTGCATAATCCAATTGGTCTTCTCTCCTCTCGGAGCTTTTCCGGCGTAGAAAACCAAAGCCTTCTTAATCCCGACTGGTTTCGGGCTCCCGATAGGCTTATCCGCTCCGGTCGCCTTCCAATAGCCGCTCCCGGCCGCCCGGTTCGGCCTCGAACCGTTCGGATACTTCCGGTCCCTCGGCGAAAAGAAATACCACTCTTTCTCACCGTACAACGCTAAACCTGTTAACAGAAAATATGAAATTAGTCAAAACCAAGTAAAGAAATGAGAAAACTCCCAAAAAGATTCCATTTTTAATTTCAAAATCGAATCTTGGAAGGTGAAAAATTACCAGGGAGGTCCCAGGGGTTGTATTTGTAGAGATCGATTTCGGCGATTATCGGGACCGAAATCGGCTGCGACTGGCATTTGCGGCAGAGGTAGTGCTTCACGAGCTCTTCGTCCGTCGGGTGGAACCTGAAGCCGGGCGGCAGCTGTAAATCGGAGGACGACATTCTGAACGGCGTCGATTGATTCGACTGTGCGGTGTGTATCACTGGCAATTTACTCTCTGCTCTGAACTAAGCAAGCTAGTCGGCACTTGAAACTTGAAACTTGAAACGTAAGGGAGAGAGGAGAATATATAGAGGCCATGGGGAGAGAGAAGGGGACACGTGGCAGAAGGAGGGGGGCGGTTGTTCTAGAATACACGTGGGCGATAACGTTTTTTTCTCTCTCCTGGGCAGTCCGTGCGACTGGTTTTTGGGAGGGTGCTGACCGCAGCCGGACACGTGTCGCGCATGGAAGTGTGGTGCATCGTGTCGATGGAGGTTTATGGGGTGCGCTGTGGTCACTGCTTACGTCATCTCTTTTGGACGGTTGCGTGAGTCGGTCTGGGCCGGGTCGTTCTCGGGATCCGAGTTCAGTCGGCGGGTCAATGAGCCGACAATGGTACGCTGGTAGGGTTGGACGGAACACGTCAGCGCTGTCGTCCTACACGTGTGCTGGCATGTCGACAGCTGGGTGGAGTAAATATTGCGGTTATTATCAACAACAAAAAAATGTAAATGTTACGGCTTGGTATTATTCGCACATGTTTTAATTCTGAATTTTAAATTCGGCTAAAACAATAAATTTCTTCTTATAGCAATTATTTATTTCCTTTCTTAATCAAAAAAATTTGAAATTGGAAATTACAAAAATATGGGAAAGATATTTGATTGGATTCAAGTTGGCAAGCTTATCTTCTAGGGATAAGGAAATATGGAAATTGAGGGAATAATATTTATTGTGGTTTTTCTTCCTTAAAGCATTTTTATTATTATACAATGTATTTATTTATTGGATATGGTTATGTGGACGCGTAATTCATCATGCATTTGAATCAAAATAATAATAATTCAAATATAGATCATCCCAAGTTATGGGTATGAACTTTATAGGTCGGCTGCCTGCTTTATCCAAAATATTTCTGTTGTGGCTGTGTGTGTGTTTTTTCATATGGGAGAAAATAAAGCGTCATCATAATACTCAAATGTGTTCGTTTAGTAAGTAAGACCTCCATTGTTTTGACTCATTTTTACTCTTGGTATGCTATGGTGAATGATTGCTTTATTTTATTTATTTTTTTAAGACAAGCGATATTGGACTGTCACATACATTGTCAATGTGCTATAATTGTTCGAATATGAGACAATTAATCTGAAAGTCAATGTTGTTTTCACTAGGCTAAGACCTCATTGGCATAGTGAATGATTGTTTGCCATTTCAATTTTATGATATTGATCAACATTAAAAAAAAAAATTCATCATATAAATGTGTCACAATTCTTCAGTCAATTAATCTCTTAAAGGGCTTCCACAAACTTGAAGAGTTGGAATCCATAACCAATCTCAATAAGCTCACGAAAGTCTGGTGGAGTATGAATATACCCAACCACACCATTCATTCTTCGAACATCTCGAAATTTTCACTTCCTCATTTTTTGCCCACCGTTTTCGAATGACAAGGTAAAAAAGTCGTGTATTAGGTTCTAATAGTCGGTGCGTGTACTGTATTAAATGTCACCTCAATTGAGGCAACATTCCACATAAAATAAATGGAGAAATTAAACCTTTTTTTTTAAACTCATATTTAACATCACAATCATGTTGAATCTCAAATAATCATTGCAAGGGCATGAGGAGTGCTTGCCATTACATTTGCAATAGCTTCCCAATTTGAATTTCCTTTTGGCTCCATTTGGTTCACTTAATGATTTTGAGGGGAAATCACTTCCTATGTCATTTTCCAAAGGTTCATTTCCCATGTTTGGTAATACTCAGAAAGTAATCGGGATATATCAATTTATTTTATTTCCCATGTTTATTTTGATTCGAAATGGAAAACAAACTTTGTATAATTTTCTAATTATACCCATATTAAATCAAATATATATATATGCATTGAATGATATATATATTGTAATTCTAAATTTTTAATGGGATCGAAATAGTCATGAAAAATATACATTTAATATTTGCTCATTTTTCCAAACTTTCCCATGAGGAGGAAAAATAAAACCGAACGAGCGAGGAGGGGCTTCACTTTCCCCTACTTTTGTATATGTTAGGCAACCATTTTCTATGTATGAATTTACTATACATGAAAAAACAATTGGGTTCACATTACCAAGCCTCATATCTCATGAACCAAATGGCAGATAAAGCATTAATGCCCCTGCAATTTATAGAATTTTGACAGAAAAAACTCTTTAATTTTAGATTTTTTCAGTAATTATTTTTACCTCCGACGACATGTCAATGGTTTACGACGACAGGGACTAGCGAAGGTTAGCACCTGGTAGCGGGCACTCACCGAAACTGACAAATCACGTTATTTCCAGCCCCACTTTTCCAGGTTCTTCCTAAAGTTTTTGTCCACTTCGATAAACACACCCACCAAAATATAAAAAAAAAGGGCGTGGATTTATCAACTCCCATGACGTGGCTATCTCTGTTTCCTCCGCTTTCGGTGGCCGTGAACAGAGCTATTATTATTGTGCCAAAAGCACACACTCGCCGAATTAACTTCGTGCTTGTTTGGACGTGGACAAGACAGTGACCCATAAATGAAAGGTACACAAGCTAGATGGCTACCCTAATGACCATATATTATTAAGGGGCATTGGTCATTTAAAATAAATAAATTGTTGTCTCTAATTTGGATAGGATTGGGAGCTATCTTAATCTTAATTATGCCTAAATTAACTGCGATGATTTCTCTCTTTAGGTGGATTGGTTTGGTTTCTTGTTGGGAAAATGAATTTCCGGGAGTAGGTGGTATTTAGGAGAGGTCAGAAAGGGATTGGACGGCTGAGATTCACTATGCTCAAGATGAGGGTAGAATTCAACGAGTGATGGTCAAAACAATATATGATGGGCTTATGACCAAGAATTATGGGCACCATGGGCTGATTGGTGGTTGGCCCAACCTCTTTTTTTCCTTTTTCCGTTGAATCTTTTTTATTTTTTTTAATACAAGCGATATTGGAAGGCTTGAATGTCAAACACGGAACCTCTTTCTCGCTAGTTCCGATCCTCATTTCTACATTTGCACGAGCAGATGAAAAAGTTTCATTGTACAATGGACCATGACCTTCAAAAAAGGGTTTGCATAAGAGAGAAAGAGATGCCATTTTCATCCTGAAGTTAGTGGAGGGCATCTTTAAATATCTACAATCCCAATAAAATCTCAATCGAGTGGGAAATAGTGTTGACTTGCAGAGCAATGATCTTAAGTTCAAACCCTTATGACACTTTGATAGTGTGTATGTGAGAAACCTTCTCTCCCTTGTAGTTAAAACTATCGCTTGTATTAAAAAAACAAATCTACAATCCCAACAAAAATAGAAGCAAAGACTTTGTCTAGGGTGTGAAACCAGAAGAATATTGCTTACAAAGATCTCAACCTGCCCTAAAATTACCAAAATCTAATATTACTTTAAAGGGCAGCTATAGCTATAGCTGTGTCCTAAACTATTGTGGAGAAATTGGGCCAAGTGACCAAGTGAATTGAACACGTTTTTTTATTTCTTTTGTCAAAATCTGTCCCCAGCAACCCGCATGAAAAATGGTCACATTTCTACGGGCCGCACTAAAATCAGCCGCCAATTTGTCTCATGCTTTATTTTCTTTCCACACCTCCAAAGATAGTCACAATCTTAGTCCATGTGTTAATCCTTAAAATAATGAAGGGAGGCCGCTGAAATTTGCAACTTGGTCATGCTGGTTTTGCAACTTGAGTAGCATCATGAAACCATTCGAACAACTTTGTTTTTTTAAAGACATTCTTATCTAAATTAGTTTTCTTTTGAATAGTTATGCACGTGTGATCAATACTTGTTACCGACCTGCATGATTTTTCATAATTGTTAATCGTAAATATAAACAAACTTATTATGATACTCAACATACATTAACAGTCGACAATCGTTTAAGTTCATTGTATCGAAATTTATTCCCGCACATAATTCTTTCTTTGTCATGACGTGAAAAATTAAGCATGCACCATTAAAGGACAAAGACTTCTTGACTTTCATGTTTTGGTGCTTTTGTTTTACTTTAGTATTTAGATGTGCCAAATTATGTCCAATGAAGGCCGAGGTTTGTTTTGGCCAACGGTGCATATGAGGACGAAAACTAGACCTGCTCTGAGACCGACCCAGCAGCAGCTGTATCCTAAAGGGCAAAGGCGGCGCCATGGAACTTTCAACCTTTTTAAATTATAATTGAACTTTTATTAGAGTCTTCTCGTTCATTCATGCGAAATACTTTTATATGCTAATCTATTGGTTTGGTTTTATTTTTGTTCTTCTTGATAAGATAAAAAGGCAGCTTGACAAATTGACATTTCTGCTTTTCTTGCACTTCGAGCTCTAGTGCTTTCTTTGTCAACATATGCTTTTTATATTATTTGTCACGTATTTTACGTGTTAAATTTTAGAAAGACGGGATTCTTAAATTATGAATAAAGTATATGTGCCATGAACTTTTATAAATTCTATTTTTATTTCCAAATTGCAACTGATTAATTAATTACATACAAGTGATAACAAATAGATATCTTGAACATTTACAATTGTACAAACAAACCCAATAAATAAAATGAAATGAAATGACTGGTTCTAATAACAGTCTAGCTATATGTTCTTGGTTTTGGATGATGATGTTGATGAAACTTCTATGCTGCAAATTGGGCAGCTCTTTTTAATCTCAAGCCACTTGCTTATACAATCCCAATGATAAGGGTGTTGGCAAGACAATGCAACCAGGGCTTCTCCATCTTCATACTCAATCTGGCAAATCACACATCTGTCAATGCCGGTCTTGGTTTGATTAGATGATGGTGATTTGCTTGTGTAGGGCTGCAAACATGTGGAAATTTCATTGGTGGGCAGGCCTCTTTTCTCTTCCCCTATGAACTCTCCAAGTGCAATCAGCTCCTCATAAGTTAGCTCATCCACATCAAAATCATCTTCATCCATTTCTTGGTCACTGCTGCTGCCGCTGTCTTCGTTCTCAAGAAACCCGAACTCTGTTTCGAATTCTCTGCTTTGGAAGAAAGCCGTATCGTCTTGATCATAGTTTTCATTAGAGGAGGAAGCATCATCTTCTTCTTCTTCGCTGCTATCGCTTTCGATGGTTTCGAGCATTGTGTACGCCTGTTCTTGTTCTTGCATTGCCATGGCTAGAATGAAATCCGAGCTGACTTGATTGAGTTCAGTGAAAGGGGTTCTCCTGGTAGATTGCTTGCTTTGATCTTCTCCGCCATCCATTCCAAAAACTACGATCAAACTCTTCCGGGAGCACAGTGCCAAAAACTCAATTCCTTTGAGATATATGAGGGGAACTAGGGATTATTTTTTATGTGGTTTCTTAGAGAAGAGGTAACTTCCATGGCAAGCAATGGAAAACCATTTCTCATAGATTTCATCCAGATTCCTAATTCAAAGTTTTGCGCTAAAGAAAATGATCTCCCATAAGTTACAATCTCTTATTCCAAAATTCAAAGTCCTAGATTGAGACTTGTCCCCCACACAATTGCCTCTCCTCTAGGCCAAGGCAATGCCCTTGTCAACTCGTTTATCGACACATCCATGGTCCCCAGAATAATTAATTAGGGGTCTACCCACATAAAGCAGATCACCTGAAGAGGTCTTCAATCACATTGAACTCTCATAGATGAAATGAACTGGGTTTTTTATGTTTAAGAAATTCGTTGAAATTACCTTTATGTTCTCGGCTTCTTGTTTTAAGCAAATGAAAGCTTGATCCAAAAGAAAGTTCAGAAGAACTCCTACACAAGTGGGCTTGCTGTTTTGATAGAAGGGTCTAAAATTAGAACCATTAGCCTTGAGGCCATTTATGAATCTGAGCCCATATGGGGTGATGGCATTTTTTTCACCTTCTAACTTACTATACCACAAGAAATTAGTTCAGAACTTAGTTGAAGAGTTGCTAAATAGACATATCCATTCGCTCATCTGATCTGATTATAATTTCAATTCATTCATCAGATTCTTAACGCACAAAAGATTGATGCTTATCCAGCAATGGTAAATACACCCTGTAGGCCCTCAATCCCGTTTCCAGCCCCCAATAAGGTTGCTAGCATTGCACTTCTTGCCAAGGCAAAAGTGGCAAGAAGGCAAAAGTTGGGCTCCACCAATATGGACAAGTTGACATAACTCTGACGTCATTGTCACATCAACAATCAATTCAAATAACAAAAAAATTGAAAAAAAGGGAAAAAAAAAAACCTAACATTTTCAGATTTTATTTTATTTTATAAATACTTAGCCATATTTTTCACTTCTTACACCAAAAGTTCCTCTCCTCATATCTCATGTGAATAATAGTATTAGTTGCCCTTGAGTTGCCATGGAATGGGTGGAAAACCAAAAGAAAAAAGCCAAAGCAGACATTATTTGAATAGTAACAACCCTCACCTCCCCTTTTTGTTATGGCAAATGAGTGGAAATACTCTTAAGGGCTAGCTATAAGAGCACAAAAAACAGAGTGAACAAGGTTCTTCATGCGCAACACCTATGTTGCGCGACTATATTCCGGCAGATAATTCATTACGGGTTTTCTGTTTAAAAATTTATTCGATAAGAATTTGAAGTACAACCTGTATTACTGGACAACCAAACAGAGGAACGGTGACAGTAGATGCCAGGGGTTAAGGAACGACTAGCTGAACAGAAAAAGAAAAGGCAAATAGAACTGCATAAATGTGCAACTTCTTTAGAAACATTCGCGAGCATAACAACTGACCTTCAAAAGCACATCTGAATTCCCAACATTTTCTCAAAGTGACCTAATATAAAACAAATGACCCCATTGTCTATAATCGTCAAAGTACATGAAATCTAATCACCACATAACAAGGGGCCTTTGATCACCAATAAAGCTTATGGCTGCCCATTAAAGTCAAAGCTACATAAACACGAGGGAAAAATGCAGCCTGAACGAAAGGTAAGAGGTATCACTACAAGCCATGTGGCAAGGTCAATCCATTCTTCCCTTCAAGATTCTCTCCTTCACTTCAGTTGGTGTGCTGCAGAAAAGTGAATGAATACACATGTTAAATTGTAGTATTACCTCCCACATAATAGGAGGAAACAAATAACCCTTATCATCGTACTAATGTGAAACTCATAATATGGAGAGAATAAGGATATAAGGAAGCAGAAGAAATCCAGTAAAATGGATTACAAATTCAGTCCGCAATAGAAATTGATTCCTGGGATTTAATTCTAAGCACGGAATTAGCTACAATTAATGCTCTATTTTATCATCAACATAGATAACTGACTACATGTAATGGTAAGCGCCATTGTTAAATGTTGTGTCCTCTCCTTTCTAAGTAGCTTCATGGCAGTCTCAAGAAGCTACAGGACAAACAGGATTCTTGGTTTTTAACAATAACATTAATCATATTATGCAAAGCCCAGTTTTACAGTCAGAGTTATTGCATTGACAAACTATTTTCCTGTATTCAGGTGAAACATACATAGCATATTTGCAAATGACAAAATGAAAAGTATAATCTTAGTCCCCCCCAACTACCACCCTATGCACACGCATACACCTATTTTTACTTAAAAACACAGTTTGTATAGCTATTGCATAATAAGAATAAATTAAATAGTATGAAAGGCTTACACAACAAAGACGTGGCCTCCCCAACCACTCAGACAGTCTCGATCTACTGATGAAAGCAATGCTTGAGAGACAATCTCAAACAACTCCTCTGCTTCCTGAGTGACAATTAGTAGATACACTGTTGTTAGAGTTGCTCCCATAATGTAAGAAAATAAAATAGGAGATCGCAAGTTTAGCAGGTACTAGAAGCAAGCAATGTCACAAAGATTTTTAACTTATTAGCAATTAATAAATTCTACCATGAGTTAAACCCCACAAAATCTCATGATCGGTTAATGAAGTTCAGTTGGCAATGGAGCCAACTGTTTATCTCTATGCAGCTTTTGTTTATGTTACACTTGACGGCTGACAAGATAGAAAAGAAAAGAAAAGTACAACTAATAGTAGATCTCTCAGCTTGTTTTTCCTTGACTTGTATTTTCCCCTTATGCTATTACTTTCAGTAGCAGCAATAAACTCATTTATACTATATATTTCTTGAATTTAACCCCATTCTCTATTACTTTCAGTAGAAACAACGCATTTATAAAATTAATATATGAATCACAATGCGCTCGAACATTGTCTAGTAGTCAAGCACTTGAGTGTTAATTATACATTGGAGACATGTACGATTTGCCAGAATATCTAAAGAACCAAAAACTGAAATATTTGAAAAAAAAATATATACGGCAGATGAAATAACAAATCTTGACTGTGCATGGGGAAAGGTAGTGCAAGTTGAATGGAGAAACAAACCATATCAGGCTTGAACATTGCCTCACAAGCACCATAAAGGGACTCTGATGCAGTACCAGCAACAACAAAATCTTTTGCTAGTTCCCTGCATATACATACAAACATTACCCTAAGAAGCAAAATACACAAACATATATGTAAAAACATATAATCAAAAGGAGTAAGAAAGCAAGCATATTTATCCTATTTCGGAAGGTGAAGAAACAATTGTGAAGTCTTTAGCATCTGGGCAGCTCTAAAATTGTGAGAAAGTCAGAAAAATAGAGAAGAAAACTAACTTACTTGGCCCCAATTGAATCCATGGTGCAGATGAATGGTCTGTCTTCATCACTTAACCCAGCAATTACAGGCTGACAGAAGTATGGGCCAAACCTAAATCACAAAAAAGGAAGAAAACCCTTATACTGTAGTTCATCAAATGTTATTAACGTGAAATAATTGTATAGAACTTAACATTCAGATTAAGCTAACATATTTAATACCCATCAAATTTTCTTAAGCTTATACATAAAGGGGTTCAGATTGGAGCAAATTTCAAACCTTTTCTCATAAAGAATAGCGGAGACGAGGCTGGCAAAAGTCTCGGGCTTCATATCCCTCTCCTCCCTCAGCTGGTACAGCTTGTGGCGAAACATCAGCCTCTGATACCTGCACACCAAAATCCCCAAAAATTACACAAAAGAAAGCAAAAGCAATAATGAGGGAGCGAGAGAGAGAGAGAGAGGAGGAACCTACAGAGTCTGAGCATCGGTGGCGAGGCCAGAGAGGCCGATGAAGAGCCTATCGTGGACTTGGTTGATTCTCTTGAAGTCGGTGGCGACGGTCTGGAGCTGAACACCGAGGCGCCGATCGCTGGCTATGGCGAAGCAGTTCTTGCCCACCATTGCGATCAGTGCACTCCCATTGTACTCGAAGATCTGCAACCAAATTTTTTGAAAACAAAAATCAAATCTCAATTTGGTATTTGCAAAACCCTAATAAGCATCTGTGCGTGGAATAATGCATATGCTTCAACTTACCGACATCGGGGATTAGGTTGCTCAAAATAAAAATCAAATTGCTCTTCACTGAAAGACTGAAAGTGAAGAGAGATTGTTTTGTTTGTGCAAAATGCTTTTGCTCAACAACACAAGAAACTAATAAAAATGGTGCCTGATTTCTTCGGCGTCACTCCAGCTCTTCCAGTCTTCTTCAACCTTTTTTTTTTTTTGCAAAATTTTCTTGCATTGGGTCAAAACTATTGATATGGGCTGGGCCAATTTCATGGATCCAAATTTATTGGGCTATGTCTATCAAATCAACCCAATTTCTTTGCATATATTTTTTTTTGGTTAAGATTCATTTTATAATGAGGGCTTTATCTAGTTATAAGAAACCAAACTTTTAGGTCATGTTTGGTTGGAAAGAATGGAACAAAAATCCTTCCTATAAATTAATATTCCAATGTTTTGGTCACCACGGTAAGTGGAATGGAATAATTTATAGATTTATCATATGATATTAAACCAGAGTGCTATTATATGTACAATCTCACTAATCATTCAATGTACTGTATCGTCTCATTAACGAAAAAAAAATATTAGATGGTACAAAAATATGGAATATAACTAGTTGTACATAAGGCACCTCATTCTTATTCTCATTCTCATTCCATTATACATAAATAAACATGTCCTAAGAAGTTTCCCATCAACTTAACTAGGCACTTTTCAATAATCTCATATGGGCTATCTCCTATTTGGATTGCTTCTTGATTGTCTTAGCTTTGGGCTTATCTTGCTAGTTAAATTAAGTAGATTCAAGTCTTGATTGGTGGGTTGAACCGCATTGAACTTTTCTAATTAAATTAGACTAAAGTTCTAGTCGTTATTTGATGAGTTTAACTGTATCTCTGGACATGAGTCTTAGTTCCAAGTTCAGTATTGGTCAGCCCAAGAAAATCAAGTACAATACTCAAAGCCCAATCCTAGCTTAAAGCTTTCGTCCAAAAATAAAATAAAATAAAATTCCTGGCTTAAAGATAGGAACAACCTATAGGATAACGCGAAGTCTTGGTATCAACAACAAAAGTATGTGGACATATAACTAACAAGCAAGATGCTTCATCCAAACACCACAGTGATCACGCAGGGTTGAGATACAGCCGAAGAAAAACCGAAAACATATGCATCATGCTGATCATGCATGGCAAAAGCCCCAAGTAATTCAGTTTTCGAAACCCTTTTGGTCATCTACTTGCTACTTTAAAGAACCATATATATATATATATATATTAGCTGGTGGTTTTATATGCAATGCAAGTCAATTACAGGGGACAGACAGAGTATGCTTCACGTTTGTCCCTTAAAACAAGCAGCCACCCATGCCGTGTTATAAGATACAAACTTAAGATAAAGATATTAGACAAACTTGTGAAGTCCGATTAATGTGACAATTTCTTATTTACTTTGAATAAATAAAATTTAAAGTGGGCTTAAACGGAAAATGAATAAAACATTTCTGATGGTTAATATAATAAGTTGACTTGTATAGAATTAATCTTTAAACCTGTCACAACAAACTTCAACGCCAATCCAATTGTCAGCTATGCACGCAAAGTTGCATATATTTGAATAAAAACGCTCTTAATTGTAATTAATATTTCAGTTATTTGCTTGAGTTATCCGACCCAAAAAAAACTCTACGCATAATAATGAGGATAATCTCATATATGTGTACGTATATATAGGAAAATATTATGAGATATTTAGTGATATACCTATTCTTAGCACTAATATTATAAATAAATCATACACCATTGAATTTTTATAAACAAATAAAAAAAAATCCAATAAATGACAGTTGACCTTATTGAATTTAATATTGATTATTAAATTACTTTGATGCATATTGAGTGTTTTGGGTATTTTTATGAGATTTTGAGGTTGGGCTTGTTTTAAGAAATTGATGGCAGTTTTGTAATTTATAAGAAGTTAAAAGCCTATTTGTTATGTTGTAAATGAGTTTTGAGTGTGTTTATAAAGTCCATTTTATATGGGGTATTTTTATAATTTTGGCCACTATATTGGGTATAATAGTGAATCTCCCAAATATTATATTATCTGACTGCGAATCGGATCTATTAATCAAAGTTGATTGTTGTCTGAACATGTGGTCTAGATTCGCAATATTTTTCTGCAATTAGATCTTGCCATTTTATAAAATAAGAAAAGGCTTCACTTTGCATATATTTTCGACCACCTATGCCACTAAATAAACCTGGTAATTCTTGATTCCATTTCCCCATGTGAATTCCAAAAGGAGCAGGTTGTTTAATGGAATTGAATTAGCTAGAAAGCAAAAATGGTTATTGTTATTTCGAGTCTAAAATCCCAACGTACATTACCATATACGGCGGAAACTAGATACATACATACATACATACATACATACATACATACATACATACATACATACATACATGCCCCTGGTGACCAAGGCAAGACAAACATTTTATAAGTAGTAGGAACTAAGCAGAGGAGCCGTTGAAGAAACTCAAAAGGCATGGAGCCAGTGAAGGGTCCAAGCCTCTGATCTCATAGCAGAGAAAGCTAAGTCCCTACAGAAAAAAGAGACCTAAATATACTTAGTGAAAGAGACAACTTGATTTCTGCAGGCCCATTGCAACGTGCCTACTCTGTTCTAAGCCACTGAGTAAGTTCTTTTTTTTCTTTTAAAATTTTGGCCATCTCAGACAAACCCAATGAGAATCTGCTACAAGATTTTAAACCCTTCTGTTTTTCTGGGCTCAGAAATCTGCAACCAATAAGGAGGTGGTGGAATTTTGAGACCTTCCTTGGACTCTGAGATACTTCTGTACAAGCTTTTCTGGCATAAATGGAGATGGTGTGGCTTCTTCTGTGCAGCTTTGCTTTGTTGTTAAAGATGAGCCTTGTCTGCAACTCTGAGGCTGGCAGTGTCACATATGATGCAAGGTCTTTGATTATAGATGGCCAACACAAAATTCTGTTTTCTGGTTCCATTCATTATCCCAGAAGCACTCCTGAGGTACCCTTATTGCATTACATAATATTTTATATTCTTGTTCTTGATTGGTTTTCATTTCCATTTTCATTTGAAAATCCAAATTCTGGGTTTTTCTTTGTGAAACAAAATCATTCATTTCTCATTGTTTTGGGGTAGGTGAGTGCAGCAGCAGAGCTGGACTCTCTGCTGCCTTTTATTTTTCTACATTTTCTCATATTCTTATTTTTTTATAAATTTTTTAAAGCCCATTTAAAGATAATGCAAAGGAATGAAAAAGCTTATTAAAGTCTAGAATCCATAATGCAAAATGAGCCTAACTATGACTTATAATAGTGGTCTTTCTTGCTTTAGTAGAGAAAGTAAGAGTTTTCTTCCCTTTAGTTGAGGAAGTGAAAGTAAGAATAAGAAGATAAAAAACCGCCACAAAACCCAAAAAAACAAACAAGGGGAAGAAAAAGACAAGGGCTCTCTTCCAAGAAGATATTTTCTTGCTGAGAAAATTGCAGCTAGTTTCTGCATGATTTGTGGAAAATGTGTGTAAATGATCATTCACAAATTACTAAAATTCATATTTTGTGCCAACCAGATCTAGCTCAGTGGAAAAAGAGTCTTGACTTGCAGACCAGTGGTCTCAGATTCGAACTTCCATGACACATTGATAGTGTGTGTGAAAAACACCCTCCCATTTAGTTTAGACTAGCGTTTGTATTAATATATCCCTATATATATAGTTGTGTATAATAGTTAATGACGTGGCATATGCTTATAGTTAATGATGCCTTTATTAGATTCACATTAGTTATAAATTAGTATCCATTGCATCGTGTTAGTCTACGTGTCTTAAATTTCTATAAGTGGCAATGTAATAAAAACTTACCTAAAGCCCACTAAAAACTCATATCTACATATTTTTTAATCCAAATGTAAACTTTATTTACCAGCACTCCAATTCGTCACGAAAGCATGCAAGTTGACCGCGGTTTTATACTACTTTTTCTTTTTCTAAAGAAATTTGATTCAGCCCAATTTGTAAGTTGTAACCATTTTTCTAACCCATATAATTTAAGGTAGCATTTTCTAAAGCTATGGTTTAAACCTATACAAAATTAATTGTATATATTTTCCAATTTTCATGTCATTTTCAGATGTGGCCATCTTTGATAGCCAAAGCCAAAGAAGGAGGAATAGACGTGATACAAACATACGTGTTTTGGAACCTTCATGAACCCCGACAAGGAAAGGTGAGAAAAAATATTCAACTAAGTTTATAAATTTTCAATGAATTCATGTCATTTTCAGAATCTAATTGATGCAATAATACTTCTGGGTAATCTTTGTTTTGCAGTTTGATTTCAGTGGAAGACAGGATATAATAAGTTTCATTACGGAAGTCCAAAAACAAGGCCTATATGTCTGCCTTAGAATTGGACCCTTCATTGAGAGTGAATGGTCGTACGGGTAAGATTCTCTAAATGTATTATGGAAATTGACCGTATGATAATATAACATTGTTATATAACTAACACTATAGTGATGGTGATGCAGGGGTCTGCCAATTTGGTTACGGGACATTCCCGACATTGTTTTCCGATCTGATAACGAACCATTCAAGGTTAAAAAAACTTAAATTGTTGAAGAGGTTAACATCTTTGTTATCTCTTTAATCAAAATTTTGTAACACCCTTATCAATTTGTTAATGGCAGACTGAAATGGAAAAGTTCACAACGAAAATGGTCGCTATGATGAAAGCAGAGAATTTGTATGCTTCACAAGGTGGACCAATTATATTGTCACAGGTTAAGTCCATAGCAGAAACTTATAAATGGTTTTTTGATCATCTGCACTATTTATTTATACATATATAAATAAATAAATAAACATTAAAACGTGTATTGTATACATGTACGTAGATTGAGAACGAGTACAAAATGGTAGAACCAGCTTTTCATGAAAGAGGACCCCCTTATGTTCGTTGGGCTGCAGCCATGGCAGTGGGGCAGCAAACTGGTGTTCCCTGGGTTATGTGTAAACAAAATGATGCTCCAGACCCTGTGGTTAGTTTTCTTTCCTTTGAATAGTAGGGTCAATAGCCTTTCTAAGCTTTCACGGGCACCCATGAAGTTTGCTTCACAGTTTGACATGTTATGTCGTCATATTCTATTGTCGATTCGAACCATGAAAGTTTTATTCTCATTCTTTGACAAGTTGAATCCTGCAATCTGCAGATCAACTCATGCAATGGGATGAATTGTGGAGAAACTTTTGCTGGTCCTAATTCCCCTAATAAGCCATCACTTTGGACAGAGAACTGGACAAGCCAGTATGTCTTCATTGTTCCTGATATGCCTGTCTTTATCATAATATCTGACTAAAAATTTATTTTTCCTTTCTTTCTGAACTTATGCCAAAATTTTGTTTTTGGTTTTGAAGATACCAAGTGTACGGTGGTGAACCGTACATAAGATCAGCTGAAGAAATTGCATATCAGGTTGCGCTGTTTATTGCAAAGAACAGAGGAAGCTATGTTAATTACTACATGGTATTTTCATCTTGTTTCTGGCATATAGCATATGCATCAAATCTGCATAAAAAACCCGACACAATATTTTCACTCACAATACCGTTTTGATCCAGTATCATGGAGGAACCAATTTCGGAAGAACAGCTTCTGCATTTGTGGTGACTAGTTATTATGATGAAGCTCCTCTTGATGAGTACGGTAGGATTTTCTACAATCTTTTTCCTTGGAGCATATTTGCATCTTCTTGTATTTGGTATTTTAAACTGTTTAGCTGATGAGTTCTACAGGTTCAATAAGGCAACCAAAATGGGGTCATCTTAAGGAATTGCATGCTGCAGTGAAGCTAGCCTCCAGTGCTCTACTTTCTGGAGACCAAACTAGTATCTCTTTGGCCCAACTACAAGATGTAAGAGCATTGATGAGAACTGATTTTCTTTGCAGTGATTAGTTTCTTTGGAGCAAGTGCATAACTAATTAAGTAAAATAAAACATACCGGTTTCGATGTTTTTCCACCAGGCTTATGTCTTCAAAGTACAATCAGGAGAATGTGCTGCTTTCTTGGTGAACAAGGGACCTAAACATGCCACTGTCCTCTTTCAAGAATCTTCATATCAATTGCCACCAAAGTCAATCAGTATCCTACCAGACTGCAAAAACGTAGCCTTCAACACTGCAAAGGTAATGCTCCTTATCATTTCATGTCATGTTTGAGTTCTACATATATAAAATGAAAGCATATTATAGACACACCTTGTCATTCATGAAACTCAGAAGCAATTACCTCAGATATTTCGTATGTATTTTTCGGTTGCTGAAATGGCTCCTTCAACAGGTAAGTGCACAACATGCTACAAGATCATGGCAGGTAGCTCAAAAGTTTGATTCAGCTGAAAACTGGGAAGAGTACAAAGAAGCTATTCCAAATTTTGAGAAGACCACATTGCGAGCAAGCACATTACCGGAGCAAATAAGTATAACGAAAGATGAATCTGATTACCTTTGGTACACTTTCAGGTAAATCATTAACTAGAAATGAGGAGTTGGCTGAATTTGACCGAACCATGCCATTTACTGATGTCCTTGCAATTCATTGTGTAAAAGCAGCTTTCAGTATGATTCGGACGCTCAATCTACATTTAGTGTAAAATCACATGGACATGTCTTGCATGCATTTGTAAATGGAGTATTTACAGGTAAAATTTGTATCTCACTTATGTTTCCTCATTTATCACCAATTCCACATACTTATTGGGAAAGGCTATGTTGTTCTTTAGGATCTGCACATGGAAGGCACAGGAATGAAAGTTTTTCCTTGGAGCAAACTGTTACTCTGAGTAAAGGGATTAATTATATATCCTTGCTTAGTGCAATGGTCGGATTACGGGTAAATTTCGATCTCAGTTCTTGTTCCATTATTTTCTCCATGACTTTTTTATGCAATGATCATGGCAAAGAAACACAGTGTAAAGTTACAATTAAGTTTGTAATTTGTCATTGTTGTCTGCATGGAATTTTAAGTCAAATTTACTTCTTATGTGAAGGATAATGGAGCATATCTAGAGCGTAAAGTGGGTGGATTACATGAAGTGAGGGTTGGAGATCAAGATTTCAGCAAAAGCTCATGGGGCTATCAGGTGATTTTCTTTTCAGCATATCTTATCTCTAAATGTAAAGCTGAATTTGCTTACCCTTAAAAATGTCCCTTCCATAAATTTATATTTTGTTTTATGAAGGTTGGGCTGGATGGAGAGAAGTTACAAATCCATAGCGACAGTGGACCAAGTAAAGTTCAATGGAGTAAGTTGGGAAGCTCTGATCATCAACCACTGACATGGTACAAGGTAAAAGTACATAATTCTTCTTTGAATCTACGTTCTGCAAAATGTTGCCAAAATATAATTTTAAAGAACCTGCACAATTAACTGAGATATATATCTTAGATTTCGTTATATAGGTGTGCTCTAAGTTATTGTCTCTACTCTGCACAACTTCTTTAATTCTTGGCTTTTTGGCAGATTCTATTTGATGCACCAGCAGGACATGACTCTATTGCATTAAATCTTGGTTCCATGGGAAAGGGTGAAGCCTGGGTTAACGGCCAAAGCATCGGTCGATTTTGGGTCTCCTTCCAAACCCCGAAAGGCAAACCTTCACAGACATGGTATGCAGTTCATACCAACTTTATGTATTTGTTGTTATTTCAGTACTTTGGGCACACAACATTACACCTTTCAATTTTCAGGTACAATGTACCTCGATCATTCCTCAAGCCTACCGGGAACCTATTAGTTCTCCTGGAAGAAGAAAACGGCGACCCCCTTGGAATTTCACTGGACAAAGTTTCAGTAACACAAGTATGTGGGCATGTGTCTGAAACACATCTACCCCCAGTGAGCAAATGGTTGGTTCAGAAAACTCAGAATAAGAATAACACTAAAACGAAACTTGGTAGAAGGCCAAAAATTCAACTCAGTTGTCCTCCAAAGAAGAGCATCTCCAAAGTCTTATTCTCAAGCTTTGGCAACCCTTCCGGTGATTGTAAAACTTATGCCACCGGAAGCTGCCACTCATCTAATTCCAAAGCAATTGTAGAGCAGGTGAGCATCTCTTTTCCTTTTTTGGCATAGTTTCAGTGCTTCATTTGGTTTCCCAAAACACAAAAGAACTTCTTATCTTCTCCATGTTTACATGTTCTAATCATGGTTTAAATTTTCAGGCTTGTCTAGGGAAGAGGAGATGTTCCATCCCAGTATCATTACAAAAGTTTGGTGATCCATGCCCAAGCATCAGTAAAACTTTGTTGGTTGATGCACAATGCACATGATGCGAGTATAGTTTTGGATTGAGGTGTCATTATGTTAAATTGGCAATAAATTTTGGTGGGTTGCTAAGCTTCTCATTCAAGTATTTCTCTAATCATGTTGGCAAATGATTCATTTCTACACCTGATACTAAGGAAAAAAATTCCAAATAATTAAATGTACCTCCGAACAAGTTCCTACATTAAACCAGCAGTAAGACAGACACTCGGCTGTTTACCCCAAAAAAATATAGACACTTGATTCATAAAATAATGTGGGTGTATCTACAACTTCTTGATTCAGATACAAATAATGTTTGAATAAGCATCAATTCCAATCTAAGTTATTCTCAACAATATGACCGCCTAGAAATATATGTTAGCAAGCAGTAATGATACAGAGGAAAGTGCAAGGTACACAAGAATGAGAATGAGCGCATAAACTTTGAAAGGAACAGGTGACAGATTTCATAGAATGCAATTGGACCTCATCTTCCAAGGAGGAGTTGAATTGTTTTGGAGAAAATCATCTTGCACATTGTCAGTGTGATGCAATCATCGAACTAGAAGGTTTTAACTCAAACATACAGATTCCAATTGTCAAGTCATGTTAATCAACTATTGAAGTATCCACTGCAGTGTGCGATTTACGATCCTTCTTCTTTGCAGCTTTACTCTCTTTTGCATTCCAAAAATGTGCTGGTAGAAGGGCTTTTTGGGAAGGTAATTCAGCAATAAAAAGCAGAGTTTGAGCCCAGCCAGCATATTTCCCATATTTACTCACAAATGCCTCCGCCACACGGCCACAGAGCTTAGGTGTCAGACGAGCACCTGCTAGCTCAGGTATGAGGTATCTAGTAGCAATCTTACTCAGCCCCATCAAGAAAAAAACCATCCACACATCAGCACTTTATGAATTTTCAAAACACAAAGACATAACTGTTAAACATTAGCAAAAGAACCCCTAAACTAAAAGAGTTATGTTGATCAACAACTCATCAAACTATTAACTTGTCTAGCACCAAATGACATATATGCTATTTGTAAAGTAGAAACATCAAGCAGTAAAGAGCATACCTGCCACACGTGTGTATCAACAGGAATGGCATGGTGTTGATCAAGCGAGAAAAGAGCTATACATGCTGCAACCTTAGGACCAACTCCAGGCAATGTGGAAAGAGCTTCAATCACCTCTTCGAGCTCCGTTTTACGCAGAGACAAAAGCCACTCTGCTCCTCCACCAGGTTTCAATTGCAAAGCTTTTACAGTGCCAGTTATGTACTTGGCCCTGCCCATACAAACCAACCCAACAAACCAAATCTCAATATTATGAGCTCACAATAACAGCAATGAGTAAGATTTAGAATCCAAATATAAATATATGCATATGAAGCAAACAATATAAATATATGGAGTGGTGATTAAAAACAGACCTATAGCCAAAACCAGACTCTCTGAACTCTTTCTCTGAGACCATTGACAAGCGCTCTAAAGATGGAAATTCATGGAACTCAAAACCTCCAACAGAACCCAAATGGTTCCCCAACGAAGATACAAAATCTACCATTTTGGTAATTCTCTGGATGTTGTTATTTGATGAACAAAGAAACTGAATCAAACACTCAACTGGGTCTTGCCTAAGCACGCGCGCACCGCCCAAATAGCTCGCGAGCTCAGCAAACCTCGAATCCGAGGCCGAGAAAACCTCCCAAATGCCAGCCAGAGAAATACCCACATTGAGAAAGTCGAGCAAGGCCAACTTGGCATTGGTTTCGGAGGTGGTGGTGTGGTGAAGGCAGTAGGAAACGTCGCCGTTTTCGAGGTGCCTGAGGGATACTAAGTGGGACCCAACAACGCCTGTGTACTGAAGAGGGCCGGTCTGTCTCCACCTGAAGGTTTGGCCGGTGGGGAAGGTGAGGGGCAAGGAGAGCTCGGATTGGGTGAGATTGAGTGGGACCCATTTGGTGGGTTTGAGGATGGTTTTGGGTCTTTTGGGGTTGTGGGTTTGTGGGGTTGGAGGGGTTGATGTAGGAGATTGAATTGGTCTTTGTCTCTTGCTCATGACTGAGAGGGGTCTCAGGTTCAGTGAGAGCATGAAAATGGGAGTTGGGAATGGGAATTTTAGGTCTGCGGAGAAGTTCCCTCCAAACCCAGAGAGAGGAGGGGGGGAAGAGGGTAAAAAGGTACATTTAGAATTGGGTACTGGGCTGGCTTAATCACTATGCATTGCATGGGCAAGCCCATGTATAAAACACGTGTTTAATCTTTGTAAATATGCTCAAATTACAGAAAAAAATTAGCAATGCCAGGTGAGGGTGGTGCGGGCACCCTTTGCACTCAAGTTCAAGTTCTTCTCTTCATAAATTAGATTAATTTAAAGTAGTTTAGAATTTTATTTGCATAAAAAAGAAAGAATAATGCAACAGAAAAAGAAAAAGAAATAAACGACTTATACGTGTTCTATATGCATATACACGCAATGGAATAATCTCACCACATTTGCAGCTCACAATCATATCAAGGCTTCATGTCCTCTCTCGTGTCTACAGAGGCAAGGAAATAAAATATTTATTTTATGCTCTTTTTTTTTCTCCCTTCAGCTAATCTTCATAGTTAAAACACAAAATTGGTAAATGTTGGAAGAAATGAGAATCAAGATGACACTTGAACCCAATTTGAGCACCAAAAAGTGACTAAGAGAAATGATCAATAGTTGAGGTGGAAGTGGAACACACATATGCAAGTTGCAACCACAACTAATACTCACATCCTTACACATATGCAAATTACTTATTCAGTGCATGTAAGCGCATGCACCACAAGCTCATCAAAGAAAGAAAAAACAAAACATCCATGTGAGTGCTTTCACTTAACCAAGTTAATTATTTAGTGCACATACGTCACTACACCGCACCATATACATGGCAATTATAAGTGTGCGCAATTTTGTTTAACCAAATAACTTACTGAAACTACCTATTCAATACATGAACGACACGCAATGTAAATAGATAGAATGAATTACACATAAACGGTTTTGTTTAATCAAAATTACTAATTCAGTATTTGAACGTCATATGTTGTGAGCACTGACACGAAATTACACTTGAATGATTTCGTTTAATTGAAACTATTTATTTGGTGTTTGAACAATAAGAGCCGTGATACGATACTACACCACATCACATACATGTAAAATATAAGAAATTATAAGTGTGACCTATTTTGTTTAACCAAATAACTGATCGAAACTTCTTATTCAATACATGGAATGCGCTGCAAACAAATATAATAAATGACACATAAATGGTTTCGTTTAACCGAAACTACTAATTCAGTGCATGAACACCACGCGTTGCGAGCACTAACATGAAATTTTATCGAAAATACTCATTTAGTGCATGAATGACACGCGCGGTAAGAATATAAAAAAAGAAAAAAGAAAGAAGCGAAAAAGCAAAAAGAAAAGAAAAAAGGAGGAAAAAACCTGAAAACTAGAATTTGCTCAGCAAAGCAAAACACACACAGTTGAAAAACAGAGAAGGGAAGCCCTACACTCTCTCTCTCTCCCTCTCTGTCTCACTCTCTCTCTGTCCCTTGTCTGTCTGTGTGTGTCTCTCTGCCTTTGATTCTATTTTTGCGCCAATCAAAGTCCTAGCAAGTCTCCAATTCCTTCTCTCTCCTAAAAATGCCAGCTTCTCCTTCATTCCCTTCAGGTAACTCAAACCTAAAACCCTCTCTCTTTCTCTCTCTAAAAATTCAAACTTTTACATTGCAATTAATTATATACAAAGCAATTCACAATTCACAATTTTGGTTTTTCATTTCAACAATGTTTGAATTTTCGCAGACTCCCGCGGCAAATGGAGGAAGCGAAAGCGCGACCCCCAAATTCGCAGAGGCAAACGTGAGGAGGACGACGACGAAGACGACGACGCGGTTGCTGCCGCAGAAGACAACGACCTCGAACAGAACGATGACGTTTCAGAGGATCCCCACCATAACCCTCAATCCGGTGCCGCACCGGATCCCGGCCCTCATGAGACCGAGGTCCTCGACGGTGGGGTCCGCCAAAGCGACTTCCCTCCCGTCGTTTTGCGCACCGTGAACAGGCCCCACTCGTCCGTTCTTGCAATTGTGGCGCTCGAGCGAGCCAATCACAGCGGCGGGGACGCCAAGGGCCCCACCAGTCCGATTGTCTTAGAGAATGTGTCGTATGGTCAGCTCCAGGCGTTGTCCGCCGTGCCCGCCGATAGTCCGGCGTTGGATCCGGACCGTGCAGATGGTGCCGGGTCGTCTTATGTGGTCACTCCGCCGTCGATTATGGAAGGCCGTGGCGTTGTTAAGCGGTTTGGGAACAGAGTTCATGTGGTTCCAATGCACGCAGGTATGCATATGTTGGTTAACTATTTGTTTGTGTCTAGTTATTTGTGAGCTATAGAAAGTGGCAAAGAGTTGCTAAAGTTGTAGAGTTTCTGGGTTTTTATGTGATAATAAACTCTCCTTGAATTCTGGGTTGTTTTCAAAATTCGGTTACGCTTAGAACTCTACTACGTCGTGTCTTGAGTGGAATTTTGGTATTTGATGTGTTGCCTTAATTGTTGCCTACTCGTTTTTCACTGTGAACTGCTGCTGGGTTTGTGCAATTAATTTTTATCATCTGTAGGATATTAATTTGAAGAAATGACTAATTGTTTTTTTTGCTGCAAATCTTCTATTAGAAAACAGTTGGAAAGTTTTGATGAGATTGCTATTTGATATTTAATAACTGTTTAGAAGGTTTCTTTATCTGAAAAAAAGCATTTGTGCACCGGTAAACTACTCTTTTATGTGGAATCATCATGGTAGGCAAATAATTTAACTGATCTGAGTCAACACTTGTCACTTGTTTGTGGTGCTGACCTGGACTCAAATTATAACATTTATATGATCTGAAAAGGACATAAAGGGAGCTTTTTTTTCTGATTTGCACCCAGACAAAAGATTTACTTTTGGGTTTAGAGGAAGCTAGTCTCTAAAAAGGATTATGAAACTTACTCTGGAAATAGGCCTTGGATTCCTTGATATGAAGTCGGTATCATGTAGATTCTTTATTTTCCATCATCTGTAGGGCCTTAACAAGATAATTGATTCCTTTTTTTTTCCTCAAATGCTTGGAAGGTGGATGTGTTAAAGCTACATGCTTATTATGCATTTCTGTGTATATATATGCGTATAAATATGGATTTCTGTTTTTGTGGAATTCTCCTGTTAGCAGATTGGTTTTCACCAGCCACAGTGCATCGACTAGAGAGACAAGTGGTGCCGCATTTTTTCTCGGGAAAATCGTCAGATCATACTCCTGAGATATACATGCAATGTAGGAATGAAATTGTTGCTAAATACATGGAAAATCCAGAGAAGAGACTTGCATTTTCTGATTGCAGTAGATTAGCATTAGCAGGTCGTCTAAGTCCTGATGATTTGACTCGAATAATTCGTTTTCTGGATCACTGGGGAATTATCAATTACTGTGCTGTAGCACCGAGTCGAGAGCCTTGGAGTGGCAGTTCCTACTTAAGGGAGGAGCTAAATGGTGAAATTCATGTGCCATCAGCTGCTCTAAAATCCATTGATAGTTTAATCAAATTTGACAAGCCCAGATGTAGGCTTAAGGCAGCTGATGTTTATTCGTCTCTGCCATGTCATGATGGTGATGATGTCTCTGATTTGGACAACACAATTCGGAAGCGTCTATCTGAAAATCATTGCAATCATTGTTCTTGTTCTCTTCCCGATGTATACTATCAGTCACAGAAGGAGGTACATCTCTATCATCTCAATAATATTATGTTTTTCCTGTCCATAATTTTATCAAATGGATAGTATTTTTCCTTCAAGGGATGAATGAAACTGCAGGAAGTTACTACACCAACATGTGACACAAAAATTTAACACCCATAATTAAATGAATGAAAAGATAACATGTAGATGGAGTTGTATTTATATGTTTAAAAGATAACATGTCATCTTAGATGAGCTTGAATGGTGACAATGGATCCTTATATCTGAACCCAATTAATTAGATGAGCTTGAATGGCGACAATGTATCCTTATAGCTGATCTCAATTAATTAGATTAATGCTTAGTAAAGTTTGGCTGAATTCTTATTCACTATACTAACTGATTGGTATCTTATTTTTCAGGTTGATGTACTTATGTGCTCTAATTGCTTCCATGAGGGAAGATTTGTGGTTGGTCATTCAAGCATAGATTTCATACGGGTGGATTCAACAAAAGATTATGGTGATACAGATGGGGAGAATTGGACTGATCAAGAAACCCTTCTGCTGCTTGAGGCAATGGAAATGTACAATGAGAACTGGAATGAAATTGCAGACCATGTTGGTACAAAGTCAAAAGCACAATGCATCCTTCATTTTCTTCGTTTGCCTGTGGAGGATGGCCTGCTGGAAAATATTGAAGTTCCAGGCGTGTCCATGTCTTCCAACTCGTCAGATAGAGATGGTCGTGGAGGATTTCATTCAAACTCAAATGGGGATACGGCAGGTGTTCTTATTTACTTATGGTTCTCATCCTTCAAGTTATCCTGATGTATGTTAGACCTTTTTTTTTTTTTTTTTTTTTCTCTTTTTTTTATTTCTTTTTTAGGCCCACAAGATGTTGATTCTGAAAGCAGGTTCAAAAACATTTGCGAATTTCTGGGAATCCAGTCATGTCCCTGGTAGGTGACTAATCCGATGCATCATGGTCCTTTATTTTCTTATAATTCAGTTGAAACATGTGAACGTGTATTCTGAAAAGGTACTGTCCCAAGTACGTAGCAGAAAACAAGATTGTATAATTATTTATTTGTTTATTTTTTAACACCCCCAATATCAAAGAGAACTAAAGTATGATTTCTTGTGTGATGCAACTTTTTCATCTGTTTGGATAGTGGAAATACTTCAAACAGATGTAGACCGACTATGCAATCAGGATAAATATTTTGATAGAGAGGCAGTTATGGTAATAAACTGAGTGTATTTGATTCTAAGTTACCAACTCAGATGATGAATGCATACATGCTTGTGGGAGTCTTGTAAGACTTTTCCTTGGTTCTTTTTTCATTCTTATTGTGTGGCTGGGACTAGGACCATACATTATTTACAGTTATTCCGAGGTTGCAAAGAATTTACTTTATCATAATTCCTTTACATTCTTGAGAGAGTGGTACAGAGAAAAGGATATCATATCCCTACAACCCGTGAAATATAAACAAAAGAATATGAGATAAAACTTGACAGAGATCCCAGACTTAACATGCGTTCTTGAGTTATAAATGCACATTTAATGAAAGAGATAAAGGTTTTCCCAGACTTCACTTGTGTTCTTACACAGCTAACTTGTTGAAAATGTTTGTAGGTTGCATTTCTGGCCTCTTCTGTTGGGCCAAGAGTTGCTGCATCTTGTGCCCATGCAGCATTGACGGTATTTTCTGAGGACAATGGTGTATCTGCTTCTGGAAGTATTTTGCAGATGGAAGGACATAGGTGATTTCTCTTTGTTTGTCATATCAAAATAATTGCCTGGGATTTTTTTTGGCTCATAGAGGATTTTTTTTAGCTCTGTTAATATACTAAATTTTTTAGGAAAAGAGGAGTTTGCTAGTACTGCTAATCTAGTGAAAGCATTGGAAACCCCTAAAAAGCTTTTCATTCTAATTGTTGCATGTTCTTCATTGATATTGCAAATTTTGTTCCGTTAGCTTAAAATTTATTTTTCACCTATGAAGGATGAACCCTGAGAGCATACATGGTAGAGAAGGTGGGGCTCATGGAAATATTGCAAATTCACTTCAGCAGAAGGGTAGGCATGGAGTTTCCTGTGTTCTTTTTCATACTCTCTCTCTCTCTCTCTCTGACTTCCAGTTATTCATGGATTAAACTTCAGAAGAGAACACAGCAGGACATGGTTCTAGGGGTCAAAATGAGGCAGGGACAATTCCAATACCTGCAGAGAAAGTTATAGCTGCTGCCAAAGCTGGCCTTGCTGCCGCTGCAGTAAAGGCAAAATTATTTGCTGATCATGAAGAACGGGAAATTCAGAGACTATCTGCTAATATCATAAATCATCAGGTATAACTTCTGCTAAATTTAACTGTTTCCTTCTTATTTGTATACTTTTCTGAGACTCTTTTCTTGTAACTATTTGGAAAAAAAAAGGCTTGAACCATATTTTTTTTATCTTCTCATTATTAGTTGCTACCTGTTAGTTGTTAATAGGTGAGGATGGAGATTTTCGTATCAGATTTTTTTTTTTTTTTTTTTTTTTTTTTTTAAAAAAGGGCGAAGATGGAAGTTGAACCTCTTAAAAAGGCCTGAATCAGGATAAGGGACAAGGTCCTTTTTAGAATCTTGACTTTAGCTGCATACTTAAAAATCATATTTTGAGATGTGTTGTTATTTGAAAGATTTAGAGGACTATCGGCATGCTTGTATGGGTTGGAGTTGTCTTTGTCTGTTGTAAGTTGTATCAGTCGTAACACAAATCATTCCATTCTGATTAGCGTTCAGTATATACTATACAGTATCTTGGATATTTTTATTTCAACTGATCTAGTGTGTTTTGGTAGCCTTAACTGGTTATTGATGGACCAAAAAGTATCCTGGGCATACAACTCCAGGATGGATCATCTCTGAGAATAATTGGCCAAATGAGTACTGGCTTATATCCTCAGATCTTTAGTATGGGGTAAAGATCTATAGTATGGGCTAATTCATTGTGTCGTTGGTCTGAAACTTAACTTCAGACAAAAGAACAACTTATTTTATTTTAAGAGGGACTGCTTTCCCTGTTAAATTTTAATTTTAATTTTAATTAATTTATTAGTGTTGTTATATGGTTAGACAAGTTTATGGACATTATTTTAACACACACATTCATATGCTCTTGATAACTGAATATTCTCTGAAAATCAAAAGCCCATCTGGAGATGGCATTGCCCCAACACCTGACTTGTTTCGACTAGTTTCTGCCTCCCATAGTTTAACCTGTATCTTTGTAAGCAGGGTTTATTTGTTTGCCATTGGAAGTCATGCTTAAATTGAATTGGATGAGTATTCTTATCTCTAGTGTGAAATTTATTACAGTTGAAGAGATTGGAGCTGAAGTTAAAGCAGTTTGCAGAAGTGGAAACTTTTCTAATGAAAGAATGCGAACAAGTGGAGAAGACTAGGCAGAGGATGGCTGGTGAACGTGCCCGTCTTATGTCAGCTCGGTTTGGACCTGCTGGCGCTGCACCTATGGGTTTAGCGGGTCTTGGTTCTTCCATGTCTAATAATAACACTAGTACCGGTAGGCAACAAATAATGTCACCTTCAGCTTCACAGCCAAGTGTATCAGGATACAGCAACAACCAACCAATCCATCCCCACATGCCATTTGTGCCACGCCAATCAATGTTAGGGTTGGGGCCGAGGATGCCCTTGACATCCATACAGTCATCCTCATCAGCTCCAAATGCCATGTTTAATGCTGCAGGGACTGCCCAGCCGACTCTAAATCATCCAATGTTGAGGCCTGTACCAGGTACTAGCTCTGGTCTAGGTTGAAAGAAAACATGTAGATTTGGGGTTTATGGTTATTCCCTTTGGTCGTTGCTTTCTGCACTGTAACTGAAAGTAGTGGATAACATAGATGTCATTCACGATCAATCTGCCTCACATTCTTTTTTAGTTTTTTTTTTTCTATATAGAAGATACCTCCGGCAGATTGTAGGGCCTGTATGTTCATACATTTGATCATTAGAAATTAATTCAGCCAAAAAATAATTGTGTTTCTGAAAGTGATGTTGGTGCAGATGACTTTTTTGTTTCTTTCCCTTTTGGAAAATGTTTCCCTGCTCATTTCTCTCGTCTTGTCTGGAAGAGTAAATTTTCCTCCCCAAAACTCACTTTGCACTTGTGTCTGGTAATACATGGTTGAATGATTTATAACTCCTGTAACTTGTTTTGTTTGGTTTACTGACCGCAAAATGTTGGTCATAAGAAAAGTATAACAAGCTTTTTATTCTACATTGATCTCTCTGTAGGAAGAGTAATCATTTAGTGCTTCAATATTCTTTCACTCATGATGCCTCCGGCAGTTTGTAGGGCCTGTTTTAATTCAGCCAAAAATGAATTGTCTTCTGGAACTCTGCTTCAATCTTCTGGTTCGAAAGAGAGTTTAACTTCTCTTGGGAAAATTATGTAGAATTTCTTTTATATATGCATCTAGAAATTAATGTCGTTACAAAAAAAAACTATATCTTGTTGGCAGTACCAAACATCTGCTGGGTATCGCTAAAACATCTCCAACGTGCAATGTGCTAGGTACTGTAGATTGGTAACCGATAACCAATAACTAATCGATGAGCCCCTTTACTAGGGAAAACATCATGATCCAAAATTTCAAATGAACAATTTTATTTGCAACTGTAGACCGATGGGTAACATTCTTTTATATATGATACACTAAATGATTATTCTTCCTTACATAGATAATTATTACCCAATAGAATAAAACAGAACACAAACAGCATGCATGTTACATTGATGCAAAGATCAACCAAGAACAAAAAGCCCCTGCTTCTCTAATTCTAACCCATTACCAATTTAAAGGGCAAGAAAACCCTGAAGCATATATGTGTATATAATTATAAACGTGCCCAATTAAGGGCATTGGATCTCAAATAACCCTCTATTGCGGTAGAGGTATGTCAGCCAAGTCCTCTCTGAAGGGCACTGGGGGCCCACTAGAATAAGGGAGCCCACTTTCCATTTGGTTTTGGGCTGCTGGGTCATTCTTTGTGGGCTCAATAAATGTCACTACACTGTCTTTTCTCAAGGTTAAGTAGATGACTGCAAGGATGTAAATGGCCATCAGGGGAAACACTAAGATCCCAATGAACACATTTGCAACTTTTGGCAGGCTGCTGTGGATCAACCACCCCACAAACCCTGTGCTCAGGTAATAGATGTTGATGCCTATGATTCCCATGCCTAGAATCCAAGATACCACAATGATCTGCATGCACAAATCACAATTTCAAATATAAGAATCCGTTAATAAAATACAGATATGTTCGTGAGATTTGAACTCATGACCTCTTCTAATAAAGAAACACTGATTAACTAATTAAGATTAAAACCACTCACATAGATTGAGTTCTTGTGGGGTCCCATCTTGGTGGTGCTACTGCTGAATTTGAGTAGTGGGATTAGAGCAAATGGGAGTTCAAAAGAGAGTATCATCTGCAAAATACATTAAAAGTTTGACCTTTAATTAATTATATTTCAGTACGATTTAAATTTTTTTAAATTAAAAAAAAAAAAAAAAAAAAAAAAAAAAAAAAAAAAATTTTATATATAAACCAGTCAACGAACCGATGCAATGATAATGAGTCTGCCTGCTCCTGAAGGGCCGCCGATAATGGAAACAATGAGACTGGGTGTAATTGCTATGCACCTGGTCATTAGGTTTCTAGCCCATTTTTTCATCTTAATGTCCAAGAAACCCTGTAAATCAGCATCAATTTTATGTCATTTTTCAAACAAATTTAAAGTAATTTTCAGAAGTGCTTTTAAGTTCACATAATTAGTAAAACATAAAACTAACCTGCATGACAAATTGTCCTGCGTATGTGCCTGTAATTGTGGAGCTTTGGCCTGAGGCTAATAGTGCAATTGCATAAATGACTTTGCTTGACCGTCCCAGCACATTCTGCATATACAAAAGAGATTAGTTATCTGGTTTTGTATTCGGAAATACTCCATTGTCAGACATTTTTTCGCATTTTATAGGGGACATTTTGGAAAAGGCCAAAGGAGAGAAATATTTTTAAAAGAAGCCAAAATGGACAAAAATGCCCTTATTATTTTTGAATTTCCTAAGGAATCCTTTACATTTGGTTTGAAAGTTAGGGAGTTTTTCTGTCTTTTTTCAAAAGTAAAAGTTTTTTTGTGGCTAAAACCTAAATTTATTAAAACAGTTTATGACGATTAAAAGTGTTTATGTAAGCTTTTGGGTGAAAATTTCAAAAATATTTCAGTCATAAAAAAGTACTTTCACAAGAACAAACGGGCCATGATTCAAGTAACATAACGTGTCAGATATATATCGGTAACAAAATGTTACCACGTATATAAGATTGGTTTTATTTTATTTATAAAGATTATAGTAAAATGAAGGTTGAGTGGTGAGTTTTACCTGGAGAAGGAAAGAGGCAGAATTGAGGGTAAGATCACTGCAAGTTTTGGTGTCCTTATCAGAGAGGTTGGTGTCATGGCAAACGGTGCCGGATACAGAGACGATGGCAACATTAATTAAAAAAGCTACAAATAATGCAAATCCACTCTCTATCAAGAAATATCGGCACGCATCCTGCAACAACATAACATTGAATTAGTGTTAATTAAACAAACAGTTTACCAAATTAGCAAGCTTCACTTTATTTATGATTTTTTCTTTTTTATACTTTTTTTTTACCTAGCTCTTCACAACTACAAGGCCAATGGTTTCTTATATTATAATTTAACTTTTTTTTTAATATTTTTATAAAAAAAAGTTATATATTTTTTTATTTGATTTTATTTTATGCATGATTTTTTTAAATACTGGCGAACCACAACAATCCACCTCTTGGGGGGGCCGGGAAGACTCACACATGCGTTTCAACTCACCCTTGGCGACGATTAGAAAAATCAAACTAATATTTGTTTTATATATATATATATATATGCATTTACATATTGATAAGTGCTCTAGACAAAGTCATATAAACAATGCAACAATGAGTTAATAATTCTATGTTTTTTAGTTGTTGATTTTCACCCAACGACTTGGATCTTCATATCATTCAAAGTTATATGCATGAATTATTTATGGCTAGTACTAATGCAATTGAAAATGAAAGCTAATTAACAAATGGGGCTTACGTTGATGCCACGGACAGATTTTGGAATTTTCCTAGAAAGCACAAGAGCTGAGTGGAGAAAAAGGTTGTGCCTGTCAAAAATAAATTAGAGATGCGACACGAGAAATGTTCTCTTGTCAGATTGTATGTTAAATTTGAGATATTTAGATTACAGTAATCAAACGACACAAGTACTTGTCTAACAAAAGATTATGGAATGTACGGCATAACGAGGGCACCCAAGAGGGCAATGGCATCTCCGGTGGCTCCTTGGCCATTGAGCTTTGGGATAAACATGCCTTTGAGCACACCAGATGCTGGAGGCTTCACATAACCCATTTCACCAAAGAAACAGGCAGCCATTACAAACACCAACACTGCTATCAACAATTCCAGCTTCCTAACCTGCCCATGCATATAATTTAATATTGTCACCAAAACATTAAATTAATTTCTTAAACTTTGGATTAATTTGCAACATGAGACTAATTAAAATTACCCCATATCTCTGCAGGCCTAGAAGAAGGAGAGTGCTGAAACCAGTGAGGAGAACTCCGGTCCAAACAGGAATGTTGAACAGTATATTTAGTGCAAAGGCTGTGCCAATCACTACATGCCAAAATTAAGAATCAATATTAGAAAATTTATTTTTTTAAAAAATTATACAAATTAAAGACAGAAAAACATAAATTATAATTATAATTTTTTAGTTGAGTTAATATATTTTACCTTCGGGTATATCAGCAGCTATGACGGCAACTTCTGCTAGCAACCACAGACAATACTTCACAAACTTTGGGTACTCCGCCTTGCATAATTCTGATAAATGTTTTCCTGAAAATTCAAGATTAAGCAAATTAATTACTATTATTTAAATTGTAAGAAAACAATATAATCTTCCGTTTATTTTCTCTCATACTTTCTATCTTGTCTCTATTCTCCCTCTCATTTTTAATTATAAAGAATGTTAAAAAATATAAAGTTTCACATCGGAAACTTGATAATGAGTAGTTCCACTTTTACTAACATCGAGACTTTTTATGATAAAACCGGTATATATAAATATATATTTGCTATTATTGAGTTAAGAAGTATTTTTGTCCTATTTCGTACCTGTGGTCACGCCAAGGTTTGCTGAAAGCGATTGGATTATGAGAGCGAAGATCAGTCCAATAAGAATCACCCAAAGCAGCTGAAAATAACATAATTTATGATAAGATAAGACCAATGCTTTAACCTTTTTCTTTTGCATGCTAAATAATGCAAACAACTCTTCAGGATTTTTCTTTTTATATTTTATTTTAATGTTTGCTTTTAATTTTCTTTTGGCCTTTGTGGTTTTTATTTTAGAGTAATGCTATACTTACCATATTTTTATCTCACATTTCTATACCACATGATGTAGCATGTCCATATCATATGCCACATCAATTAAATCAATGAAGTGTATTTTAATTAAGACAATTAGAAAAACAAATACTGGAATAAATCATAAAAGAAAAGAAAATATTAAATAATTTTAATTGATGTGGCTGTCCACCTAAACTGTCACATAAGATGGTATAAAAATATGGTATACAAATGTGGTAAGAGTAACATTATTCTTTATTTTACCTCATATCTGTGATTGGCTCCAGCTTGCAGATCAGTTTCCACTGTGAGATTATGATGTCATAAACAAAAGTTTTGTCAATAACAGGAAAAAAAACATATACACTTACACATATTAGCGGTAGAGAGAGCTATTTATATACACACGGTAATGTTCTTTTGCCAGACTTATGTTATCAAATTATGAATTTAAACTGCGTATTCCGGTAAGAATTTAACCGGCTTAATAGTTTGAATTCATGGCAAAAGAACATTGTTCGTGTATATACAATGTAATGTTACATGTATGTAGAGAGAGAGAGAGACTCACAGTTGCCAGGATCAAGGTAGGCCAAAGAGACAAGGAAGCCAGGGCCTACGTGTGCTAGAAACTTTCTCCATCCCGGTTTCTAAAGATCATCAGAATTAATCAACAAGAACAAACTCAGATATATTGTTGACAAAATAATCAAAATGAACTCCAATGTAATTTGATTTGTATCAGACCTGTTGATCATCTTTGGGGTCAATGTTATGGTCAACGTCGAAGTGTTTGGTGGGTGGTGGTGTGGCCTCTGAATAGATGGCTGCCATGCGTGTAGCTCCTCCATCTGTGCTCACTCTCTGCTGCTGCTCTTGACTTCCCATCTCTCTCTGCGCAGTCAATAAGCTAGCTAGCTAATTGATTGAAATGATGCTGGGAAATATGAACAAAGATATACATATATATACATATATATAGAGGTAGCTCTTGCATGAATTAATTAATATTATTATTAAGGTGTTCTTAGATCTAGGTCCAAAACGATTAGTTGTCATTAGGTTTAGTTCACGCGTTTTTGGTTTTAGATGTAGGTTCTTTAACTTTTATTACTCTTTTTATTGTGTTGATTTTATACTTTGAGGTACATAGGGAAAACATTGAAAATCTAAATTTAATGAATTATTTACTTGTAATTAAATTTCAGAATTTAAATTTGGAATTCTTTCATTGATAATATTTACCTAATATATGGGTAAAATACAAATTAATCAATTGAAGTAAAGGCCCACATATTATACTAATCAATTAGGCAAGCACCCACATTAAATTATGTACCTAACATACAGGTAAATAGTGTTCTTATTAGCAATGAAAAAAACTTAGTGATAAATTGTGTTACCTATAAGTCATGAACATAAATTAAAATACTGCCTATAAGTTAGGAATATAAATTAGAAGACTACCTATAAGTCAGATACAAAAATAGACAAATAAAATTGTATGTTACCTATAAAAAAATGTACATAAAATACTATTATTCATTGTCTAAAATATGAAAAAACAAATATATACCTATGCAATACGCAATATGACAATATACCTACACCATAGGATAATTTATCTACAAGAGTATATACTATACCTCTACCATAGGGTGAACAAAAATAAAAATAATGGCATATAAATTCTCATCTTACTCATTTTAGACAATATGGATATAATAGGAAAAAAAAAATTTAAATACAAATAAGTTAAATACAAAAGTTTGAATCAGCATGTCAAATATGGAATGTAATCTATGTGGCAAACTAATCAAAAAACTTGTATCAATAAACAATAATTTGAGGAGTAAACCCAATTATTGGTTGGATTTTTAGACCTCTATCAACTTTTCTATATTATTAATATAGAAAAGGAGATTCTGAACCCACCCACTTCCCTGGTTTGTAGACAATTGTGTAGTCGCTAGCTATACTCTAATGTGTCTTCATCGACGTGGCATAAACGACAGGTCACTAAACTATATATCTTATTTTTCTTTTTACAAGCCTTTTATATATATATATATATATATATATATATATAATAACTAATATTATATCTTTAATTTGTTCCAATTATAGATAGACTGCACACTCCAGTATTACTGGAAAAACAAAATACCATGAATTATTTAATATTGTATGGTATTAGGTGGGATTGATATGCTTTCTTGTAGTTTCTTTCTTAATTTCTCTTTACATAACTCATGGGTAGACGTAGACAACTAAGATAATAATTTAAATCGTATAGTCTCATAATTAAAAGTGTCTTTGATAGCATTTTGCAGAAAACCTCGTAAGTATTTCAGAGTCATAAAAACGTTTTATGGAGAACCATATTTTTAAGAATAACTTTTAAGTGTACTTCCTTAAAATCTTGAATTTCTATAAAAATTTCGACATTCTTAACACGGCGCTTATAAGCAAAAGTATTTCCTATAGAAGATTATCTTAACTAATTATTTAGAGTATTATAATCATGCGTCTCGCCTCTATCAAAAAGATAAGCATGCTAGAAAGAAAGTCAATTAAGATCTTAGAGATCGCATGATCAGTCGCACAAGATTAATCAGCAAGTAGAAGAAGTCAAGCTTTCTTGGATAACGTTTTCTATATGGGTCATGTACATCATCTGCGTTAACGTTAATGTAGGAATAATTAATTTTCTGTAATTCAATTAAAATAAATAAATATACTGGAAATGACATCGAGAATCTTAAGAAGTACAAATTTTGAAATCTTACCTCTGTTTGTTGTTGGGAGCGAAAATGATCAAATGCCAAGTTCTTTTAGCCCTGAATCTTTTTGATCCCCTTCACACTCATTTTTTTTTTCTTTATTTTTTGTAGTAATTAAATACATAAATATGTTCAAATCGATACAAACAAGGTCGCCAAGGATATTAAACTTTTGCATATAAGTTACAGATCAAAGTTTAACTAGTACGAGCTCTGCCGTACTAGCATCTAAGCATGGAGGCTTGTAACTCTAGTAGTATAGCATATATTTGAGTTGACTTTAACCCTTCTTGTCCCCTAAATATCATCTGGCAAACTAATGTAGCTCGGATCAAAGATTTCTTGCAATTGCAAAGGACCAATTAGTGTAGTGGTTAGAGTGAAAGCTCCTTTGAGGTCATGGAGTCAAGTCCTAGTATCTGTGTGGTGTGTGTGAATTTAGTATGTTATCGCCCTTCTTAATAGGAAAAATAACTTCTTCTTTTTTCATTTAAAAAAAAAAGCATGTTTGTAGACCATTTCCTTTGGTTTATTGATTTTAGAAAAATGGTCTGAACCATGCTGCGATTGAAATCACAAAAAAGTTAATCATATCCTACAAAGATCATATTCTTTCTTTCTTTTTTCAATTTTGAAAACCTCAATCTTCTAAGATCATAAAGTAAATTTGAAGAAATTAAACAACTGATAAAAAAATTTTAAAAAATTAATGAGTCTACTTCTACTCTTAGAAGTCAGAAGTTGCAAACTAAAACATGTTAGCTATAATTAAAAGAAAAGGACACCAAGAGTAGTTTAAAGACCACTCATTTGGACTTTATGAGTGTATACGTAGTTTAATTATAACTAATATATATTAATTAAGTTTCCATAGTTTAGAGTTTGTAGAATAATTAAGCTCAAAATGTCGTGAGCATGCCGCTACATCTACTTCTATTTATCTAATGATTCTAATCTTGGTCTCTCACCCGACATGATCCATGCCTTTATTTTCCAAGTAAAGTCCAAAAATTCTTGCCTCTCTCAGATTTTTTCCACTTCCAATTTTTTAATTAGAAATGGCCAAATAGGTAGATTCTTAGCCTCATCTTTAGTGCTTAAGTTAGGAAGACCCACAAAAATAGACATAGGCTTAATTAAGTTGGTCAGAACGAATGTACTCCTCACTCTGCATACGAGTTTGAATCCCCCTTCATGTAATTTAGATTAGATTAAACAAAAGATCGCTTGTATAAAAAAAAAAAATTTTAAATAATAATTCACCTAATTAAAGGGCCGATTATGATGAAACATTCAAAATACCACACATGATAATACAGTAAATTAACAGTTTTTTATATTAAAAAAAAAACAAAATGAGAACGTGGGTCCTATTCTCATGGTATGGTAGACACCTAGACATATTTTATCTTTCTAAATTCTAAAATGAAATTAAAAACAAAAACAACCAATTGGCACGCAGAGTGTGTAATCAAAATTAAATTGGGCCTATAATTAAAGAATTAATGTTGCTATTTGAGTCGTTGGGAGAGGCCCGACTTGCAGTTGCCTTTACTCACAAGTAAGACGAGAGTCCCCTCGCTATCATGAACGACACGATAAGCCTGTTTTTTGGGTTTTGTTAAATAAAAACTTATTCAATTGTTTCTTAAATAAACAAGTGCAAAATTCCATTGCTGCCTTCTCCACGCCATCGATCTCATCTATGGAATCATTTTGACTAAAATTCTACAATGAAAGTTGTAAGTTGTGTTAGCGGGGGGAGATTTGGGCTGTTTTCCCTCTCGACAATAAAACTTATCCCCCCTCGTCTCACTAGTCGACCATGACCTTTTACTTCTTTTCCCATAAATTTGAAAGCTTAAAGAAGACTTAAAATATCAAGCTTTGGCAGGCCAATATACTTCCATTTTATTATAGTCTAAAGAAATGACAAAAGAGTGGTACAATTCGGTAGATTCTCTCTTGATCATGCAAGCATTTGGAGTCAAACAAAAAACAAAAACAACAACAACAAACCAACAAAAGGAAATATATATATATATATATTTTATTAATTAATTTGGGCAAGTGTATGGCAAGATGTAACCAATCTTCAACTGATCAGATCAAGAATAGTACACTTGTGCTTTTTTATTCTTTTATAAACCCCTCTTCTAAGCTTCCTTGTATTAAAAGACTAGAATCGGAAACATTTTATACACTTAAATTACTTCTTGTATGCAAACTAATTTTCAAGTAAACGAATAGCCTCCTTTTTCAATATCCGTGATCAGACACAAGACTTTAGGTGCATGGGTGAATGCTTTTATCCATAAGATTAGAGATCGAATCTCGTCTTTTTTGGCTTCTAATTGTGCTAGGAACCCAACTTGACTTGTGTAAGTAAAATGAGTAACTTTATTGACTCAGAACAATCACAAAAGAATTCACCCCCCAAATCAGGACAAAACCAGCTTATAAACTGGATTAGCAACTGTAACTAATACTCGGGCAGAAAACAGGTGGCTTAACTACTAATCTAACAACCAAAAACCGATTAACAAACTAATCTAACACAACCCCACAACTGAATGACAATTGAAAGGTGAGAAAGCTGCCACCTGGACCACTCTTCTCTTCCCAAATGGACCAATGAAATGAATACAAGTAAACCAGCGAGTGTCAATTACCCGGCCCCAAAAACCAACCCTGTCCACGAGGTTTGAAATCTGGAAATCGACTTTTGAGGCTTTAATAGTCTTCCCACGTTGCATCTTCTTTGTTGCCACTGAACTGAACTAACACTTCAGTCTTCAGTAGCAGCTACATTATTACGTTTAACAGTCACTGATTGGAGCCCAACCATCTCAATCTTGACTCGTGTAACTAAAATAAGCAACTTTATTGACTCAGAACGATTATAAAATAATTTACCCCCAAAAGCATTACAAAACCTGCTTATAAACTGGGTTAGCGATTGTAACTAATATTCGCGCCTAAAACAGCTGGCTTAACTACTAATCTAACAACCCCCACAACTGAATAACAATTGAAAGGTGAGAAGAAGGCTGCCACGTGGACCACTCTTCTCTTGCCAAATGGGTAAACAACTAAATCAATAACGCAGTGTACCTGAAAAATATAAAATTTTTTTCTTTTCAAATTAGGGCCTAATTTTGTCGTAAGTCAAAATATGGTTGGTGCCGGTTATTTCGAGAATGATGCTATTTCCATTTCCTTCTTGATATAATTTGAGAATGTTTAGTAACCATGATTTGCACGGAAGTAGCATTGTGATAGCAAATGGTGTGATCCATGCAGCTCATTTGGTCAACTTTTAACAAATCATACGATCACCTTCACGGATTTGCATATGCATACAAAAATAGGGATTTATGTATTTCAAAAAGCCACCCTTTCTAAATTATTGTATACAACTTATTCTTAGTTATGACTTGCTTGCACCATTAGTTTATATATTTTACAGTTTAGCATATGCCAATTCCCTTTTTATTGGAACCCTACGTTAGCATTTATATATGTTACTGATCTATCGTAAGCATCTTATCTTATCAGATAATCTAGTAAGAGATTATTTTCCTACATACATATTATATATATCAGAATTCATTTAAGTACAAATAAACTTGATTAGTACATTCATCCTCGTAATTCAAATCACACATTCAAATAAGAATCAATTTTGGTCACTGATTCAAATTCGCAATATGAACCGTATGAAGCAAGATAATATATTTATATATGTGTGACTACAAACTACTTATAAAATAATACAAGGGTGGTTTCCTACTATATTGTTTGAGGTATTCTAAATTCATTTAGGATAATAATGAAGTTAATTATATATGTATAAACAGTGCTAATTGATTAAAAAAGATTTGTTGAGATAATACGTCATGGTAGTTAACGAGTGCTGATCAGATTTATAGTAATTCAACAGAATTTAATATATAAATAGGGAACTTAATTATAGCCTTATTATGTGTGTATGTACGATGTACCCATGGCCATGATATTCCACATAGTCGGAATGGTATTGAAAGAGTCTTTTATATGATATTGCCATAGAGTTTTTAACTGTGGAGGTCCCTGAATTTTACATCGAGTTGCAATTGGGTCCCCAAACTTTTTTTTTGAGGCAATTAGGTCATCAAACTCTCTCATCCGTTCCAATTAAGTCCATTCGTCAATTTGGCTGTTAATTTGAGGGCTAAAACCGTCCATTTCAATTAAAATATTTAAATATTTAAAAATTGAAGAAAAAAACTAAAAAAAAAGTGAAAACAAAATAAAATCCAAATCCAAATCTCTCTCTCTCTCTCTCTCTCTCTCAACTCATTCCCCCTTCCTATCCCACCCCACTCAAAACCCGTATCCCAACCTACAACCCATCTCCCGGCCCTGAAACGTCAAATGAAATAGGTCTTGCTTGGTGCTTGCGTTAAGCAAGGCGGTTGAAGAAGGCCGCAAGTGGAAGCAGCCAATGCTTTGATCATTCAGTTGACTTCTTGCTGCGAGTCCGTGCTTGCTGTTATGCTGGCAAAAGCAGGGGTTGCGGGTGGGTTGAGGTTGCTCCTCTAATTGAAGTATCGGGCCCCTTTTTTGTTGCCTAGGTTACACCTTCGGAATACCCCAAAAGGGAATTTTGATATGTTTGGAACCCTATACAAGGGACTGCTTGCTGCTCACCCCTATCTCTAAAGGGGCTTATGCACTCCACTCATTACCACTAAATGGCGAAGCTAGGTCAATCTATGCATTCATCAATCACATTCATGAATGGGCTGTAAATGACAATCATGGAAATGAGCTCTAGCTCTATGACCAATTCAGGGAGCTATAAAGTTGGGGAAAAAGTGAGAGAAAATGGTATCAGCGTAGTCTGCCTAATAATGATTAAGAATTTTAATAACCCTTGATACTGGCTCTAAGATCTGATCTTATTAATCCCTTGTTGTGCATATGTAAATAGAGCCAAGTAAATCCTATGTGGTTTCTACCAATCACAAACTGTTTGATATGAATTTGTATTGTAAACTTGTGAAGATGGAGGCGGGGTTATTAGGGTTGATGATGGATGAAGAAGGTGGAGTTGGGGTCAATGATAGATGAAGAATCCGAAAGGACGCTTTTACCCTCTCACTTTGACAAATAAATTGACAAAGTTGGGTGGTAGACCTAATTGGAACTATTTATCGAGTTAAGGGATGTAATTGCCTTTAAAAAAAAATTCAGGGACTCAATTGCAACTCGAGGCAAAGTTCAGGGACGTCTACAGTTCAAAACCCTATTGTCATAATACAAGCTTATAATATAGTCAAAATTTGTTAAAAATAAATGAGGTTTATACTACGGCAACTTACTCACAAAGAGTGGAACCCCTACATTTACGCTCTACTCGAACTTGTAAAATTCCTACATTTGTGCTCTACTCGGTCCCACTTTCTTTGAGTGAGCTGCCGCATAGGCCAACCTCACCCAAAACTCTATGTATATCAAAGGGATCGTGACATTGTACATATCAGGCGCCATATTAGATTTTTATTTATTTTTAATTTTTTAATTTTATATAGATACAGTTTTCAAGCAATTTACAGAGTTTATAAAATAAGTTGTTTGAAAGGGGCATGGACCATATGGCCTTAGATTTTCAAGACTGAAAAAAAAAACAACAGGGAAAAATTAACGTAGCAAGTAGGATGATAAAGACTCAACTACAAACCAAGAAATGGTGAAGTTTCCAAATTTGGTATCTTTCATCTCACATTGAGAAAAATAAAAATGAGGAAAGCCACCGATGGCCGACCAAAGATGGATGCATTGTTGGTGATATCCTCCCTCTCAAGAAAATTTACACGTAACAGATATATACAATCTCTCTCATCAGCACTAAATGTTAATGAGAAGAAAATTGTATATACACCCGTTACACGTAAATTTTTCTCTCAACGAAGATATTCCCTATCTTTTAGTGTTACGATGAAAGTTTGAGTACTCTCCTCTTTCTCCTAGTAAGATCTTGAGTCACTTTTGGAACCCCAACAAAAGATTTCAGGTCATGGATAATGCCCAGATGGAAGGGGCATTCTCATTTAAATTGTGGGTTGTGTGGTTCCTCCAGGATCAAATTTCTTGCAAAATGTAGAATTATTGGTCAGATGGTCCATTTCATGAATCATGATGCAGCTGATTCAGAAGAAGAAAAATTAATAAGAAGAAGACTGGTCACTTGCTATGAATGAGGAACAAGAACTTGTGGCTCTGTACCCATCTTTGGAGGACAAAGACTAATAACAACTTGAAGGGAAATGTCGATCGAGATCTTTATAATCAATACATTGTACTAGTAGGGTAGGGTATCCTAACATATTTTGGCTTTCTTACGTCGTTTATGCCTGAAATGATTTATGGAAATGTATTTATTTGGTAAAAACAAAATTCATATTTCAGTTTCAACAAATTTGTCATGATTCTGGGATTAAAATTAGTAACAAGTCATGAGTTTGTGCTTAACATTTTTTTAAGACCCAATAATCTTTTTTTAGGCCCAACATTTAATTTAAATTTGCATGGTCAGTTTTATATCAAGTTGCAATTACCATTTAAGTATATGTGGGCTGGGTCAGGACGGAGCGTGGTTGTGCAAGGCCTATTTTGTGCTATTGAAGGCGAAGCTTATGGCAACGACTGGTTGGTCAACAATTTAGGGTTCGAACCTGAGACACTACTATGGTTCCATGGGGATTCGAATTTAAGACCACTGGTCTATCAAGTCAAAATCCTTTTCCATTGGGCTAGACCTGTTGGCTACTGTTGTGTCAATCAATTTTAATAGGTTTGGTTGGGCATAAAGAGAAAATGAGATGTTGGGTTGGGTTCTTCATGAGTAAGGGTATTTTTGGAACAAATCTTAGGGTCTGAAAAAAATTTGTTGGGTCCAAATAAAATTACCCTATGATTATATACTATCATTGCGATCTTCAATACAATTTTGAAGTCTCTAAAACTTGATATTTATCAAAGAAATAAGATGGTATTATAAGCTTTTCATGTGCTTTCAAACCAATCTCAGAAACAAAGGGATTCACTCTCCAATTACCTGACCATATACCCCCAATGTGAGAAGAACTTTGTGACAGAAGTTGACCAACTTTGACCTTAATTTGGAGCTTGGTTGCACCATTTTTAACTCTCCCTCATTACAAAAGCAATAGGAGACGATCGTGTCAAAATTGTGCTGATTGTTGAGACCCAAGCATCTAGTCCAGTGAACTAAGTTTTCAGCTCATGGCACCAGGCAATTCAAACTGCTTGAGGCTGACTGAGATTTGCTTAAAACAAGTAACACATCTTAAACATCAGCTCCACAAATTTATAACACAATGACAAGGATCATCGGTAAGTTGAGTTGTAGCAATTCGAGCTGCTTGGCGCTGATTGAAAATTGCTTGAAACTAAGATACCTCTTAACAGCAGCGCCACAAATTTATAATGCGACAATAAGGATCATCAAATAAGTTGTCTCATTACCAATTAATCTTCAATAGATTTTGTATGGCCAGCCAACGGAAGTGCATGAACTTTAGTACCTCCAAATGTTTGTCAAAGAATGACTATAATCTGCAGTTCTAGACCATAACTAGTTTCTTCACAACGTCAAGTTTCCACCATGCTATCGTATCCTTTGCGAGTCATAATCGGCTTCACCTTCATTATCTGCCTATATCTACTCTCTATACCATATTTTATTCTTCTATGCAGATCTTTATCAAGCGAATTGAATTCTCCAGCTGAATTTAGTGCGTCACAAACTAACTTATAAGTATACTCTCTAGGTATCGAGCCTCCATCGATCAACTCAGCAAGAAAATCCCGAGCCTCTATAACCCTTCCTGCTTCACACAAGGCATGAATGATTGGAGTGTAAGAACTTGAAGTGGGCATTCCATGTTTCATATTTTGCATCTTCCGTAACATATCAACCGCCTTATCAATCTCATTAACAGCAGCGTAGTATCTAATAAAGGAATCGTAAGTAACCCGATTGGGGGTACAACCCATTCTGTTCATATCATCAAACAACTCCAAAGCCCTCTCGATCCGGTAGGTTTTGCAACAGCCATTGATCAAAGAATTGTAAGTGACAACATCAGGGACAAAGCCTCTGAAAAGCATGTTCCGGAACATGTGGTTTGCTTCCCACATCCGCCTCCTAGTGGCCTTCCTACACCCAGTCTCCAAGCCATATCTACAATAAGAACTAATCAAAATCGTATAAGTGAACACGTCCGGCGGGCATCTAAAGCCCGGCAACTCCATCTGCTCCAACAAAAACCGGGCCTTATTAAAATTCCCAACTCTGCAGAGAGCATAAATAATAGTGTTATAAGCATACACATCAGGTTTACAATGAAACTGCTTCATTCTATAAAAAGCAGCCAATGCATCAGTAACCAGTCCCTCCTCTCCTAGGACTTTTATCAAACACGTAATGGTCTGGGTAGTCACCAGCCCACCACTCCCTCTCTTCGATATTTCTTTAAGAAAATCCCAGAGGGCTTTCAATTTATTCCCTCTAGCCAAAACAATGGCCATATCCCTACAAGTTTGCTCATTGTGAACAAACCCAAAATGGGTTTCGACCCAGTAGAAGAATTCAAGCGCTTTGTCCAATCCCAGCTGAACCTTGTGAAGGTCTTTGTGGGCAGCTGGGCCAAGAACGAGCACGTTGTTATGGAACCTATAAGATTCTTCTCTGAGATTGCGTTGCTTTAACGGAGCACGGTGTCGAAAGCCATGTTGGCGACCGATGGAACGGGGGGACTGGAAGAAGAATCTGGGTATGGAGATTAGGACTTGGGTAACTGACTCGGAGGTCCATGGCTGAGAGGTGGTGGCTGAGGCAGCGAGCTCGGAATTGAAGGGTTGGTTTTTTAGCATGGCAGTGAGGACTTGGTCCACTACATTGGGTGTGTAATTACGGCACAGAGGTTTCGAGTGGTTCATGTTTAGCGTTTTTTGTTTTCTTTCTGTGATAGATTAACTGAGAATCAATAAATATGCAAAATTGATTTCTGGGTTTGATGAGACAAGGGTTTGGTTAAGCTTGGCAACGCCATTGTTGAGCCGTTCTAGGGACGGTGCGGTTTTTTTTTTTTTTTTTTTTTTTTTTTTTTTTTTTTTTTTTTGGGAGGGAAGAGGAGGTAGTGTAATTTGAAGATGAAAGATAGGATTTGAGTTGGGCTTTCAGTTTATAAGGGTCGGCCCATATAAAGTCTTTTCAAAATTGTTGTCCTTAATTTTTTTTTTTAATAGTAATTCTTGAAAAGGAATCACAAGAAATCCAATAAGCTGTTTGCTTTTGTTTTATAATAAAATTAGTGGAACATGTTTGATGTTTGATGAAGATGAATAGGTATGATGAATTGTTCAACACGCTTTATAATGACACACAAACAAAGACTAATCTAAATCCATTAACCAATAACTCATAATGCATGTCATCGTGCAAAATTCAATTCAAACTTTTTTCCTCACATATTTATGCATGTATAGTATTGTTTGGCATTGAGGATGGAAGGGGAAATAAATTAGGATTAAGTTAGGTTAAGAGTTCGATTCATTAGTGAACACGCTTCATATTCTCTTTCACAACCTCTACCTTGTTCTTCCTGAGTAAGTGGCCCACAAACAAAAGCCAATCCAAACCTGTTAACCAAAAACTCCAATGGACGAGTTATACTTTTTTTCCTCACTTACTTATGCACATATAAGTATTACTTCTCAATTGATGATAGATGGGAAAACGAGTTAGGATAAGGTTAGCTTAAGAGTTCAATTCTCTTCTACTAAAACTAAAGAAAAATGTATTATTTTAGTATGGCGTATTCATCGGATAGGAAAGGAAAGTCGGTAAATGACAGTTGGAAGAATGCTATTTATTTAACCCTAACGCAAAACAAATCTTTACAAAGAGAAGCAATATAAAGACTTCATTCTATCATACCCAACATCCTTTACACACATTGTGGGTACTTTCTTAATCTTTTTATTATAAGTTTTAATGAAGTCAAGTTTATGTAGGAAAAAGGAGTATAAACCTTTCAAAAGGCAACCTTCTATCTTTATTTTCATTATGTATATAAAAAGAAAGGTTATCCCTTCCCTCCCATTTTCATTCCACAACTACATCCAAGATCAAGTATCAACAAAACCTTTTGACTTGACCTACTTTTTGGCATCTAGTACCAAAAAAACCAAAAACCAAAAACTTCAAGTACTCTTCGTAGTCTTGTATGACTAGAGAGCTAAGCTTACCCATTAAGGAATTAACCATGTTGGGCTTGCCATAATTACTTACTAATTAAATACAACAGTAAAAAAACTTTTTACTATAAGCTTTCAAAAGAGCCCGAACCCGGCCCACTCAGCGTCACATACGGGTCGAGGGGACGAGGAGGAGGACGTGGACGTGGGTGAGTCACGGAACGGTGAGAGCAGCGATTTCCGCGACGACAGAGACCACCGGGCCAGCGTCTCAAGGTCCGAAGTGTAATCGGGTTCGGACTCGGGTACGGGTACCGTTCTAGCTCCGCTCCCCCTTTTGCTATTGCTCGCTGACTTCCGCCTCAGAAGTGGAGACATGAAGCACCCGGCTGAAACGGTGTCGGGTCGTCCGGGTCGCCGGGCAAGGATGTTATCGGGCTGCTCGAATCGCCAGCGCTCGGACCGGGTTCGAGCGGCGGAAGCAGAGCGGAAGGAGCGGCTTCGGGTATGGGGCTCCGGTGGCGGCAGGAAGAGTGACCCGGATGGTGGGGGTTTGAGGTTAAGGTGTTTGTGAATATGCGGATGTGGAGGTGGTGGTAGTGGTTGTTTTTGTTGTTGGGTTTGGATTTTGGGGACGCCGGGTCGGATTTCCCATTTGAATGGGATTGCTCCTGGTTTTGTGAAAGAGTCATCATAATCATCTATTGCCATTTGTTTCATTGTGTTGATATTGGATCATATGGATTTGTATATATAGAGAAGAGTGAGTGTGAGGGGGGTGCCAAGAAAATTGAAAGCTTGCTCCCGGCGGGATTAAAGGCATTAAGTTGGGTAGGTGGGCCTTAGGTGTAGATGGGTCCAAACATGCACTTGACTTTAGTTTATAGAATTTGAAATCTTGTCCGTGATTATGAGTCGTTGATACAAAAGAGTGCGGCAATGCATTCACCAAAGACTATCACTTATATGTACACATTAATCGCAAATAGATACAACAATTTATCAATGGTTAACTCTTGTCAACGTATGCACTTCAACATTTAATACAGATAAATTCCACAATTTGATAATATATCAACGACTAGGAGTCATCCAAATGACCGAAATGCCAAAAGAAAGCATTTCAATCATGGCACAAGCACGAGGCCAAGTGGACTTGGACTATTTAGACACATGAATCTTTTAGTCTCATGGCTGCTTGCGTCTTAGACGTGACTTTTGCTCGTTGAGTAGTAATCTCCACCACCCTATTGAAAGAGTCATGAAAAGATGTGCTTGGTGCTTGGTGCTTTGCTTTTTAGATGAATCTGGAGGGAAATTTTGTCTCACAAAGATGGGTTTAAAAAACAGAATCATAGCATTGTAAAAAGCTTAAATGTTTTTCAACGGCACTTGTTTTATTAACAATCTTTTTATTCAACAATTTTCATTTGGGAAATTTGAATTTAGGATTTTCCAACAAAATAATAACTAAATGTCAATTCATTTTTCATCCAATTTAGAACAAATAGGTGACTCGTTTTTAAAATACTTCACGGGTAAATGGCTAACACTTGTCTCTATTTGAATGAGAGTACAGAATTATTGATGTATGGTAGGTCGTAACACATGGCGTCACGGATTCACAGTTTGCCATGGAAGCTGCCAAGTTTCTTTGATTATCCTGCTCGTGAATCTAAATAAAATTAGGGTTCCTTCACGGACATTTTGTCCAACGGCAACAAAGATGTAACGCATGTGTTCCCCTATCAAATCCAAGCATGATTTTGACCCCCGCAGTCTTAGTCTCATTGCTTTGCAAAAATGATGCATATTTCACTAAGGATCGGTTTCATTATGTAAACGTGAAAGGGACTTAATCATGTTGCTTTCGGAAATCATAATCCTCTACAATAACCCCTTATCATGTTTTCCACGTAATGCTCTGCTAATTCCAATTAGCTAAAGCTCTGGTGTGTTGAAAACAAAATAGCTAATAAGTGGTTGGTATATTTCACAAAATAAGTATTTTTTTTTTCGGAATTTAAGAAACTTCGTTTCTGCAAGATCTAGCAGCATACAGGTCTGAATCCCGGTTCACAAATTTACCTGAAACCACCTAACATTCCTAAGAGAAATCTTCGGGCATGTTACACATAGCTCGCATTACACTGCTGGCAACATCAAGCAGCTGCAAGTACTCATCAGCACCGTCAACGAGACGCTGCACATAAACAGGAGCAAAAGTAGAAGTTTGCCCAAGATAGGCCTACATCATCAGTATCTTATGCCCAAAAATGTAAAAGTTGATGTCCAGCATCTGAGAGAACACATCCTTTTTAGGGATCCATCAGAATATCAGCCCGTTTAATGAATTTCGAATTGTTGAACCTAATAATCTAACACAATTGACATGCCTATAAAATGCAATAATTCGGTCTTACCTTATCTGCTTCACCCATTTTTTTGCATATTCTAGCCTTCTGTTCATCTGATATGTCATCTGATTCAACCACCACCTCAAATAACTACAAGTAACATTGTATTAGTATTACAATCTTACATAAAAGAAAGACCACTAGATTAATTTAAAAGAACAAAAATAAAACCTGTGAAAGCATCTGAGAGACTGGATATCCCTCTGCGATTACATTGTTGACTTCCTTGTTTGCCAAATCAAAGTTATCACCGCTGCAGGCAGCAAAAAATGACTCGACAACCTCCTCCGGGATTACCTAAAGAACTCAAATAATAGATATCAGGACAAGGCAGGGATTTGATATAAAACAAAAGTATATCTTGGGCTGTCAAACACATATCTGGATTCATTCTTAAGAGAGGCCATTTCATGTTAAATCCTCAATCTAGGATCAAATACAAATCTCCCATCCTAGGATCACTGTACCTAGGACCCCCAATGTAGTGAGACTAACAATGGGTAATGGCTGGAGTCAGAAGAACATAAATGTTCTGCTGTAATAAGTTTCTTCAGTTGCTAACAAACAAGAAAACAGAAATACTGAATAGCAATGAGACATATACTGATTATCTTGACAAAAGTGGCTAGAATTTGGGATTACAGGAACCAGCTGAGCAAGGATGCAACTTCAAATCAAAACATACTATTGCCCATTTGTTGCAACTACATAAACTTGTATGCAATAGCATCGAAGGTTACCGCCTGATATAAATAGATAAACAAAATCATCATCAAATTTTCCTCTCTTGTTACTTACCCCAGATACACTAATCAGCTCCTTCTTAGAAATGGAAGATCCAAATAAGCGTGCAGCTGACTGCAATATTTCAAAAGTACAATTTAGAATTCAAGAATCATACCGTTATCAGTTCAACAATATTCTCATATCATCATACGCAGACCCCAAAAAATATGCATCAAAACAAATATTAAATAAACTTAAAATATGGAGAAATTTTGGGGTGCTAAATTTCAAGAGAATGCATGAAAGCCAAAGAAATTCTCAATGGAATTTTAACTAGCATCATGCTTTATGAAAAATGCATCATCAGTTAAGAAGCAAAAAACATACCAAATACTTGACGTAAACAAGCTACTAAACAAATAACCCATTCAACATAGACAGGCACAACAGTAACACATTCTGTTTCTTGCTGGTAGTTATCTCTCGTGTTTTTCAACAAAAGATATATCAACACGAAAAAAGAGGCAAATTTTCATTGAATAACCCCCACTTACCTGCAAGTATGTAATAGCCCGACGAAGATCACCTTGTGAGATAGAACTTAGTGTTGACAGAACCTACAACGTAGATCATACATTTTGTATAATGATGTCAGAAACCCAACACTCATGCAAAGATCCCCATTTTCAACAAACCACAATATCTAATCCAAGATTTAGCCACGTACACACCTCTGGATCTAGGTTGACGCCTTCTTCTTGGCAAATATGCAATATGCGGCTGATCATGATTTCTTCTGAAAGTGGCTTAAACCTAAACTTTGCACATCTTGAAGCAAGTGGCTCTATGATCCTGCAGAAAGACAACCTCATAGATCACCAACTGCAAGGCCTGCTCTTTGCTAATGTAAATGAAAATTTACATTTGATGATATAAAACCTTAGAGCATTTCAATGAGCCTTCCTACATAGACATATAAGTATACATGAACAGTTCATAAAGAAGGTATTATCTCAAAATATTGTAACAGGTTTTATCAGGATAACTTTACATTTTATGCGGCACTGAAAATGATCAAGAACTCTAAATTGATTAGTCGGCACTATTAGGATGCATGCAAGTTCCTCCAAACAAACCCAAACTCAACTATATTTTATCAACCCTGCCCCAAATAGAAAATTAAGAAAGAGATTGGGGCTACCATAAATATAAATTTAGCAAAAACATAAAAAGGAATTATATATCGCCAAATTAAACAAAGAAAATAGTAGAGAAGGTGCACCTGCTGATATAATTACATATAAAAAAGAATCTTGTGACTTTGGAGTAGGTTTCCATTGTACGTCTTAGAGCATTCTGCATGGCAGAAAGTAATTGTGAGGGCATTCTTAATACTTTTTAAGGAAAAAGAATAAAATAAACACTAGAAATGAACAGATAACAAACATACCTGAGCATCTTCTGTCATTGAATCCGCCTCATCTAGGATAATGATCTTAAATGGTGGACAAGGGTAACCCCTGAGGCATTGAAGAAAGGGCAAATATATCTCTAAAAATTGGAAATGGAGATAAGAGCTCTCAGGTACGAGAACATACCCTTGACGATGAGCAGAACCCACAGCCACAGCAGCAAAATCTTTGATCTTTGTCCGGACAACATTGATCCCACGATCATCACTTGCATTGAGCTCCAACACTCTAGACTTGTAGAGTTCAGGTCTGCAAAAAGATCGTGGTTAAAATCAAAGAAAATTTTCAAAGTAACGTGTATAGTAAATAAATCCCTGTTCTTCAAATTTGAACTTGTAGTAAAAGGATATAAATAGTGCTGTAGTTCGTATACTTAATCTTTCCAAATAATATCATTTAATTTAAATACCACAAAACCAAAAACCATAACACATCTACAGTGATCAAAGTCTATATCAACTAAATCCTAGTTTACCCAGAAAGAATATCGCAGGTACTCAACCCAATTGAACATTTCCAAAAGAAGAAAAAGCAATTTGGGATAACAGTTTTTAAGAGTTAAAAGCATATACAGAACCATTGTAATTCTAATAAATGATTGAGCGGGAGGAGGCAAACCCGAAAAGCTGGTGGGCAATGGCGAGAGCAGTGGTGGTTTTTCCGGTGCCCGGTGGACCATAGAAGAGCATGTGCGGACACTGAAAAATAGAAAAACCCCAATTAATTCAGATGAATAAACTGATGAACAGGAACAAGAGCAGTAGGGTTTTGGAAAATGAAGCTATATATGTTACATTTGAGGTCTCGAGGGTGTTGGTGAGGACCCGAACCACCTCGTCCTGCTGAGCCACATCTTTCACTTGCTTCGGCCGACTGACAAACCCCACAAAAATCAAATTCAAAATCAACACCCAAATGTGAATATATTGGAGAGAGAGAGAGAGAGATAGTGAGTATCATACTATTTTTCGACCCATGGTTGAGAGCTTTGCACCAGTGGCGCCATTGATCCTCTTTTTCTGCAACACTCCCGCCTGAGAAATACTCAGTAGGGCTTTTGCCTTTCCCGCTTTGGGAGACGGAGGAGAACAACAAACAAAAGTCTTTTAACTTCGAATTTTCTACTTTTTTCTTTTAATATTCACTAAGTAAATAATAACTAAAGCATAACTACTAATCAAAGTAATTAAAAAAAGGAAATCCATATTATGGTACTTACAGGGTATAGCCGAGCGGCTCTACGTTTAAAATATTCTATTTTTCGGTATAGCCGGTCGGCTATACTTTTAAAAAGACCTCTCCCAACAAAAGTTAACTTGCCAGTTTTTTAAAAATAAATATAAATTTAGTATGTTTCAGCTAATTATTTATTTTATTTTTAGTAATTAAATAACATCTTTTGCCTGATTTAATTAGTTAAATTAGTACTTATGTTTTAATTATTATTTCTTTAGTTAATAATGACAGTTTAAATATTTTAATTAACTTTATGAATTACTTAATAAATAGTAATTAAAATTTTCAATTTTTTAAATAAAATATTTAAATACTAATTATTCACTAAGTAAATAATAACTAAAATATAACTACTAATTAAAGTAATTAAAAAAGAGAAATCCATATTATGCTAATTAAAGGGTATAGCCGAGCGGATATACCCAAAAATAGAATAAAATAAATAATTAACTAAAACATACTAAATTAGTACTGTTAATATTCTATTTTGGGTTGTGTTAATATATTATATTTATGCTGTATAGCCGCACGGCTATACTATTTATTTATTTTTTTAAAAATGACCCTTCTAGTTGCATTAGTTTATACTTTTTATATATATATATATATATTAATTTGCTAGTTTCGATAACTACAAAGCAAATATTGAACAGAGAGAAATTTCATAATAAATTAATTTGAGAGTTCAATTTTTTCTTCTTCTTTTTTTGTGGGAATGTTTGTCTTTAGTCTACCTCATTCTCTCGAGTGCTACTAAATTTTGTTGCTGCACACATTATTTGTTGTAGAGAATTGCATGCTTTGTTAGAGTGTTCTTGGTAATTGCTTCACATTTCAAACAACACTTTACATGAAGAATACTACCACCTAGCTTACTACTATACCCATAAATCTTTGTTTGAAATTGTTGTTATGGTTGGCAAAGAGTTTGCAATATCATCATCTTGCATTTTTGTTACAACAAGTAAGAAATAATCTTAGCTTCTCAAATTCTTTTAGTTAGTAAAATATGGAACGGGAAAAATATGAATAAAATACATAAGTGTTTTATTGGGCAATATTTTGGCAAATTACAACTGATAAGTTCGGCCACTATATAATATTTTAATATGATTTTTTTTTAATATATATTATTTTTGTTCAATAATATGTGAAAGTTATGTGTATAATTGAAAATTTTGTAAAAAATAAGTGTATTAAACGTAAAAAAATTCAAACATATGTGTACAATACGAGTATTAAACGTGAAAATTCTAAATTCTTTATATGGGTGATAGCTCTAGAAAAGCAAAAACTCAAAATAGGACAATAGAGATTCGGATAATGGCTTAATAGTAATGGATAATGCTCTAAACTATCCTTATCGATAAAAAAAAAAATCAGGGAAAAACAATTTTAAAAAACAAAAAGATCACAGAGTATAATCGCTCGGCTATACTATTTATAAAAAATATTTATAAAAAAAGACCACGGTAAAGCCGGGCGGCTATACGTTTTTTAAATAATAAAAAATTGTAGTATAGCCATCGCTGACTTAAAAAAAAAAAAAGAGCCGAGTGCAGCGATACTATTTATTTTAAAAAAAGTGGACCTACTTGGCGCTAGCGCCTGCGTTGCCACGTGTCAAAAAGGGTATATCCGTACAGCTATACTATATTTTTATAATAAAAATTGTAGTATAACTGCGCGGCTATACTATTTTTATTATAAAATAATCCGTGTATAGCCGGGCGGCTATACTCTTTATTATAAAAAACCCAGCATGGCACCTAGCGTCCATTTCGCCACATGTCAAAAATAGTATAGTTGCACTGCTATACTAGCGTCTATATTCTTTTTATTATAAATATAAAAAATCCAGAGTATAGCGTGCGGCGATACTATTTTTTCGCTAATATGCTTCTTCTCTCTTCTTCTTTCTTCATCTTCTCTGTCTTTATATATTTCTTCTTTTATTAAATTTTTGTGGAAATTAGGATATGAGTTTTTCCTTTTGGACATTTTTTTTTTCTTGATGTATTTGAACAATACATGTGGCTGTGTATCCAACTCAATAATCAAATAATCATCATGCGGCTGTGTATCCAACTCAATACATGCTACTGAGTTTTTCTTTGCGTTTTTTTCTTTATGTATTTCATCTTTTCCAGGTATCTAACTCAATAATCAAATTATCATCCTAAGTCAACGATTAGAACAATACACGCGGTTATGTTTTTCTTGCTGTATTTTTTTTAAATTTTACTTTTGGTGCTTTGTTGGTTTGTTTTGTGGTTATTTTCGTGTTACTACTGCTAGCTGTTAATTCTTTTATTGCCTGCTTTTGTGGGCTTCAATATATTCTTTTTTTTTCTTAATTATATATATACACAAATTATATTGTTTATATCGTCTATATTTCCACTTAAATTATCAAAGAATTTTTTGTTAAAAAATAGTTTGATTTGATGTTATCCAAAATAGTACCAAACACAATATAACTTAGTCAGACTATTTATCAAGAACCACACCAAATGCCTTACAATATTATGGATAAGTAGTCAGTACTCTCTAGAACAGATTAATACTATCTGACAAAAATTGTTAGTACAGTCTAAAGTACCAAACGAACCTAGTATTACCTTATTATAAGATTTGTGTTAGGATTTTTCTAGAATGCCTACAACAATTATGTCTTAAAGCTTGATCTTACTGACTTTGTCAAAGTTAGTGGACATTTCTAGAGTTTTCTATTTTTGTTCTAGATTTTTCTAAATTCTTCAAGACAAGCGTGCATTAAATTTAACATAAATTATCCAAAAGAGAATCTGAACCAGTTGACCTACTCATTTTCATCACATTATTAATTATTTCCTAGTTAAGATGTTAAACCAACATCTAAATAAGTATCACATCACATTACATCACATCACATCACATCAATATGCATTATTGGTAGTTGAACTCAAAATAAATTTAATTGAGTATATATATATATATATATTTGAGGGACACCCTTGTACGGCTCACTCCGTATGTATTTTACTAATCTAGACAATCTATTTTGTAGATACTCATTCTAAGATCATCTCTACAAAAAAAAACTTGAATCTAATATCATTAGACCACTTAATTGAATTATTGAAATTTTAGTACTTTCTTGAAGCACCGTGTTTATTGATTTTGTAAGACATAATTGGATATCGAAATGGTTTCTAATTTGTCTAATTTTTGGCAAGGATGATCTATAATTTGAAGACATAAAAAACATATAGTTTGGATTGTTGAAAAAAAATTTGTAGGTCACCCTAAAGGGCGTCCCTCAAATAAAATTATTTGAGGGAGATATATATATATATATATATGAGTTTTTCTATTTAAACCTCACACTTTTCTTTGTTCACCCCAACTTCTAATTCAAATTTTCACAACCCCAGTATCTTCCCAAACTACCCCTAAATACACACCTAGAAAAAAAAATAAAAAATATAAGAGTTTTTCTATTTAAACCCCAAACTTTTCTTTGTTCATTCAAATACTTAAATCATTAAATTCCTAAGATTTATTATTGTGTAAAAAGAAAAATTTTCAACTTTGGATATTTATTTTATTGTTCTTTAGGCTAGATGGAGGAAGAACAGAGAGCTTAATAAATGGATCTCCTAAAAATAAAGTGAGTGAAATGCACTATTGATATGATAGAAAATATTACTCTACTATACGTAATTGATATTGATTAGTGAAGGAATTAAACACTTTATTACATTGAAACACAACAAGTTAAGTATTTAAAGAGGTAGGCTCCTCAACGTTCTACCTGTTTAAAAGAGAAGAGTAAAATGGTAATAGAGTGTAGATGAGTTTGTGTTTTTCTAAAACTATGAAGAGTGGTGGGGTGTGTGTATAGATGTACTAGGGTTAAGTATTAAGTTGGATGACCTTTTTGTCTTTTTACATAATAATAAAACTTAAGAGCTTAATAATATAAGTATTGAGGTGAACAAAGAGAAGTGTGGAGTTTAAATAGAATATATATATATATATATATATAGCTTCCATTGAGGGATCCCTCAAATAAGCTTATTTAAGGGACACCCCTTGTAGGCAGGGGCGGATCTATTAAGGCGCAAGGAGGTGCAGCTGCACCTCCTTTCGCCGGAAAAACCATTGTAGGTGCTTCAAATTGCCCCTTTGCTCAACTGGTGTACAGATTAAGTTTATATTACTCCATTTACTTAAGTTTACAATGTAAATAAGGAAGTACCCCCCATTTGGATTCAAATAAAAATACTAGAAAATCAAATTCCCACCAAATAAAAATATGAAAATTCGGTTTTAGTGCAAAATACGATTTTGGCTAAAAATGATGGCTCATTAAGTCAATATATACTTCATACTAAAATCCCATAAAATCAAGTTTTCTTATTTGATGTATAAGGAATAAAAGCCGCCAAAAATTATCTTGAGAAAATGATTATTCCAAAAAACCATTTTCATACTTAGTCAATATTGCACCTCTGCTAAAAAATTTCTGGATCCGCCAGTGCTTGTAGGCCCCACTCCGGATTTTATTTCACTAATCCAAATCGTCTATTTTGTAGATACTCATTCAAAGATCATCTTTACAAAAAATCACTTGAATCTGATATCATTTGACCACTCAATTGAGTTATTGAAATTTTAGTACTTTCTTGAAGCACAGTGTTCATTGATTTTGTAAGACACAATTGGATGTCGAAACAGTTTCCGATTTGTCTAATTTTTTGTAAGGATGATCTATGAATGAAGACCTAAAAAATAGATGGTTTGGATCATTGGGAAAAAAATTGTAGGGTACCCTAAAAGGCGTCCCTCAAATAAAATTATTTGAGGGATTCCTCAATAGAAGGGGACTATATATATATATATATATATATATATATATATATATATATATATAAAGCATCCACTTGGTTTCAAGGTAAGTGGTTCCTTTGATGTTCATAATGCTCCAAATCCAAGTTCCTTCTCTACCTCTCTTGACTTCTTTGGTCATCCTAGTTACCCTAATTATATGTTGGAAGAGATTTAAATCCCTTACAGTTAGAGCACCAATTCTTAGGCTGCCTCCAGGGCCATGGAAGCTACCTCTGATTGGAAACTTGCACAATTTGACTGGCTCTTTACGTCACAGCCTAAGAGACTTGGCCAAGAAACATGGACCCATCATGCACCTCAAGCTGGGGCAAGTATCAGCCATTGTCATTTCATCACCAGAATTAGCCAAACAAGTCTTGAAGACTCATGAGACTGCAGCTTTCTCACAAAGGCCTACTGTTCTTGTCATTGAAGTTTTGTTCTATAATTTCTCAGGCATCGTCTTCAGCCTTTATAATGAGTATTGGAGGCAGATGAGGAAGATTTGTGTTTTGGAGCTTCTAAGCGCGAAGCGTGTGCAGTCATTTTCATTGATAAGAGAAGAAGAGGCATGGAACCTTGTTGAATCAATTAGCTTGTCACAGGGCCAACCCATCAACCTCAGTGAGATGATTTTCTCCATGCAAGTCAGCATCATTGCCCGTTCAGCCTTGGGCAAAAAATGCAAATACCAACAAGAGTTTGGATCATTGATTAAGGAGGCATTCATCCTTGGAGAAGTCCTTTCTTTGCCTGATTTGTTCCCTTCCCTCAAATTCCTCTGTCACTTCACAAGGACGAAGCCTGCACTGGAGAAGATACACCGGAAGATTGACAGAATTCTTGATGAAATCATTGATGATCATCATGAGTTGAAAAGAGTAAAGACCAATATTGTTGCACCTAGCACCACCAGCAATGATGAAGTATTGCAGGAAGGTCTAGTTCATGTGCTTCTACAACTTCAGGAGTCTGGTGGCCCCCAATTTGATCTCACCACCAACCACATAAAAGCTGTCATCCTGGTATAAGTTATATGAATTGCTTAATTTGTCAATGATTTATCTAGTAACATCCTCTTTCCTGACAAATGTTTTTGTTGTGAGACTGTGCATCTAAATCACACACGTTCTGACAAGAATTAATGTGATCTCCTTCGTGATCCCTTTTAAGAAGGGGACTATATATATATAACTAAACAAACCTTTTACAGGACATGTACGTGGCAGGAGCTGAGACTTCAGCAACAACCACAGAATGGGCAATATCAGAACTTGTGAAAAATCCCAACAGCAATGGAGAAAGCACAAGCTGGGGTACGGCACCTGCTTGCAGGAAAGAGGAAAAATATTTTAGAGCAAGACATTAAGAAACTAGACTACTTGAAGTTGGTCATAAAAGAAACTCTACGGCTACACCCTCCTGGTCCCTTAATTCCAAGAGAAGCAGCTCAAAGAATCAAAATTGGAGGATATGATATACCAACAGAAGCCAAAGTTCTGATCAATGCTTGGGAAATTGGGAGAGACCCAAAACACTGGGACAATGCTGATTGCTTTCTTCCTGAAAGGTTTCAAGGTTCATCTATTGATTTTCGAGGGACCAACTTCGAATTAATTCCATTTGGGGCTGGTAAGAGAATATGTCCAGGCATCTCATTCGGAATTGCATCGGTTGAGCTTGCACTTTCTCAACTGCTCTACTACTTCAACTGGAAACTCCCCAATGGGAAAAAGGTAGAAGAGCTTGACATGACTGAGTCTTTGGGAATGACCTCTAGGAGGAGGAATGACTTGCATGTTATTGCCACTCCCTTCGTTCCGTCGTAATTGAACATCGTGAATTATGGGTCTCTTGCCTGACAGTTCAGCAAAATAAAGCAAGCATGTTGTGTGAATTTTCAGTTTGGAAATAATATTAACGCTTTATATTATGTTGCCCGACTATGAATCTGTGCTACATATTTGTACAAAATTTCAGTGAATAAAGTGGTTTACTAGATTGGCAAGCTAACAACATATCTTATATGCCAAACTATCTAGCTAGAGAACTTCCCCATATATATGTATCTATTTCGGTGGCCAAAACTGTTGTACAACAATGGAAGGGCCATGACAAGGTTTGGCTTGGCCAGAGTTTGATACTTACAGATGACAGCCCCATATATATTAATTCAAAGTATTAATATTTTGCTTGTAAAAAGGATAAAGATCTTTATGTGCATGTGGAATAAATAATTTATGAATGAAATACACAACATAAATAAATTTATAAATTTATGAATAGAGTTATTTGTGATTCATTAGTTAGCACTGAGAAAAACCACCTCATTAGAATGGGAGGTATTGGAAAGAATTTAAATTATCATTCCCCAATATCACTTGTATAAATAAAATAATTGAAGAAATAACTCTAGCCCAACAGGCTAAATTGGTCTTTTCAGGTAAGTCCATGACTATGGACAAGCTAAATGAAAGTAAAACCAAACAACAGATTACACAATGCCACTGAACTGAGTCAGTTCTTCTTTACAAGATGGTCCCTCCAGAAACAATCAAGGGTTTTCACCAGAACTGCTCTCTGTTTTCAGATGAAATTTTAGTTAAGAAAAAAATTAATTGTTAAAAGGAACACTATAAAAACAGGTAAAGTGCTGGTAGTTCTACTAAAGAACAAATGAGCATAATAACTACTGATAAGAAAATTTGTAAGAAAAACGATTATTCTACTTCTAAACTTAAACCTACAAAACTGGAATTTCTACCTGGAATCAAAGTAAATAATACCATTACTTCTAAACTTAAGCGGGTGTCATATTTACGTAATCGTAGAGCAACAAATATTCCAAGTTATGAGTGCAGGTAATTTTTTTTTCTTCTTAAAGGCAATATAATCATAAGTTAATAAATCCATGTTAGAAGGTAGTGATATTCGGAGGAGGTGGTGGCTTGTCAAATCAAAGATTTTCTGAGAAATTTAGAAGGTAGTGATATTCCATTGCAAAAAATTAATTCACTGGGCCTTACATGAGCCATGGCTGGCCAAGGAAATGAATCAAATCTGTCTATAATTAGACCTCCCAACCCAACCAAGGAACAGCAAAGATCAGATGCATGCCCACCAAAGATCTCTGGCCCCCCAACTCTGTGGCCATAAACTGGAGGCTGGAAAGCTTGAAACTTTATGAACCAAAAACCTCAGCCACCCCAAAATACCGTAAAATGCAAAATTTGTTTCACCTATTTCGCCTGCCGACACTTCAAATTTGTCTAAAAACATGTGTGCGCACACATACACACTCCATTATTTGCAGATTGTGTAGAGAAAGAGTATTTGTCAAATAGATATAAAAGCTGAATATACATCAAGGAATTATTATTTTCAGATAAATTAATTACAAATGATGCTTGCTTTGCATGTCTCACTAGCTACCAAGAAGGAATCTACAAACCAAAAGCATCAGGCAAACTCATCACCCTTAGACTCCAGTCTACCTTCTTGGATTCTAAAACACAATAATCAATGACACCGTAATATTCTGCTCCCACTTATGGTGAACAAACAATTCAATACCTGTGGAAAATAAAAATAAAAAATAAAAAATTGAGGAAAGAACATTTGGAAATGTGGTACGGGGAGTGCTTGACAAACAAAGTTCCTATCTTGTACTTCATTCTCACTGTATGGACTATAAATGATTCATGCTATTGAACCAAAGGGTAACTCTGTGCTGCACATTCCCAAGGCAAAGGGGTTGAAATTCCTCAATGTGTTTGCTTTTTCTCCTTCTTTTTCTTCTCTTGTACCCATGAATTATCAGCTCATTTGCTCCCCAATGAGATCAAGTCCTACAAGAAGGAAGGTCACACCTTGGAAGAGCAGGAAGTAGAAGTGTACTCCTTGAGCAGATAACAGACTCCTGACAGAAGCTGTGAGCAGGAGCAATGCTAGAGCAAGCTCTTTCCTATATATCTTGTTAGCTTTCTTAATCGGCTTAAGAGCTACTTCTTTCTGCTCCATAATTCGGTTCAACTAAGAAAGCTCACTCTCAGAAGCTCCACTGAGAGTGAGCTTTCTTAGTTGCAGATTGTGTAGAGAGAGAGAGAGAGAGAGAGAGAGAGGAGAGAGAGAGAGAGAGAGAGGAGTATTGGCCAAAGAGATGAAAGCTCACTCTCAGAAGCTCCTCTGTGGACCTGCAATTGGTTTACCATCTTCGATTCCCTTTCAGCAGCAGCCAATAAGTCAGATTCTGATGACCTGCCAGTCCTCTTGGTGATAACCCACTCATAAGAGCTACCCAACTGGAACAATCCAGAGACCATTGCGTTGAATTTTATTACCGACATAGTGTTCTCAAAAAGCAGTAAGGAAAAATGATAGGGAATGATTTGGGGGATGGAAGAATGTTGAGAAATGACATGAAAACAGGCACGTAACAGATGACCGAAATATTCGCGCGGCTATACTTCAAATTTTCTATTTTTGGTGTATAGCCGCGCGGCTATACTGTTAACATATTATATTTATGGTGTACAGCCGGGCGGCTATAGCGTTAATTACAGCCGCGCGGCCATACTTATAAGATATTATATTTCTACGGTATCGCCGGACGGCTGTACTATTGCATTTTCTATTTTGGAGTAGAGCCACGCGGCTATTCGTTTAAAATATTCTATTTTGGGGTCTAGCCTCCCGGCTACACTGTTAAAATATTATGTTTATGGCGTATAGCCGCTCGGCTATACGTTTAAAATATTATATTTATAAGGTACAGCTGTACGGCTATACTGTTAAAATATTATATATTTATGAATAATACTAGTCTTACCACATTTTTTATACCACAATTTTATACCACATGATGTGGCGGTTGATGTGTACATACCACATCATGTAAAATACTAGTTTCTGTTTTTCTAATTTTATTTATTAAAATACACTTCATTCATTTAATTGATATGTCATATGATATGGACATGCTACATCATGTGGTATAGAAATGTGGGATACTAATGTGGTAAGTGTAGCATTACTCTATATTTGTAGAGTACTTTCTATTTATAGAGTATAGCCGCGCGGCTATACGCTTTAAATATATGCACCAACAATAAAAATATGGATTTCTCTTTAAGCTTATCTTTTGAGGTGCCCTCTGTGAAAATCCACACTTCTATAAAGGTGTTTATAAACAAAGCACTATGATGGTTTGGTAATTGTAGTTAACACTGGAGAGTTGGGCTAATGGGCTTGGCGCTGGACTTTGGATTTGACTTTAATTAATAATAATTATATTAATAAAAAACTTGGATCCTGGGGCTCTGGAGAAATTTCATTAAAACACCTAAATGAAAATAAGTAATTTATATTTTCATTTTTGCACAACAGAATTAAAATTGAAAATGACAAGACATATCCTTTCAATTTAAATTTCAATGAAATTAGGTTTATGACTGCTGTGGTTTGAAAGGGTGAAATCAATATTATAAATATTGAATATCCAATAGCCAGAAACTCACTTACAAGATTTTGAACGTAAAAAAATAATATATATATTTTTAACTTTGCATTTATAGATAGTTGAATTCTGGGAGATAGATGTCCATTGAACTTCAACTACTAAGAAGGGGCGAAATTTTGTCTTTAGGACATTGCCAATACGCAAGCCTCTATCTAAAAATAAAGTCAGTGTTCTTTATTTTTCTATGTTATTCTATTCTGCTGTTTATATAATATGTTCTTGTATAAACACATTGCTTATTGTATTAATACAGTAGTGATTCTATACTCTTTAAATATATTATGTTTTAATTATTATTTAATATAAAAAATAAAAAACAAAGTCCAAAAAATAATTTAAAATAATTATTTATTATTTATTAAGTAATTTATGAAATAAGTAACATATTTAAATATTCACTAAAGAAATAATAATTAAACCAGCTATTCCACATCCTTTGCAACTCTATCAACTCTCATGTGTCCTGACATTGCTCAATGGCATCGCTTAACTAAGCTAGTAGTTCGTTGGATACTGACCCGGAGCCTGAGCCTCAACTTCTGCAAGAGTCGGAGCCTCGTCCCCTAACATTCTTTAGGAGCCGGAGCATCTTTCCCTTCACCTTCTTCAGGAGTCAAAGCCTCATTCTCCACCACCTGTACATGTTGGTAACCGTTCGTCGGATGGAGCAAGCAGCTTCTAATGCCTTCATGTTATTCATATACGAATTGTTGGCCATGAACTGTGACAAAAATATTCATTAATTTACATACAATATCTCAAAATGAAACCATATTTGAGTAAGAAATAGGTGATAGCTAGGAATGTGGACATGTTGCTCTCTCTGTTCTTAAATAAACAATCGTATAGGTACCATTTCAAGAGAGAGAACAAGAGGATTTTGAGTTGCAGGGGAAGAAAGGGAGAGATGAGTTGTTTGATGTGTATAAAAAGGTTGATCTCTTGACTGCCCAAGGTTACATTGATGACAATTTGGTGATAATCGAGAATGTGGTTATGGTAAATGATGAAGAAGATGTTGAGGCAGAAAGATTAGCTAAATTTATGGAGATGAGATAAGAGAAGAATGTTGTTGAGATAAGAAATGAAGTGGATAAGTATTTGTTAGAGCCACTGAGTTTTTCTTTGTGTTTTTTTCTTTATATATTTCATCTTTTCTAGGTATCCAACTCAATAATCAAATTATCATCCTAAGTCATCTATTAGAACAATACATGCGACTATGTTTTTCTTGCTGTAATTTTTTTTAAAATTTTACTTTTGGTGCTTGTTGGTTTGTTTTGTGGTTATTTTCGAGTTACTACTGCTGGCTGTTGATTCTCTACTTGCCTGCTTTTGTTGGGCTTCAATATAAGCTACACATATTATGTTAAAAAATTGAGAACTTCTATCTCCTTAGAATCTCCAAAATATATATATGTATATATTTATACATGCATATATATTGTGCATGACATTTTTTAAAGCCAGGTAAGGTAGGAGTTGTGCATGACATGCTCCTACATCCATGCCACAAAAGTTCCAACCGCTATAACCACCCGCTATGCGTGTGCACATGCCGCACTCTAGCCTCGCTGCTGTGTGCTTCCACTAGCTACCTGCCTAGTGCCATGCCATGCCCACGGCATGTCTCTGTTTTGCCTTGTCTTGGCACATGGGCGTGCATCCATCACAAGTGTACCCACAGAGGAGAAATTATAGTGTTATTGTATATCGCATCTTGGCTTATCCAACGTTTCTGGGCCTAACAATAGACCAATTAACTTAATTATCATTTCCCTAAAAGTCCTGCTAAAATGAAGAGACAGATTATGGAAATATCTAGGTTGATCATGTTGTGAACAACTTTAATTATCATCTCCATGACCTGAGACCATAAGGCATAGTTGGTTTCAGTCAAGGTGATGCCGGTAGGGAACGGGGAGTTGTCACTCTGAATAGTAACGATTTGAGGAGTAGAGGTGGAAAAGCCATCTGTGTGTGAGAGCGAGAGGTTGCAGTGGAAGGATTTGAGGAAAGATAAAGGTATGGGTTTTGATAAGAGGATTTTTATATGAGTGTATAAGATTTGGAGGTAAGGAATTTGGATTTGAGGAATTTGATTTAGGGTTTGAGTTTGAATTTGAGGGTTTAGAGACAACGTAGGATCGATTACTCTAATACCATGCTAAAATATGAATATGGTTTGAATACTTTAGGTTAATTGTATTTTTCTTCATAAGGAGGTATATATAGGAGTTTGCATGAGTGCTTTACAAGGAAAATATATACAGTATTCAATTAGGATAATATATCCTAATTATACAAGGATATGTCAACTATATAAAATAAGAAAGTAAATCCCCTAATTTAGGAAGGCTCACATCAACATCAATGGTTTATTTTATCAATAATGCTACTCTTACCATATTTTGTATACCACATCATATACCACCTTATGTGGCAGCTGAGGTGGACAGCCACATCAATTAAAATTATTTCAATTATTTATTTTTTTTAACATTTATCAATTGGCAAAAAAGAAAAAGAAAAAAGAAAAGGCAACAAAAAAACCCTAGCAAACGTGAAACCCAAACGTGAAAACTGGTTCTCCCCTCCTCCTCTCCGTCGTTCCTCTCCTCTTCTACAGTCAGCATCTCCTCTCGCCTTCTTCATCGGCTATCCTCCTACACCATCAATTGGCACTCCACTGTCCCTACTTTGGTTATTGGTGAGTATATATGATTTTTTTCTTTTCTTTTCTATCAATTCTTTTTTTGATTGGGATGCTATATTTTCATGTTCGTTCTCCTCCATTGATGACTTATGGTCATTCTCCATTGTTCCTTTTCATGCCTTTTTAAATAATTTTAACCTTTTTTTTGTTCTGAATCAATTAGAACCTGCAAGTATGAAAACGTAAGTCAGAAGCTTTTACTCTTTATGATCTATGGGTAAATTATCAAATTCGAGTCATAAGATTGATTCATGATCCATAAAAGAAAATTTCAAATCCTGATTTGTTTATATTGCTAGGATAATCAATGAGGGTGCCAATTGAATGGAGATATCCATATTTCCTCTATATACCTATCCAAAACAATCCTCTGTATATTTTATTTGCATATACCTATCCATGACTTGTCAAACTGGGGAATGTTGTGTTTGTCTTCCTTGATTTTTCTTTTTCCGAGAGAGGGAATTTTTCTATCATGTTACAGTCTTCTAGGTTTGTCAAAATTGATTGGCTCTAGAACATGTTTGGAATTCCCTGGTAAACATTACTGAAGTTTTCTTATAATTTGATTGAATACTTGGGCTGTTTTTTTTTCCTCTTTGTCATAGTTTCTCTCATAGGTTTGCTTTACTTCATATTTGTATGCAGGGACAAAGATTCGAAGGTTGGTGATCCACCTGGGAAGCTTTCAAGCATGAGGTCATTGTTGAAATTTGAAATTGAAGGTTGAAATTCCAATCGACCAATGTATCCACATTTTGATACCAAGGAATACTGTTAAAAGAAAGAGAAATGAAACAGGAACCAATTGCATACTTTGTGGATGTGTCGTTTCCCATGGTTACATATTTGGTTCCTATGAAAAGTATTGTACAAAATTGAATTCATAAGACAAAGTTCATGTTGTTGCACTCAAGCTTTTTGTGTGCAAGTATGTCAATAATTTGTATGTCAAATTTTGAAGAAGTCCTAATGTATGAAGTGATGCAGTCACCTATCATTGCTTTATAATGGTTGGGTTCAATCACTGTGTTGTCCTTGTAAATAATTTTCATTTTTAAAGTATATATCATGCATTATGTATGTGTTTGATCTATATAAAATACAAAATATTATTGGTGCTAAATAGACTAATAAATCACTTTATCAATACGAAATTCCACAAGATATTCCTCAAAATTTCAAAATTTCACAAGATATTCCTCAAAATTTCAAAATTTCACAAGATATTCCTTTAACTTTTGCTTCTATTTTCACTTGAGTTCTTGGTGATCATTTCCTCTTGAACTAGAGCTAGGTTGTACAAACCAGAACCTCCATTCCAATTTTGATATTGGTCACCCTACATAAGACAAAGGATAAATGAGACATGAGAATGATAAATAAAACATTATGTTAAAATGTGTTAATGAAGATAAGTTACCTGAAAATAATTTTCATGGACAGTAGGATATGTTATATTTCCTGTCAATGGTCGTTTGTACAACTGATCTGGATGACCACCATGAGTGAGCCCTAGTAACATTACAACATTATTGCTCTCTTGTGTTCCAACCAAGTTATCACTTTCACAAATTGGTGGAGCATCAGTATGACAAAAGACATCACTTTGTGCAGGTATCTACAAAAATTTCAAGTAAATAAGTAAGACATCTTGACAAAAGACATCACTTATATATATATAAACAAATAAGTTGTCGCTCTTTTATTTGCTAACCTCTGTTCCTCCGTCGGTATTGTCTTGACGATATTTAGTTTTTCTTCCCGTTCGTTGTCTCTTTTTAATAACTTGCTCAATCTTAGATTGTCTCCTTTTAAATGGTGGGCGGCCTTTACTTCTAACTGGCAATGGAGTAAGTATACATTGACTTGCATTCGGAAGGCCATTATACTTGGACGAGGTTTAAGAAAATTACTTGACTTACTTTTTGATTTGCCTTCTCGAGCACAAGAAATAGTAACATATTTCAAATTTCCATCATCTCCGTTTGTTGATGATGTCTTTATCACTGGAAACCCTGATTGCCTCCCATATTGTTTGTAATATGTGATCACCTCATCAATACTGTCAAAAATCATTCCAACTTGAGGGTCTTGTACTTTCTCTTCAACACTCATTACAGTGTCATTATTTTCAGTTTCATCCCCATTATTTTCCTTTACAATCCCATTAAAATTCATTTCAACTGCATCATCATGTTGATTATTCTCTAGTCTTGCACAAGATTCTTCCATTCCTAAAATTTTAAAGTATAAATAATTTACCTAATTTACCAGAGCGCATACCAAAAATAAAAGAAGCCATACTAACATAATTTTCAAGAATGCAAGATCAGAAACAAAGTTCTAATTGTTGTACTAACGAAAAGAATTACCTTGATCAATTGGGCTATTGTTGTTGATGTGGCTAGTGTCCTCTGATTCACTGGCTGATATTCTAGTGCCCATTATCGTGCTTCTGAACCATTGAACTAAATAAAAGAGTAAGTTATAGTAATTCTAAATAGAAAATCCCAATAAAAAAAAGAATTGATAGAAAAGAAAAAAAAAGAATCATAAATAACAAAAGGAGGTGCCAATTGATGGTGTAGGAGGATAGCTGATGAAGAAGGCGAAAGGAGACGGTGACTGTAGAAGAGGAGAGGAACGATGGAGAGGAGGAGGGGAGAACCAGTTTTCACGTTTGGGTTTCACGTTCGCTAGGGTTTTTTTTGTTTCATTTTCTTTTTTCTTTTACTTTTTTGCCAATTGATAAATGTTAAAGGAAATAAAAAATTGAAATAATTTTAATTGATGTGGCTGTCCACCTCAGCTGCCACATAAGGTGGTATAGGATGTGGTATACAAAATGTGGTAAGAGTAGCATTACTCTTATTTTATTGGCCTAATTACTTATACAAGAGGGCTCGCCACCTATTTATAGGTATAGGCTTTATAGAGGACTAGGCTTAACGGCCTTCTACAACTAGAAAATGTTTACTGGGCTTGTTGGCCTCCTTCCTTCTACTGGCTTATTGGCCTCTTCTCTCTTTGTTTACTTATACAAGATTTTTGTTAGGATTTTCTAGAATGCCTACAACAATTATGTCTTAAAGCTTGATCTTGCCAACTTTGCCAAAGTTAGTAGACATTATTGAGTTTTCTACTTTTTTCTAGATTTGTCTAAATTCCTCAAGATAAGTGTGCATTAATGTTCGCCAAAAAAAAAAAAGTGCATTAAATTTAACAGAGAATCTGAACCACTTGACCCTGGAGGCAAAGTACGTAGGAACTTTGTGCAAGCAAAAGTCATATATAACGATAAAATACAAACTCATTTCCCACACATTATTAATCTCCTCGTTTTTCCGTAAGTGCTTTCGCGTCTGCGAGAGGGTTTTATATTTAAATTTAAATTTATTTTAGAATTAAAAAAGATAATGAGTAATTGTGTTCCATAAAAATAGGATATTCTATTATCTTATTTTTCTTTTAATTTTAATTTTTTTAAATATGAAAAAGTGTGAATTTACCATATTATCCTCATTTAATTAATAATTTCAATTTTTAATGTTTGCATTAACAAAGGGTATTTTCTGGTATTTTTAATGTTTCACCATTCTCTGTCTTTTGCTTTATATATATAGATTTCCTAATAAGACGTTATACCAACATGTATTATTTCCTAATTGGTAGTTGAATCAAAATAAATTTTTATTTATTCCAACAACTAAATAAATTTTTACTAAAAAAAAGAAACAAGTAGTACTTCAATTGAGTCAATAGAGCCCCCTTTATAGCTAAGCATATATATATATATATATATATATATATATATATATATATATATCAAGCATCCACTTGGTTTCAAGGTAAGAGGTTCCTTTGATGTTCATAATGCTCCAAATCCAAGTTCCTTCTCTGCCTCTCTTTACATCTTTGGTCATCCTAGTTACCCTAATTATATGTTGGAAGAGATTTAAATCCCCTACAGTAGAGCACCAATTCTTAGGCTGCCTCCAGGGCCATGGAAGCTACCCCTGATTGGAAACTTGCACAATTTGACTGGCTCTTTACATCACAGCCTAAGAGACTTGGCCAAGAAACATGGACCCATCATGCACCTCAAGCTGGGGCAAGTATCAGCCATTGCCATTTCATCACCAGACTTAGCCAAACAAGTCTTGAAGACTCATGAGACTGCAGCTTTCTCACAAAGGCCTACTGTTCTTGCCGTTGAAGTTTTGTCCTATAATTTCTTAGGCATCATCACTAGCCCTTATAATGAGTATTGGAGGCAGATGAGGAAGATTTGTGTTTTGGAGCTTCTAAGCGTGAAGCGTGTGCAGTCATTTTTCATCGATAAGAGAAGAAGAGGCATGGAACCTTGTTGAATCAATTAGCTTGTCACAGGGCCAACCTATCAACCTCAGTGAGATGATTTTCTCCATGCAAGACAGGATCATTGCCCGTTCAGCCTTGGGAAAAAAATGCAAATACCAACAAGAGTTTAGATCACTGATTAAGGAGGCAATCATCCTTGGAGAAGGCTTTTCTTTGCCTGATTTGTTCCCTTCCCTCAAATTCCTCCGTCACGTCACAAGGACGAAGCCTGCACTGGAGAAGATACACCGGAAGATTGACAGAATTCTTGATGAAATCATTGATGATCATCATGAGTTGAAAAGAGTAAAGACCAATGTTGTTGCATCTATCACCACCAGAACTGATGAAGTATTGCAGGAAGGTCTAGTTCATGTGCTTCTACAACTTCAGGAGTCTGGTGGCCTCCAATTTGATCTCACCATCAACCACATAAAAGCTGTCATCCTGGTACAAGTTAAATGAATTGCTTAATTTGCCGATGATTTAATTATCTAGTAACATCCTCTTGCGCGACAAATGTTTATGTTGTGAGACTGTGAATAATCTGAATCACACACGTTCTGACAAGAATTAATGTGATCTCTTTCGTGATCCCTTTTAAGAAGGGAACTATATATGCATAACTAAACAAACCTTTTACAGGACATGTACTTGGCAGGAGCTGAGACTTCAGCAACAACCACAGAATGGGCAATAACAGAACTTGTGAAAAATCCAAGAGCAATGGATAAAGCACAAGCTGGGGTACGGCACCTTCTTGCAGGAAAGAGGAAAAATATTCAAGAGGAAGATATTAAGAAACTAGACTACTTGAAGTTAGTCATAAAAGAAACTCTACGGCTACACCCTCCTGCTCCCTTAATTCCAAGAGAAGCAACTCAAAGAGTCAAAATTGGAGGATATGATATACCAACAGAAGCCAAAGTTCTGATCAATGCTTGGGCAATTGGGAGAGACCCAAACCACTGGGACAATGCTGATTGCTTTCTACCTGAAAGGTTTCAAGGTTCATCTATGGATTTTCGAGGGACCAACTTCGAATTAATTCCATTTGGGGCTGGTAAGAGAATATGTCCAGGCATCTCATTCGGAATTGCATCGGTTGAGCTTGCACTTTCTCAACTGCTCTACTACTTCAACTGGAAACTCCCCAATGGGAAAAAGGTAGAAGAGCTTGACATGACTGAGTCTTTGGGAATGACCCCTAGGAGGAGGAATGACTTGTATGTTATCGCCACTCCCTTCGTTCCATAATTGAACATCGTGAATTATGGCATATATAGGTCTCTTGCCTGACAGTTCAGCAAAATAAAGCAAGCATATTGTGCATTTAGACCATACATTCAAATAAGAATCAACTAAGTAATCAATAGTGTGGATTTTCAGTTCGGAAATAATATTAATGCTTTATATTATGTTGCCTGACTACGAATCTGTGCTACATATTTATACAATATTGCAGTGAATAAAGTGGTTTACTAGATTGACAAGCTAACAACATATATTATATGCCAAACTGTCTATTTCAGTGGCCAAAGCTGTTGTACAACAATGGAAGGGCCATGACAAGGTTTGGCTTGGCCGGGATGACAGCCCCCTATATATTAATTCAATGTACTAATATTATATGCTTGTAAAAAGGATAAAGATCTTTATGTGTATGTGGAATAAATAAATTTATGAATGAAATACAAAGGACAACAGCCAAACTTGTAAACCGGAGTTTTAAATGCATAAAGCTGTTTTTAGACGGAACATGACAGCCTGAATTTATTTACAAAAAGAAGCAATCTTATAATTTCAGGAATGTTTTGGTAAGTTTGGGTAGCTTTCATTGAAAGACGAAATGATTATTGTTACAGCTAGCTAGCCAGCTATCCCAATGACAGTGAAGTGGTGGGAGGATTGATTTTCCGGTCCCTGAGACCAAAACGCGTCGCCGTCAAAATCTTATGAAATTGAGGGCACTAATGATCTCTGGCCCCCCAACTCTGTGGCCATAAACTGGAGACTGGAAAGCTTGAAACTTTATGAACCAAAAACCTCAGCCGCCCAAAAATACCACAAAATGCAAACTTCGTTTCACCTATTTCGCCTGCCGACACTTCAAATTTGTCTAAAAACACGTGTGCATGGACACACACATACACACTCCATTATTTGCCGATTGTGTAGAGAGAGAGAGAGAGACAGAGACAGAGAGAGAGAGTATTGGCGAAATAGATGAAAGCTCACTCTCAGAAGCTCCTCCGTGGACCTGCAATTGGTTTACCATCTTCGATTCCCTTTCAGCAGCAGCCAGTAAGTCAGATTCTGATGACCTGCCAGTCTTCTTGGTGATAACCCACTCATAAGAGCTACCCAACTGGAACAATCCAGAGATCATTGCGTTGAATTTTGTTACCGACATAGTGTTCTCAAAAAGCAGCAAGGAAAAATGAAAGGGAATGATTTGGGGGATGGAAGAATGTTGAGAAATGACATGAAAACGGGCACGTAATAGATGATCGAAATATTCGCGCGGCTATACTTTTCAAATTTTCTCTTTTTGGTGTATAGCCGACCGGCTATACTATTTTTAGACTATAACCGAAATATTCTATTTAGAATATAGCCGCACGGCTATACTGTTAAAATAATATATTTATGGTGTTTAGCCGGGCGGCTATAGCGTTAATTATATCCGCGCGGCTATACTTGTAAGATATTATATTTTTAAGGTATTGCTGAACGGCTATACAGTTACATATTCTAATTTTGGAGTATAGCCGCCGCGCGGCTATACTCTAAAATATTATATTCAAAGCAAACAGCCGTGCGGCTACACTATTAAAATATTATATTCATGAAGTATAGCCGCCCGGCTATACTGTTAAAATATTATATTTATAGAGTACTTTTAAAATATTCTATTTATGCTATACTCTTAAAATATATGCACCAACAATAAAAATATGGATTTCTCTGTAAGCTTATCTTTTGAGGTGCCCTCCGTGAACATCCTACATCAAAAATCCGCACTCCTGTAAAAGTGTTTATAAACAAAGCACTATGATGGTTTGGTAATTGTAGTTAACACGGGAGAGTTCGGCTAATGGGCTTGGCTATAGGTTGGACTTTAGATTTGACTTTGAGTAATAATAATTATATTAATAAAAAACTTGGACCTTGGGGCTCTAGAGAAATTTCATTAAGACACCCAAATGAAAATAAGTAATTTATATTTTCATTTTTGCGCAGCATAATTTAAATTGAAAATGACAAGACATATCATTTAAATTTAAATTTCAATGAAATTAGGTTTATGACTGCTGTGGTTTGAAAGGGTGCAATCAGTATTATAAATACTGAATATCCAATAGCCAGAAACTCACTAACAAGATTTTGAACGTACAAAAATAATACATATATTTTTAACTTTGAATTTATAGATAGTTGAATTTTGGGAGATAGATGTCCATTGAACTTCAAGTACTAAGAATGGGCGAAATTCTGTCTTTAGAACATTGCCAATATGCAAGCCTTTATTTGAAAATAAAGTCAGTGTTCTTTATTTTTCTATGTTATTCTATTCTGCAGTTTGTATAATCTGTTCTTGTATAAACACATTGCTTATTGTATTAATACAGTGATTCTATACTCTTTAAATATATTATGTTTTAATTACTATTTAATATAAACAAATTTAGTTAAGCGATGCCATTGAGCAATGTCGGGACACATGAGCAGTAGTCCGGTTGGATACTGACCCCGGAGCCTGAGCCTCCTCCCCTCACATTCTTTAGGAGCCGGAGCATCTTCCCCTTCACCTTCTTTAGGAGTCAGAGCCTCACTCTCCACCACCTGTACAGGTTGGTAACCGTCCGTCAGGATGGAGCAAGCAGCTTCCAATGCCTCCATGTTATTCATATACGAATTGTTGGCCATGAACTGTGACAAAAATATTCATTAAATTTACATACAATATCTCAAAATGAAACCATATTTAAGTAAGAAATTGGTGATAGCTAGGAATGTGGACATGTTGCTCTCTCTGTTCTTCAATAAACAATTGTATAGGTACCATTTCAAGAGAGAGAACGAGAGGATTTTGAGTTGTAGGGGAAGAAAGGGAGAGATAAGTTGTATGATGTGTATAAAATGGTTGATCTCTTGACTGCCCAAGGTTACATTGATGACAATTTTGCGATAATCGAGAATGTGGTTATGGTAAAGGATGAAGAAGATGTTGAGGCAGAAAGATTAGCTAAATTTATGAAGATGAGATAAGAGAAGGATGTTGTGAGATAAGAAATGAAGTGGATAAGTATTTGTTAGAGCCACGTGAAAACCTTAGAAATACAAATTTTGACTTGTTGTCTTGGTGGAGAGAGGATAGTCCAAGATTTTCGGTTCTATCCCAAATTGCTAAAGATGTATATTTGGCATTTCAATATCTACTGTGTCTTTAGAATATGCCTTTAGTTTGGATGGTAGAATTGTAGATCATTTTTGTGTTTCTTTGACTCCAAAAATGGTGGAGGCCTTGGTTTGTACAAGTGATTGGTTGAAAGCCGAGGAGTTTTGCTTTTGCAAGGCCCACTAAGGAGGAACTTGAGTTCTATGATGCTTTAGGGAAAATTGAAATGAGTAAGAAATTTTAATTTTTTATATTTCTTTTGTTTTCAATTGCATTCGTGTGAAATATGTTTATTTTCTCACTTTCATAATTTGTTTAGTGATGTAGAACTGGATTCTAGTTCTCAAATGAAAGGGCAAGTAGCTGCTAGTACATCTTGAATGGTACAGTGACTAATAACCTTCTTTTATCTCAAATAACATATTTATTCTTGACTTTGTTTTTCTTTGACTCCAGTACACTAATCATATTTGGATTGAAGATTACTAGGACTCTTTGTTTCTTTTTTTTTCTTTTTCTTTTTTGTAACGTTATTAGCTGTTTTGTTATGTATTTTCATGTTTGTATGTAACTTTAAAACTAAGTTCTTTAATTTCGTACTTGGATGAATTAGACTATTGAATTTTTATCTTTTACATGAATAATTTGGAGTATTTGTTCAAGAAAATATATTATGTGAAATGATTATAAATTGTATTTTATTACTTAATTAGTATGTTTTTTTAATGGAGTTACCGGCTTACTGAACCGACCCAAACTAAATATTAGAGTAACTGATCCGAACAATTAAAGGTCCTAATATGTAGTTAACGGAAGAGAAATTAACCTATTGAAAACTATGGTTTAGTTAACAGAAGAGGCCTCTATTGTTCCGATTTGGACCCAGGCCTAATTCAAACCAACAAAATTGAGACATTAGACTTACTTTGTTAACTGTTGTAAATTGCGATGAATAAATTTAGAAAATTAAAATTGTGGTGACCAAATGTCTTTTCCGGCCTAACCCTATTTTTTAACAACAATTTCGTCAATGTCCACAATTTCTTTTTTCTTTTTTCTTTTTTGGCTAGAAGTGAATTTGTCATAACAAAGATTGTTTGTGCAAAATTTTCACAGGAGAATATTCGCTTGTCGATCCTTCACCTTTTGAGCTTCCTTATCTGTCTACATAAAGTCTCATGTTTCTGAGGCCCGCGGAGATGTAGATAAAGACTCTGGGTTCCGTTTCGAGATGTTCTAACACATGTTCTTTTGGCCGAACCATCTTAGCTTTCTTCAGTTCTTGCAAAACAAACAAGAGTAAAAGATCATACCTAAGGAGTGTTAGCCAAAGGCCCTCTAATGCCTAAGTTAGATCAATTAGATATTTGAGAAACAATAGCTAAAAAAAGATACAGAGTTTTCTCTCACGGGAATAGTCGGGTGCCCGAAGCTGTGTGTGGTGGCGCTTGGCCTTGTGGAAGAGACGAGAGTGGTAAGGCCGGTGGCTAGGGATGCCATCGACTAGGAGAGAGAGAGGTTTCGTGGGTTTTGCTAGGTATTTGGAATTAGGTTTAGGATTACCTTGTGTGTTGAATGTGGCCATGTATTTATAGGGCTCTAGCCATCTGTGGTTTTTCAAAGAATAGCTTCCTATTTGGAAGGTAGATATTCTTTCTCCAAAATGTAGAGATTGAGAATCAAATCACTAAATTGATGATGTTATCTTTTAATTAGTAATTATATTCCCAAATAAGGATAACATCTCATATTTAAGATAATATCCTTATTTTTAGTATCAATTAATTGGCCAAATAAATGGGCTCAATTAATGAACTTAGGAGATATTCTTTTTGTCCACGTGGCACCTTGTGATTGGAAGCCGGATCATTTGCTCCTATAAAGATGATATTGAAGAAATTGAGACTAAATTTGACATATATGACAAACCACAACACTGAATTTGACATATAGAAAACTTGGTATTTGTAACTTTTGGCCTATAAAAAGGAAAATAGAAACTCAATAAAAGTTAATTAGATCATATAACCCAAAAGTAAGTATGGGACTCTTTTTCCAAAATCTTTGACATAAGATCATGAAATTCCCCCTTTATATGATGAAAGGGTTGACTTTCCTTTTTTATTAAGGGTTGACCTATTAACCATGTTTCAATTAAATCACATACTTTGCATGCATTATTGCAGCCCAAAACCTATTACTGGGATTAACACCTACAAACAACCATTTCCTCACAGCACAGACGGTTTAGATTTCTTCTACTACCGCCAACAATCAATCGGCGGTCACGATCTCTCTGCCTTTTAAATCCGTACAACTTCGCGCTTCCACTTAATCCTTCTCTCTCTCTCTCTCTCTCTCTCCCTCTCTCTCTCTGCAAAACCCTCCTATGCTCTGTTTCTTCTTTTAGAAGTTAAACTACCTACCTTGGCTTTCTTGCAAAGCAATTCGCCTAGGATTTGGCCTGAAAATGTCGACCCGAAATCGCCGTCCACCCCCATTATCATCCTCGTCGTCCTCGGCCAAGAGGCCCTCAGTTTCGCGTCAGCCGAACAAGAAGCCCATGGCGACCAGGGCCCAAGTGGCAAATAAGCGCACAGCTCTCGCCGACGTCACGAACCAAAGAAATGGCTCTCAGAGTGGTCCACCGACCTTCATCGCTTCGTCGAAACCTCTGGTTCGTGTACTGTTCATCTTCGCTACGTTAATTAGTATATTCTATTTATGGATTTTGCTATTATTATAATAGTGATTGTTACTTTATTCTCCTCTCTATTCTTCTGATTCTTGAAATGGGGATTTCTTGAACCTTGAATTTTTCTATTTACGTAACCCAAACAATTGGGGAACTATAGGAATTCATTTACGCTAATTGACTTGTTTTCGTTTTCTGTTTTTTCCTTTACGTAACCCAAACAATTGTGCTAAATTGAAGTAATTTTCAGTTTCACCATGCAATTAGGGGATATTCCATATTTTACTAAAATGGGTTTCGTTGATTTCTTTGATTTATGAGTCAGACAAATTTCAAAAGAAAAGAAGATTCAGAATCTTACAATGAAACAAATCATGACAAGCTGCAGATCATGTTACTGAAGATGCTAATCTTTTTAACGATTAAGCTTCAATTTAACTGTATCTTTGTTCAACTTTTACAGCATAAGTCTCATACAGCACGTCAAGCTAATTTTTCACTTTTTACAAGTATATGTTTGGCATGGCATTCATTATCTGGTCTTAGTGAGTAATGGTTTCCTAATTACACATGGGCGTTTTATGTTATAACACTTCATAATTGAATGTATAAATTATGAACTTTCACTTTTTACAACATTGAATGTTGTGCAGTAATAATTTTACTTAAGTGGTTGAATTAGTACATACAATGCAAGTGTATATTTTGCTAAGTAATAATTTAATGTGTGAAGTACAATTGACATGAAATGTTAGTGGAGTTGTTACATCAAATTGCCCTTCAATTTATGGTCATAGTAAAGCATTTTGATCTTTCAAATTGTATTAACATGGATAAGTCATTGCCTTTTGACCTTACTACCAGGCAGATAGGTGTACTGATGATAATATTTTGAGAAAATGAGTAACTGTGCTGTATACTTGAAGGTGCCATGTGCAACTAAAATTGCTAAGACAACGAAGGAATTGTCTACTTGCGCGAGTGATACTGACCTGTCAGGGAATGTCTTTCCTCCATCCTCGAGTGCAAAATCAAGCATCGTGGTTCCTTTCAGTGATACATCCTTTTCAGGAAAGAATACGACTACTGAAATAGTTGCCACTAATCCTTCTCCAACCAGCAGTGTTACTGTTCTTCCTGTTCCTAGTAGCATAGTTCATACATTCAGAAGTAGGGATGGATCTCCAAGCAGATCAGTTAGTGGTTCAGTTTCTTTGGATGAGAACATGTCTACGTGTGAATCTTTGAAGAGTCCAGAATTTGAATATATTGACAATGAGGAAATTTCGGAAGTTAAATCGATTGAGAAGAAGACAACTAAAAGCCTCTGCATCTCAGACTATCCAGGGAAAGAAGGTTTCTTCTTTTACACACTATATCTTCCCCCTAGTTTCTCTCTAGTACTTGTTTCAGTTCAGTATCCTTCCTCATTTAATATGTCAAATGAGACTTGGTATACATCATAAACAGTTTGGTTGTCAGCCGTACTACATTGCTGAACCTTCTTGAATTTATCAAGCGAATCTTCTTTTCGGGCCTTTCCAAAATAATATTTTCCAATCTTGATTTCAGGAAATATCTGGAAGAAAGATACATTTGTCAATATGGAGACAACAGATAAAATTGTTGATATTGATAACAATCTTATGGACCCACAGTTTTGTGCAACCATTGCATCTGACATATATGAACACTTGCGTGACTCTGAGGTTTGAAATATTTTTTCCAATGAATGATCTTATATATAAATATTGGTTTTAATTTTGTAAACTTCCTTTATATTACTGATAAACACATTTTACACATAGTTACCTTCTTATGATGTATAAAAGTCTTTCAAGCTTTTTCTAAACATTTGTTAGTATTTTTTGGGAGTTTAGAAATGACTTGTATGCTACATTCTAGAAAATCTTTGAAGGTTGCAGCAGGACAAAAGTCTTGCGAACACTTTTAAAAGATTTGATTGAACTCCATCTCTATATTAGATACAGATTCTTAAAATTTTATGCACAAATTTGTCTACTGCACAATAAATTTTCTGCAACTATCTTATCCAGTTATCTTATATCCGCCCTGTTCTAATTCAAGTGCTCATCACTATCTCATGTTCCCTGTTATCCACTTCTGTGTCATTTGATTTGCTCAATATTTTGGTTTCAGGCAAATAGAAGGCCCTCCATGGACTTTATGGAAAGGATCCAGAAAGACATTAATGCCAGCATGCGCGCAATTCTGATTGATTGGCTAGTTGAGGTAAGTTATGGTGGGCGATGACATTGCCAGGGCGGATTTTTAATCCAATAAACTCCGCCAACCCACTATCTGGATTATGTTTACCATTTGACAACCATTACATTTCTTGAACAGTGGGTTTTCCTTGCATTATTAATATTAAAAAAAACAAATTAAAAAAAAAAACTCTCATTGATCTTGACTAGTAATTTCATTTTATAGGTTGCTGAAGAGTTCAGACTTGTACCAGATACACTCTTTCTGACCATCAACTATGTAGATCGTTATCTTTCAGGCAATGCGCTGAATAGGAAACAATTGCAATTGCTGGGTGTTGCCTGCATGATGATTGCAGCGTAAGATTCTAATTTTCTTCATCTTTTCTTTGGCCATGTGGATGTGTTTGACTCTCTAAATATATAAAAGTATTTCAAGATGCAATTTAACTAAATGAATGACAATGTTTCCAGTAAATATGAGGAGATTATTGCTCCCGAAGTGGAACAGTTCTGTTACATTACGGACAATACATACGTCAAAGAGGAGGTAGGGAATTGACTTTTGATCTTAGCTGCAGTTCTATATGCTTGTTTGAGTTGATTTTGATTTGAAGTACTGAATAATACAATGGATGCAGGTTTTGCAAATGGAATCTTCTGTGTTGAATCACTTGAAGTTTCAAATGACAGCTCCAACGACTATGTGCTTTTTGAGGTGATGTCTAGCTTTGTTATTATCACTCAAACGGCACGTTTATTTTGTTTCTATGGATATTGATTCCTAGTTCATGACAATTTTTCAGGCGGTTTTGTTTTGTTGCTCAACAGACCAGTGAGGTATCTGTCTTGGACTAGCCTGCTTTTTTGGTTTAATTTCCTCCACTGATAACAGGTCTGAGCATGCTTTAACAAAAATAGAAGTGGCTTCCTAGTATGAATCTGACTTGGATTTGGGCAGGATAATGGATTATGTTGGCTGCTGTTTTCATTTAATGTTATACATCAGGATAATGGATTAGTGTTTCATACATCTTGTTTAACTAAATTCTGATAGTACTGAGACTTCTTGTCTTGTGGTGGTGCTAAAACTTGATATGGTGTGTTGTTGAACCTGCAACTTTTCCTAGGTTCCATCACTGCAGCTCCAGTGCTTGGCCTTCTACATAGCAGAGTTGTCTCTTCTCGAATATAGCATGCTTTGTTATGCCCCGTCACTAATAGCTGCTTCTGCTGCTTTCTTGGCAAAGTATATACTTTCCCCTTCAAAGAAACCTTGGGTATGTTATGTGTTAGAGTATTTGACAGATTTTTCTATTTCCATCCTGTCTAATAAACTTTGGAATATAATTTTTTATTTTCTGGTTCAGAATTCTACATTGAGACACTACACACTTTATCAAGCCGCTGATTTGTTTGACTGTGTCAAAGTGCTGCATCGCCTATGTTGTAATGGTTGTAGTTCTGACTTGCCTGCGGTTAGGGAGAAGTACTGTCAACATAAGGTATGAAGAACCTCTTTCTCTCTCCTATTTTTTTTGTACTCTTCTGATGAAATAGAAATTGGAGCATGTAGCACTTCCACCTTTGCATTCTCTACCTTCGTTTAAATTAGATTTCTTTGATTGTCGCATTTCTACAAATCATGCAACCAGGAGATAGGGGAGAAATAGGAAAAAGGAAGTGCATTGTTTAAACTGAATACTTGAGGTTACATGAAAATGAAGTGATTACTTATTAGAAGCATGGGGTTATTTTTTTTGGTAATTGCCTACTGCATTACCTTTATGGAGGTTTACTTCTTCACTGGGAATCAGTTATGGAATTTGTGAAACTTAAGTGAATTTATATCCATATTCCTTTCCGCAAAAAAGAATATTCCATATTCAAATTATCCCCATCCAATCTAAGACATTTTCTTTCTGCTTTAGTACAAGTTCGTGGCCAAGAAGTACTGCCCTCCATCAATACCTACGGAGTTCTTCCAGGATTTAAACAACTAGAAGCTCACATCACTCACTGTTCCAATTTGATGAAGAGTCATTTCACAATGCCCTATTGCACTCTCTCTATGAATTTCGACACGACGCTGGCTTCTTGCACAACTTGTGCGATTGTCATTCTTGCTTAGATACTTTAGTGTACTTAAGATACCATTTCTCTTTTGTAGTCTACCTTCATTTTGTTCATATGCTTTTTTCTTAGACCGGAAAGATTGATGTCTAGAGCTTTTCACTTAAATGAAGCCCGACTGTTGGTACACCCTTGCAACAGTGTGTGTTTAAAATTGATTTCTTTGTTTCAGGCCAAGCCATGAATGTGTATGTCAAATTAATATGATTGCTATGAACCATGCATCCATACTTACTAGTATCCTCATCTAATCGAGTGTCAGATTCCTGTTGCATTAACTTAAATAAGTTGACTTTATCCATCGTATTAATTACTGGATGAATTAATCCAAACTTATAATTTCCTATTGGTTTCGAGCCTTGTTGTTTTCAAAAATATAAATTAATCAGAAGGATTTTCAAAATAATGATCTTTATACTATTCCTTAAATAGATCTAATTTAAAACCATACAACAAAATGAATAAAATGGGACAAAAATAGGAATTACGTGGCCACGTCATGAAATGAAACTATGACTGTATGTACCATAAACGAGAACGAGTATGACGCTTACGAGTTAGGTCATTTTTGTACGTTGCCGTAGAGTAAAGACAGACTCGCAGACCGTTTGAATTTGAATTCAAAAACCGCAAACAAAAACTTAAACTGACAGTCTGTGACGTACGACGCAAATAACGGACGAATCAGGTTCATCCAAAAAAATAAAAGTCTAAGGTTCAAAAATCACGTGGTCCCCACCCTTGTCCGCTCCTAACGAATACCGAGCCCAACCAACGGTCCGGATCTTCTTTCAATTCAAATTATCCAATCTCCCCGCCTAAAAAGTATAATTAACCAATTATTAAATCACTCAACTCTCTCACACTTTCTCTGCTGAAAACCAGAGACACAGTCACTTCAAAGTCTCTTTCTTTCACTCTCTCTCTCCAAGAACGACTCTTTTTTCTTGGGTTTGAGCTCTGCTTTCTTGGGTCTGAGCCAAGAAGGTTAAAACAGGACCAGAATTTGAATTGGGTTTGATCCGAAATGTCGACCCAGAACCGCCGTTCAGCATTTCCGTCGTCTCTGGCAAAACGACAGGCTTTGTCGTCTTCGTCTTCGTCGGCATCGGGGAATGTTGGGAAGGTTGTGGCAGCTGAGCCGCACTTGGCCAAGAAGCGAGCGCCTCTCAGTAACCTGACGAATCGAAACAGTGTGTCTAACAACGGTTTACGGAGCTCAGGGGGGTCATCATGTACTCTGGTAAGTGAAAATTGGTTCTGTATTTGTCGTGTTTGGTTTATGAGAAAATGCTGGAAAGATCAGAAAGTTTGAATCTTTGCTTCTCTTTGTTTGATTGCTATGCCTAGTCTGTCTTTCAGTAGTGTTACTTTTGTTGGTTTTTTTGACTTCTGGGTAATTCAAATTTGGTGTGGTAAAATATATGTTTCCCTTTTCACCGATTTTCTGATCTTTTCTCAAAAAAAACATGTTGGAAAATGCAAGAAAATGATATTAAAGTTTTATTTTTGTATAATAAGAAATTAGAGGTAAACTGGGTTGATTAATTGTAGCATATAAAATGAGTTGGACATGAAGCATTGATTGTATTATGACCCAATAGAAGAAACTATCTACTGGTCATTTGGTTTTTTAATCATCCTATTCTAAGTTCTGGATGCCTGCTTGTCAATGATAGGAATCATAAATATTCATGTCTGCTGCTTTCTGTCCCAATTTGAAATTTTACTCTGTATTAGACACCTTGTGCTTGCATATGAGGAGAAATTGTTCATGGTATCAGATTCTAACAAGCTGAATTTTATATCTGAAGGTACCCTGCACAAATAAGATTGCCAAAGTGAAAAAGGGACCTCCTGCTTGCACTGGTAACAAAGGCATCTCAGCGAGTAGCGTACCTGCATCCTTCAATGTTAAACCAAGTGCAGTTGTTCTTCCAAAGGTTACACCTGCCCCAAGAAGCGACGAAGCAGTCCCTAGCTCTTTTGCCTTACCAGGACCATGCAGCATGGATGTTTCTCCAAGTAAATCCGATGGAAACTCAGTTTCTATGGATGAGACAATGTCAAGTTGTGATTCTTTTAAGAGTCCGGAAGTTGAATACATAGACAACAATGATGTTCCAGCAATTGATTCTATTAACCGGAAGACATTTAGCAATCTCTACATTTCAGACCATGCGGAAACAACAGGTTGCATATTGTAGCAATTTTTTACTTTCCCGTGGCCGTGCCACTTGATTTCCATGGCTTTGAACTACAATAGATCATTTTTTCTTCATTTCCCAATATAGTTTTTGCTGATTTTCTTGCAGGGATTGCCTGCAAAAGAGAAGTACTTGTGGAGTTGGAAGCAGAGGATAAAATTGCTGATTTGGATAACAGTTTAATGGATCCTCAGCTTTGTGCAACCATTGCCTGTGATATTTACAAGCACTTGCGTGCATCTGAGGTTTGACATCTCTTCCAAGCATATTCAAATTGATATCTGTTCTATATATCTACACTATCTAGCATATTCAAACTGAGAACAATGTGTTTTAAAAAACTACTTGATACAGGTCAAAATTCAGTTCTAGCTGACACTGTAAAGCTATATTCATTTTGCTTTATCCTTGTTTGATATTTGCTCAATCACCATAAATTTCAGGTAAAGAAGAGGCCTTCCACAGATTTCATGGAGAAAACTCAGAAAGATATAAATCCCAGCATGCGGGCAATATTAATTGATTGGCTTGTGGAGGTAAATGATGTTTCTGGATGGCATGAGATGATTTCCATTGTATCGTTTCTATAAATTTTCCAAGGGTTTGCTTGTTATCATGTGAAGGCTGAAATTCAATTCCAACTGCAGGTGGCTGAAGAATACAGGCTTGTACCTGATACATTATATTTGACTGTGAACTACATAGACCGATATCTTTCAGGGAATCCGATGAATAGACAACGATTACAGTTACTTGGTGTTGCCTGCATGATGATTGCTTCGTAAGCTTTTATGACCCCCATCTCTAGAGTGTTAACTTACGTATGATTTGTTTTATGTTATTCTCCCTTTCTGTTCTCTTGTTCACTGAGTGTATTATTGACAAGAAAAATGGTTTATATTTCCAGAAAATATGAGGAGATATGTGCACCCCAGGTGGAAGAGTTTTGTTACATTACTGATAACACATATTTCAAGGAAGAGGTTGGTTTTACCCTACTTTGGCTGAACTGTGGATTTTAGATTTTTCCTCAATTTACTCGTTTCTTTCTAAGCCGCATTAACTTAAACCTTTAAATGCTGCAGGTGTTGCAAATGGAATCTGATGTATTGAATTACTTGAAGTTTGAAATGACAGCCCCCACAACTAAATGCTTTTTAAGGTAATGACTAGCTTATATTTATCAACTTTTGCTTTACACATATTCAACTGGTGTTAACCTATGATACATTGATCCGAACTGTAGGCGATTTGTGCGTGCTGCTCAAGGGGCCAACGAGGTATCTTTTTGGAACTTTTCAATGCCCAGTCCGTTGGTTTTACTTATGTTCCTTGTTGTACACATGACTGATTAAATACTGCCCTGAACATAAATAAATAGAGGTTCTGACCAAAGAAATTTGTGTATAAAAAAGATGTATAAAAACAGAAGATGTATAAATAAAAAGAACTTCCCCTGATGTTCATAATTATATACTGATAGTGAATGGTGTCCTAATTAAACAGCCAGAAACAATTCAGTGTCACAATCTCCACCCTGAAAATAACTTTGTTCTTTGTGGTGATTTTGTTTTCCATACCAGGGTATATCAATGCATTTGGAGTGCTTAGCAAACTACCTTGCAGAATTATCTCTTCTAGAGTACAGCATGCTTTGTTATGCTCCATCACTTGTAGCTGCTTCTGCAATTTTCCTGGCCAACTTTATACTTCTTCCTTCAAAGAGACCATGGGTATGTGTCCTACAAATCACAATCACACTTGTGATAACACTTCCTTGTTATACAGGCTTACTTACTTATCCATTCTTTTCTGTTTTTATCTGTTGGTTTTGGAACCAGAATGCCACGTTGCAGCATTACACGCTTTATCAGCCGTCGGATTTGCGTGACTGTGTCAAGGAGCTCCATCGCCTATGTTGTAACAGCCAGAGTTCTAGTTTACCTGCTATCAGGGAGAAATACAGTCAGCATAAGGTAAGAAAAATTTCACAAAGTTTTCTTTCCCACACATCATGCCAACTTGTGCACAAAGGTATGAGTAGCCTAAAAGTGACATTTGTTTTTGTTGAATTCTGCCTCAGTATAAACATGTCGCGAAGAAGTACTGCCCGCCAACAATACCTTCAGAGTACCAAACTTAAGGGCACTAAACATTTACATTACTCTTCCAATGTTCTGTTGGATGAACTTCTGGTGACTTAACTTGTAGCAGCTTTTTTCCTACATTGTAAATTTTTTTTCCCTCTTTTATTTATTTATTTGGGTTTGTATCTTCAGCATGCCAATAGTTTTGTGCGCATTGGGGCCTAGTGCTGACTGTAGTGTTTTAGTAAACAAAAGCTCAATCTAGTTGATCAGCTTGTGTCATGTTCTTGCTATTGGAGTTTTATCCCACAATTAACTTCTTGATGGAGCACACAAAAGAAAAAAAAAAAAAAAAAAAAAAAAAAAGAAAAAAAAAAAAAAGAAGGAAAAAGATAAAGTCAAAAAAACAATTGGAACCCCAAAATAAAAATTAAAGACTTAACGTTGATTGAAAGTGAAAACTATATTTGGGGCTGATTTTAGGGTAGGGTTCATTCAAGAAAGGTTCATTAGGCGAGCCTCGTCTGAAATATAATTTAGAAACTACCTTACGTTGATTGAAAGGGAACATTTTTGTGACTGTTACTTGTCCAGTCAAATCTTGGACTTAAAAGAAAAAGAGTTGCGTAGCTTTCACCTGAGTAAGGATTATGTATCATGTGCTTTTCTAGGTACGACAGAGTCACACTACGCACGGTAAATACATGGACCATTTCCATTGCCTTGTCTCTCCATGTAAGATTTTAAGTTGTTTTTAACGTCTATGATGTCATCGTTGTAAATCTACAGTCGACTTTTTTAGGTGGTGTTACGGTCGCACTTAAAAGTTTTTCCATAAATAGTTTTAAGTTAAGAGAGAAATTCATTGAAACTTCGGAACAAAGATTACAAACACCAATAACGATTATGATTGTCTTAACAAAAAAGAGACCAGGGGAGCCCTAAGAGTGGCGTCAATAAAACCTTGTCATAAAAACCCCCAAAGGGGGTAATCCGGTCGAAGAAAAAGAGTGCCACACTCCCCACCCACCTAATGGTTATAAGTTATTTAAAAAGCAAAACTATTGAGTATTTTAAAATTTGTAAATGCACTTACATCACAGATGTAGTGAAAGAGGCTAAAGGAGAAGTTTTAAAAATTACTAGCCTAATGAACAATTATGTGAGATGCACTGTTAATAGGATGGATTGAACAATTCTAACATATTGCTTTTCTCTATTAAGGATTAATTAAGCTTTTTTCAATTTTCTTTGTACATCACCGGACTGAGTCAAAAGGTTTTTCATTTGGTTTAATTGATCAGAATTTCCCCTACAATAAAATAAAAAGTTTTGTTTTTTTTGTCAAAATAATAATAAAATAAATTTAAAAAATTGTTATTAGCAGTGAAAGATTACAGCTTACCTTGTAAGAAAAGAAATTTGAGAGCTGACCAAAAAAAGTAAACAAAAGGGAAAAGCCAAATATTGCATTCAATTTATAGTATAAAGACACTGACAAATCAAAATATATGTACAACTTTAACTGCAGTGAGAGTTATAGACTGGTTCAGTCCATATTCAGGTAAGAAAGTGGACATGGCTGCATTGGTTATGGTGTTTTGGTTGTGGCTGGCCTTCAACATTCCTCCTATCACCCCTTCTGGGGGGGGTCTTAGTCACCATGACCAAAAAAGAAAGCTTGCTTCTACTATTCCTGGTACACATATGACTAAACTATTCACAAGCTTAAAGGATTGTTTACCAGTAATTTATGCATCTTTGTTTGTATCTGTTTCATATTAACTGGTATTTTTAACAACCTTTGTACAACAATTTCAAGGTTTCATAAGCATCGACTGTGGCGCAACTCTGCAGAACTATGATGACTCCAACATATTTTACCAGACAGATACAGGGTTTATAAGTGCTGGAGTGAATTCACAGATATCCTCAGAGTTCATCAACTCAAGCCTTAACATGGAGCTGAGGACCTTGAGATATTTCCCAGAAGGAGAACAGAATTGCTACACCTTGAAACCTGAGCAAGGCAGATCAAACAACTATCTCATCAGAGCTGTGTTCATGTATGGAAACTATGATGGCAAAAATCAAACTCCAGTGTTCCAATTGTATCTTGGGGTTAATTCATGGACAACAGTGAAAGACTCATATGTTGTACATGATATCATATATGCTCCCTTGACAGATGCCATACAAGTGTGTCTTGTGAACAAAAACAATGGAACACCATATATTTCTGCACTGGAAGTTAGGCAATTGGACAACTCCCTCTACCAATCAGGTAATGGAGCACTGGCCTTGACTTCGCGAATCAACCTTGGTGGCTGCAATAAGATAATCAGGTGAGCTAGCTAGTTATAGCCCTGGAAACATTTATGTAATTCGGTTTTCGAGTAAGCAAATAGTGTGTTACAGTTTTTATAAATGTGTACTTGGTAACATGGTATAAGTAGAGGATCTTATTTCTTTATCAGGTACCCCGACGATATATATGATCGCAAATGGAATCATGATCAGAAAAATGAATGGATCCCAGTGACATTGGCACCCAACTTGACAATTGAGACCAGCAACAATGGCTACAAAGTACCAGACAAAGTGTTAGGAACTGCTGTCAAGTGTGTCAGTGGCCCCATATACGTCTCATGGAAATCCAAGTTCACAATTTCAAAATTTTATGTTTACTTTCATTTTGCTGAAATAGAAAAGCTTGAGGGTGGGAAACAAAGAACACTCAATATCCGTTTCAATGATTTTTATAACTTGGAAACTCTTACTCTGGACTATCTAAAGACACAAACTGTTGCCAGTTTTGCTCTTACTGGGGAGACAACATATAACTTCTCTATTTCTAGTGTGGACAGTGGCCTTCCTCCGATCCTTAATGCCTATGAAATTTACCAGCACAAAGACTTTTATCGCATGCCAACAATCGAGAAAGACGGTACATTTAACAGTCTAGTTTTCTTCTTCACTGTGCTGGTTACTTACTGCTTTTTGTTCTTGTTTGTTATATATGGCGAAGAAATGTCAGATTTTGATAATTTTTCAGCCTTATCCAACATAAGTGTTACCCTTAATTTCTCCATTTTGCATCCTGATGTCCATCTCTTGGTCTCCTTTGACTTTTGAACGAGATCACAGTGGATGCTATCATAAACATTATAAACACATACAGCATAATTGGAGAGTGGCAGGGCGATCCATGTTTTCCTTCTTCATGGAACATTTTGAATTGCAGCTCCATCAGTCCTCCAACTATCATTTCTTTGTGAGTGTTCTCCTTAAAACTCCCAAAATACGTTAGAATATGTATATTTTTATTTTTATTTTGGTCTTTTCTAGTATGTTGTTTGAAAGTGGAAATATGTAGTTTTTAAACTATATAACTCTAACTTGGGTAACTATATAAGCAGGAACCTTAGTTCAAGAGAATTGACAGGAAATATAGCTGTTTCATTCTCCAACCTCAGAACGATAGAATCTTTGTAAGTATAACACATTTTTTCTGTTTTTAAAATAGTGCAGGGCAATAAAAAAGCTTTGAGACTTGAATAATGAATTGCCTCTGCCTAAACTACTATACAAATTAATTTAATGAAGTCTTATTTTCTTTAAGAATTATAAGTCTCCTCACACATATTTTTGTTTCTTTGTATTAGCCACTCGGGGTGCTCCTCAGTTTTCGGCATACTTATTTTAAGTTCTTTTACAAAAATTACTGATCCTATTTCCACAATGTTGTCGTTTGTTTCAGGGATCTATCACACAATCAATTGACAGGTCCAATTCCAGAATTTCTAGCTCAACTGCCATACTTGAGAGTCCTGTAAGTTTTCAGCTGCAATATTGTGAGCCTTTTGGTTGAAGATTCTAATGACTTTTTATGCCATCTTGCAGCAATTTAATGGGGAACCAGCTTGAAGATGCAGTTCCCAAGGCTCTTATGGAAAAGCACAATAGCGGAGGGTTAACATTAAAGTATGCCTTCCTTAGAAACATTCAATGCAGTTATATCTTGTGACCTAACAATATGCTTTGAAAAGTTACTATTTTCTGCTTCATGCTAGTTTGGATGGAAATCCAGATCTTTGTTTGGGGGGTTCATGCAAAGGAAAAAACAGGAAGCTTGTTGCCATTGTTGCACCAACTGTATCAGTTGTGGTCTTCATAATACTATGTGCTCTAGCAATCTATCGTATCCGTGAAAAGAAAAGAAAAGGTATTTTCTTGATGCATTTCTCATGATATCAACATTTCTTTGAGGTCCCGGTGCTTATTTTCCTGTTCTTAAAGATTATGAGAAAGAATAGAACTGCAAAATGCATGTTTAGGTGAAAATTTGCTAATTTGTCTTTGCAATCTGCACTTTCAAAGGAACGAATCTTGCAGGCAAAAAGTTGCATCTTGGAAAATAGATATCCTCATGAAAATCTCAACCCTTCTCAATGAATTGTGTATGTTTCCTTTATGATGATCTTTATTGTAGGGACGAGAAGAGAATGGTCACTGAAAGCAAAGAATTGGAGATTTACATACTCTGAGATTGTGAATATCACCAATAACTTCAAATCTGTTATTGGAGAAGGAGGATTTGGAAGAGTCTACCACGGCAGCCTAACACATGGAATTGAAGTTGCTATCAAGGTGCTTTCTTCATCATCAAGACAAGGGTCCGACGAATTTCAAAATGAGGTAGATACAAACTGGCCAAATTGTTGCATGCTAGAGAATCTGCAGATATAAACCATATGAAGTGCTTCTAAACAGAATTTCATCTTGTTATACTTGGTCACTAAATTCAATTGCAGGTGGAGCTTTTATTGGGAATTCATCACAAGAACTTGGTTTCTCTTTTTGGATACTGCAATGAAGGTGGAAATATGGCACTCGTTTACGATTATATGGCCTGTGGAAATTTGCAACAGCATCTATTAGCAGGTGATTACATATTCTGCTATCAGGGTCATGAGGCTTATCCATCAACATAACCAGTGAACTGCCTCTGCATTATTGCTTGATAAAACTTTTTAAACTTCGATTTGTCAATGAAAATATGTCACATCTTTGTAACAGATGGAAGCACAAACGTTTTAACCTGGAAAGAAAGACTTGAAATCGCAGTGGATGCAGCACGAGGTGGTTGATCTTAACTGATTTGTAATCTTTTATCTTTACTTGCCCCAAAAGCAAGCAACTGATGGCAAACTACAAATGCAGGATTGGATTATCTGCATAATTGTTGCAAGCCACCAATAGTCCACAGAGATCTCAAGACTTCCAACATCTTACTAAGTGAAGACTTGCAAGCCAGGATAGGCGATTTTGGGCTCTGCAGAGTCTTCACAACTGAAAACGAGACTCATATATCAACCGATGCTAAGGGTACTCGCGGATACGTTGATCCTGAGTAAGTCTTGACAGATTTACCAACTAAATTAGCTAGAAACCCATTGTCTTTTTTATAGCTATCAATTTTATGGTTTTGGGGATTGTTTTATACATCTAACGGCAATCAATTTTCTGTCCAGATATTACCATACTGGGAAGCTGAATAGGAAGAGTGATGTTTATAGCTTTGGGATTGTTCTGTTGGAGCTGATAACTGGCCTGCCTGCAATAATAAAAGGCCCTCCAGTGGTAGAGTTATGTGATTGGGTGGGTCCCCATGTGCAAGGAAAGTGCACTGGAGATATAGTTGATCCAAGATTAGAAAGCTATAACATAAATTCTGCCTGGAGAGCCATAGAAGTGGCAATGGCTTGCATACCATCAGTAGCAATCCAGAGGCCAGACATCAGCTATGTCTATGATGAGTTGAAGGCATGTTTGAAAATGGAGATGGCTTCTGAGAAACCTCAGATAATGGAAGGCTACCAGACCTGGTCAAGCAGTTCAATTCATACCACTCCTTTGGACCCTAAAGTTGAAATGCACCATACTTGCTAGTTACACTTTATTGTTATTGTGCGAGTGGGCGACTCCTCCTAACATAACTCTATATTGTATACACACCTCTACTTTTACGGTACATATGAATTACTGTCCCTAGCACTAGTGTATATACACATACCTTCAACTTTTATTGTCACGAATCATGATGTTTGGCGAGTGAGATCTTTATATATAAGTTTTTACTTTTTACATAGAAAAGTTACCGTGGTACATCCAGGACATATATGCACATCTAGTCTAGTACAGAAAACCAATACATCTTACACACCACATTGAGGCTTGTTTAAGACCCAAGATGCAGCCCCAACACCATAACTTGGTCCCATCTTACTGAGCCACTGCAAGTCCTCAAACTCACAGCCAGGCCTCTCAATTGGCCACTGAACATCAGTGGGCTTAATGAAATGAGGGATCCACACAGGGGTCCCATCCTCATAAGAATTTTGTGTCAACCTCTTAAGATTAGACCCGTCCAAGTTAATTGTGAAGATCTCACCGTAAGGCTGATAGTGATGCGGGTTTGAGATGGGCTCAGCTGATATAGCCCTATAATCCGAAGTAAAAACTAGGCTTTTCCCATCCGGGCTGAACCAAGGGTGGTTGGTGCGACCGCCTGATCCACTTTGGATCACTTTCCTCAACCCGGTTCCATTCGGGTGGATCACATACAACTCAAAGCTCCCGCTACCCGGGTCGTCCCGGTCCGATGCAAATGCAATCCATTCCCCATCAGGAGACCAATTGCACATTGTGTCCGTCCACGTACCCTCCGTTAGTCGGTGGAGCCCACTCCTTTCCCCATCCTCGGCGTCCATGATATACAAGTTCTTATGACCCGACAGACCCGAGCGAAACACGATCCGTTTTCCGTCGGGAGAGGCTGAAGGAAAAGCATTATTTTTCCCATTAGTGGTCAACTTCTTAAAGCTCGCTTGGTCAACGTCATCAACGGTGATGGAGATGATATCAACCTCAGTACTCTCGGGTGCAAAATCAGGTCCAGCCCCTGTGTATAAGACGCCTTTACGCACTGGGTCCCACGCTGTTGAGAAGGCAGCTCCAGGGTACACACGGCGCCGGTTCGAACCGTCCAGGTTCACAACATAAACACCCGGGAAGTTCACGTAAGCGATACGATCACCAGCGGGTGAAAACGAAGGGAACGAACCGTCAATTCTCAAGATCGAGAGGTTAGGGATTGGACTGTCGATGTTCTGAAGAAAAAGCTTGGGGCTTTCTACTCCGTTTCCGTTCACTCTGCACTTGTGATACCCGACCCGACTGGAATCGGGGGATATGAAAGGGTTGAAGTGGTGGGTTTGGGGCGAGACGAGCCGGGTCAGCTCCTTGAACTCGTTCCTCACCAAGTCGAAGAGCTCCACGTGGCGAAAGCTCGAGGTGGGTCTTCTGGTGGCCACGGCGATGAACTCGCGGTTCCCCGGTGATGAGGCGGGTGTGAACGCGTGGAGACCCGGCGGCGTGACGCGCTGAACCACCACTGACTCAGTCGAACTCGGTCCCTCTCTCCGCAAAATAGCCCTGTAAATACTCCACCACTGATCCTCGCCTCTTCTGTGGAAGTAAATGGTTGACTCATCGACCCAACTCGGCCACCCACCGTGTTCGACCACCTTAACTCTCTGAGTCCCGTCCCTAGTCAGGAAGACGTAGATGTCCGTACTGAGCTCCTCCACCTCCCCGTCCCAGCCTTTCGGTCCGTACGAAGCCACCGCCGTCCAAACCCCAGACGGAGACACCGCGGGGCTGAAGTCAGCGATGCCGCGTGGGGTCAATCTCTGAGTCACGCCCGAGTTGATGTGAGTCGAGTACACCGCGGCCGAACTCGTCCTCGGCACGCCCGAGTCCTCGTGAGTCGAGACGTAAACCAAGTAATCTCCGGTCAAGCTCGGCCGGTCCTTCATAGAAAAACGATTCTGGCCCTGCTCCAAGCTCAATAGCGGGACCTGAACCCGGTCCGAGACTTCGAGAGCGGACCTTCTTCCGCCGATCGTCGTCGGCGAAGTGAGATAAACACCGTCGTAGTATATGTTGGAAAAGCCGTTTCTTTCGGTGACGTAGATGAGGTGGAGTGATGGGTCGGGTCGGGTATGGGATTGGATTCGGGTTAGGTTGGGGAAGTGGCCGTTGAAATTGACGGATTTTGCATCTGTGATTCGGGTCTCGGTGGCTGCGGAAGGTAGGCCCCCCTGAATCGGGAGGGTGAAGATGTCGAAGTAGTAATCTAATCTGCCGAGCGTTGTGAAGACGATGCTGGAGGCGTCGTGGTCCGCCGCTGCACAGAATCGCAGCGCCAGAAAATGGAGGAGCATAAAGAAAACCGATATGCGTTTCATGGTTTTTGCTTTGATTGTTTCTCTGGTTCAGTGGCTGATTCAGTGAGTGAGTGAATGAGTGAGTGAGAGAGTCTCCTTCTTGTTTCAGTGGATTGTCGTCCGAGTTCTTCCTACTGAGGTGTGTTGAAGATAACGTGATAGTGGAGAGAGGAGTAGATCACAGCACGTGGCAATCTAGGAGACGTTGGATATGGAAGTTATTTTCTTGGGTGGGCCCACTATTTGATTGGCGCCTTGTACCAGAGTTATAATGTTGTCTGTTTGTTTGGATTTCCTTATCCACAGACCACAACCATTTTGTTACCGACAAAAGAAAACCCACAATTCGACCGAAATAAATAAATAAAGAAAACCACAACCTTATAGTTTGACACCTAGTCATATATAGCAAAATGTACAACACAATTCTTCACCATGAATTTTTTTTCTTCCGATAATTGTTTACCGTGGTTATACAATTTTGCAATCATAAGTTAGTGCCTCGAGTATTATTGCTACTTATACATACTACTTGCTTTCTTCTATTTCTAACTATAGTATATATACCGTGATTGAGATTATTGATATAATTTGAAGAAAATATAAAGCATCGGTATATATCATGGTCGAATTGAGAGTGTGTAATTGGTACCACCGCATGACGCTTCGTGATTTTTTTTTGTACTTTTATTATTCAAAGTACTTGCATTAGTTACACAAGAGACCCAGACGAAAGATTTGAGTTTTGAGTGAGTAGGTTGTGGAGCCGAGTGATGACAATTGGTGGTTGGTCTCCATGACATAGTGGAAGTTTCACATAGAAGAAAATTCAATAATGGTAACTGACATTCACTAAAATAGCTGTACCACAGCATAGAGAGAAACTTAGGCAGCAAGCACATTCGGTCAAAGCTATATATATCCCCATTTCCACTCATTTTCTCCTCCTTTCTCTGTTTCTCTGTTTCTCTCTGTCTTCTAAGTTGAAGCGGAGACTCAGTCATGGCCGTGGCGATTACATTCACAATCAATATATCTTCCCTTTCTGCTAAAACCCTTTGAAGCTTGAACCTCAAAAACCCCCGTGGCCCCCACGTTTCTTCTCTTTCCTTTTGTCCTCCTTTGAATTTTGGTTTGTTTTGCTTCTTCTTGGAATCAATCTCGGAAATGAGCTTCTTGAGGCCCTCCGCTCTGCACCAGTGCTTCATTGCGTTCCCTTCGCTGAGGTGGATGCCATGCCAGAGCTGGGAGTTTCTGCGATGGCCGGCGCTTGATGGGCTCTTGAGACTCTTGGTGGTGGTGCTTTTGTGGACTATGTTTTCTGAGATTCGCTTCATTCCTTCCTCTTCTATGTACCCGACTCTTCGTGTTGGTGATCGCGTCGTTGTCGAAAAGGTAAGGATTTCGGATTATTTTTTTCCCTTTTTATTTTCTTTTTCTGGAAAGTATCTGTGCAAGAAGTTCACACATTTTCTCTATTTTAAGTGGTTCCCATTTCAAAGATTATGGTTTGCTTTGCTTTGTGTTCTTTGTCAAAAAGAAATGCATTTGCCTTTCTCTTTTAAAGGATAATGCATTAACCTTTTCTTTATATATATATATATATATATCTATATTTAAAACCTGTAGTCTTCTTGTTGAAGTCTTAGCCTGTTTCCAGGAAAGTAACATCTTGGTTGCAATGCATGTATCCCTGTAAGTGTTTACTGTTTGAAAGGGTGACTTTGTGATTCTATCTGAATCGGGATAAATTCCCACTACTATTGTTTGACTAGCCACACTCTTTATTCTTTTCCTTTAACAATATTGTAGTAGCTGACCAATGATTATTTCAGCTCAGGGACCGTATTGAAATTTGATTTCTTTTTCTTTTTTCATAATTGAACAGATGGTACACACACTGTTTTCTTGCATTTTATGGATGGAACTATTTTTTGTTACCGTCAATGTGTCGGGGATATGAGCAACTTTTGGGTTCAGTGTATTGCCTTTTGATGGAATTGGAGCTTTTATGTTGCGTAGAATTATTCTCTTACTCTTTTTTTTGGAGATCTTTATCGCGATTGATCGATCTTCGACATTGTTTCTGGTTTTCTTCTTTCTTAATTTTACTTTTCGTAAGTACTTGTTAAGCTGTTATAATCAAGTAACAAAAAGTATATGTTGAATGATATCGATAAGTATCGCCTGCTTATGTAATTGGAGCTTTTATCTTACAAAAGTTAGAAAACCAGTAGGATGAAGAGTGGAAATCCAACAAAATTTCATCTGATATACAGACAAATCATGAATTTCCTTAGCTAGTTCTTTGAAAACCCACCATTTTGAACTCGTGACTTTCCACTCTGTATAGTTACCCCCAAATGCTGCAATGATGAGTTCACTGGGAAATGCCTTAGTTCATACCAGTACCACTTCAAGCTATAAATAATTTTCAATCTTAAGAGAGCTCTGGAATCCAGTTGGTTATATATTTACGTTAGAGTAATGAGAATCTCTGTTCTGACCCTTTTCATTCAATAATAGTCTTTGTTTCTAGCTTATGATTGTTATTAGCACTTGCATTAACACTGTGGTTACTTGATAACATTTTCAGGCCTCATATTATATTAGAAGTCCTGCTATGCACGATATTGTAACATTCCCGGATCCAACACAGGTTTGTTCATAACTTCACATGGTATGATACTACCTGGGCCAAGTCTCTAGGAACAATGGTTTAACTTTTGCTCAAGCCTGTTACTTCTCTGTTTTTCTGTAGCAAACTGGAGACTCGGAACAGATTGTTTTCATAAAGAGGATTGTTGCAAAAGGGGGAGACTTGGTGGAGGCATGTTGAGCAATTAGGCTGTTTTCAGAAGATGATAGACTTCTTCATATTTATTTTCATCTTCTTACATGTTATTCAGCTTGTAGGAACCAATTGGAATAACCATGCATCAGGTTCATTTATGTCAACTTTCTTCCAACTCCTTGCAGGTTCGTAGTGGATGGCTCTATGTCAATGGAATTGCGCAAAAGGAAGATTTTATCGCAGAACCACCCACATATGTATCAAATTTAACTGTGAGCACCATCTCTATGAGTATTTTGTTTTTTGATTTACTGCTACTTTTATGTGCAATTTTTCAGCAGAAGTGTTCATTAACAAAATTATGTGTAGGAACTGCTTATGCAAAAGAACAATCAAATATTGATTTATGTAACCTGTGCTCCTCTTCATCATTTATAATTTGGATATTTATGTTAATTGTTAGTTTCTCTTGAAGCTGCAATTTGAAATGGTTGCTTAACACATCATTTAAAAACTTCTGTGGGATTTGCAGTATGTGCCTGAAGGTCATGTATATGTGCTAGGTGACAACCGCAACAACAGCTTTGACTCCCATGTTTGGTTAGTATTACTATTCCCAGTATAATCCAATTTCTATATTATTTTCTTCATTTTCCCATTCTTCCTCTTCTCATCATTTTGCAAATCTTTTCCTTGTCTTCTATGAGCAGGGGACCCCTTCCCATCAAGAACATCATTGGAAGATATGTAACATGTTGTCATAGACCTCGCAGTTGATCGGTTGCTGTTTGAAGATGGGGTAGATACTTGAAACTTTAGCACAGATGACTTGAGGTGGCTTGCACACAATCGAATTTCCGATTCTGATCTGTGATTGCCTTCAATCAAAACAACTCTCTGGATCTATTCGTTTGTTCGTAGTACTAGTACAATGTCTGTAACTTACTGGTAGATAATTGACAGAAATTACTGAACTTCTTGTGAATGCTTTAGCATAGACAATTCTGTATTGTGCTTGCTTCTGTTTAAGTTATGCTTCATATTTGCACTATAATAGATTCTAATTCTGACTCTAACCTACCAATTTGAATTAGGATTAGGCAGGTTTAAGATTTTTTTGGCTACACAGTTAGATTTAGAACCAGACAGGTGCTAACTTCTCTTTTCCCTACCAGTCAGTTTCACAATAACAGTGCTAACTTCCATTACCTAGTTGGATGGAATCAATCATATGTTCTGATAAAAGCCTTGAAAGTGTTTTTACAGTGCAAAAGCTTTTCTCCAACTTTTTGGAAGGTAAGTTCTGCAATGTGGCTGGATCCTCCTATTGAACAAAAGCATGAAAGAAACCAATCAGATCCGAACCCACCAGCAAAAAAGCTTTTAAAGTTGGGCTTTGCATAAGCTTGAAAGTACACAAGCCCACAATAAATAAAGAAAATATCTTAGGAAAAACTGTGGACAAGGACAGCGCATTGAGCCTTCTTCTTTCTCTGTCTGGAATCGGACAATGGCATAATGCATTGAGCCTTAATTAGCCTTCTATCTTTTTTGATCGAGAAAGAACAACAAAGAAAACAATGTACAAATAGTACCAAATATGATGTGAAAAGTGACCTCGTTAAAACCTTATTATAGAAAACATTCATAAGAGAAAATTCGGTTAAAGAAAAAGAGTGTCACAACATCCAAACTAAAAAACTAAAACAAATAGATACAACATCCAGACACAAATGAAACTTGTAATTGAATGGGAAGAGAACAGTTTTGGAATCTTATGATTGGTCTGTGGCATTTTCTTTAGGCCCAACTTTTTGTTTTGAATTTCAATTAGCTCCGTTCGTCTTTGTACTTCGACTCTAAATTTAGTCAAAATGGCACTCTCCCCATACAATACAAAATACACGCATGAGACACGTGCATGTTGGTCAACGTCAGTCCACGCATTACATGAAACTCTATTCAGATCAATACCGCAGTCTCCTCCACCAGCACCAGGCCGATTCGCCGCGTGAGTTATATAGACGGCAGTCTTCTAAATAGTCAAACACGCACAAGGGTTCGTGGTGTCAGACAATCAATTCACTGTACTAAAAACGACATCACAACCAACAACTCTTCTAGCTAGCTCGATAAACTTTGGGATAAAATTTTCAGTCATGAAACGTTAACATCACCTGACCTGCCCTTTTTGTGGTGTTACGGAATTTATGACACGTTCTAATTTGAGTGAATTTCATTTCACATGATTTTAAGTATTGATATTTAAGATTTTTATAACTCAGTTCTCATATCAAGTTAAAAATGTGAACATCGAACTCAAAATCAATTGATAACAAATGAAGAAGTTCAAAAAATTTTAAACGTTTTCATTTTACAATGTGAAACACTTTTAAAAGCCTAATATTATGCACGAGTGAGTTAAGTCAATTGGCTAGAGCACTGAACCCGCTCTTTTACATCCAAGTCTCTATTTTTGTAAATTAAATTAATTTAGAGTAATTTAAACTATCACTCGTATGAAAACAACAACCCGATATTATTATTGGTACATGCAATGATTCTTCATGCTGCTTCCTCATCCTAAATTTTCATGTTTCTTTCTTTCAATTATTATTATTACCATGATAACAATAAATAATGCGATTGATGAGACAGAGGAAGAAAATGCGCAATCATATATATATAGACATTGGTCATGGGCTGCCATAGTTGACCGCCGTTCGTCTATATCCTTCTTTCTAAACATACATTGGTCCCTCGTATTAGATCATCATTGACTCTTTAATTACCCTCCAATGAGGCAGCCCAATAAGCTATATTCATTTTTCATTTATTTTCTATCCCAATATCCCAAAATGATACAAAATCAATTTGTTTCTGGGATCAGTTCTCTTTTGCTAAGAATTTTCAACATCAATTGGATTAATTAATTCGTTTTCTTCATTTAATAATGGTTTCAAATTTGATTTAGTCATTGTCATCTTTTTTTTTTCTTCTTAAAATCAAAAGCCATTACCAGTTTTGATTTGTCAAGATACATATGCGGAAACTTGTAACGATAATGCACCTAGGTATATACCTAATTCTCCCTTCTTCTACACTAAAAAATCTGCCCTATGGACTTGTTGTGCAATCAAATCTATATTATACTCAATGAGTGCGATTCCAATTCAAAGAAATGGGTTCTTTTTCCTATCAATCTATGCAAAAAACTATATATATAATCTGAATGTCCACACGTTACTAGATATCATGCGGATGCTATTGTAAATAAAGAGAAAAACAAAAGGATGGTAAAAATACATGACGTCCACACGATAATAATTTCCGGAGTCCAAATCATAATAACGTCCGGACTCTGAACGTCCACATAAGAGAATATATATATATATATATATATTTCTGCATGGTATATTGTAGCCACAACTAAACCTGCAGATGGTTCTATATTGTCTACCCTAAATCAAGATTTAATTAAGTAGCTTTCGGTTCTAAACTTCAATAGGTTTTGAATTTTATGGGTGTGTCTTTTTCCAGATAAGTTAAAACATTGGTTGCTTTAAAACCAACATACCTTGTGTTACTATAATTTACTTTATAGTTACTTATATATATACACACACATAGAGAGCTTTTATTATAGGACTCCTCAAATAAACTTATTTGAGAGAGATCCTTATAGAGCCTACTCCTAATTGTATTTCACTAGTCCAAACCGTCTATTTGGTTGATATTTATTCAAAGACCAGCTCTACAAAAAACAAAACAAAAACAAAACAAAATCACTTGAATATGATATCATTTGACCACTAAATTAAATTATTGAAATTTTAGTACTTTCTTGAAACACCGTGTTTATTGATTTTGTATGATAAAATTAGATGTCTCAATGGTTTATGATTTGTCTGAAAAATTTGTAGGGTAACCCTAAATGGCGTCCCTCAAATATTTGAGAGATCCCTCAATAGAAGAGAACAATATATATATAAATTCTCTTATGTGGACATCCGAATGTTATTATCGTGCGGATGCTGTGTATTTTATACTACCCCTTCATGCTTTCCTGCATGTTTACAATTACATCTACACGATAATAACATGCGGACATTCAAATAAGAGAATAACTATTTATAATTTGGGATACTGTGCAATTCATAATTATTAGATTAAAACAATAATAATTTGAATAAATGTATTATTAGAAAGATATTAATAAATCCATTACTAGTGCTTAAATCTAATGGTTCAAAATTTGTGTCAAAAATATAATGTCACGGATCCGCCCCATATACTTAAATCTAATGATAAATATGATATATGATATATATACATGTATATATCATATTTATCGTATGTTATAAACTTATTTCTAGAGTTAAGGTATAACTTGACGTGACACAAAGGAACTTACTTTTGTCAAATTCAACATATTTCTAGACACTGGTTTCTTAATATCTTCGGTTTCAACTTTCAAGTGAAACAATAGAGCACGATGGTCAATGGGCAGTTGTTTGTCGGTACAATTTGTAGCTAGCATTACTTTTTTTTTTCGTTTTTAATCAAAGCTAACCTTTTTCTTTGTAAAAAAAAACTTTTTGACCCATTGAACACTAATATAGTTTAATATAGTCTAAGAAGATTTTACTAGGGTCCATCCCCATATATATATATACATGATTACAATATTCCACGTTGAACGGAATTGTTAGGAAAAAAAACGTGGGGGGTTTTGAGAAGGAAAATATTATGATTCTTTGTATAACATATACTTACTGAAAAAACATGGAAAGGAAATCCTGGCATATGCGGTAATACCAAGTACAAGAAAAAACTAACATGGTCTCATGTGAGAGCATATTATTTATGCGACAAGTTGAACGGTCCTATATGCTTCCACATCAATTTTAAAACCCGAAAGTTGTTAAATAATGAACGAAAATGAACTAGTTTCTTCTATACTTGTTCTTCTGATTATGTTAATTAACTTCACTCATCAGTAAACCAAATCATACGATGCATGCACTACATGAAAATCCACAGCTTATGTATATCCACATATCAGATCAAGGAATGGTTTCCTTATAATAATCATCTTTTCAAGCAATTTGTTAAAAAAGAAAGACTAAAAAATCACTGAAGCAACTTGCAGAATGATCATAAACACAAAGTGCTGGATGCACGCCCAGACATATAACAAATACAAGAAAATCAGAAAGATAACGAAAGATCATATCTCCTTCTTCTCTTGTCAGTTTTAGTAATGCAAATGTACATATAAAAATTGCAAAAACCTTAAATTGATGCTCGTGTTCGCATCTAGCTGATTATTTTTTAATCAAAAGGAGGATTTGTGTGTCGGCACATTAAGGAATACGTTAATCTGAGACGGAGGCACAAAAATTTATTTGGGGACTTAGAGATTTAATCACAAAAATATTACTACCGGGTATATTTGGGTTAGGTCAAATTGCACCCAAGCTTGATATCTCCATACAATAGAGTAGTTTAGATTATCAAAAAAAAAAAAAAAAAAAAAATAAAAAAAAAAAAAAAAATCACCCAAACTACTAAAGCCAGCAATCACTAAGAATTTTCAGTCATTTTGCCTTTTAATGTACACCTTAATATTAAACCTAAACATCCTAAATTCAATACCATTAGGCCATATCCAGTTATGGGCCATAGACCAAATGTAGCCCTCAAAACATGAAAAATCTCTCTCCAACCATTGGTTAAAAAACAATTTGGCCAAATTTGGAGGCCATATTTAGCCCTTTAGCCATCCTCCCAAGCCACTTGTAGCCTAGGCCAAATTTTTTGTCTTTTTGTCTTTTAACTTTTAAATGTATATAATTTTTTAAAAAAATAAAAATTATATCTATATATATTATAATTATTTGAAACATTAACTTTTTTTCTTCATCTATTTACATTTTAAATGTATATAAAATTCTTTGTTTAAAAAAAATTTAAACAATTGGTTCTGACCATTGGGATGGGAGGTCAGAACCTTTTGAAATGTAGCAATTTTTTTTTTCTTTCAAAATTTCCATTGGCTTTCTTTTCTTTTCTTTTTTTTTAAATTTTTAAAAACCTAAAATATGTCTATAAATACTTCAAAATTTCTTCAAAAAATTTCACATTAATTTCATTCCACATTTCTTACAAATTCTATCACATTCTCTACTTATTCACAACTGTCCACTTTTTTTTTTGGTTAAATATTTTCCACACTCATTTCATTCAAACATTTTCTACAAATTTATTCTCTGTACTTATTTGTTATTCGCATTGTTTGAAAAATGTCTCTAAATAGTAATCAAATTTAATTAAACAATACATAGTGTTGGAATGTATGAGTGTTGTACCATATTTTTCTCACAATAATAAAATATAAAGGGCCTTACAATATAGCTATGCATGGCTGGAGATGGAAAAATTTAGTCCTACAATATTCTTTAAAAAAATTTAATATTTTAGAGGGCTAAAATTATAGTCCTAGACTACATTTAGCCCTATAACTGGAGTCCTAAAAAAATTTCGTTTTTTTTAACACAAAAAAGAAAATCTCTGTACAAAATCCAATTTCATATCTACTAAGCCAGTTGTTTGTCCAATAATTTGATTAATGTTATATCCGAAGCAGGTGGCCCATTTGAGGCTTAAAAAGTCTTTGCAACTTGCAAGAAGATATATTTCCTTGGAGATTTGGACACAAAATTTTCTAGAGAGCAACCACCTAATCCTTGTAATTTAAATTATTTAATCATCATTGTCATCTAAAGCTTCTCCAAATGTTTTGTAGGCAATCAATTTAAAATTAGTTGTTGTTAATCATCTATTAGTCCACGTACCCAAACTTTAAGATGAAGAAAGTTCAAATGTTATAATGGTTTATTCATATGCACGTGGCCTTGGAAAGCAATGCTTAAAGGAATAAACTTAAATTTAATTAGATTAAAGAAACTACCATTTTGTACAAAAAAGGAAAGAAAAAAAAAAGAAAGAGAGAGAAGAAAATACAATTTTTTACAGTGAAGATTGAGTTCAATCCCACTTGACATTAAAATCAAACCATTTCATTGGTATTGGTAGGTACTTCAAAAGCGCTTTAGTTGAGAGTGAAGCAAGCACTTATATCAACATTGCTTTTGCAGATAAAGAAGGTTTTTATTCTCTACCTGCCAAACAGAAATTCTAAAAAATTTCAAACATTTCAGCAATTCAGCTGTCCCTAGAAGACCTTTGACTGATGTCAGTTTTTTTTTTTAGATTAAGAAAATCTCACATCTTTAATTAAAAGAAAAAGAAATCCATAAAACTGCTGCTTAGAACCTTTTCCACAAACAATTCTGTACCCTATTTTCAAGAAATCGTCTGTACATCATGATGCAGCATCAAACTCAAAGCCAAGTTCACACTGTGACTTTTTGAGCTAGCTCCCCTACTTTTACATATTTTTCATTTAAATTAGTATATAGTTTAAGATTGTGACTGAATTTTTGTGAATAATTTAATTTTGCACATGCCTGGCTTCAATATCCTCTCTCTCTTTAGATTCATACGCTCATATATATATATATATAGTTATTATCTCATTCGGATGTTCCCACGTTATTACCGTGCAGACGTCATAGTAAATAGGGAGAAATACAATAAGGGTTAATAAAAAAATACACGACTTCCGTAAAGTAATTCATAACGTTCATACGTCCGCATAGGAGACTTTCTCCCTATATATATTGGTCATGTATATGTTGGTATCATCAAGTGGAAAAGTTGGGATAGGTATCAACCCTTTGCAAATTAAGTGCTATTATTTGGACTTAAACTAGGGGAAATTCATAATCATATTAATGTCTACATATATTCCCTATCTTAATCAGGTTCCGTAACCATTTTAATATTTTAGACTAGCAGTAGTCATCATCGGTCATCAGCAATCAAGCAAACAAAATTTCAGATAATTTACCAAATGATGCACTGACAGCAAATCATTTGTCTCCAGCTCAATATATTCTCTGTTGGCTAGCTCCTGCAGACCACAGATTCTTTGGATATGTTCAAACACTCAAATATTTACAGATTGAATAGTCGATCAAGATATTTGATTGAACTAAAGATTCCAAATTGTGCAACGATGTTGAATCCATCTTACCCAAGAAAAACCTCATTTTGAAGTTGGCTTCCTCCTAGCTGTCTTTTATTTGCAATCAATAAAACCTTTTTCCTAGTGGGGTGGTCAAATCTTGTGCTTCACTGGTTCTTCATTTCAGTACCCTCCCAGCTTTATATATATTCTCGATTATCAATATCAACCAGTTAATTACTTGATATATATTCAATTTTTGCCCTAGCGGTAAAAAGCTTAAGGGTATCTTGGAATCTTGAAGATAATCGTCTTTTCTGGAAGTAGGAATTCCTACTTTTTTATTAATCACGGTTTGACATTTGTGTAGAGATTGTTATTTTTGTATTTTTTATGAATTATTTTGGCATATGTATCAAACTGTAATTTGCAGAAAGTAAGAATATATCCTTCAATGTCCGTACATATATATAAAGCATGCATAGAGCACCACCTAAGCCTATGTGTAAATTTCATGGCCTTTTGTAGACTCTAAGCTCTGATACTAGGTAGAAAAGGTAAATTATGTATAGTTAAATTTGGATTACAATAGAATTACTGTAAAATTAGGAAACCCGAACACTGGATTACGTGTTATTAACACCTTTTCTTAGCTCTAAATTATCAAGCTAAGACGAACGTAGGGCAGAATTAGCAGGCCCACGCGAAGGTAAGGCCAACCAGTGCCTAACACTGTCGATATTTTGATACCACCATCACAAAATAGAAGCAAGTTGACATATAATATCTAACAGGCTATAAATGGCTATATACCTCGCTGTTCATGAGAATTAATTATGAAAGAACCATATTCCCTAAAAGGACGGATTCTGCAAAGATCCACTAGTGTAGTGATTTAGAGTGATTGCTCCCCCATATAAGTTAAACACAGTATTTTTTAGTACGAATACTAATTTACAGTAACCGAAGATCACCGACAAAACATATATTATTCAATTAATAACTAACTTTCTGTTACTGTAAATTGGTACCGGCTACCAAAATCTTCCTATTGGTTCAGTCAACATTTTGTTCATTGTAGTTTTCACTTTTACCACAATTGTAGTATAATTAACTACATACAAAACTTGGGTTAACTGAGGACGGTGGCCTAGTCTGAAAAACACGGTACTTTTTGGGTTTGGTGTGTGATTGGCCAGTACCAGATACTTATCTACAGTAACTGAAACGTACTCATAAATAATGATTATCTACTAACTATCCCAAATGTTTCCCTTTTTTTGGGGGTTACTCATTGTTTTTGGATTCCTAGTCCAATTCCTACTTGGTTACGGTTTCTATTTTCTTAACCATGTAACCCTAGAACTTATGCACTATAAATAAGGCGTTTAGGGAGCCATATCATTTGTGACTGTGAGTGTGGTAACGAGCCTAATTACGACTTCCTAACACCAATACCAAATAATCCTTTACCATTTTGTTTAGTCAACATTTGGTTCGTCATATTTTTCACTTTTAACCACAACTGCAGTAACTAACATACAAAACTTGGGCTAACTTAGGCCGGTGGCTTTTACTGACAGTACTGGGTCTAAGTTTTTCGGGTTGAAAACGAGAGCAGTGAGAAAGTGGTCTCCGGTGGGTCAGTTTGGGTAACTAAATATCAAAGGTTGGGAGAGATTTCGAAAATCTTCTGAGAGTCAAGTTGGAGTTTTGAATTGGGGTCCGTTTGGTCACAGGGACAAAGCTTGCTCTTGTTGTTGACGTACGCGCTCTTTTGGGGTCTCTTTTAAACCACATGCCCATGAATTTGCTGCCTCAGAGCCCTATATAAACCCCCCATTCCCCATCCTCTTTCACCACACCAATCAATTCCATTTTCTGGCTTCTCAGTTTTCTTTTCTCATACATTTTCAAGTCTCTGAGCCTCTCTTTCAGTCTTTTGAAGCCAACCCATCTTTCTAGAACCAGAAAAATCATTTGGGTTTCTGTGATTTTTGGGCTGTGTGTGAAAAATCTCAGTGCCAGGGCCTGCAGCAGCAGAGAGATTTGAACAAGCTCACCACTTGGCTTGAATCCATTAAAGAACAAGACCCATCTTTTTCTCTTCCTCACATATCTTTGCATATATAAATTTTGGGCTCGTCTATTTTGCTATATTATACAAAAAGGCTCGTGCTTTTGGTCAGTTTCATGGCTAAAATGGGTGATAACCAGCTTACCCACCACCAAGTTTTTGATGTCTCTGTCGATGTGCCTCCAGAGGGAGGCTCCAAGTGCTTTGATGACGACGGCCGTCTCAAACGAACTGGTAAACATTTTCACTTCTCTAACACATTTTACATGTTCAACCATTTTTGTCAAAAAAAAGCAAACACCTTGGAAATGCTATGAATTTTTACTCATTTGTTCTGTTTTGTGTTTTTTTATTTACCAGGAACCGTTTGGACTGCAAGTGCTCACATAATTACTGCGGTAATTGGGTCTGGAGTTTTGTCCTTGGCTTGGGCCACAGCTCAGCTTGGATGGGTTGCTGGTCCTTCTGTGATGCTTCTGTTCTCTTTTGTCACTTACTACACTTCAACTCTTCTCGCTGCCTGCTATCGTACTGGTGACCCTCTCACTGGAAAGAGAAACTATACTTACACAGAAGCCGTCCGATCCAATCTTGGTAAATTTTCTGCTAATATTTTTCACTTTTTGACATCCATGTGAAAAAAGTTTGAGTCAAGTTCTTATGTTAATTTGATTTTGAATTTTTTTTTCCAGGTGGGTTCAAGGAGAAAATTTGTGGGTTTGTTCAGTACTTGAATCTCTTTGGAGTTGCCATTGGCTACACAATAGCATCATCTATAAGCATGGTGTAAGTATGAGTGTTTTAAAACTTGATTAAGAACTTTGCGTTGATGTTTATATGTAATTTTGGCTAATGGTTTTTTTTGTTGTTGATGTTGATTGTGATTAAACAGAGCAATAAAGAGGTCTAACTGCTTCTACAAAAATGGTGACACAGCACCATGCCATGTAAACAGCAACCCTTATATGATCGCTTTCGGCGTAGCAGAAATCATCTTCTCTCAAATTCCAAACTTTGATCAGCTATGGTGGCTCTCCATTGTTGCTGCAGTCATGTCCTTCACTTACTCCTCAATTGGACTTGGCCTTGGAATTGCCAAAGTTGTAGGTAAAAACTAATAGCTCCATAATATTTACTGTTATATTGATAAATTGGTGATCTTCAATCTTAGTTTTTATGATTAAAATTGGTTCTAGTAAATCTGACTTATGATTGATTTTTTGTGATCAATTTTCAGAAACTGGAACTATCAGGGGAAGCATGACTGGGATAAGCATTGGAAATGTGACAGAAACTCAAAAGATTTGGAGGAGCTTCCAAGCGCTTGGAGACATAGCTTTTGCATACTCTTACTCTCTCATCCTCATTGAAATTCAGGACACAGTTAAATCCCCACCATCTGAAGCTAAGACAATGAAGAAGGCAACTATAGTGAGTGTAGCTACCACAACCCTTTTCTACATGCTCTGTGGCTGCATGGGCTATGCTGCTTTTGGAGACTCATCTCCTGGAAACCTCCTCACTGGTTTCGGTTTCTTCAACCCCTATTGGCTCATTGACATTGCCAATGCAGCCATTGTCATCCACCTTGTTGGTGCTTACCAAGTCTTTGTCCAGCCCCTCTATGCATTTGTTGAGAAAACAGCAGCAGAAAAGTACCCACAGAGCCATTTCATCACAAAAGACATTAAATTCAGAATCCCCTGCTTTGGTCTCTTCAATCTCAACCTCTTCAGATTGGTGTGGAGGACATGTTTTGTGATTTTAACCACTGTGATTTCCATGATCTTGCCATTCTTCAATGATGTGGTTGGGCTTCTTGGGGCTCTGGGATTTTGGCCACTCACAGTTTACTTCCCTGTGGAGATGTATATTGCAACAAAGAGGATCCCAAAGTGGAGCACAAGATGGATTTGCCTCCAGATCCTAAGTGGTGCTTGCCTTATAGTCACCATAGCAGCTGCTGCTGGTTCAATTGCTGGTGTGATTAGTGATCTCAAGATCTACAAGCCATTCAAGACCAGCTACTGATTTAGCAAAGAAATGTAACACTAGATGTTGTCATAATTACTTACTTTCCTAATTTTCAACAAGGAAAAGAGAATTGGTCAGTTTTGATTTCAATTCTTGTTTGTGTTCCTAACAAGCTTAAACGGGTATGATTAATGTTATATATGCACAGCAAGTATCACTTGTCAAAGTCGTCAATTTTTTGGCCCGACCTGAATGAGACTCTAAATTCAAATCTCATAAACGACAATTACGAATCAAGTTACTCGTAATTAATGACGAAAGATACTGAATTAGTTTAAACCAGAAAACGCATGGGACACAATGTGACACATGGTAGTCAATTTGGCTCATGAGTCATGAGTCCATGACATGAAATTAAATGAGAGCTCTGCTCCAGGTGAGTCCAGTCCTAGTCTAGACGACGCTGCTCCCATGAGCTATGAATAAAAATTGGAGGCAGTATTCTAATAGTCAACCACACATATCCATACAACCTCATTTAATAAATATTAAAAAACATTCCATTGAATGAGAAACTCAGAGACGCATCTTCAATACTTGGTACAATCATGCACGAGTCGGTAATGACGATATGATATAGTTAATTTATGTATCAACGGTTGAGAGTCGTTCACTTTACTTGTACGATTATCCTTAACAAAATCCTTAGGTGATGACTATGGTGTAGCTAAAACGACACCACAACCAACCATTGCTTCACTCAAGATTCCATGTTTCTTTCAGCTCAATTATTGCTGCTAAAAATGAAGGGTGTGTGAGAGTTGTGAGGCTGTGAAGAGTTTGGCTGTAACCGATGAGATGTGGAAAACAAATGAGCGATCATGGACTGCCTCAGTTGACTGGCATATATCGTTTATTTTTCCCTTAAGTCCTCTGTGGGTCGTACTATCTTACATCATGATTGACTGTTTTATTACCATCCAATGAGGACCAAGACCAATAGCCATTTCATTGTTTTGTCATCCTCTCTTTTCAATTTTCATTTCTTTCGGGTTTTCCTAGGATAATATTCGTATTCCCTAGAGGTATGTTAACGTCGGTCATTTACGAGAGATTTTTAACCGTTGATGTATTTAGAGATCGTTGATTAGAATTCGCCCACTCGCGGGAACGCTTACGATACCAAAAATTTGTTGTGTAAAATAAAATATCTAGGTATGAGATGAATTGTGAGACCAATAATTTAGGATCCACATGCAACTTAGAAAACCACTCATTATTCAATAATTTCAATTTTGATCTTGTTCCTCAGATAAAGCACCCAAAAAAATAATAAAAAAATATCGTCAGTCTTCAATCTTTGTCAACATATGCGGAAACTTGTAAAAAACAACTAGCAATAGTACCTAATTCTAACTTTTTCTACATTGAAATATTCCCTTCAATTTGACCTCTGGCATGTGCAAATCAAACTCTACAATCGTAAGAATAATGAATTGCAATTTAATTCCATTTCCTACCAAACATAGAGAAAAACCCATGGTATATTTTAGACACAAGAAAGAAAGAGTCTATGACCTTGATGGCCGAGATTTTACCTTATTCTTGTCACACAAATTCTTAAAAGTGGCTGTAGGTTCTCAATTTCAACAAGTTGTTGTATTCTGTGCATGAAAGAAACGTCACTAATGCCTTGGCGTGATAAAATTCCTCATTCTTGATCGTCTTCTTCTTTCCAGATAATAAAATATTGGTTGCTTTGAAACCTGAATATAATTTGATCTTATATTTATTTTGTAACCTAGCTATACAAATATTACAAATTTAGAGTCAACATGTATGCTTCCCAGAGGCTGGTCCCGTATGTCTTCAGTTTTTAACTGAAATAATTGAGCACTATGGACAAATAAACAAACAAATAGAACTGAAATACAATCGTGTGATATAATCAGTCTATGTGACGATAAAATTAAATAATAATAATAATAAAATCCGTCAAATTGTGATGGTAGAGAAGAATATGACTCCTTACGTGTAAGATGCCAAACATATATTTTTTTTATAAAAAAAATGAAATTCACATACTAAAAAAGAAAAAAGAAAAAAGGAATGGTTTTATTTCTTTATCTTTTCAAATAGATTGAGATAAGGACTTGCATGATCAGTTTAGCACTTGAGTTCATAAACACCACAGCAGCACATGTGCAGATAAAATCATTGATGGTGGTGCATGCTAAATGCACCTGCACATTAAGAGATTATAAATATGAGAAAATGGAAGACAACTTATCATATCCCTTTTTAGGGTTTTAGATAAGGCATAGTACATAGAAATGCATATGACCCATAACTTCATGTTTTCAGCCAATTAGCTGTTTTTCCATTAGGGAAGATATGCGTCTGCACTTTTTAAGTGGCCCAATCATAACCTTAAAAAATAGTATTGGGATTATTTTAGAAGATTTAATTTGGATTATTTTTTGTCGAAAATGAGTTTTCAAACAAAATGTAAATTTATTAAAAAACAAATGTCACCTACCCCATGGTCCATATTAGAAGCCCACAAGTGGGCAGCCCAAGCCTTAGCTTACAGAAGGGGGAGTTCAATCCAACAGTTCAATAATAACTCTGCACTGAATCAAACGGTTGCTAAGGACCCTCTCACAATAACCCCTCATTCTATGCTTGTTCTTTGTGTAATTGTGTGATTTTACTTTTTCACTCCTTATTGATGAATTTTTGGCATGGACACTCACTTTCAAGTTTTTTTCTTGCATTAAAAATATGATAGTCCACTTCTTTGAAACTAGGAAAATACTAATAGCTCATTTTTCTTTTTTTCAAACTTTGTGACATCTTATGTGACACAACATCATTGCATTGAAAAACCACTGATGGTATAAAATTCAACGAGACAATATCATGTTAATTGAGAACCGTAGTATTTGTGTGTGTAAATTCTCATATTTGAGTATAGTTGGAGAATACACTTCAGAAGAAAAACTACGTACCTTTATGTTGAAGTAGCTTCTATGAAAATTGTTCCATTTCATTGGTGGGTGCTTTTATAATAAGCGCTTTTGAGAGAGAGTGAATTAACAAACAAGCACCTCAATATTCCAACTGTGCTTTTGGGGATAAAGGATGGTCATATATTCTGTATACCTTGCTAGAAAAATTATACATCTTCAAACATGTCAGCTGTTCCTCCTAGAAGACCTTTTGACTGACTCATATGTATATATATATAGGTTCGATCGATTTTCTACATATACAGCCTCATATCTTTAAACTTAAATTCTGCAACTTTTAATTATATCAGAAGAACAGAATATACTTTAAGAACTAAGGATAACAAGAGGACTTGTGAGTGGATTGGTAGGACAATTCATTTACACATGGTTGTTTTCGCATTTTTCTGAAAATATTGTGTTCGTCTATTTATTCGAACAACTACTTAGCGTCGTATTAACTTACTAATCTGTTAGAGCTTGAGTGCATCTTATATACACGTATATAAAGTTTTGATGCATGTATATTTATATTGAAGCTCAAGTTAGGATAGAATTCCGTAGATCAGAATGTTCTGACTGCTCAAAATGGTGTAAATCGATGGAATGAAGATATATTCCCGGTGGCACACCAATTGGTATATGTTGATTTTATCTAAAACAAAGAACCCCATTTGGAATTTGGCTTCAAGCAGTTGTTATTTTCAGTCCCTAACACCTTTTTTCAATGAAAAGTCATTTTCTTTTAGTGGGGGTGGTCATGGCTTCAACCTCACTGGTTCTTAATTCACTATAATTAACCTGCATCTGATCTCTCACAGCTAAAAAGTGGTCCTCCCAGCATTATGATCGATAAAATTACATCAATGATCAAAATCAATCACTTAATTATCATATGGCTTTCCAGATTAGAATATATTATTGGAATATCTATTCCTTCTATATATAGGTACATTTATAGAGACTACTTGATTAGCTGAATATGTTCTTGCACTAGTAATAGTGAAAAATAAAAGTTGCCACTGCGTGTATCAATAGTTAGGGTTTAAACAGTAAAAACTGCACAGTAAATGTTAAACCCCAAGAATGCGACATTGTAGGATAATCGATGTTTATAAAATGGTTATTTTCTCAAATGGTCCTCAAACTTATACCCAAGTTGCATTTTGGTTCCTCAATTAAATTATTCGTTTAAATGGTCTACCAACTCTACATTAATTGGCGAATTGATCATACTGTTACGCTTCGTCAATACTATCGTTAATTTGAGAGTTAAAATTGTCAATTTATACTGAAATATTAATAAATAAATTAACATCTATATAAAATACTATAAAATCAGAAAACTAAAAACTAAAATGACCAATAGTAAAAATTAAAAAGAAAACCTACCATAACCCTCCCTCCACCTCCATCCCTGCAACCCACCCCCAAATATTTCTTCCTTCCTTTTTTCAACAGTCAAACTAAGCTAAATTCCCTAATTAAACAAAAGAAAAATAAAAAAATCAACAAATTCGTTGAAACCCTTTTAACACCAACACCTTTGCAAGCAATTGGGTACCTGGACAACATGGCAATGAAGGTGATGGTAGAGGCGAAGGAGAGAAAGAAGATGCTTTGAAGGTCAGAGGCTATTGGCGGTGAGGACAGCGAAAAAGGATGGATTCTAGTATAGTGAGAACTTGGAGGTGCAATGGTTTGGAATGTCGTTCAAGCGAGCATGCCCACATCCAGCAGCCTCTTGAGGTACCAAAAAGACAACAACTTTGTCAAAGCCTTTTGAGGTATGAAAAAGACGCATATACCTATCCTATACCCCACATGTATTGTTGACTTGACTAAAACTCACATAAAATGTAACGGTAGGACTAATGCGTCGAATAATAAAGAATTGGTGGATATTTGAACAAATAATTTAGTTGATGGACCAAAATGCAACTTGGGTATAAGTTTGAGGACCATTTGAGCAAATAACCCTTTATAAAAAGAGAATGAAAAAAGGGTAAATTACTCAAATGGTCCTCAAATTTATACGCGATTTACATTTTGGTCCCTAAATTAAATTATTAGTCCAAATGGTACATAAACTCTATTTTAATCGCTCATTTGATCCAACCGTTACATTTTCTGTTAAATGTAACCAAATTTTAGGGGCAAATACGACTTTTCATAATTAACAAATAAAATAGGGTTAAAATAAATACAAAATTAGAAAATAATTGAAGAAAATGAGGAAAAGAAAAAAGAAAAAAGAAGGAAGATTGGGAGGAGGAGGAAGAAGAAGAAGAAGAAGAGATTCCTATTCTGCATCTCACAGCTTCTATGCCAAGGGCTGAAAGTCTTTTTGAATGGGTTGCCCTGGGTTTAGCTAGCCTGCTTCCTCTGGCAACCCTTAGACCAAGCCCCTCTCCTCCGTGAGAGCCTCCCTCTCCTTAGTGAGAGCCCCCCCTCTCCTCCGTGAGAATCCCTCTGCTGCTTTTAAATTGTCTTCCCCCTTTCTTCTAAACTTTACTTCCATTCACCTTCTCAACGACCCATAATTTTCACTCACTTTCGCCATCTCAACAACCCACAACCATCTCTCTCATCTACACCACCAGCCCCCTCCCCGACCTATTCCTATAGATCTCCCACTTTCAATCCAACCCCCAGACCCTATCTTCAATAACCCATAGCTTGTACTTCTCTCTTTGTCACATTGTGAATCTTAGTCAATTCCTAGAGGACACCTAGTTATTCTGGCCAAGTGCGTGAGTGGCCGTGGAGTTGCTCAACCTCAATTCCAATTGGAGATGCTGAACTGTTCAATTTCAAAACCATGGAGAAAGCAATTTGTTGTACTCTGGAATTGGTGATTATGATCGTGCTGTGCAATGTTCTTTGTCTGGGTGGTTGTTGAGTTGGGTTCTGGGTAGTTGGGAGGGGGTTTGTGGAAGATTTTTTTCTTTTCTTTTTCTGTAGTTGTTGGCTTGGGGTGGAAGGTGGGGAGGAGCTTGGGTGGAGAGAGAGAGAGAGAGAGAGAGAGAGAGAGAGAGAGAGAGAGAGAGAGAGAGAGAGAGAGAGAGAGAGAGAGAGAGAGAGAGAGAGAGAGAGAGAGGAGAGAGAGAGAGAGAGAGAGAGAGAGAGAGAGAGAGAGCGAGAGAGAGAGAGAGGAGAGAGAGAGAGAGAGAGAGAGGAGAGAGAGAGAGAGAGCGAGAGAGAGAGAGAGAGATTTTATTTATTTATTTTTAAGGTATGAAATGACCAATTTGCCCTCATATTTAACAGCAACATTGACAGAATGTAATGGTTGGATCAAATGGGTGATTAAAATATAGTTTATGTACCATTTGGACTAATAATTTAATTTATGGACCAAAATGTAAATTGCATACAAATTTGAGGACCATTTGAGTAATTTACCAAAAAAAAAACTTAGGGAGTCAAATCAGCGTCAAAGAAGTGAATATGGCATGATTGGCCATGATGAATGGTGATGAACATGATAAGTGGCGATGGAGATTGTTGAGGAATTTAACATAATGAAAAGATTGTCAAACAGTAAATGTGAAATATATGTATATTAAAGAAAATACAAACTTACTTAATTTTGGTTAAGGACAATTTAGGTAGTTAAGTTAATAAAGGACTGATGAAAATGTACATAGATGACATTTTTGGAGTGACAATAATATATACATCAAAGACTTTAGGGTTAAAACCCTCGACACAAGTCAATCGGGCAATGAATTTGATATATGGCTAGAGTAGACATGAGTCTCCTAATTATTAATGTATCTATTTCCTTGTAAAACACTCATGTAAACTCCTATATATACCTCTTTATGGAGAAGAATAAACCTAACCTAAAGAATTCAAACCATATTCATATTTTAGCATAGTATCAGAGCAATCGATCCTAGGTTATCTCTAAACTCTCATATCAAATTTCTCATATTCAAACCCAAACCCTAAATCAAATTCCTCATATTTAAATTCCCCAAATCCAAATCCTTCAAATCTAAATTCCTCAAATCCTTTTATCAAAATCCCTAAACACATACCCTCAAATCTTATATACATACCTCTCAAATCCAATTCCTACATCAATTCATACATCAAATTCCTCAAATCCCATTCCTCCCATCAAATTCCTTACATTCTCATATCACATCTTACTTCCGCTACGATGTCAGGAACCCCTACGATTTTCTCCCTTATTGAAGACTCACAGAAGCATGCGATCAATCATGCTAACCCAGCTACCCGGACTCGTGCTTCTATTGCCACCACCAAAGGTTCTGCTTTTCATACATCCTCTCAAAAAGCCACATGGATTATTGACTCAGGTGCTACAGATCACATGACATTTGATCATGGCCAACTTATTAGTCTTAAATCATCCACTCCGTCGATGGTGTCTAATGCTAATGGTACCTCATCCCTTATGGTTGGGGAGGGCTCTCTATCTATTTCTACTTCCCTACATCTAGATTCTATATTGTTTGTTCCATCCTTGGACTATAACTTGTTGTCTGTTACACAACTTACTACTACTTTGGGGTGTACTATAACGTTTTGGCTAAATCATTGTGTTTTTCAGGACATCCTCATAGGAATGACGATTGGTTGTGGTACTCGGCGAGACAAACTCTACTACTTGGATTGGGCACCAGATAGTGAGACCAAGGTTGGTTAAGCTTTCACAACCAATGGAACTTGTTCTGAGGGGAAGAGAGACAAAGTTTGGTTATGGCATAAACGTCTTGAGCATTCCTCGTTCGGGTATCTTAAGAAGTTGTTTCCATCATTATTTTCCAGTCTTGATGTTTTCAGCTTCCAGTGTGATACGTGTGAATTGACTAAGAGTCATCGTGTCTCGTTCCAATTAAGTTCAAATAAGAGTTTGGTTTCGTTTTTTTTGTTCATTATGATGTTTAGGGGCTTGCTAAAATTGCCACTCCAGCAAGAGCTCGATGGTTTATCACGTTTATAGATGATTGCACACGCATGACTTGGGTTTCCCTTCTCAAAACTAAAAGGGAAGTCAGTTCCAGGTTTAAACAATTTCATCGAATGGTAGAGACTCAGTTTCATGCTAGAATTCAGGTTCTTTGTTCTGACAATGGCAGAGAATTTCTCAACCGTGATCTTAACCAGTTCTTACAAGACCATGACATCATACATCAACGTTCATGCCCTACACTCCCCAATAGAATAGAGTGGCTGAAAGAAAGAACAAACATTTATTTGAAGTAGTTTGTGCCTATCTCTTTGGTGCTAATATGCCACGATCTTTTTGGGGGAGAAGCCGTCATCTCTGCAGCATACCTCATTAATCGGATTCCCTTTACCCTAAATTTTCAAACACAATTTCAAACACTTCTCCACCATATCCAAACAACTCCCACCCCAAACCTGGAACCCCATATTTTTTGTTGTGTTGTATTTGTCCACTTACATGATCACCAACAAAGTAAATTGGATCCCCGAGCTGAAAAATGTGTTTTCATTGGCTATGCACCTCATCAGAAAGGATACCGGTGTTATCATCATCTTAGTCAGAAGATCTTTACCTCAATAGATATTGTGTTTTGGGAACACGACTTATATTTTTCAGCGTCAGAGGAGGAGAATTAAGAACCCACAACTGCTCAAATTCTCAATCTTTTTGCTTTGCATAAAAACGACCGATCGCCCCCTTTAGCTATTCGAACACTGAGAATGTACTTCAAAACGACCGGTCACCAATGGCAAACTACCGGTCGCCCTTCCTTAGTTCTTCAAATTCGGAGAACCTGCTTCAAAATGATCGATCGCCAAAGGAAATTGATCAGTTGTCTCCACATTGTCAAAATCATGAGGAGAAAATTGAACTGTTTTATGAGATTTTGCATGCTTCAGCTCCAGTACCACATTGATCACCTATTGAGGAAGTCATTCAGGTAACATCTTTCCCTAAAATTGATAACATTAATGAAATATCCCATGATGATTTGATTTCAGAAGGCACATAGCCTACATATCAGCTTCTAGAAAGGAAAAATCGTGGCAAACCTCGAGTACAATATGAAGCAGATCTTAAAGCCAAAGGGAAATACCCCATCAATAATTATATATCTCTCAGCAGATTATCAAAGTCACATGTGCACTATGTGAAGCAGTTGGCTGACATATCTGTCGCCAACAGTGTAACTGAAGAACTAGAAGACCCAAAATGGAAAGAAGCCATGAATGAAGAAATGCGAGCTCTCCAAAAGAATGTCACATGTGAACTCGTGACCTTAACTCATGGAAAGAAGACAGTAGGATGTAGGTGGATTTATACTGTGAAACTCAAAGCAAATGGATCCATTGAAAGATATAAAGCTAGATTGGTGCTAGATTGGTGGCGAATGGGTACACACAGAGATATGGGATAGACTACCATGAGATTTTTGTCTCAGTAGCCAAGATTAACACTATTAGAGTCCTATTGTCTCTAGCAGCAAATCTCGATTGGCCACTACATCAGTTTGATGTCAAAAATGCATTCTTACATGGAACTTGGAAGAAGAAGTATATATAGACTACCCCTAGGATGTAATTCAGCTCATGACAAGAAGAATCAAGTTTGCAAGCTTAGAAAGTCATTATATGGGTTAAAGTAATCTCCCAGGGCATGGTTTGACAGATTTACTAAATTTATGAAGAATTTTGGATATACATAGACTAATTCAGATCACACCCTGTTCTTGAAGCGTGATGAGGGAAAACTTACTGCATTGATTGTTTATGTAGATGACATAGTCGTAACTGGAAATGACACAGGAGAGCAACTAAAGTTGCAAAAGTATTTGTCTAAGGAATTTGAGATGAAGGATTTAGGTGATTTGAAGTACTTTCTCGGAATCGAAGTAACAAGGTCAAAAACTGGTATATTTTTTTCTCAAAGGAAGTATGTAATAGATCTACTCACTGAAACATGAATGCTTGGATGTAAGTCTGCTAACACACCCATTGAGATGAATCACAAGTTGTGTGAAGACATGGACCAAGAACCAACCAATAAGGAATAATACCAACGCCTTGTTGAAAGGTTGATATACCTGGCACACACAAGACCAGATATTGCATATGTTGTAAGTGTTGTTAGTCAGTTTATGCATTCACCCAGTGTTTCTCATAGGTATAATGTTGATCAAATCTTAATATACTTAAAGTCAGCCTATGGGAAATGATTAATGTTCTAAAAAAAAATGGAGATCTTGAAGTTGTTGGATATATAGATGCTAATTGGGCTGGCTTCATTATTGATAGACAATCTACTTCAAGTTACTTTACTTTCGTGGAAGGTAACCTAGTCACTTGGCGGAATTAAAAACAAAATGTGGTTTCTCGGTTTAGTACAGAAGCAGAGTATCGAGGAATGGCTCACAGAGTTTGTGAATTACTGTGGATCAAAAGACTATTGACAAAATCGGGCTTCAAGCCAGAAAAGCCAATGGAGTTACATTGTGACAACAAGTCAGCTAGTGATATTGCCCATAATCCAGTTCAACATGATTGAACCAAACATGTTGAGGTGGATAGACATTTTATCAAAGAAAAAATTGAGAAGAAGATCATCCGCCTACCATTCGTAAAATCAGAAGATCGACTGATAGATATCTTAACAAAAGTGTTTGTGGCAGAGTATTTCATGACTCATTTGACATATATGCACCAACTTGAGGAGGAGTGTTGAGGTGAGTCTCCTAATTAATTAAGGAGATTTATTTTCTTTATTAATTAAGGATTTACTTTCCTATTCTATATAGTTGACAAATCATTGTATAATTAGGAGATACTATCATAATTGATTATTTTGTCTATATACACCTCCTTATGGATAAGAATAAAACCCAACCTAAATATTCAAACCATATTAATATTTTAGCATGAGTTGCATTTGAAAATGTACTCATCAGCTCTGAATTGTTGTCCATTCAATCCAAATTCATATGGTAAAACATGCCTAATTAATAAATTTGTTTAATGACACCTAATTAAGTTCATGGGTCCTGGACTCCAACAGTGTTATGAATTCCTTATATACTCTCCGTGTTATGGGAATGAATTATGTAAGAACAATTGTCGGGTCGTTTTTACCATTTTCAGGAACTGGCTAAGGTGGTCTAATAAAAAGACAGACTAACTATTATTAAATTTTTAGGATATGAATTTCTACCACATATGGTAACTTACTGGAATTCCAAATGAGGCAAAACAACAAATTAAAATGCTTCTCTCTACTTTTTTTCAGACAGATTCTTTGTTGAGGGTTTAGTCTCATTACCTAGAGGAAATTCAGAGAGAGAGAGAGAGAGAGAGAGAGAGAGAGAGAGAGAGAGAGAGAGAGATGGATGGCAAGTAAGGGCTATTAAGAAGGAGAAGCTTTTGTTAAACACAACCAGTCATTCCAATTTCAGCCATTGGCATTTTTTGGGACAATATACCAGTTGTGGCCTTAACAGCGCTCAGGTAAGTGCGATTTGAAAATGCCATGCCTTTATTCGTGTGGCCATGACCTTTTATTTCTGTCTTTTTTCTTTTTGGTCTTTTGTGTTTCTGCAACTCTTGACTCATGATGCAAGATTCTTTAATTTTTCTGAGTAGAAAATTTGTGTTGGTGGTGTTTGCTAACTTCATCCCATTAATAACATGTTCACTCATTTCAATGGGGAAATTAAGAATCAAGGAGAGGATGAATGAGTACATGATCAATTACTCCTTTAATTAATTTAATTTTTGTTTTTTCAAGCATTGGATTAAGGATTTTAATATGGAACATATATAATTTCGTCTTCTTATATGTTAGCAAACATAACGGAAGTCACAAATTAGAATAATTTCAATACCCTTATGTTTGTAAACACATGAAAAATCAAGAATTGAAATAATTATAATATGTTAGCAACTCCTACTTTCTTTCCAATCACTATCTATGCATAAATTTTACTTTTTATGTTTTTGATGAATTATTTTACACGTGTTAAACCGTGACTTGCAAAAAGAAATGTCTCCTTTCATAAAAGGAGGCAGGAGACAAGTGGTGTCCTAATTCTATATGCATGCAAATGTTTGTGTACCTCAAAACAATGGCTTTTACTGCTCTGGCTCATCACCGTTTGGAATAAAAGGCAAATTGAGGAAATTTTAGTTGTTGAAAAAGGGAGCATTAACAAAGTGGTCTGGTGGGTCAGTAAATTTCAAAGTTTGGGAGAGATCTTGAAGTCTTTGGGGTGTGTCTGGGGTCGTTTAAACCAAAGTAGGTTTTGTGCCTTTTTTCTTGGAACGGTTAAATGTTACCTCACTCCCATTGGGATTGTGTATATGGAATGAAATTCACTTCTGGTTTTTTTATTCACTACAACTTGACAAGTAAAGTGAGTTACAGGATCTCTCTCTTTTCGAGGCACATTTGTCTTTGTAAAATTAGACAATAATATAATTATTTGCACCGTATTTATCAGATGATGATATCTCATAAAAATGAGACATATTAAACGAGTCTTATCTCTACATAAGATGTGATTAATAATGTGGTCAATAAATATAGTCTAGTAAACTTAGTCACATTAGTCAACAGTATATGTCACTCTTTGGGTGTATGTCAATCTCGGAATGAGTTGCAGCAATGACAGTTACAGACAAGGCTCAGATTCATTAAAGAACAGACCCATCTGTTTTTAATCCCTTATTTTCATTGATTTTGCATACATACTGAACAAACTTTGAGATCACAATGGAAGAAGAGTAAGGAAATGTTTGACTTGTATTTTACATGAAAAGGCTAAGGTATGTGTTGGTCTTTTTGTAGCAAAGATGGGTGATCACACTACCACAAGGAACCTGCAGCTTCACCACAACCCAGTTTTTGATGTCTCACTCAATGTGCAAGGAGGCTCCAAGTACATTGATGATGATGGCCGTCCGAAACGAACTGGTAAATTATACTTCTGTAATGGAGGTCAAAGCTTAATTTCTGGTTGCAAGGAAAACACCTTGACAATGCTAAGAAAAATGCATGTACTTTATGTTCATGTTAAATTGTTAGTCATTAATCTTTGTCTTGCTTGTCCACCAGGAACTGTTTGGACTTCAAGTGCTCACATAATTACTGCTGTGATTGGATCTGGGGTTCTATCCCTGGCTTGGGCTGTTGCTCAGCTTGGATGGATTGCTGGTCCTGTTGTTATGGTCATGTTCTCCTTCATCACTTACTACACTTCAACTCTTCTTGCTGCCTGCTACCGTGATCCGGTCACTGGAAAAAGAAACTATACTTATTCGGATGCTGTTCGATCCAACCTTGGTGAATTTTGCTGATGTTTTGATCTTTTTGGCCACATGAAAGAAGTGTTCTTTTTTCTTTTTTCGGTCCAAAGGTCTAAAGCTCAATCTTTGTTCTTCTAATTTCAAATTTTCAGGTGAACTTCAGGTCAAATTCTGCGGATCTGTTCAGAACGTGGTCCTTATTGGAGTTACTATTGGCTACACTATAGCAGCAGCTATAAGCATGGTGTAAGTCTTGAGTGTTTAAACTCAATTAAGAATTTGGTGATGTTTGAGTACATATTATGTTAGTTATTTTAAAATGTTCATTGGGCTTATGGTTTTTGTTATTGATTAAACAGGGCAATAAAGAGGTCTAACTGCTACCACAAGAGTGGTGGAAAAAATCCATGTCATATTAACAACAATCCCTACATGATAGCTTTTGGTATCTCAGAAATTGTATTGTCTCAAATTCCGAACTTTGATAAGTTGTCCTGGCTCTCCATTGTTGCTGCAGTCATGTCCTTCACTTACTCGGGAATTGGATTAGCCCTTGGAATTGCTGAAGTTGCTGGTACAAATAGCTACATTTTGCTGCTATGCCTCTAAATCTGAACTTAGTTTTAAGAATTCAAGTAGTTCTAGTAAAGTTGACCCAAGCTTGTTTCTGTGCTTTTGAACACCAGTAAATGGACAAATCAAGGGAAATATCACTGGAATTACCATTGGCACTGTGAATCCAATTCAAAAGATGTGGAGGACCTTCCAAGCACTTGGTGACGTAGCTTTTGCCTACTCTTACTCTATCATCCTCATTGAAATTCAGGTTTATATCTTCTTTCAAAGTCACAATGCCATACGTTTCGCGGTGATTTATGTATTTAACCAAACATTTACACGTAACAGGACACAATTAAATCCCCACCATCTGAGTACAAGACAATGAAGAAGGCCACTCTATTTAGTTTGATAGTGACATCCATTTTCTACATTCTGTGTGGCTGCATGGGCTATGCTGCTTTTGGAGACTTGTCCCCTGGAAACCTCCTCACTGATAAAGGTTTCCACAACCCATTTTGGCTCATTGACATAGCCAATGCTGCCATAGTGATCCACCTTGTTGGTGCATACCAAGTGTTTGCACAACCCATTTTCGCACTCGTTGAGAAAACAGCTGCAGAATTTTTCCCAAATAGCCAATTCATCATAGAAGACATCAGAATACCCATCCCCGGTTTCGGTGCCTACAACCTTAACCTCTTCAGATTGGTGTGGAGGACATTTTATGTGATCATAACCACTTTGATTTCCATGATCCTCCCATTCTTTAATGATGTGGTTGGATTTCTAGGGGCTTTGGGATATTGGCCACTCACAGTTTACTTCCCTGTGGAGATGTACATTGCTCAAAAGAAGGTACCAAAGTGGAGCACAAGATGGATTTGCCTCCAAATCCTAAGTCTTTCTGTCCTTGTAATAGCACTAGCTGCTGCAGCTGGCTCAGTTACTGGCGTGGTTCAAGACCTCAAGATCTACAAGCCCTTCAAGACCAGCAGTTGATTTAACAAAGCCTTGACATGTAGTGCCATTCTAGTTTCTCAATGCAAAAGACAAGAATTCTAGCAAAACCTTATTGAAATTTAATTTCTTGCTATGCAATATTTTTATCTCCAACTGAGTTCTATATCATCAATCAGTCTGTGCATTTTACATATTATTGGAAATTATATCCAATAATGACGGTAAGGATCTTAAGAAG